CCTAGAAGCCATGAAATACCCATGAAAATGGCATTTCATGGCCTTTTCAAAGGTACTGAGAAACCCATGAATTTCATGCCCAAAAATTTCATGGTGTCAAAGTTCACTAGTTTTTAATGGGTCGCAGCAAATCATGACCTATGAACATCCTGTGAATATGTAAAAAATTCATTGACCATGAAAATTTTTCTTGAATTTTTATGGCCTCTCCATGGTTTTTTCATGGCACATGACAGTTAATTGCCAGTTAGTTTTCATGGGGTTGTTAGGAATATGCAAGCACCATGAAAATTCTTTGGAAACCCTATGAATTTGGAATTAAAAAGTCTTCACTTTTCTTGTACCAAAGACTGTACTCAGTGTATAGCTTGCAGTATACCATAACTGTAATACCTACGCTATCACTTAAATTATACACTGAAGAACTAACCTCTCTGTGAAACTTCTTAGTCCTGTTGTACAAGCACACACACATGAAAGACATGACCAGAAGTCTGGATTCTCTGATAATTTATTTTGTTTCACCAGTTGTACATAAATATTATTTTAGGATTCCAAAATTGTGATAATTCAGTTTACACTTTCTTAAATCAAAAAAATTGGTATAAAATTTTCTGCAATAAAATTAAGATGCTAATGATTTTTAACTCTATTTTGATATCACTGATTTTCCTTGTGGAGACAGATTTGCTCCTATATTTCTTCATATCTATTTACTCTGATTTAAATTATTGTGGCTGTACATTAAAAATATTTCTGTATATTTAAACTATTTTGAAGGTATATTATAAATAAATTTGATGTGAAAAATTAGCTGGCTGCACATTGAATGTGCAGCCAGCTAATTTGCATAGGTAATTCGAGCCAAGGTTCGACGCCTCTTGGTGGCATGAGGTGTTCGCTAAACATTCCAGGACATCCGATAATCGCTTCAATAAATGTAATTATGCTCCCCTCGAATGAAATGGTAAAAACCGCAACTTCCGATGATTACATTTCTAATCTTTTTCAAGATACAACTCTACCTTGTTCACTCATTTTCCAGAAACAAGATTCCAGAGAATTGTCTCATACAAACTTAACGGGTCTAATTCGAAAAAACTTAAGGGGCGGTACGTTAAGCTTATTTTCTTTGTAGAGATAACACATATCTTAAAGAAGACAACAGTAAATTGTTAACACAAGGTCCACAAGTATTCCTGATCAAATGTTACAGAAACATATAACAGGAACAATTAAAAGCGCGGAAAACGAAGAAACTAAAAATAGCCTAAAAAGCGGCACCGGTAAAGCTGATTTCACCTCCATGATCGAAGACCAAGGCCTATTTAAGGCTAACTCCGACAAACCCTTCTTTATACAGGTCATGGTTTTTAACTTTTAAAGTCCAGAAACTGTGTTGACTAGATAATTCAGAGAATACACATCGCTTTCAACTGATGGTCTCCCCGTTCGGTCCACAAGCTTCGGCGCAATGCAATTATTCTTATAATGACCTTTATGTGCGAAGGTTTCAGTTTGGAACGGCATTTTTAGCTTTTCCGAAGACATCAGTCTCGCCAAAATCGACTTTAACAGGGGAGAAGCTGGTCTAAAATATCGTTATTGCATTTTAGGTCATTGGGAACAAATTCACTCGTATGAATATCGTCTTACACGACTGCCGAGTTAGGAGGGATTAGAAAAGGTTAAAAATAACCCTCAGGTATACACTACCCAAGAGGGTATGCAAGAGATTAAAAAAACCCTCAGGTATACACTACCCAAAAGGGTATAGAAGTGATTAAAAATAACCCTCAGGTATACGCTACCCAAGAGGATATAGAAGAGATTGAAATAACCCTCAGGTATACACTTCCCAAGAGGGTATAGGAGATATTAAGAATAACCCTCAGGTATACACTACCCAAGAAGGTATAGGAGAGACGAAAAATAACCCTCAGGTATACACTACCCAAGAGGGTATGCAAGAGATTAAAAAAAACCCTCAGGTATACATTACCCAAAAGGGTATAGAAGAGATTAAAAAAACCCTCAGGTATGCATTACCCAAGAGGGTATGTATAAGATTGAAAATAATCCTCAGGTATACACTACCCAAGAGGCTATGCAAGAGATTAAAAAAACCCCCAGGTATACACTACACAAGAGGGTATAGAAGTGATTAAAAATAACCCTCAGGTATACGCTACCCAAGAGGGTATAGAAGAGATTAAAATAAACCTCAGGTATACACTACCCAAGAGGGTATAGAAGATATTAAAAATTCATCCTCAGGTATACACTACCCAAGAGGGTATAGAAGATATTAAAAATTCATCCTCAGGTATACACTACCCAAGAGGGTATGCAAGAGATTAAAACACCCTCAGGTATACACTACCCAAGAAGGTATGCAAGAGATTAAAGGTAATCCTCAGGTATACACTACCCAAGAGGGCACGAAAAATTGAATTCACACTATTTTATATCAGGAGACCGCTCTTTGTCTGGACTCTTTCTTTTGACTGAAAGTTGAGGCATCCACCATTAACTTATTTAATTATGATCCTTTACTAGTTCCCGAATGCTCGCTCGGCTATTCTTGACTGACATCATTGCAATTTCTCTTGATATTTCGACCGGAGGCATTTCCCGCCTAAAGAGTACGGTCGAGGGCGATTTGATTTACCGTATCAACAACAAGATTATGTTTTGAGACCCCGCGAATCCATCTGCTGGATTTCTCCCTGTCTAATTAGTCCGGCACGGAGACCAATTGAAGATATAACATGCATGTTGTTTGGTTACTCGGCGTTGAACGAACAGCCTTTGTTGGCGCTCTTGAGACCTGCTGGCGGGACAGAACATATTGTATTCATCGCGGAATCGACGAAACAATTCGTTCTTTGCAAAATTTTTCGGCCTGATTTCACATTAACTTTTCGTTAGCACATACCAGTACTTTTTGGGGTCGAGATTGGATCCCGTAACTATAGAAAGCTCAGCCGATCGATCGAAGACTTCGGCCTCCATGATAAGATCGCGCCAAGTGATTTCAATGCCAGATTTCTTGTGTTTTCGTAATTGAAATTCGAGCACAGATGAAGTATTAATTATTAGGTGAACCTTTAACTTATAATCAACAGGTTTAAGTAACCGTGTAGACACCTACCGACCGCAAACGTTGATGTAATTCTCTACACTGATGACAGAAATATAGCGCCTCCGTAGAATGCATGTTGCGAATTTTTTGGGGGTCCAAAGCTCCTCATGTAAACTTCAAATATCATTTCCTTCGTCTAATATCATGTGTAAAATGTTATGGACAGTTATTATAATGTCTACTTGTGTAACAGCATTCATGTAAATTTCTTGATATGTTTTACACTTGTGATCAATACTCTCAAGGGACCTAACAACAAAACAATTACCAACTTTCTGCACTATTGCACATGTGGAGATATATCTATGGCTGACTATGTCAGTGTCTCTCTGTTTTGGCCATCTGAATGTGCCATCCTTTTTTTGGTTATCATTACTATTTGCATCTTCATCATCATTTGGACCAAGATAGGCTGTTTTAGCAAGTTTGCATTTCCTTCCATCAGTTTTGTACACCAACACTCTTCACTGTTTGCAAAATAAAGGGAGCACATCATCAGTTATCTAAGCGCCTTTCTTATGTACGTAGTAAACCTAGAAATGGATAACAGATTCTTTTCAACATAACAGGTTCTTTTCAACATGAAGCGGTCAGATACTAAGCGACGCACTGTGGAAGTGAGGTGAGATATTTCGTATTCAGAATTTGACTGTATTTTTTATTCCTAAGAACGGTCGTAAGTATTTCCATACAAACTCTTGTAACATTTCGCCAGATGATCACAGAATAAAAATGTTCAAGTTAAATCAATAGTTAGCGCGCACTCCGATGTTTACGCGTAATGAGATGACCAAGCTTGAACTTACCGAATCACTGCGTCTGTAATCTTACAAAATAAAGCAGCACAAAAAGCTGTTCGGTGTTTGGAATTCGAAGCAAGTAGCAATCGACAGGACATCAGAGTCCAAGAAAGTCAGAGCTGACATCGACAGTGATTCCTGTGAAAGCGATCACGAAATCAACAACGATGTTGTAGAAGGCGATGTCAATGAATACATGAAGGTAACGTTTCATCCCGACTGAGAAGATGGCTTGACTCTGTTAACCGGCGACTCTATGGACGAGGTAAAAATGGCATTTTTTCAGGTTACATTTGCATACTATTCAAAATTCCAAATTGAGGTGAGAAAGTGATTGATTTTTCATTGTTTTGTTCCACATTTCGTGTAGATGCAATGCGTACTATTGCTGTGCAACTTAAGCATCTGTACTGTGCAGGTGCCTTACTGGAAAAGCCTAAAAGATTCTTCAGCCGTAATAATGTAAGAGAAGGCCTTGAACAGGTTTCCAGAGTCATGGCTAACAATCAAAGCCAGTAGTGAGGCAGAAATAATTCAACAAAGTCGTCCAGCAAGGCAAAAAGGCCCCAAAAAATCAAAGTGAGCCCAGAACTCTCTAAGTTCCCCCCCGAATTTTATCTTCTTGAGTGTGTTATATGGAATTAGAACCAAACTCTCTCAACTTTTTTAAAGGAAAATGTACACTAAATGGAAGGAGAATATTTTAATAATCAGATCCATAGTCAACATGTGTTTTCAAATTTGATTTCAAGACTGTCACCAGCTCGCTTACATGGCATCTCTGCCTTAAATGTTATTTTGTATTAATCTTTTACATCCCAACATCAGTATGAACATTCTCCATACTGTTCTCCATACATCTCTTGAGATGCTACCAAGGAGATTTTGTGGAACAATCAAGACTTTTGTCCTTCAATCTTGAAACATTAATGTGTGATTCAGGGGTGATGTTGTAAGGAGAAATTAGATGCTAGTCACTCTCAGGGCTCCAAGAAACTATTGTAAATTAATACTTATTTTTATCACTGTAGACTGTGAGGGCATTCCTTCCAGACATGGTGGAGAAGAACAAGGGCCACATTGTCAACATTACTTCCATAGCAGGCAGCTTTGCTACAGCCAACTTGACTGACTACTGTGCATCAAAACTTGGTGCCACAGGTTTCAGTCAATCATTAACCTTGGAGCTGCGTGAAATTGGAAAAACTGGCATTAAAGTGTCTTGTGTTGAACCCAATACAGTAAACACTGGACTAGTGTGGTATCCAAAGGCCCGGTAAGCCAGTCATCTGGTCTCTACAGGCATTCCTTAGTTTTTCAGAGACTTGAAAATTTCCTGGCTCAAATGCTTTTTGAAAAATTGATATGGCTTGAGCCATTTGTTTATCAGTATGCTCTGGTAATTATTTGTTTGTTTTTTCTGTAGTTTTCCATCACTATACCCAGTCCTCGAGCCAGACTATGTGGCCAAGGAGGTTGTGGCAGCCACTCTTAGAGATGAGGAAATTCTCTTAATTCCCCGTGCTCTAGCTGTGAACTTCTTTTTGACTGGGTAAGTCATCATATGCTGCCATCATCCTTAGGCTCTCTAGCTGGGATGTGTCACCCCACAAATCTTAACAACATCTGGTCCCACAGAGCAGCTACCCCCAGCTGTGTCTGCATCCCTGTGTCTATAGATCTTAACTGTTGTATGATAAGCTGTATGTTTATTGATTATTTCTGAAAGGAACAACTTGTAAAGTTTGAGGTTGGAAGTCCCAGGGGACATTCCTAACTGCTCTTGGATGGATGCCAGATTTTTGATATCCAACAGGCCCACCTAGATTCAATATATGTTCTTGCCAAAAGGCCCCAACTTGGCAGTTTGAATCTCAATTGTGTTAGATGGTCATTTTTTATTCTTATAATTCAGGGACTGTACTGGTTTCAGTCGTGCTCATGTCAGAATGAGAAACAGTAAAAATTTAGACAAAGTATACTTCCATTAGATTCTTCCTTTTCTGTCTTTTGTTTGTTTTCATATTTTCAATTGTTTCCTTCCCGAAATCTTTTTATTCTTTCTTCAACACTTTTATGTATGTATTGTCATGCATTCGCTGTAAGAGCCATCTCATGATATTGATTTGATTTTTTTTAATGTTGTAACAGGATATTACCATTTACAGCTCTTCTTGTTTTGAGTGACTTCCTTCAAGTTGGAGTCTCTGAACACACTCCAAGAGATGAAAAGAAGTCTGGTTAACCTTTCACCCCTATGGGTGACTGGCTTCTAATGTGTCAATTAATTTGAAGCTTTGACATCCCCCCATCCCCCCACCTAACTGGAAAACCCACAAACATTTGACTGTCCCTTGTGCCAGGGGGATGGAGAATTCAACCCTGCTGGAAGTGTCAAATATTTTCAGCAGAATGAACTTGTTTTATTAAGTTATATGGAAGTGTTTATAGATAAAGATTTCAGTTGCACATGTGAATAGCCCAGATAAAAAAGGTCTACAAGGTCTGATCATGCCTTTAAATATTAAATTGACCATCAAATCCAACACGTGGGCATTTAAACACAATTTAAGCCCCAGGAGACAGATATTTGGAAAAAGCAATCTTCAAAAGTTCAAATGTCCAGGGCTTGGGGAGATACTGAAGCTTCAAATTAATTTACACATAATTTCTCCTTGCAATAACACCCCTGAATCAAATATAAAGGTCAAAAGAATGAGGATATGATCACCAATTTAAGAAGCACTTGATTGTCAAAATAAATTCTCCTTGACAGTAGCAAACATAGGAAATGTAGAAAGAACCAGTGTGGAGAATATGATTGAATATTAATGTTGGGGTGTGAGTGGTTCTCTAGAAATTGAGACTCAACTGACACCTCGTGAACTTTTTAGCTCACAAATTTATTGTAAGTTAGAGCTTAAATTTCAGCAAAAATATATATTCACAGATTCATTTTGTCAAACACTTTACTAGTTATATGACTGCAGTGAAAATCAACTGCTTCTTTCACTTTCTTACACAAATAATACTTTAATCAAATAATCAATCAATCAGTTGGTCAGTAAGTCACTCACTCAGCCTGAATCAGTCAGTCCACAATTAGTCATCAATCAATCAATCAATCAATCAAACAGTCAATCAGTCTGTCATTTAATCAATCAATCAATCAATTGTGCGTGCCTCAGCTTTCCAAATTTATTACTGTACATCTATTTGAGTAATAGGCTTCTCCTCAATCTCAGTTCAGCATTTCTGTGGGGTCTCACTATTAATACCATCAACTTTCTAAACATCTATCTTAGCGTTTTCTTTAAGGAAGCCAACTGCAATGTTATTTGTCAGTAGAATCATTATTCAATATTGCATATAAAATTGCACATAAAATGTCAATTTTGGGCTATTTACATCCTAACGCTGGGAGGAAAAAATACTTGCGTATGTATAGTCTAGCGAAAATAACTTGACCTTAATACTCGATTCTTATTGGCTAGGCGCTATACTGTCTCTATATTACTACTCCTATCTTAGCGTTTTCTTTATCGTAACCAACTGCATTCTATTTGTCAGTAGAATCATTATTCAATGTTGTACATAAAATTGCACATAAAATGTCAATTTTGGGCTATTTACATCCTAACGCTGGGAGGAAAAAATACTTGCGTATGTATAGTGTAGCGACAATAACTTGATGTCAGATGTAGTGAGACAAAGCATTTAAAATTGTTCGCGAATATTTGGGCGGAAATCAAGGATAACGCCTTTGATATTTTTTTTTACTTATTTTCTGGGCGTTTTCGGCTCCCCCAATCAATCACGATTAAAAAATTATAAAATTGTGCAAATTATACAGTGTAGTGGTCTGACTAACCACAGTTTTGGTTTCCTGCCAGTACACGGCTTATGAACGTTTCCATGGAAACGGCCCCGTATGCCAACTTACCGACCAAGTAAGAACCATTCAGAACACTCAGATTTCCCTCAGGACTACCTTTTCCCTTGCCGAGGAAAGAGATATTTTAATTTCTACAGCTTAGTCCAAATCTAGCTGTGGAATAGCGATTTGATCAAGTTTAAGTTTCAGCGCTTCCTTTGAATGTAAAAACGTTTCCTTGATAAAATAAACAATGGCCATCATTATACAGATTTCGGGAATCCCTGATAAGTACTTGTTGAGAACTTTCTCGAAAATAGCCAGTCCCTTTTTGCTGCCTTTTTCCATGGCTATGTCTGCAATTTCTTGAAAAGGACTGTTATCTGGCAGACAGAATCCAAGAGGAAGTATTTTGTGTGTAGTTGACAAAGTCGTATTGTCGTTTTCCATGTACTTTTCAACGACGTGGACAAAAAGCCAGTCGCTTACAAGTTCATATGCTCCTACTTGTCGAACTTCCTCTTTAGACAGGTCTGGCTGCTCGGCCTCGAATCTCTTTATCTTCTCGGAGACGAAGAATTGGTATTTTTGAGCCAGTTGTGTTTCCTCACCTTGAAGAGCTTCACGAAAAAGCGGTACAAAGGCTTCCCAAATGTTCATTGTCTTCTTTAAATTCCTGTAGGCGGCTGGGGAAAGTTCCCTGTCGTTTACGTCAATGATATCGATCCAACTGACGTCAAATTTTTCTGTAGCGGTGCGAGATCCAGGTACGCTGTCGATGTTAGCAAACATCATTTTCCAAACATTAGTTGGATTCTTTCCATATTTAAGGCACGAAAATATGTACTCCAACAGCTCAATTAGTTGTAAAATCTTCACCTGTTGTTTTTTCTCTTCAACGTCCATCAATGAGTTGGCCATTTTGAAGCCCTTCACTTCGTTCAGCATGTCTTCCACGAGGCATTCCCGCAATCTGTTCTCATGTGCCTTGGATAGAAGTAGAGATGAGGGAATGAAGAAACTTGGAAGCTTTTCCTGCTTTATTGCTTGCAAAATGAGCTCCAAAACATCGATGACCATTTGAGATCGGAACTCCTTCTCCCAAGCATGGACACCTTTGGTGAACAACTGGGACAAGAGAACAGTCTTAAATAAGTACGACGGTAGCAAGGAGGTCCTCAATCCCAGCTTCTCAGACACGTCATCTCGTAAGACTTTTAAGACTTTGTAACATGCTTTAAAACCGTTAGGGGAAGTGGCCAGAATTTCTTTCTCGGCCTTAGAAAACGAGATGCGCCACTCGTCAAACCCAGCAGGAACGACATGGAATCCAGTCTTCTGTAGAATTCCTTGAATTTTTGGCTGTACTTCGGGGCGTACATCAGTTATGGGCTGAACGGGAAGACTGGATATGGGCAGGTCGATAGTTGGCGTCAAGTCCACATTCACTTCCAAGTTGTCATAAGGTTTGACCCCTTTCCAATGAATAGTGAGGGTCGTCGATGGTCCATGCGTTTCGGAGTATGTGACACCAGCTGCATTTTCCTCGCCATTGTCACAAAGTATTCCACGATGAAGGAGCCCCAAACGTCCCTCCGACTCGTCCTGGGGAGCTCTGTAAATGCTCAATCCTTCATGAGTTTCCACATCAGAGATTGATTCCATGATAAGTTTTTTGAAGTGACGGGAAAGCAAGTGTGGGCTGAAGAAGCCCTTTTCATCTCTGAATTCTTTCCACTGATCTTCCTTAAGAGATAACTGCACGTAGCCGTCATCCTTCGCACAGGAGCTCTGCAAGATTGATGGTTTGTCTGTAAGAGGGGTTATCTTTACCATGAAGTCGAATTCATTCGGCTTGCAAACTTTCGTTCCTTCGTAAACACTTCCGCTTTTGACCAATGTACTCTGAAATCGGCTGTCGTGCTTTTCCATTTGGGTTACAATGCTGTCTACAAGTATTTCGAGTCTCTCTCGAATCAGTTCGGCTTCGCTTTCGTTTTTAAACCTAGCTTTTTCTTCTAATCGCTCCACAATGTACGACATGATGGCGAAAAACTCGCTAACCCTAAGCAAGAACTTTGCGTTTATGTATCACCGAATATGAAATATTGAATATTTTACCTTTCTTATATGGGCTTTTGAAGGCGTTACGTTGTTTCCGGTGCCTATTGTCTTACGCAAAATCAAGGAAGTCAAACTAATGCAACTCAAACATGCGCTGTCTCTTGGAACATAAGTGTTCCTTTCTTTCTCGGAAATATCAAATATTGAATATTTTACCTTTCTAATATGGGCTTTTAGAGGCGTTACGTTGTTTCCGGTGCCTATTGTCTTAGGCAAAATGGAGGAAGTCAAACTAATGCAACTCAAACATGCGCTGTCTCTTGGAACATAAGTGTTCCTTTCTTTCTCGGAATAATTACAAACAATTTAACAAGCGGAAATTGTCCTTCAATAGTGAAACTGGAAAATAACGTGGACACATTGAGCTTTTTCTCATAATTCAACCCACCAAAATTGTTTATCGAACGCCTCCAAGGAGATAATAAATATATTAGTTTGAGGGTTTACTATTCAAAACTTTAATTTGTTAAGCTTACAAATGAAACCAGTCTAATTAAACTCAGATTTGTAGTAAAAAACAAAATAAAACAAACAACTTAAAGGAAAAAGTGCTTTAGGTTGTACAAAAATAATATGAGACGAAATGCAAAAGCTATCCTCATAATAGTTATTTAACCCTGAAAATGTCAGTTGAGAATGCACCCCGTGCGTTCATAATCCAACGATTCATATTTCTCTCAGCAGCTATGCGAGCTGAGAGACAAAATCTTTGTTGACCTTACTTTTATTTTTGAAAACTTTTATAGATCACGATAACCCACAAAATTAAAGGTTGATTGTCCAAAAGCTCAATGTGTCCACGTTATTTTCCTGTTTCACTATTGAAGGACAATTTTCACTTGTTAAATTGTTTGTAATTATTCCGAGAAAGAAAGGAACACTTATGTTCCAAGAGACAGCGCATGTTTGAGTTGCATTAGTTTGACTTCCGTGATTTTGGGTAAGACAATAGGCACCGGAAACAATGTGACGCCTTGAAAAGCCCATATTAGAAAGTCAAAATATTCAATATTTGATATTCAGTGATACATAAACGCAAAGTTCTTGCTTAAGGTTAGCGAGTTTTTTGCCATCATGTTTCACCATTGAAGGACAATTTCCGCTTGTTAAATTGTTTGTAATTATTCCGAGAAAGAAATGAACACTTATGTTCCAAGAGACAGCGCATGCTTGAGTTGCATTAGTTTGACTTCCACAGAAGATAAAGAGATTCGAGGCCGAGCAGCCACACCTGTCTAAAGAGGAAGTTGGAGAAGTAAGAGCCTGTGAACTTGTTAGCGACTGCCTTTTTGTCCACGTCGTTCAAAAGTACATGGATAACGACAATACGACTTTGTCAAGTACACACAAAATACTTCCTCTTGAATTCTGTCTGCCAGATGACAGTCCTCTTCAAGTAATTGCAGACATGGAAAAAGGCAGCAAAGAGGCACTGGCTATTTTCGAGAAAGTTCTCAACGAGTATTTATCAGGGATTCCCGAAGAGTCTATAATAAAGGCCATTGTTTATTTTATCAAGGAAACGTTTTTGCATTCAAAGGAAGCGCTGAAACTTGTACTTGATCACATCACTATTCCAGAGAAAAAGCCTATCTCCTGTGCAGAGCTAGATTTGGACTAAGCTGTAGAAATTAAAATATCTCTTTCCTCGGCAAGGTAGTCCTAAGGTAAATCTGAGTGTTCTGATTGGTTCTCACTTGGTCGGTAAGTTGGCATACGGGGCCGTTTCCACGGAAACGTTCATAAGCCGTGTACTGTCAGAAAACCAAAACTGCGGTTAGTCGGCCTACTACACTCTATAATTTTTTCACTCTATAATTTTTTAATCGTGATTGATTGGGGGAGCCGAAAACGCCCAAAAAATAAGTAAAAAAAAAATATCAAAAGCGTTATCCTTAATTACCGCCCAAATACTCGCAAACAATTTTAAATGCTTTGTCTCACTACATCTGACATCAAGTTATTGTCGCTAGACTATACATACGCAAGTATTTTTTCCTCCCAGCGTTAGGATGTAAATAGCCCAAAATTGACATTTTCTGTGCAATTTTATGTACAATATTGGATAATGATTCTACTGACAAATAAAATGCAGTTAGCTACCATAAAGGAAACGCTAAGATAGATGTTTGGAAAGTTGATGGTATTAATAGTGAGACCCCACAGAAATGCTGAACTGAGATTGAGGAGAAGTCTATTACTCAAATAGATGTACAGTAATAAATTTGGAAAGCTGAGGGAAGCACAATTGATTGATTGATTGATTAACTGACAGACTGATTGACTGTTTGATTGATTGATTGATTGATGACTAATTGTTGACTGACTGACTCAGGCTGAGTGAGTGACTTACTGACCAACTGATTGATTGATTATTCAATTAAAGCATTATTTGTGTAAGAAAGTGAAAGAAGCCGTTGATTTTCACTGCAGTCATATAACTAGTAAAGTGACTAACAAAATGAATCTGTGGATAAATATTTTTGCTAAAATTTATTCTCTAACTTACTACAAATTTGTGAGCTAAAAAGTTCATGAGGTGTCAGTTGAGTCTCAATTTCTAGAGAACCACTCACACCCCAACATTAATATTCAATCATATTCTCCACACTGGTTCTTTCTACATTTCCTATGTTGGCTACTGTCAAGGAGAATTTATTTTGACAATCAAGTGCAACTTAAATTGGTGATCATATCCTCATTATTTTGACCTTTATATTTGATTCAGGGGTGTTATTGCAGGGAGAAATTATGTGTAAATTAATTTGAAGCTTCAGTATCTCCCCAACCCCTGGACATTTGAACTTTTGAAGATTGCTTTTTCCAAATATCTGTCTCCTGGGGCTTAAATTGTGTTTAAATGCCCACGTGTTGGATTTGATGGTCAATTTAATTTTTAAAGGCATGATCAGACCTTGTAGACCTTTTTTATCTGGGCTATTCACATGCAGAACTGAAATCTTTATCTATAAACACTTCCATATAACTTAATAAAACAAGTTCATTCAGCTGAAAATATTTGACACCTCCAGCAGGGTTAAATTCTCCATCCCCCTTGCACAAGGGACAGTCAAATGTTTGTGGGTTGCCCAGTTAGGTGGGGGGGGAGGGGGGGATGTCAAAGCTTCAAATTAATTGACACATTAGAAGCCAGTCACCCATAGGGGTGAAAGGTTAATCAGACTTCTTTTCATCTCTTGGAGTGTGTTCAGAGACTCCAACTTGAAGGAAGTCACTCAAAACAAGAAGAGCTGTAAATTGTAATATCCTGTAACAACATTAAAAAAAAAACATCAAATTAATATCATGAGATGGCTCTTACAGCGAATGCCTCACAATGCATACATAAAAGTGTTGAAGAAAGAAAGAAAATTTCAGGAAGGAAACAATTGAAAATATGAAAACAAACAAAAGACAGAAAAGGAAGAATCTAATGGAAGTATACTTTGTCTAACTTTTTACTGTTTCTCATTCTGACATGAGCACGACTGAAAACAGTACAGTCCCTGAATTATAAGAATAAAAAATGACCATCTTTCACAATTGAGATTGAAACTGCTAAGTTGGGGCCTTTTGGCAAGAATATATATTGAATCTAGGTGGGCCTGTTGGATATCAAAAATCTGGCACCCATCCAAGAGCAGTTAGGAATGTCCCCTGGGACTTCCAACCTCAAACTATGCAAGTTGTTCCTTTCAGAAATAATCAATAAACATACAGCTTATCATACAACAGTTGAGATCTATAGACACAGGGATGTGGTTAGCTGCTCTGTGGGACCAGATGTTGTTAAGATTTGTGGAGTGACACATCCCAGCTAGAGAGCCTAAGGATGATGGCAGCATATGATGACTTACCCAGTCAAAAAGAAGTTCACAGCTAGAGCACGGGCAATTAAGAGAATTTCCTCATCTCTAAGAGTGGCTGCCACAACCTCCTTGGCCACATAGTCTGGCTGGAGGACTGGGTATAGTGATGGAAAACTACAGAAAAAACAAACAAATAATTACCAGAGCAGACTGATAAACAAATGGCTCAGGCCATTTAAATTTTTCCAATGGCATTCGAGCCAGAAAATTTTCCAGTCTCTGAAAAACTAAGGAATGCCTGTAGAGACCGGTTGACTGGCTTACCGAGCCTTTGGATACCACACTAGTCCAGTGTTACTGTGTAGGGTTGAACACAAGTCTCTTTAATGCCAGTTTTTCCCATTTCACACAGCTCCAAGCACTATGAAATCAAAACTTATGAAAATCTTGTGAAATCCCTTGCAAGAATGCAGTATACTTTAAGTATACTTTTAGTATACTTAGTCTGTACTTCCCAAAAGAAAGTACAGTTGAAGTATACTTCATTTATACTTAAAGAAGAAAAGTATTAATGAAGTACATTTTGTTAATGTACTTTATTTATACTTAAAATGTAAAAGTATACTTCAAGTATACCTCTTCTTTATTTTAACATAGCTGGTGAGTGACTGTCTAAAGTAAAGTATACTTTAAGTATACTTGTTTGTACGTGTAAAATAAAGAAATAACTAAGTATTAAACAATAAGCAGGAATTGCATTGAATGATTGATACCAGTGGCACATAAGTGGAATAATAAGGAAGTATGAAGAATTCCCCTTCTTGCGTAGATCCTTCAAACAGCATCTGTTCTTACACAATTTATCCTCTGGTATAGACAATCCCTGATATTCCATACAAAAAGTACAATAGTAGTGAAACTGGATGGGATTCTTTAATTTCATGAAGAACTTCTTAAGAAGGGCCACTGAAGAAGCACATTGATTTGGCAACGCACAATGAAGGCTAATGAGCGTTAATAGACCAACAAGCGCAAGTCCGGTTAAACTATGTCGAACAACGTATGTAACGATAAGTAACATGCTGACTGCCATACTGATTGGTGCTCCATCGTACAAGGGAACATCTTCAAACTGCCTCTCTTCCTGATCCGCGTTTACTCCACCAGCACTTTCGTCAGGGTCGAAAGCATCCAAGTATTCTTCAACGTCCTCTTGATCATCTTCAACAGCATCTATCGTGGCTTGTTCAGACTCAGTGACCTTGGGAGTTTTTCCAACGTCACTTTCTACGAGGGTGAACTTATCACTTGGAGTCTCAAAAGATTGGTCGTTGTCATCGCCACACGGGCATGGGAATTCATCGAGTTCCTCGCATTGAACCAAAGAGCTTTTAGACGTAATACCACTCTGATGTAACAAACTGTGTGATAATCCAAAAGAACTAGTCTCCGTGTATTCGGTATTAGTGGAAGAGCCGCTACAGGCAGTGCCTGATCTCAGTTGCCCTGATCTTGTCTGTGAACTTGTGCTACAAAGATCACCCGCCGAAATAGAAGCAATCGCGGTGCTCTTATCTGGCCACTTCTTTAAAGTCGTTCGTGGTATCTTTGCTCCTGGCTGAGAAAGATACTAGTTGTAAGGCCCGCGTGGTTTACGTTTCTTTTTACAAGCAGCTGAAGGCGTAAAATGAGTGGAAATGCTCTCGTTTGAGTCACTTTTATCGTTATCCAACTCATCCATGTTTACATTTATTTAATAGACTGCTGCTGACATACAGTACTGTGGGATCACATACGGGATGCCACGTGATACCTTATATGGTCGAATACGGGACATCTTACATTCATATATGGTTATACGGTTTTGGCGGGCAAAACGAAGGAGTCGTTAGGCGAGTTGTTGAGAAAGAGTTCAGGGAAAGAGGTTGTAATTTATTCAGATCATTTGCGTGAACATTTTATGCCTGAAGTATTCCTTTTGTCTCCCAGTACAATATGAGCAACAAAAGAAAAACAGCACCTTCAGTGAAGTATGGCGAAATGAGTAAGTTCTACTGCTACAGTTGTATACACAAGTCGTTTTTTTTTATTATAATCTCTACGCGCCAAAACACGAAGCTAAATCAATAAGCCTAGCTTACTAGGTAGTTGTTTTCATTTACCGTAAAGCTTAGAAAGGTTTAAAACATCGCTTAAAGATGTTAATATTATATCTTACTGACCTTCATTTGTAGATTATGTTCTTGTTCAATTCCTTGAGGATAACATTAAAAGTATTGTGACCGAAAACCAAGTGATAAAGGAGGACACTGGTTTAGTTTGTTTGTTGGTGTTTGCGACAGCATTATTCGCATTGCCATGAGGAACAAGATCACTTGTCTTGAAACAAATGCCAAGAAGAAAAGGGCAGTGAGTTCATCTTAACTGGCCAATCCAAGTTCAAATGGACACTATAGGGACATGTTAGTTAGCATTTAGCAGTTAGAGGTTAGGGGCTAGCTTTACACCTGATGAGAGCTAGGTCAATTACTGTGTTAGTAAATGTTAGCTTTTTAGGTCATACATATTCCTTTTTTTAAGCTTTTTAGCAGATGCCAAAAATTAAAGCCCATCAAATAAAGACAGTAAGTTAGCATATAGCAGTAAGCAGTTAGAAGTCAGCTTTTTGGGGTCAGTGCTGTAGGCTAGTAAAGGTAAGTTCTTTATTACATTATTACATAATATTGTGAGAATATAATTTTTTCTGATTTAAAAAAAATAAGTAATCAGTTTATTAATAATGAACAGTGTTTTGAATACTGTTGACTTAACTCAGGATTTTAATCGATTGATCACTTGCGACTTTCTTGCTAGAAATTACATTAATTTTATGAATTATATCATAGATCAAAGAGATTGTCATTATATCATGTATATTATTTAAGGTCATCAATAAGTTTGTATTGCAATACTTATGCCATTGTGGATTTTATTCTTGGTTTTTCAATAAACCTGTGATACATACACCTGTCAGTTGTTGTTGTTAATAGATTGACTAAAATAGTCCCTGGAAGAGGTACATGTAACCAATAAATAATACTTCATGTTTGCAACATGGCTAAAGATTTTTTACATTATTTCATGGTCAAAAAGCTGTAAGTATAATTATGCATCAGTATCCCATATTCAGCATTTTTAGTCAGCTCGTGCATTTAAATAAGAGTGCACAAAGTATACTTAGAGTATACACAAAGTATACTTGAAGTATACTTCACATAAAGAATACTTGAAGTATACTTCACATAAAGTATGCTTGAAGTATACTTTTTAAGTGACCAAAAGTGTTGTACTTTAAGTATACTTCTCTAAGTATACTTAAAGTATGCTTTAAGTACAAATAAAGTATACTTTTCTAATTGTTTAAAAGTATACATAAAGTATACTGCATTCCTGCAAGGGCTAATTCATTGTAAACTCACAGATTTTTCACAGGATTTTCATGGTTAAATCAATGACATTTTCATGGTCTCAGTGCCATGAAAAAGACCTGAAAATTCCCATGAAAAACCTGTGAAAATTTTCATATTCATGACCCATGAAATATTGAGTAAAGCGACCTAGAAGCCATGAAATACCCATGAAAATGGCATTTCATGGCCTTTTCAAAGGTACTGAGAAACCCATGAATTTCATGCCCAAAAATTTCATGGTGTCAAAGTTCACTAGTTTTTAATGGGCCTATGAATATCCTGTGAATATGTAAAAAGTTGATTGACCATGAAAATTTTTCTTGAATTTTCATGGCCTCTCCATGGTTTTTTTATGGCACATGAAAGTTAATTGCCAGTTAGTTTTCATGGGGTTGTTGGGAATATACAAGCACCATGAAAATTCTTTGGAAACCCTATGAATTTGGAATTAAAAAGTCTTCACTTTTCTTGTACCAAAGACTGTACTCAGTGTATAGCTTGCAGTATACCATAACTGTAATACATACGCTATCACTTAAATTATACACTGAAGAACTAACCTCTCTGTGAAACTTCTTAGTCCTGTTGTACAAGCACACACACATGAAAGACACGACCAGAGGTCTGGATTCTCTGATGATTTATTTTGTTTCACCAGTTGTACATAAATATTATTTTAGGATTCCAAAATTGTGATAATTCAGTTTACACTTTCTTAAATTAAAAAAATTGGTATAAAATTTTCTGCAATAAAATTAAGATGTTAATGATTTTTAACTCTATTTTGATATCACTGATTTTCCTTGTGGAGACAGATTTTGCTCCTATATTTCTTCATATCTGTTTACTCTGATTTAAATGATTGTGGCTGTATATTAAAAATATTTCTGTATATTTAAACTATTTTGAAGGTATATTATAAATAAATTTGATGTGAAAAATTAGCTGGCTGCACATTCAATGTGCAGCCAGCTAATTTGCATAAGTAATTCGAGCCAAGGTTCGACGCCTCTTGGTGGCATGAGGTGTTCGCTAAACATTCCAGGACATCCGATAATCGCTTCAATAAATGTAATTATGCTCCCCTCGAATGAAATGGAAAAAACCGCAACTTCCGATGATTACATTTCTAATATTTTTCAAGATACAACTCTACCTTGTTCACTCATTTTCCAGAAACAAGATTCCAGAGAATTGTCTCATACAAACTTAACGGGTCTAATTCGAAAAAACTTAAGGGGCGGTACGCTAAGCTTATTTTCTCTGTAGAGATAATACATGTCTTAAATAAGACAAACAGTAAATTGTTAACACAAGGTCCACAAGTATTCCTGATCAAATGTTACAGAAACATATAACAGGAAAAATTAAAAACACGTAAAGCGAAGAAACTAAAAATAGCCTAAAAAGCGGCACCGGTAAAGCTGATTTCACCTCCATGATCGAAGACCTAGGCCTATTAAAGGCTAACTCCGACACACCCTTCTTTATACAGGTCATGGTTTTTAACTTTTAAAGTCCAGAAACTGTGTTGATTAGATAATTCGGAGAATACACATCGTTTTCAACTGATGGTCTCCCCGTTAGGTCCACAAGCTTCGGCGCAATGTAATTATTCTTATAATGACCTTGTATGTGCGAAGGTTTCAGTTTGGAATGGCATTTTTAGCTTTTCCGAAGACATCAGTCTTGCCAAAATCGACTTTAACAGGGGAGAAGCTGGTCTAAAACATTGTTATTGCATTTTAGGTCATTGGGAACAAATTCACACGTATGAATATCGTCTTACACGACTGCCGAGTTAGGAGGGATAAGAAAAGGTTAAAAATAACCCTCAGGTATACACTACCCAAGAGGGTATGCAAGAGATTAAAAAAACCCTCAGGTATACACTACCCAAAAGGGTATAGAAGTGATTAAAAATAACCCTCAGGTATACGCTACCCAAGAGGGTATAGAAGAGATTGAAATAACCCTCAGGTATACACTACCCAAGAGGGTATAGGAGATATTAAGAATAACCCTCAGGTATACACTACCCAAGAAGGTATAGGAGAGATGAAAATAACCCTCAGGTATACACTACCCAAGAGGGTATGCAAGAGATTAAAAAAACCCTCAGGTATACATTACCCAAAAGGGTATAGAAGAGATTAAAAAAACCCTCAGGTATACATTACCCAAGAGGGTATGTATAAGATTGAAAATAATCCTCAGGTATACACTACCCAAGAGACTATGCAAGAGATTAAAAAAAACCCCAGATATACACTACCCAAGAGGGTATAGAAGTGATTAAAAATAACCCTCAGGTATACGCTACCCAAGAGGGTATAGAAGAGATTAAAATAAACCTCAGGTATACACTACCCAAGAGGGTATAGAAGATATTAAAAATTCATCCTCAGGTATACACTACTCAAGAGGGTATGCAAGAGATGAAAACAACCCTCAGGTATACACTACCCAAGAAGGTATGCAAGAGATTAAAGGTAATCCTCAGGTATACACTACCCAAGAGGGCACGAAAAATTGAATTCACACTATTTTATATCAGGAGACCGCTCTTTGTCTGACTCTTTCTTTTGACTGAAAGTTGAGGCATCCACCATTAACTTATTGAATTATGATCCTTTACTAGTTCCCGAATGCTCGCTCGGCTATTCTTGACTGACATTGCAATTTCTCATGATATTTCGACCGGAGGCATTTCCCGCCTAAAGTGTACGGTAGAGGGCGATTTGATTTACCGTATCAACAACATGATTATGTTTTGAGACCTCGCGAATCCATCTGCTGGATTTCTCCCAGTCTAATTAGTCTGGCACGGAGACCAATTGAAGATATAACATGCACACGAACAGCCTTTGTTGGCGCTCTTGAGACCTGCTGGCGGGACAGAACATATTGTATTCATCGCGGAATCGACGAAACAATTCGTTCTTTGCAAAATTTTTCGGCCTGATTTCACATTAACTTTTCGTTAGCACATACCAGTACTTTTTGGGGTCGAGATTGGATCCCGTAACTATAGAAAGCTCAGCCGATCGATCGAAGACTTCGGCCTCCATGATAAGATCGCGCCAAGTTATTTCAATGCCAGATTTCTTGTGTTTTCGTAATTGAAATTCGAGCACAGATGAAGTATTAATTATTAGGTGAACCTTTAACTTATAATCAACAGGTTTAAGTAACCGTGTAGACACCTACCGACCGCAAACGTTGATGTAATTCTCTACACTGATGACAGAAATATAGCGCCTCCGTAGAATGCATGTTGCGAATTTTTTGGGGGTCCAAAGCTCCTCATGTAAACTTCAAATATCATTTCCTTCGTCTAATATCATGTGTAAAATGTTATGGACAGTTATTATAATGTCTACTTGTGTAACAGCATTCATGTAAATTTCTTGATATGTTTTACACTTGTGATCAATACTCTCAAGGGACCTAACAACAAAACAATTACCAACTTTCTGCACTATTGCACATGTGAAGATTTATCTATGGCTGACTATGTCAGTGTCTCTCTGTTTTGGCCATCTGAATGTGCCATCCTTTTTTTGGTTATCATTACTATTTGCATCTTCATCATCATTTGGACCAAGATAGGCTGTTTTAGCAAGTTTGCATTTCCTTCCATCAGTTTTGTACACCAACACTCTTCACTGTTTGCAAAATAAAGGGAGCACATCATCAGTTATGTAAGAGCCTTTCTTATGTACGTAGTAAACCTAGAAATGGATAACAGATTCTTTTCAACATAATAGGTTCTTTTCAACATGAAGCGGTCAGATACTAAGCGACGCACTGTGGAAGTGAGGTGAGATATTTCGTATTCAGAATTTGACTGTATTTTTTATTCCTAAGAACGGTCGTAAGTATTTCCATACAAACTCTTGTAACATTTCGCCAGATGATCACAGAATAAAAATGTTCAAGTTAAATCAATAGTTAGCGCGCGTTCCGATGTTTACGCGTAATGAGATGACCAAGCTTGAACTTACCGAATCACTGCGTCTGTAATCTTACAAAATAAAGCAGCACAAAAAGCTGTTCGGTGTTTGGAATTCGAAGCAAGTAGCAATCGACAGGACATCAGAGTCCAAGAAAGTCAGAGCTGACATCGACAGTGATTCCTGTGAAAGCGATCACGAAATCAACAACGATGTTGTAGAAGGCGATGTCAATGAATACATGAAGGTAACGTTTCATCCCGACTGAGAAGATGGCTTGACTCTGTTAACCGGCGACTCTATGAACGAGGTAAAAATGGCATTTTTTCAGGTTACATTTGCATACTATTCAAAATTCCAAATTGAGGTGAGAAAGTGATTGATTTTTCATTGTTTTGTTCCACATTTCGTGTAGATGCAATGCGTACTATTGCTGTGCAACTTAAGCATCTGTACTATGCAGGTGCCTTACTGGAAAAGCCTAGAAGATTCTTCAGCCGTAATAATGTAAGAAAAGGCCTTGAACAGGTTTCCAGAGTCATGGCTAACAATCAAAGCCAGCTGTGAGGCAGAAAAAATTCAACAAAGTCGTCCAGGCAAGGCGAAGGCAAAAAGGCCCCAAAAAATCAAAGTGAGCCCAGAACTCTCTAAGTTCTCCCAGAATTTTATCTTCTTGAGTGTGTTATATGGAATTGGAACCAAACTCTCTCAACTTTTTTAAAGGAAAATGTACACTAAATGGAAGGAGAATATTTTAATAATCAGATGCATAGTCAACATGTGTTTTTGAATTTGATTTCAAGACTGTCACCAGCTCGCTTACATGGCATCTCTGCCTTAAATGTTATTTTGTATTAATCTTTTATATCCCAACATCAGTATGAACATTCTCCATACTGTTCTCCATTCATCTCTTGAGATGCTACCAAGGAGATTTTGTGGAACAATCAAAAGTTTTGTCCTTCAATCTTGAAACATTAATGTGTGATTCAGGGGTGATGTTGTAAGGAGAAATTAGATGCTAGTCACTCTCAGGGCTCCAAGAAACTTTTGTAAATTAATACTTATTTTTAAACACTGTAGACTGTGAGGGCATTCCTTCCAGATATGGTGGAGAAGAACAAGGGCCACATTGTCAACATAACCTCCATAGCAGGCAGCTTTGCTACAGCCAACTTGACTGACTACTGTGCATCAAAATTTGGTGCCACAGGTTTCACTCAATCATTAACCTTGGAGCTGCGTGAAATGGGAAAAACTGGCATTAAAGTGACTTGTGTTCAACCCTATACAGTAAACACTGGACTAGTGTGGTATCCAAAGGCTCGGTAAGCCAGTCATCTGGTCTCTACAGGCATTCCTTAGTTTTTCAGAGACTTGAAAATTTCCTGGCTCAAATGCTTTTGGAAAAATTGATATGGCTTGAGCCATTTGTTTATCAGTCTGCTCTGGTAATTATTTGTTGTGTCTGCATCCCTGTGTCTATAGATCTTAACTGTTGTATGATAAGCTGTATGTTTATTGATTATTTCTGAAAGGAACAACTTGTATAGTTTGAGGTTGGAAGTCCCAGGGGGACTTTCCAAACTGCTCTTGGAGGGATGCCAGATTTTTGATATCCAACAGGCCCACCTAGATTCAATATATGTTCTTGCCAAAAGGCCCCAGCTTGGCAGTTTGAATCTCAATTGTGAAAGATGGTCATTTTTTATTCTTATAATTCAGGGACTGTACTGTTTTCAGTCGTGCTCATGTCAGAATGAGAAACAGTAAAAAGTTAGACAAAGTATACTTCCATTAGTTTCTTCCTTTTCTGTCTTTTGTTTGTTTTCATATTTTCAATTGTTTCCTTCCCACAATTTTCTTTCTTTCTTCAACACTTTTATGTATGTATTGTCACGCATTCGCTGTAAGAGCTATCTCATGATATTGATTTGATGTTTTTTTAATGTTGTAACAGGATATTACCATTTAAAGCTATTCTTGTTTTGAGTGTCTTCCTTCAAGTTGGAGTCTCTGAACACACTCCAAGGGATGAAAAGAAGTCTGATTAACCTTTCACCCCTATAGGTGACTGGCTTCTAATGTGTCAATTAATTTGAAGCTTTGACATTCCCCCCTCCCCCCCACCTCACTGGGCAACCCACAAACATTTGACTGTCCCTCGTGCAAGGGGGATGGAGAATTCAACCCTGCTGGAAGTGTCAAATATTTTCAGCAGAGTGAACTTGTTTTATTAAGTTATATGGAAGTGTTTATAGATAAAGAGTTCAGTTGTGCATGTGAATAGCCCAGATAGAAAAGGTCTACAAGGTATGGTCAAGCCTTTAAAAATTAAATTGACCATCAAATCCAACACGTGGGCATTTAAACACAATTTCAGCCCCAGGAGACAGATATTTGTTCAAATGTCCAGGGGTTGGGGAGATAATGAAGCTTCAAATTAATTTACACATAATTTGTCCGTGCAATAACACCCCTGAATCAAATATAAAGGTCAAAAGAATGAGGATATGATCACCAATTTAAGTAGCACTTAATTGTCAAAATAAATTCTCCTTGACAGTAGCCAACATAGGAAATGTAGAAAGAACCAGTGTGGAGAATATGATTGAATATATGTTGGGGTGTAAGTGGTTCTCTAGAAATTGAGACTCAACTGACACCTCATGAACTTTTTAGCTCACAAATTTGTAGTAAGTTAGAGCTTAAATTTCAGCAAAAATATTTATCTACAGATTCATTTTGTCAAACACTTTACTAGTTATATGACTGCAGTGAAAATCAACTGCTTCTTTCACTTTCTTACACAAATAATACTTTAATCAAATAATCAATCAATCAGTTGGTCAGTAAGTCACTCACTCAGCCTGAATCAGTCAGTCCACAATTAGTCATCAATCAATCAATCAATCAAACAGTCAATCAGTCTGTCAGTTAATCAATCAATCAATCAATTGTGCGTGCCTCAGCTTTCCAAATTTATTACTGTACATCTATTTGAGTAATAGGCTTCTCCTCAATCTCAGTTCAGCATTTCTGTGGGGTCTCACTATTAATACCATCAAATTTCTAAACATCTATCTTAGCGTTTTCTTTAAGGAAGCCAACTGCAATGTTATTTGTCAGTAAAATCATTATTCAATATTGCATATAAAATTGCACATAAAATGTCAATTTTGGGCTATTTACATCCTAACGCTGGGAGGAAAAAATACTTGCGTATGTATAGTCTAGCGAAAATAACTTGACCTTAATACTCGATTCTGATTGGCTAGGTGCTATACTGTCTCTATATTACTACTTCTATCTTAGCGTTTTCTTTATCGTAACCAACTGCATTTTATTTGTCAGTAGAATCATTATTCAATATTGTACATAAAATTGCACATAAAATGTCAATTTTGGGCTATTTACATCCTAACGCTGGGAGGAAAAAATACTTGCGTATGTATAGTGTAGCGACAATAACTTGATGTCAGATTTAGTGAGACAAAGCATTTAAAATTGTTCGCGAATATTTGGGCGGAAATCAAGGATAACGCCTTTGATATTTTTTTTACTTATTTTCTGGGCGTTTTCGGCTCCCCCAATACAGTGTAGTGGTCCGACTAACAACAGTTTTGGTTTCCTGACAGTACACGGCTTATGAACGTTTCCGTGGAAACGGCCCCGTATGCCAACTTACCGACCAAGTAAGAACCAATCAGAACACTCAGATTTACCTCAGGACTACCTTTTCCCTTGCCGAGGAAAGAGATATTTTAGTTTCTACAGCTTAGTCCAAATCTAGCCCTGGAATAGTGATGTGATCAAGTTTAAGTTTCAGCGCTTCCTTTGAATGTAAAAACGTTTCCTTGATAAAATAAACAATGGCCATCATTATACAGATTTCGGGAATCCCTGATAAGTACTTGTTGAGAACTTTCTCGAAAATAGCCAGTGCCTCTTTGCTGCCTTTTTCCATGGCTATGTCTGCAATTTCTTGAAAAGGACTGTCATCTGGCAGACAGAATCCAAGAGGAAGTATTTTCTGTGTACTTGACAAAGTCGTATTGTCGTTTTCCATGTACTTTTCAACGACGTGGACAAAAAGCCAGTCGCTTACAAGTTCACAGGCTCTTAATTGTCGAACTTCCTCTTTAGACAGGTCTGGCTGCTCGGCCTCGAATCTCTTCATCTTCTCGGAGACGAGGAATTGGTATTTTTGAGCCAGTTGTCTTTCCTTAACTGGAAGTTCTTCACGAAAAAGCGGTACAAAGGCTTCCCAAATGTTCATTGTCTTCTTTAAATTCCTGTAGGCGGCTGGGCTAAGTTCTGTGACGGTTACGTCAATGATATCGATCCAACTGACGTCAAATTTTTCTGTAGCGGTGCGAGATCCAGGTACGCTGTCGATGTTGGCAAACATCATTTTCCAAACATTAGTTGGATTCTTTCCACCTTTAAGGCACGAAAATATGTACTCCAACAGCTCAATTAGTTGTAAAATCTTCACCTGTTGTTTTTTCTCTTCAACGTCCATCAATGAGTTGGCCATTTTGGAGCCCTTGACTTCGTTCAGCATGTCTTCCACGAGACATTCCCGCAATCTGTTCTCATGTGCCTTGGATAGAAGTAGAGATGAGGGAATGAAGAAACTTGGAAGCTTTTCCTGTTTTATTGCTTGCAAAACGAGCTCCAAAACATCGATGATCATTTGAGATCGGAACTCCTTCTCCCAGGCATGGACATCTTTGGTGAACAACTGGGACAAGAGAACAGTCTTAAATAAGTACGATGGTAACAAGGAGGTCCTCAATCCCAGATTCTCAGACACGTCATCTCGTAAGACTTTTAGGACTTTGTAACATGCTTTAAAACCGTCAGGGGAAGTGGCCAGAATTTCTTTCTCGGCCTTAGAAAACGAGATGCGCCACTCGTCAAACCCAGCAGGAACGACATGGAATCCAGTCTTCTGTAGAATTCCTTGAATTTTTGGCTGTACTTCGGGGCGTACATCAGTTATGGGCTGAACGGGAAGACTGGATATGGGCAGGTCGATAGCTGGCGTCAAGTCCACATTCACTTTCAAGTTGTCATAAGTTGTGCCCCCTTTCCAATGAATATCGAGGGTCGTCGATGGTCCATGCGTTTCGGAGTATGTGACACCAGATACATTTTCCTCGCCACTGTCACAAAGTATTCCACTATACTGGAGCCACAAACGTCCCTCCGACTCGTCCTGGGGAGCTCTGTCAATGCTCAATCCTTCCGGAGTTTCCACATCAGAGATTGATTCCATGATAAGTTTTTTGAAGTGACGGGAAAGCAAGTATGGGCTGAAGAAGCCCTTTTCATCTCTGAAGTCTTTCCACTGATCTTCCTCAAGAGATAACTGCACGTAGCCGCCATCCCTCGCACAGGAGCTCTGCAAGATTGATGGTTTGTCTGTAAGAGGGGTTATCTTTACCATGAAGTCGAATTCATTCGGCTCGCAAACTTTCGTTCCTTCGTAAACACTTCCGCTCTTGACCAATGTACTCTGAAATCGGCTGTCGTGCTTTTCCATTTGGGTTACAATGTTGTTTACAAGTATTTCGAGTCTCTCTCGAATCAGTTCGGCTTCGCTTTCGTTTATAAACCTAGCTTTTTCTTCAAATTGCTCCACAATGTACGACATGATGGCGAAAAACTCGCTAACCCTAAGCAAGAACTTTGCGTTTATGTATCACTGAATATCAAATATTGAATATTTTACCTTTCTTATATGGGCTTTTGAAGGCGTTACGTTGTTTCCGGTGCCTATTGTCTTACGCAAAATCACGGAAGTCAAACTAATGCAACTCAAACTTGCGCTGTCTCTTGGAACATAAGTGTTCCTTTCTTTCTCGGAATAATTACAAACAATTTAACAAGCGGAAATTGTCCTTCAATAGTGAAACAGGAAAATAACGTGGACACATTGAGCTTTTTCTCATAATTCAACCCACCAAAATTGTTTATCGAACGCCTCCAAGGAGGTAATAAATATATTAGTTTGAGGATTTACTATTCAAAACTTTAATTTGTTAAGCTTACAAATGAAACCAGTCTAATTAAACTCAGATTTGTAGTAAAAACCAAAATAAAACAAACAACTTAAAGGAAAAAGTGCTTTAGGTTGTACAAAAATAATTTGAGACGAAAAGCGAAAGCTATCCTCATAATAGTTATTTAACCCTGAAAATGTCAGTTGAGAATGCACCCCGTGACGTTCATAATCCAACGATTCATATTTCTCTCAGCAGTTATGCGAGCTGGGAGAGTTAATCTTTGTTTACCTTACTTTTATTTTTGAAAACTTTTATAGATCACGATAACCCACAAAATTAAAGGTTGATTGTCCAAAAGCTCAATGTGTCCACGTTATTTTCCTGTTTCACTATTGAAGGACAATTTCCACTTGTTAAATTGTTTGTAATTATTCCGAGAAAGAAAGGAACACTTATGTTCCAAGAGACAGCGCATGTTTGAGTTGCATTAGTTTGACTTCCGTGATTTTGCGTAAGACATTAGGCACCGGAAACAATGTGACGCCTTGAAAAGTCCATATTAGAAAGTCAAAATATTCAATATTTGATATTCAGAGATACATAAACGCAAAGTTCTTGCTTAAGGTTAGCGAGTTTTTTGCCATCATGTTTCACCAATGAAGGACAATTTCCGCTTGTTAAATTGTTTGTAATTATTCCGAGAAAGAAAGGAACACTTATGTTCCAAGAGAGAGCGCATGTTTGAGTTGCATTAGTTTGACTTCCTCGATTTTGCCTAAGACAATAGGCACCGGAAACAACGTAACGCCTTGAAAAGCCCATATTAGAAAGGTTAAATATTCAATATTTGATATTTCCGAGAAAGAAAGGAACACTTATGTTCCAAGAGACAGCACATGTTTGAGTTGCATTAGTTTGACTTCCACAGAAGATAAAGAGATTCCAGGCCGAGCAGCCACACCCGTTTAAAGAGGAAGTTCGAGAAGTAAGAGCCTGTGAACTTGTAAGCGACTGGCTTTTTGTCCACGTCGTTGAAAAGTACATGGATAACGACAATACGACTTTGTCAAGTACACACAAAATACTTCCTCTTGAATTCTGTCTGCCAGATGACAGTCCTCTTCAAGTAATTGCAGACATAGCCATGGAAAAGGCAGCAAAGAGGCACTGGCTATTTTCGAGAAAGTTCTCAACAAGTACTTATCAGGGATTCCCGAAGAGTCTATAATAAAGGCCATTGTTTATTTTATCAAGGAAACGTTTTTGCATTCAAAGGAAGCGCTGAAACTTGATCTTGATCACATCACTATTCCAGAGCAAAAGCCTATCTCCTGTACAGAGTCAGATTTGGACTAAGCTGTAGAAATTGAAATATCTCTTTCCTCGGCAAGGTAGTCCTGAGGTAAATCTGAGTGTTCTGATCGGTTCTCACTTGGTCGGTAAGTTGGCATACGGGGCCGTTTCCACGGAAACGTTCATAAGCCGTGTACTGTCAGAAAACCAAAATTGCGGCTAGTCGGCCTACTACACTCTATAATTTGCACAATTTTATAATTTTTTAATCGTGATTGATTGGGGGAGCCGAAAACTCCCAAAAAATAAGTAAAAAAAAATATCACATGCGTTATCCTTAATTACCGCCCAAATATTCGCGAACAAATTTAAATGCTTTGTCTCACTACATCTGACATCAAGTTATTGTCGCTAGACTAAACATACGCAAGTATTTTTTCCTCCCAGCGTTAGGATGTAAATAGCCCAAAATTGACATTTTATGTGCAATTTTATGTACAATATTGAATAATGATTCTACTGACAAATAAAATGCAGTTAGCTACCATAAAGGAAACGCTAAGATAGATGTTTGGAAAGTTGATGGTATTAATAGTGAGACCCCACAGAAATGCTGAACTGAGATTGAGGAGAAGCCTATTTCTCAAATAGATGTACAGTAATAAATTTGGAAAGCTGAGGCAAGCACAATTGATTGATTGATTGATTGATTGATTAACTGACAGACTGATTGACTGTTTGATTGATTGATTGATTGATGACTAATTGTGGACTGACTGACTCAGGCTAAGTGAGTGACTTACTGACCAACTGATTGATTGATTATTCAATTAGAGCATTATTTGTGTAAGAAAGTGAAAGAAGCAGTTGATTTTCACTGCAGTCATATAACTAGTAAAGTGTATAACAAAATGAATCTGTGGATAAATATTTTTGCTGAAGTTTAAGCTCTAGCTTACTACAAATTTGTGAGCTAAAAAGTTCATGAGGTGTCAGTTGAGTCTCAATTTCTAGAGAACCACTCACACCCCAACATTAATATTCAATCATATTCTCCACACTGGTTCTTTCTACATCTCATATGTTGGCTACTGTCAAGGAGAATTTATTTGACAATCAAGTGCTACTTAAATTGGTGATCATATCCTCATTCTTTTGGCCTTTATATTTGATTCAGAGGTGTTATTGCACGGAGAAATTATGTGAAAAGTAATTTGAAGCTTCAGTATCTCCCCAACCCCTGGACATTTGAACTTTTGAAGATTGCTTTTTCCAAATATCTGTCTCCTGGAGCTTAAATTGTGTTTAAATGCCCACGTGTTGGATTTGATGGTCAATTTAATTTTTAAAGGCATGATCATACCTTGTAGACCTTTTTTATCTGGGCTATTCACATGCACAGCTGAACTCTTTATCTATAAACACTTCCATATAACTTAATAAAACAAGTTCACTCTGCTGAAAATATTTGACACTTCCAGCAGGGTTGAATTCTCCATCCCCCTTGCATGTGGGACAGTCAAATGTTTGTGGGTTGCCCAGTGAGGTGGGGGGAGGGGGGGATGTCAAAGCTTCAAATTAATTGACACATTAGAAGCCAGTCATCCATAGGGGTGAAAGGTTAATCAGACTTCTTTTCATCTCTTGGAGTGTGTTCAGAGACTCCAACTTGAAGGAAGTCACTCAAAACAAGAAGAGCTTTAAATGGTAATATCCTGTAACAACATTGAAAAAAAACATCAAATCAATATCATGAGATGGCTCTTACAGCGAATGCTTGACAATACATACATAAAAGTGTTGAAGAAAGAATAAGAAAATTTCGGGAAGGAAACAATTAAAAATATGAAAACAAACAAAAGACAGAAAAGGATGAATCTAATAGAAGTATACTTTGTCTAAATTTTTACTGTTTCTCATTCTGACATGAGCACGACTGAAAACAGTACAGTCCCTGAATTAGAAGAATAAAAAATGACCATCACCATCTTTCACAATTGAGATTCAAACTGCCAAGTTGGGGCCTTTTGGCAAGAACATATATTGAGTCTAGGTGGGCCTGTTGGATATCAAAAATCTGGCATCCATCCAAGAGCAGTTAGGAATGTCTCCTGGGACTTCCAACCTCAAACTATACAAGTTGTTCCTTTCAGAAATAATCAATAAACATACAGCTTATCATACAACAGTTAAGATCTATAGACACAGGGATGCAGACACAGCTGGGGGTAGCTGCTCTGTGGGACCAGATGTTGTTAAGATTTGTGGAGTGACACATCCCAGCTAGAGAGCCTAAGGACGATGGCAGCATATGATGACTTACCCAGTCAAAAAGAAGTTCACAGCTAGAGCACGGGGAATTAAGAGAATTTCCTCTTCTCTAAGAGTGGCTGCCACAACCTCCTTGGCCACATAGTCTGGCTCGATCCAGGACTGGGTATAGTGATGGAAATCTACAGAACAAACAAACAAATAATTACCAGTGAGAGCAGACTGAGAAACAAATGGCTCAGGCCATATAAATTTTTCCAAAAGCATTTGAGCCAGGAAACTTTCCAGTCTCTGAAAAACTAAGGAATGCCTGTAGAGACCGGTTGACTGGCTTACCGAGCCTTTGGATACCACACTAGTCCAGTGTTTACTGTGTAGGGTTGAACACAAGTCACTTTAATGCCAGTTTTTCCCATTTCACACAGTTGCAAGGTTAATGATTGACTGAAACCTGTGGCACCAAATTTTGACGCACAGTAGTCAGTCAAGTTGGCTGTAGCAAAGCTGCCTGCTATGGAGGTTATGTTGACAACGTGGCCCTTGTTCTTCTCCACCATATCTGGAAGGAATGCCCTCACAGTGTACAGTGATAAAAATAAGTATGAATTTACAATAGTTTCTTGGAGCCCTGAGAGTGACAAACATCTAATTTCTCCTTACAACATCACCCCTGAATCACACATTAATGTTTCAAAATTGAAGGACAAAACTCTTGATTGTTCCACAAAATCTTCTTGGTAGCATCTCAAGAGATGTACAGTATTTAGATACAGCATCACCTTCATCAGTTGTGATCTCTTCGTCGGATTCATCTGATGGTGAAGAAGATGGATATCCTTTGTCCTCCATATAACAGTGGTGGAGGCTGAATCTGATAGTTTTTTGCAAGAAGACCTTGGAATTACCTCAGACCTAGTATCCAAAGCCATCAGGACTATTGACAATACAACAATGTAAGTCATAACCTAAAAAATTTTTCATCTTCACTTAACCTAAACTTCAAAGCATGTCACTTTAAGCATTTAGGCCATTTCGTCCATTGGAATAAAAAACGGCTTTGAAACAAATCAGGGTTTCAAACTTAACTTTACACTTTTGGATTTGACATGCGTAATATTTTTTATATAGTGGACGAACCAGAATGACTACGGCACTCAAATGATGGCGACTGAAGAACTTCAGTTTATCAGGACTGTCTTGGGCAGGCTTGAGTGCTCCTTTGCCAGGCAGGAGGCCAAGATGGATCGCATCCTAACCTTGCTGACATCTTCAACTTCTTTGCTGCAAACTCCCCTGTGTCCGTCCTTCACACCAGTTAACTCACATTTTACGACGCCATTGCCGACCGATTCTTCCGCTGAATTTCCACCGCCCCCTGTCACGCCTAGGCCGCAGGACGTGGAAGTTCGTTGTCCAGATCAGTCCTCTTCAATGTGCAGTCCTATGGAAGATGGTAAATAATATCGTTTATTTTACTTGTGTGAAGGAAAAATACCCAATAGAAATCCGTGAACTTGCCTGATCCTTCACACTCTTGCTGAGCACTAAATTAGTTTTAATGGATAAAACTATTTTGAGAGTGAAACTTACCTGTTTTATATGTTTTTTTTAAGGAACTGGTACAGTTGCAGTTGGAGGAAATGCTAATGTGCGGCTGACAAAATCTGACTACAATTTTGCGAAGGCTGCCTCCAAACCCACCGTCACGAGCCTTCGTCTAGTTGACCACCTCTTTACAAAAGACACCCTTACGAAGTCAACTGTTCAGGGTACCAAGGAATTTGCTCCCCTTGACCGAGACAAACTTGATGCAATTAAAAGTGAGTAGATGAATATTTATTGTTAAAAACTGAGCAGATATGGAATTTGTTTTCTTAAAATCGTAATGTATAATTTGGGGCTGACTTTATTCTGTTTGAAAGGAACTTCTAAATAACCTTTAGCGGATTGCAGTTATTTATTTATGTTGGTGGTTAGGAAGCCAGGATGAATAGCCGGTTTATTTGTCAACATTGATTAATCGCTGTTCATTTGCATTCTTTTCAGCTGAAGTGCTGACCGCCTTTTCTCATCAATGCCGGGGAATGGAAGACGTTCTACGGATGTGGGAACAGTGCAAAACAAGTATTGGAAAAAGATGTCAGAATTTACGAAAAAATAGAGCAATGTGACTAAACTAATTTTTGTTTCAGTCGTCGCCAATTGGTATTCAGTGTTTTGTTGTGAAGAATAAATATTTCCGAACAAACATGGTGTTGTGATATCTGGAAAGCATGCTGCAATCAGCGATATGGGTGATGTCTATTTGCGCACGGGATCGAAAACGAATAAACAAGGAACATTCTTCCCAATAGAAAACGTTTGAAAACACACTAAAGACATTCTCTGCTCCGTCTGGTTAAAAAGCGTTGTACTTAGGTTAATTTTAAAAACTATTGCAATCATTTGAGAGTTTATTTCCATGAAATACATGTCTCTTGGTCAGAATTGCTATTCATCCCGATTTACTTTCATTGTTGTAAACTGATCGAACTCTGAATTGGATATGATGGTTTAGACCTCTTTAAACGTCAGGAAACTGAAGTTGATGTGACGCTTGGGACAATTTTTCCGATTTACTTTCGTTGTCAAACACAAATCGAGCCCAGAATCGGGCGTGATGCTTTTCGATATTTTGACCTTTTGTCTACTGTGTTTAGCCTCAAATATGAAGTGTCTCCGTCCCAGTAACTGAAAAAGACTGGAAATACGTTTATATGTATATTTCGTGTTGCTTACACGAATGGTAAACAAACTTGATTACTCGCGAAAGTCTATTGTCAGTTCGAAGCGAAATTTCGAACACTAATGATCGAAGAGACACTTTCCGCCGCGAAGTTTCGCTTTGAGGCGAAAATTCAACGAAAAAGCGCCCTTTGTTCAAACGAAATGTCGCTTAAGAGGCCTCGAACTTTCGATCGAATTTTCGCTCGAACTTTCGACGAAAGATCGTTAGAACAAATAACGAAATTCGCCGAATTCCGTTTGTATTACTTTTGCACAATACTGTATGGAGAACAGTATGGAGAATGTTCATACTGATGTTGGGATGTAAAAGATTAATACAAAATAGCATTTAAGGCAGAGATGCCATGTCAGCGAGCTGGTGACAGTCTTGAAATCAAATTTAAAAACACATGTTGACTATGGATCTGATTATTAAAATATTCTCCTTCCATTTAGTGTACATTTTCCTTTAAAAAAGTTGAGAGAGTTTGGTTCCAATTCCATTTAACACATTCAAGATGATAAAATTCTGCGAGAACTTAGAGAGTTCAAACCTTACCCAGAAGTGTGCCAGCGTGTTAATTCTCATGGTTCTCTCAATCTCTACATCTTTTAGATTCAACAGTTTCTTTCCAGACAAGATTCCAGCATTTTCAGGGTTACATAACTACTATGAGGATAGCTTTTGCTTTTCGTCTCATATTATTTTTGTACAACCTAAAGCACTTTTTCCTTTAAGTTGTTTGTTTTATTTTGTTTTTTACTACAAATCTGAGTTTAATTAGACTGGTTTCATTTGTAAGCTTAACAAATTAAAGTTTTGAATAGTACATCTTCAAACCAATATATTACCTCCTTGGAGGCGTTCGATAAACAATTTTGGTGGGTTGAATTATGAGAAAAAGCTCAATGTGTCCACGTTATTTTCCTGTTTCACTATTGACAATTTCCACTTGTTAAATTGTATGTAATTATTCCGAGAAAGAAAGGAACACTTATGTTCCAAGAGACAGCGCATGTTTGAGTTGCATTAGTTTGACTTCCGTGATTTTGCGTAAGACAATAGGCACCGGAAATGACGTAACGCCTTGAAAAGCCCATATTAGAAACTTCAAATATTCAATATTTGATATTCAGTGATACATAAACGGAAAGTTCTTGCTTACGGTTAGCGAGTTTTTCGCCATCATGTCATACATTGTGGAGCGATTTGAAGAAAAAGCTAGGTTTATAAACGAAAGCGAAGCCGAACTGATTCGAGAGAAACTCGAAATACTTGTAAACAACATCGTAACCCAAATGGAAAAGCACGACAGCCGATTTCAGAGCACATTGGTCAAAAGCGGAAGTGTTTACGAAGGAACGAAAGTTTGCGAGCCGAATGAATTCGACTTCATGGTAAAGATAACCCCTCTTACAGACAAACCATCAATCTTGCAGAGCTCCTGTGCGAAGGATGACGGATACGTGCAGTTATCTCTTCAGGAAGATCAGTGGAAAGACTTCAGAGATGAAAAGGGCTTCTTCAGCCCATACTTGCTTTCCCGTCACTTCAAAAAACTTATCATGGAATCAATCTCTGATGTGGAAACTCCTGAAGGATTGAGCATCTACAGAGCTCCCCAGGATGAGTCGGAGGGACGTTTGTGGCTCCTTTATCGTGGAATACTTTGTGACAGTGGCGAGGAAAATGCATCTGGTGTCACATACTCCGAAACGCATGGACCATCGACGACCCTCGATATTCATTGGAAAGGGGGCACAACTTATTACAACTTGAAAGTGAATGTGGACTTGACGCCAACTATCGACCTGCCCATATCCAGTCTTCCCGTTCAGCCCATAACTGATGTACGCCCCGAAGTACAGCCAAAAATTCAAGGAATTCTACAGAAGACTGGATTCCATGTCGTTCCTGCTGGGTTTGACGAGTGGCGCATCTCGTTTTCTAAGGCCGAGAAAGAAATTCTGGCCACTTCCCCTGACGGTTTTAAAGCATGTTACAAAGTCCTAAAAGTCTTACGAGATGACGTGTCTATGAATCTGGGATTGAGGACCTCCTTGTTACCATCGTACTTATTTAAGACTGTTCTCTTGTCCCAGTTGTTCACCAAAGATGTCCATGCCTGGGAGAAGGAGTTCCGATCTCAAATGATCATCGATGTTTTGGAGCTCGTTTTGCAAGCAATAAAGCAGGAAAAGCTTCCAAGTTTCTTCATTCCCTCATCTCTACTTCTATCCAAGGCACATGAGAACAGATTGCGGGAATGTCTCGTGGAAGACATGCTGAACGAAGTCAAGGGCTCCAAAATGGCCAACTCACTGATGGACGTTGAAGAGAAAAAACAACAGGTGAAGATTTTACAACTAATTGAGCTGTTGGAGTACATATTTTCGTGCCTTAAAGTTGGAAAGAATCCAACTAATGTTTGGAAAATGATGTTTGCCAACATCGACAGCGTACCTGGATCTCGCACCGCTTCAGAAAAATTTGACGTCAGTTGGATCGATATCATTGACGTGACCGTCACAGAACTTCGCCCAGCCGCCTACAGGAATTTAAAGAAGATATGGAACATTTTGGAAGCCTTTGTACCGCTTTTGCTTGCCTCTCTTCAAGGTGAGGAAAAACAACTGGCTCAAAAATACCAATTCTCCATCTCAGAGAAGAAGAAGAAATTCGAGGCCGAGCAGCCACACCTGTCTAAAGAGGAAGTTCGACCGGTAGGAGTTTGTGAACTTGTAAGCGACTGGATTTTTGTCCACGTCGTTAAAAAATACATGGATAACGACAATACGACTTTGTCAAGTACACACAAAATACTTCCTCCTGAATACTGTCTGCCAGATGGCAGTCCTTTTCAAGCAATTGCAGACATAGCCTTGGACAAGGGCAGTAAAGAGGGACTGGCTATTTTCGAGAAAGTTCTCAACAAGTACTTATCAGGGATTCCCGAAATCTTTATAATGATGGCCACTGTTTATTTTATAAAGGAAACGATTTTACATTCAAAGGAAGCGCTGAAACGTAAACTTGATCACATCACTATTCCAGAGCAAAAGCCTATCTCCTGTGCAGAGCTAGATTTGGACTAAGCTGTAGAAATTAAAATATCTCCTTGCTCGGCAAGGGAAAAGGTAGTCCTGAGGTAAATCTGAGTGTTCTGATTGGTTCTCACTTGGTCGGTAAGTTGGCATACGGGGCCGTTTCCACGGAAACGTTCATAAGCCGTGTACTGTCAGAAAACCAAACCTGCGGTTAGTCGGCCTACTACACTCTATAATTTGCACAATTTTATAATTTTTTAATCGTGATTGAGTGGGGGAGCCGAAAACGCCCAAAAAATGTAAAAAAAAAAATATCAAAAGCGTTATCCATAATTACCGCCCAAATACTCATGAACAATTTTAAATGCTTTGTCTCACTACATCTGACATCAAGTTATTGTCGCTAGACTATACATACGCAAGTATTTTTTCCTACCAGCGTTAGGATGTAAATAGCCCAAAATTTACATTTTATGTGCAATTTTGTGTACAATATTGAATAATGATTCTACTGACAAATAAAATGCAGTTGGTTACCATAAAGAAAACGCTGAGATAGATGTTTGGAAAGTTGATGGTATTAATAGTGAGACCCCACAGAAATGCTGAACTGAGTTTGAGGAGAAGCCTATTACTCAAATAGATGTACAGTAATAAATTTGGAAAGCTGAGGCAAGCACAATTGATTGATTGATTGATTAACTGACAGACTGATTAACTGTTTGATTGATTGATTGATTGATTGACTGATTGATGACTAATTGTTAACTGACTGACTCAGGCTGAGTGAGTGACTTACTGACCAACTGATTGATTGATTATTTGATTAAAGTACTATTTGTGTAAGAAAGTGAAAGAAGCAGTTGATTTTCACTGCAGTCATATAACTAGTTAAGTGTTTAACAAAATGAATCTGTGGATAAATATTTTTGCTGAGGTTTAAGCTCTAACTTACTACAAATTTGTGAGCTAAAAAGTTCATGAGGTGTCAGTTGAGTCTCAATTTCTAGAGAACCACTCACACCCCAACATTAATATTCAATCATATTCTCCACACTGGTTCTTTCTACATTTCCTATGTTGGCTACTGTCAAGGAGAATTTATTTTGACAATCAAGTGCAACTTAAATTGGTGATCATATCCTCATTATTTTGACCTTTATATTTGATTCAGGGGTGTTATTGCATGGACAGACTATGTGTAAATTAATTTGAAGCTTCAGTATCTCCCCAACCCCTGGACATTTGAACTTTTGAAGATTGCTTTTTCCAAATATCTGTCTCCTGGGGCTTAAATTGTGTTTAAATGCCCACGTGTTGGATTTGATGGTCAATTGAATTTTTAAAGGCATGATCATACCTTGTAGACCTTTTTTATCTGGGCTATTCACATGCACAACTGAACTCTTTATCTATAAACACTTCCATATAACTTAATAAAACAAGTTCATTCTGCTGAAAATATTTGACACTTCCAGCAAGGTTGAATTCTCCATCCCCTTGGCACAAGGGACAGTCAAATGTTTGTGGGTTGCCCAGTGAGGTGGGGGGGGGATGTCAAAGCTTTAAATTAATTGACACATTAGAAGCCAGTCACCCATAGGGGTGAAAGGTTAATCAGACTTCTTTTCATCTCTTGGAGTGTGTTCAGAGACTCCAACTTGAAGGAAGTCACTCAAAACAAGAAGAGCTTTAAATGGTAATATCCTGTAACAACATTAAAAAAAAAACATCAAATCAATATCATGAGATGGCTCTTACAGGGAATGCGTGACAATACATACATAAAAGTGTTGAAGAAAGAAAGAAAATTTCGGGAAGGAAACAATTGAAAATATGAAAACAAACAAAAGACAGAAAAGGAAGAATCTAATGGAAGCATACTTTGTCTAAATTTTTACTGTTTCTCATTCTGACATGAGCACGACTGAAAACAGTACAGTCCCTGAATTATAAGAATAAAAAATGACCATCACCATCTTTCACAATTGAGATTCAAACTGCCAAGTTGGGGCCTTTTGGCAAGAACATATATTGAGTCTAGGTGGGCCTGTTGGATATCAAAAATCTGGCATCCATCCAAGAGCAGTTAGGAATGTCCCCTGGGACTTCCAACCTCAAACTATACAAGTTGTTCCTTTCAGAAATAGTCAATAAACATACAGCTTATCACACAGCAGTTAAGATCTATAGACACAGGGATGCAGACACAGCTGGGGGTAGCTGCTCTGTAGGACCAGATGTTGTTAAGATTTGTGGAGTGGCACATCCCAGCTAGAGAGCCTAAGGATGATGGCAGCATATGATGACTTACCCAGTCAAAAAGAAGTTCACAGCTAGAGCACGGGGAATTAAGAGAATTTCCTCATCTCTAAGAGTGGCTGCCACAACCTCCTTGGCCACATAGTCTGGCTCCAGGACTGGGTATAGTGATGGAAAACTACAGAAAAAACAAACAAATAATTACCAGAGCAGACTGATAAACAAATGGCTCAGGCCATTTAAATTTTTCCAATGGCATTTGAGCCAGAAAATTTTCCAGTCTCTGAAAAACTAAGGAATGCCTGTAGAGACCGGTTGACTGGCTTACCGAGCCTTCGGATACCACACTAGTCCAGTGTTTACTGTATAGGGTTGAACACAAGTCACTTTAATGCCAGTTTTTCCCATGTCACGCAGCTCCAAGGTTAATGATTGACTGAAACCTGTGGCACCAAATTTTGATGCACAGTAGTCAGTTAAGTTGGCTGTAGCAAAGCTGCCTGCTATGGAGGTTATGTTGACAATGTGGCCCTTGTTCTTCTCCATCATATCTGGAAGGAATGCCCTCACAGTCTACAGTGATAAAAATAAGTATTAATTTACAATTAGTTTCTTGGAGCCCTGAGAGTGACTAGCATCTAATTTCTCCTTACAACATCACCCCTGAATCACACATTAATGTTTCAAGATTGAAGGAAAAAACTCTTGATTGTTCCACAAAATCTCCTTGGTAGAATCTCAAAAGATGTATGGAGAACAGTATGGAGAATGTTCATACTGATGTTGGGATGTAAAAGGTTAATACAAAATAACATTTAAGGCAGAGATGCCATGTAAGCGAGCTGGTGACAGTCTTGAAATCAAATTTGAAAACACATGTTGACTATGGATCTGATTATTAAAATATTCTCCTTCCATTTAGTGTACATTTTCCTTTAAAAAAGTTGAGAGAGTTTGGTTCCAATTCCATATAACACACTCAAGATGATAAAATTCTGGGAGAACTTAGAGAGTTCAAACCTTACCCAGAAGTGTGCCAGAGTGTTAATTCTCATGGTTCTCTCAATCTCTACATCTTTTAGATTCAACAGTTTCTTTCCAGACAAGATTCCAGCATTGTTTACCAATATGTCCACTTCACCAACTTCACGCTGCACCTTTGCAGCAACACGATAGACATCCTCTCTGTTGCTGCAGTCACAAATATAGGTGTGAGCCACCCTACCAAGGGCACGGACTTGAGCAGCAGTTTCTTCATTTGAATCTACACAAAAAGAATTGTTCAAATCACTGTCACCTAAAAGTTGGCAACCCTCTATGATGTGACCTTTTTACATTACACTGATCATCTTGAAGCCTACAAACCAGTTCACCCTTTAACTTCCAAGATCTCATTAGTAAATCTCCTTACTGTCTTCCATGAAAGTCTTGTGGTGTTACTTTGGAGAGTTTGGTATTGGATCAACTGATAATCCCCTAATTGATATTTTTCTTGTTTCTCATCACTTGTCTGCTTGATAATGAATTGATATTGTTAAGAGAAATTCTGTCTTGATCACTCATGGGGGTTAAAGGGTTAACAGCCATCTTTCTGGAGAGCAGAGATGCCTTTGTCTTCGGATCAAGGGGCCCAGGTTTGAATTATTCAGAGCATGCGGCCTGGCCAGGGGTGTTGTGTCATCTTCTTCTTCTTCCGTAACTTACCTTTGTTTATATCCCACAGGACAAGTTTTGCTCCATGAGCAGCAAACTGGAGAGAAAGTAGTCTACCAATCCCACCACCAGCACCTTAAATGAAAATTGGCAAAACAAAAGACATGTAAATATGCAGCATTTATTATCCAATGGCACAAAGTAAAGAACAAATAACACATGAATAGAGAACAGATATCCTGCAATATTGTATGGCTATTTGGACAGTTGGTTATTTTGTACTGTAAAAAAACCTGTTTAACCAGTCAGCAGTGCACACTATGTTTATCTATCTGCTTTGCTTTTCCCGCCCTATGAGAAATGAGTAGAAAGACTTAGCAGATAAACAAGTAGTTGGATAACAAATAACTCACTAGACATAGGGTGTGTAGTATTGCTGAGTATTTTTACTTGTTGTTTGTATTTTGACAAGCCCCTATGGGCTTATCAAAGTACAGCACACCTTGTAAAAATACTCAGCGATACTACATACCAAAACATTTGATATATGTATTTCAACAAGTAGAAGCAGGCCCCTATTTTCTTGAAAATCCCAGAAATATAATTGGTCCAAAGCTGAATTTTAAAACCTAATGCAATGCATGTCTTAGCTCTGTGCTGATATTTTATTGGTTTAATTTCCAAAGCATAAATATCTCAATAATGAATGTAAAGGGCAGCTTTCCAGGACCACTTGTTACAAGGACTATCGTGAAATTGAATACCACACCTTGGAAAATTTAATTACTTCTAAATCATTATCAGTGAGGTTTGAGTAGTGCTCAGTGGCTGAACGTTCAAAAGTAATTAAATCATAAATCTTGTTCATAAGATATAAGGCACCTATGAAATAAGAAGAAAACATTGAGCGCTTAAACTTCAACATCTCTAAAACAACGAAGAGGTTACAAACTTGATCCAGAGATTACCTTCTACCGAATACGCATGCATTGTCGAAAGTATATCGATAAAGGAGACATTTATCGTTTAAATATAAAACCGAACGGTTTGCGTTATAAAATGAACTGAGATCTGAAATTCTCCTCCTTCTTACCATCAAAGGAATGACGAGTTGTCGAACACTCTTAGCATTAATTTAATTGTATGGAAATCGCGCATAATTTTATATTTAATTATTCACTATTGTTGCAGGAGCAGTAAGCAAGAAATAACCTTCTGGAGGTCAGTGGATCAGTTTTTTGGCATACCGAGATTGAAAATATCTCAACTGCTCATGTAGAACATTGATAAAAACATGCAGAGTTGAAATGCACACATAATTTTGTCCTTACTGTTATAGTTAATCAATAAGCAAGAAAAAAAAAATCAACTTAAATTAATTCTGGAGGTCACTGGACTAGTATTCTAATGAGAGAAGATGGTATCTCAAATGCACGAGTAAAACATCTATAGCAAAAAAAAATATCCAAAGCTGTTTGCACACCAAATTTTGAGTAGGATCAATCCTTTCTATATCGTGAGCAACGCCTGTAGCAGCTTTAGCAATATGATTGAGACGTGCTGTGCCTCACCTGTGATCAACACCGTTTGGCCTTCGATGTTTTTCTTAGGTGGAGGAATAATTCGACGAAAAGCTGCTTCCAGCCAATAAAAAACAAGCTTAAAGTACACCACAAAGATCTCGAAAATCAGCCACATCGTCGCAGGGAATTAAATGGATGAAAAGTCTGCAGGCTGGGCGAGTGACGCTGCGGTCCAGAAACAAATCAACAGGGGTTATCACGTGATCTAATATTTGTGTCACGCAAAGTTGTAAAGTGAAAAAGAAGAGAAAGAATGGGAACGAGAGGACTGCCTGGGTGCCTGCCTTTGCCACACAGAATCGAATAAATTTTAATGTCACCTTATGCATACTTTTGCACGGATTTTACTCAATTGTTTAATTTTTATTTCTATGTTTGTCCTAGTTCTACGAATGCACTTTTCGGTTGCAGAACTCAAGAGAGAATGATCTAAGAGAAGCGATCTTATGCGATTAGCGCCAGGTCAAATGATAAGAAGAAACCAGGATAATTCAAGATGAATAAAATTTAACGGATTGTAATGAAGCAACGATAAGGGGCGCTAAACTTACCGGGTTGAGCTGGCTGTAATTGGCCCCGAGCTCTTGATACACATTCAAAGTCTATTTTAAAACAACTACTCGCCTCAGGCTTGGAACTGTCTTGGAGATTATCAGAATAATAGCCACGTCGTCCTCGACAAATAACTCTCAGACAAAGCAAGAATAGAAAGATGATTTTTTATTCTAAGTGTCATGATAAATATATATTTTTCACGATCAAGTAAGTAGGAGAATTCTCAAATTATAAATCAAATTCTTCTTCACTATAAGCAACATGAACTGATAGAGTCAAAAAAAAAAATTAGGTGTTTGTACAAGACTAAGAAAATGCTGTAAGTTAAAAGAAGTCTGCCACAAGAGATTAAGATTAAGACGTTGAAGGATTCAAATAGAAAATAAATTTGAATCTTTTCTATTTCAAAGTAAAGCATTCTCGTTCATAAGATTCATAAATTCATATGTCATGCTTTTTAATGAGCAAAAAGAAGAAATTTTGACCGTTCAGAGCTGGCTTCCGTGATGTAAATATTTATCGTAAAATTCCGTTATTCTTTAGGGCATGGCCTTTTCCAACGGGGCAGGCACACATGAACTATTTCGTTGTGTAAATCTAAGCCTTCTTGATCATTCAATTTAAAGGAGAAGTTTAATTCTGTCTACTCCAGAACACTCCAAATGGATGTCCATATGCGGTGAACGCATTGTAAGCTTCTCTGTTCTGCTGCATCCTGATCTGAGTATGCGCAATTTGACTGGCATGAAATTCTGGACTTTGAAACGGCGTCATATAGGTGTGTGTATACATGACGGGGTTGTTTTGTGGAATGTTCATGAATGCCGAATGCATGATTGTATTTCCGTTATAAGGTAAATTTGGAGCCAGAAAGTATCTGGGTGCCGCTCGAAAATTTTCATGATGTGGCACATAGTTAGGAGCACGACCAGTGCATTGCAGTTGAGCAGGAAATAGGCTCTCCGTCTGTTTGGAAGGATGGTTCTTTAACTGACTAGCAATGCGCACGCTTCTTAATTCAGCCGGGCCACAAGGGGCCATGGGCGGGTTTTTGGTGTCGGGCCTCACGGAAGTTGGAGCAAGGCGTTGTGACATCACATGAGTGTTTACACCGTACGCAGGTTGGTGTGTCTTTTTTATCGTCCCTAGGGATTGTAATACAGCAAAGATATCAAGAAGTTACCGTTATTATCTCATGTCTAAGGCAAGGAAAGATTTAACCTACCAATTGGTAGCTCCTGGCTAACGACGACTGTGGCGGCCGATATAACATTTTCTTGCTTTCCGGTTGAGTCTTCTTTTCTCGCGTCAAGACACAAAGTATCCTTCTCGACATCTTGACAGGTTGCATTTGCATCTGCCCCACAGGCCGGGGAGCACGGCAAGGACTGCGTTTCGTCTTCAACAGATTTAGTCATCCGCTCTTTCCTTTTAAAACAGTACATGCAGAATATTTACCATCACAAGTTTAAAATTATATTATATAATGTTATTTCACTTACGGGTCAGTGGATGAGGAACTGATTCTCGCGCATGTCAATGGAATAAAGTGCAGTTTCTGGAGGATTGGAACATGTGACCCTTAGATGCCAACAAAGCACTACTTTTATATGAGTTTAAAAACTGAGCAACAGGTTAGGAGAGAAGCAAATTTCTGATCACTCTTTGGGATCGAGTTCTTTGAAAGGAATCAAAGAGCTTACACGGATATTTTTGAGATCTAGACATCCTACGTTTGCAAATAACTTGTCGTTTGGATCATTTGTTTGTCAAAGCTAAATCTAGGAAAATACCAATCAAGCAAACAATACTTAATTAATAAGAAAAGTTTTCTAAATGATTAAGAAATATAATATATGATATACAAACCTTTCTTTTTCTTTAGTTTTCCTGTTTAAGCTGTACCGTTTGAGTGACTTAGATCGTTTTGAACTTTCCTCCAAATTCTTCAAGTTCATGATTCCCTCAATCAACGAATACGCTCTTTGCACGTCTTTAGCGAAATGAACTTCCTTTATTTAAAGTAGGGCGGAAAACTACTTATCAAACCTCGTTAAAGATTCACCGTCTACTACGCTCAGATGTCCCTGTACCCGAGTATAATTCACAGTTTGCTTCAGTTCGTTAACTACAGTTTTGTCTGTGTCGTTATGTTCTACAGCGCGCGCGCGTTCAAAGTGCGTTGTACGCCAGAATACACTTTGCGCTATTTGTAGTGACGTGGAATTGAAACACAGAGACAGCCTTTAACAGACTTATTGCTATTGTCACTGTAAATTCTGGAAAGCGTTTGGAAAAATGGTACCAACCTGCAAGATCTTAAAACGGTTGTGCGCTTATAAAGCCCTACACTAGATATTTCAAAGAGTTATACTGCCCTTTCCATATTTGGATGACGAGAAATCGAGAACGTTACAGAAACGATGTTCGAATGATAATGAAGGAGAAGACGGAAGAAGAAATCGTTGTATCTTCGGCATAAAGGAATTTATTTATCCATTTTGCTCCCCAGAAATCGACTTCGTCTGTTTATCCGAGTCATCATGACATGTGCAATTCCATCCCCACCCAGCCCCACTGAGTAATAAACTCTTACGCCATGTTGCGCAATACTACCCACAATTCTTCTTAAGCAACAATCCATCATGGAGTATGTGGACGAAATCCCTTCTTCCGAAAACCAAACCAGGTATTAAAAACACAGACGATTTGCCAAACTTAGCTTTACTTATACTTTGATCTAGTCTTTTAAAGGAAAAACTCGCTTAAAATATTTCCTTTGGTTACTATCTTCAGCCTTTGTTGTCAATGTGGTGTGCTTACTACTCCGAACCCATCCAACATGTGCGTTGGGTGCCTACGAACGCAAGTCGACATCACTGAGGGAATTCCCAAGCAAAGTAATTTATATTTCTGCAAAGCGTGTGAAAGGTAAGTTTTTCAGACTGATTTAATCTTGACCTCATATCGATGCTTAAAAATCGACGGAAACTCGTTTACTTCATAGATTTTGTCGCGTCATAACTATAAATTGTGTTATTGAAAAAAAATGTGCTGATAGCTACTAAAGAAGAACATGGGAACAGTGTTGACATTCGTAAAGTGACTATAAAAGATCTTCAATCGGGTGAATTGTACCTACAAGAGTTCAAATTTTTAAAATGTAATATGTCATTATCGTCATTATCATCATCATCATCATCATCATTATTATTATTATCATTTTCTTTATCAAAACTATAACAAGATTCTCGGACGTGTTTGATGTCACCAGCCCAAGTTGAGCACAAATAGGACAGTGTACATGTCATGCTTTTCATAGGACAGCGTAATGTGAAAGTTGACACATCACGCCTGTGTAACTGGACTGTAGGTGTCATGTACACATGCTGTTCTCATGCATTTTTCCCAGTTAACTGTTGTCTTTGTGTGAAAATTTATAAACAATGTCTAGTTTCTTTCACAAATTTTGTCATAGTTTTAATTAATTGGTAACAGGACTTTGCATCATCCAATTCTCTCTGTAATCTTACTTGTGATTCATAAATCAGCGATGATTATGGACCAAATTGGATTCCACTCAGTCCTATTAATGTTATTAATAATTAATGTTATTGGTAAAAATCAAGTTTTGGTGCCATGCCAGCTTGCTGATTCATACACCTTAACATTTCCATACTTACGGATCTCCTCTATTTTCTGTTTTTTCTTCAGATATCTTCAGCCGCCAAGCCAGTGGACAACATGTGCATTAGAATCAAGAGAACTTCTAGCACTGTGTTTGAAAAAGCTAAAAGGGTTGAATAAGGTGCAGTAAGGAATATAAATCCTCTCTCTTGACTGCCACACATTTTCTTGTATTTTAGATTGTAGAATTGGGTGTTAGATACTTACTAAACCCTTTAACTCCCATGAGTGACCAGGACAGAACTTCCCCTTACGATATCAATACAATATCAAGCAGACAAGTGTTGAGAATAAAGAAAAATATTAATTATAGGATTGTTAGTTGATCCAATACCAAATTCTCAAAACTAACATCACAAGAACTAAATGACACACAGTAAGGAGAATTACTAGTGAGATCTTGGGAGTTAAAGGGTCAGAGTTCTTACCAGAGATTTCCTTTATTTTCACTCATGTCCATTTTGTATTTGTGTTTGTATCATGATATAAGGAAAAAATTAGATTTTGGTCTGTTACAACCAAAAGGAGTTATTATATGTAACTCAGTTGGTAGGAAAAGCAAGATACTTACCATTTGAACTTACAGAGAAAATTTCAAAAATACATTCAGGAGACTAAGATTTTGATTCACCAGAAGAAAAGCATGCATCTTCTGAGGATTCTCTTGAAGCTTATTGTCTCAAACTTACTCACCACATTGCCAAAAAGTTAATAATTGTTCATTCATCCAAAGAGCTATCTGTCACCTTGTTATGAATTAGAACCCTCTATGTCATTAACTAATTAATAATACATCTTACTTCAGGTTCGCTTGGTTGATGCAGGGTTTGTTTGGACAGAGCCTCATTCTAAAAGAATCAAAGTGAAATTAACCATTCAGAAAGAGGTTTGTTTTTTATTGTGTTAGTGATAAAAATTTGAGTCATCATTCCCTAGAAACTTTGTCTTAAAGATTCAAAGTAATTGAGAAATTAAAATTAAAAAAACTTAGAATCAGACATCATGCCCTTTACTCATATTCATTGGGAGGAAAGAGTAAAACTGATTGGTAAAACCTCTTCCATTGCAGGTGGTAAATTCAACGATATTGCAGCAGGTGTTTGTGGTGGAATTTGTTGTGCAAAATCAGATGTGTGATGCATGTCATCGACAGGCTGCTCAGGATTACTGGAAGGCTGTTGTCCAAGTCAGACAGAAGGTACTGTGTGTTTATTAAAGTAATTGCATTTTTTTTAGTGTGGGAGAACTGGGAAATGAAATTTGGTCAAGTGTCAAAGTGTCATATTTTGGATCAAAAGGTCATGAGTCTTGGACAGGAATTCCTTTCAACTTAAATTCAAAATTAAGTTAATAGCATATTCACAATTTTGCCAGTGAGGATGGAGGAACTTAGTCTTGTGCATTTATCAGCTCATCACCATGGTAGCTTATCACAGTTTCTAGACCATGAAGGGACATGGAATGCCTCTTCATAAGTATCCTTTTAATAATATGAAAAGTTCTCTCTAATAGTTTGAACCTCTGAGAAGTTATGGTCATGTCCAAGAACACAATAGAAAATCCTTGATAATGCCTTGAATCCAGAACTTTTTATAAAGCCTCAGTTGTTTGTTGGGTGGATAACACTGGATAAATTGCCATCCGCTGGACAGTGCAGTACTTTTTCTTAACTCTTAGGGATTTATCCATAAGATGGTGTAATCTGCACTTTGATTAACTGAGCATGGGAGTCTTGAGGACTAACCAGTACTCAAATAAGTCTTTCTTCCTCTGCAAACCATTAGCCACCAAGATGTGCTTATGTTTTAGGCAGGTTGTAACTGCTAAATTAAATGAAAATGTTAACTGTAATCAAGAGTACAACAATGAAATATTGTTTTGATGTTTTTTCCAGACATCACACAAGAAGACATTCTTCTACCTTGAACAGTTAATTTTGAAACATGGAGCCCATCAGAACACTGTGAAGGTCAAGCAAGAGTCAGGTAAGAGAGACATTTATTTTAAAATTTAGTGAAATTCAGGTGACTTTTGTGGAAGGGGAGAGGTTCCACCGTGTCAGCCCTGCTTTTGTTGTTTGACAGTAATAACTGAACTTTGTTTTGTTACTATAATCATATGTAGACGGGGTGGACTTCTTCTATGCATCTAGAGCAGATGCTCGCAAGTTTGTTGAATTCTTGCAGTCTGTTGTTCCTTGCAGGTGAGGAGAAATTGAATTTAAACCCCTAACTCCAAAGGTCACAATTATGTAATTCTCCCCACTGTTTGCCTTAGATTTCTTATCATGCGGCTTCTGAGAATTTGATACCAGATCGAACAGTTTCCATCACCTGTGAGCTTGATTGTCATAGTTCACATCCTTTTGGTAACACGCATACATGCACATAAATTGAATGCAGCTGTTTTTTTTTTCCTGTTATGATTATTAAGTAAACCTTTAAAATTATTTTCAGGTACAAAACGTCTGAGAAGCTCATCTCCCATGATGTACACAACAATACATATAACTACAAGTACACTTTCTCTGTGGAAATTGTTCCTGTTTGCAGGGTTTGTAATAATACTAGTTTCAACATCTAGTTTTGTTTAGTCCAGTCCATTCCAAACACTACTCAAGCATTTCCAATGGCCAGGTTTATTTTGGTTTTTGCCATTGAAGGAGTTTTCAAGACAGTCCAATGCTTAATATTTCATGATTAATACATGAATCATACATGATAAAAGATTTCCAATTCCATGGAGTCTCAGATAAATGTTTTGTTCCCTGAAATATGAAATATAAGAACAATTAGGTAGATATTTCATGTCAGAGAAACCCTGAGCAAAAATTATGATTTAGTTTAACCAGAATCAAGGCAAATTTCACAGATTTTACAGTTAGGGTTTTCAGTAAGAAATAGAATAACACTGTGGAGGATAATTTAATTTAAAACTGCAAGTGAACATTCTCTACATTTTTAGAATTTATTGCTCAGGCTATGATGATTTAACCAGGGAATCAGTCTGCAAAGTAACCAAAAAACTATCTGATCTACCATGCCTAATGAACACCATGCTCAGTATTCAGTTTTAATTTTAATAATCAGCTGTGATCACAATGATGTTTTCCAGGAGGAAGTTGTTTGTTTGCCTTTGAAAGTTTCAAGATCTCTTGGTAACATCAGGTAAGAAAATGGAAAAATTTTATTAACCAGCTTGAGGTTGTATTGATGCATCTGCAATATTCCGAGGGATGCTTAGGGCAAGTTTTCCAAAGTACTTGGTCTTCAACCAAGGAAAAAATCATTAAACCCCAACACTGGCAGTCTTCGAAGTTGATGGCTCAATGTATTTTGCTCTCAAAAAGTTAAGTTTACATGTGCAATAATGAATTCTTTTATTTGAAATCAGAGAAGTAAATTTGTGATCTTAAAAGATTACAAAGGAAGAAAGTAAGTCCACTGCAAATTTTGAAAATACTGTTTGCCTCAGAGTAATGATGCCAGGAGAGGAGGAAAAACATTTCACTTTATGGCTCCAAAAAAATTTTTTTCAATTTCAGTCATTGCAGAGTGTGTGATATTATCAGTACTGAACTTGTTGTCATTGCTTTTTATTTTTCAGTCAAAATGTCATCTGTAACCGAGTCAGCACAAATTTACAGTTTATTGATCCAGCAACATTACAAAGTAAGTTTTCATATCAGAGCTGTAGTTTTCATGCTGTCATGTTCAAACAGATGCAATAACCAAATGGAAGGCAACAAGCCCAGTTACTGTGCCAAATGATATTGAAGAGGTGGGGTAAGGGAATGGGAAGGTGGAGGCAAATCAAGTCATAGAGGCTGATTGGTCCAAGTGCCACAGATCATGCCAGGGTTCTGCAGCATAGAGGGAACATTACTGATTCCACCCCTGTTGGGTGGGATGCTTTGTTGACCTAAGGGACCCCCCCTGTGCATTTTTATGCAATGATGTTATTCTTGATGGTTCACAAATACCAATGAATACCTGTAAATGGAGAGTGGTATTGTGAGAGTCGATTGTGTTGTGCTAGTTGTTACTTGATTTATTATGAAAGTGTTTTATTAAAACCCTTTAGCCTCTAAGAGTGTCTAGCATCTAAATTCTCCATACAATATCACCCCTGAATCACACACTAAGGTCATGAGAATAATGGAAATGATCAACAACTACAGAAGTAGATTGTTACACTGATTCTCCTTGTCAGCATCTGAGCAAATGTCTAGAGAACAGTATGGAGAATGTGCATACTGATGTTAGGGTGTAAACAGTTAAGAATGGAAGTGGAACCTAGGAGTGGAACCTGGACCCTTTCTGTGCTGAGTCCAGTGCTAAACTGTAGGCCTCTGCATCCTGAGAATGTGTAATAACTATCATAAAAACATGGTTCATTTCAAGATGAATAAAAACCAAGGAAAAGTTAAATTGAATGTATTCAAATGATTATTAAAGTCAATTACCATTTTCTATCTTTTGTTTTTCTATGTCATTTAGCTGCAGAAATCTCAGCATCGAACTACTGGCGTCTGCCTTTCAAAAGCCTTTGCACATATAAGCAATTTACTGAGTACATGGTTCTTCAGATTGAGCCAGTTGATTCAAAGAATTTATCTTCGTCAACAACCAACCTCAGTCAAAGGGTATCTGAAATTTCTGTATACATGAATAAGAACTTAGCTGTGTTCTCTAATATCCTCTTATTTAAGGCAAATATTCCCGAAATATGATTTGAGAGGGTTAAATTAAATCCCTTATCCACCAGTGAGTCTCTTTTACTGATTTTAAAGTAAAGTACCCCTACTCCTTGGGATTTTCCGCCATCGTGCTATTAAGGGGGTTTGTGAAAAGACTTTTGTTGGTCACTTTAAGTCAGACTTGGCTTTTGTAGGGTCAAAATATCTCAGATGTTTTATGGGTATATTTTTAGTCATAACCATGTATGTAATTGTGCTATCGAAAACGTTATTCTCCTCGGGTTTGACAAATACCTACCAAAAATATTATTTATTTTCACGTTGGCTTCACAGAGCGCTTCTCAATGATTATTAAGATGGTCTTTTTTTTTTTTTTTTTTTATTTTTTGTTTTTTTTTTTTTTTTTTTTGCTTTATCAGCATGTTTTGGCGGATGTATGGGTAGCGCGGATGCAGGACCTGGGTACGAATGATTGTCAGTATCACTGCCGCACTCATCTTGGCCATCTCCTGAAGACTGGGGATACTGTTTTGGGGTAAGACTAAACCCCATCCCCCCATCCCTCCTATCCTTTTGTTTTGTACCGACGTCACAGACTGGTCTTTGAGAATAACTAGTGGTTCATCTTTCAAGTGCGGCATGGAACCTCAAAGAAAGAGATATGGTATTTTCATACCAAATCGTGTCGTTGAATCGCAGATAATTAACTATGAAACATACTTTAATTATTTCACTCGTACTTTTGCTGTTATGTACACTTAACGAGGAGTATTTCACATGTACCATTGTTATGTACACTTTGAGAAAACCGTTTGAAAAGTGTGGTTTGTTCAAATGCTATAAACGCTTAGTTTTTTTTATATGTTTTTATGTTTGTTTTTGGATAGATTTGATTTCACAACAACAAATGTAAGCGATGAGAATCTTGCCAAGATGAACCCCGAACGAATTCCAGATGTGGTAAGAGGTCTCACTGTGTTTGTGATGAGTTAAGTTCAGTTTTCAGCCGTAAGTCACCGCCAAAAGAACAGCCGTGGGCTAGAAACCACTCAACCATGCAGTCTTAAAGAAGACTACTACATATTAATTTTGTAAGATAAAAAATCTGAAAGAGGCAATAGTAAGCAAAGAAAAGACAAGGATTGTTAACGATGGAGAAGATTGACGCGGATTGAAAATTATGAACTTGAGTCAAATTTTGAGCCCTACAAAAAAATCTTCAATTTTAAGGAAGACTTCAGAATTTCAATTGAGCAAGAAATAGAAATAAAAAAGAACCAAAGGGAATTAAAGAAAGAAAAGGGATGACTAAGGATGGAGAGGATTAAAACAGATTTCAATTGACTCACCAGAAGAACGTAGACTAAGTTTTTCAAGATGCAGAAACGTTAGCTTTACTCCTTTAATGAGATGTTTGTTGTCAAAACTTCCAGATTTTGGTGAAGAAATCCTACGGTGACAAGAAGAAGCGACGGCGGAGAAGAAACTGGAAATTAAAGGGTCTTGACAAAGAAATGGCAGGAATTGATCAAGACAGTTTGGATGGGTACTGTAATTGTTTTGATGGATTTATGAAGGACGTATTCGCTTTGCTCGGCGCATGGCCTGTCCTCGGCGTATGGCCTGTCCTCGGTGCATGGCCTGTCCTTGCCTTAATTTCATGTTTCTTTGTGTGTAAAAATGATTGGAAAGGTGTTTGTTGAATTGAAATGTTCTTTTAGTCATGGGAAAGGGAAAATGAGAAAGTATGAATGACCCATAAAATTATGAAAACATTAGCGAACATTCTGTTTTAAAAGGTATGCACATGCGCTGAGCAGCAGAACCGACCCTTTGTTCCAATGTCCTTATTCAACACTATAGCGAGGTGATTTGTTTGACACTATGACCGAATTTAATCTAAGCAATTTATCTGTGCAGAGATTACGATGCTTTCCTTGGTGATCTGGAGGAAGATAAGACCTACCGACAGCAGGTCAACATTTATGTCGGTAAGTGATTAACACCTAATTTATCTCTGCAAAAACATAGCGTCATGTTCTAACGTAATCCGGAATATTCCATAGTTTTTATTTTATTCCATTCTATGATTGGTCGAGAAAGCTCCCGCTTTCCTCTCAAACAATCACTTGTAAAACCCAACTTCAATTGGTCTGGCCGTCCATGCCTGTTTACAAAGAATCCTTGTGAAGTTCAGTTTTGTTCTGATCAGCAGTTGTAGTTACTTTGGTCTTTGTTTTACAACGCTTCGCGAAATGTGCTCTACACATAGTTTCCCGCATGGACCATATTGTATCCGAGATGAGTAGGAATTTTGCCTGAGAGTGAATTCTCAGATCAAGATAAAATACTCTAGAACAAAGCTGGCTAGGAAACTAATTGAAATCATTATTACTTTCAGATCGTGATTACAAAGGCGCCTCAGAAGATGATGACGATGACGCCCCACGGATAAGTCTCCAGGAGATGTTAGAGGACCTGCATCTTGAGGAATCCGATGCAGGGGACCACGGGGCGGAAACGGGCGCCATGATGACAGAATGATGTACCTGGCTAAATATTCAACGGCAATATCAAAAGCAGACACTTTTCACAATGAGACAAGATGACATCAATGAAAACGTACTGAATAAACTTGGTGTCACTTGCACTTTTGAGCTCACGTGTCTTTCACTTTTGAGCTCACGTGTCTTGCACTTTTTAGCTCACGTGTTGACTTGATTTCGTCTCATGACACTTCGAGTGTCTTCGACTTCCGTTTGGATCCGCACTATCGTGACCAAGTTTCAGGTGACAATTTTGAAGAAAGCTTTTTGAAATGCTGTGGCAGAGGAGAAGGTGTAAATGTATTCACCTTCCTACCGTGTCCAAAAATAGATGCTTTTATCGTATGGCGTACACGATGTCTATTTTTTCTTCGTATGGAAACCTAAAAGCTTTTGAAAGTTTTTCATCGAACTCTTCTACTCTAGGTCGAATGAATTACTGCTCTGGTTGATTCAAAAAGACAAATTAGATCAAGTAATATCTACAGATTATATCGTAAAATATCTAACTCTCAGTGTTTAAAATTCCTAGCCTTGAGATTTTGTTAAAAGAAATTTATCCTATTCCGGCAACGCAAATAAGATTGGATGAGTGAGTTTTCAGTTGATGTTATATATCACTTTTCATCAAAAATTGTACAGATAATGTATTAATTTTGTAAGACAAAGCAAGCCGAAAAGATGTCTGCAAGGGTTTGGGCACTAATAATGATTACTTGTGCCAGACACCTTCCAGATCGATCCCGACTCGCTGTGCCAAAGGCGTAATACTCGTGCAGAGAAAAATGCTTGTGCTGCAACTGTTATGAGACTAAGAACGAGAGCCTGTTTGCATGGCTGTAAATAATGCACGAATTTCTTTGCATCGAGATTTGTTTACCTCGACCAAACGTTGACTTCCCAGAAGATTTCATAATCGTCAACCCCTTCGTCAACTGTTGGGTGTGCTCCGTCCATCCACCCGGCCCGGCAAGTCAGTTCCACATTCATGATGCGGCAGGTAGTTTGTAGGGATACTCTTCCAGCTCCAACCGACATTCCACGAGGTAGCTCTTCTTTTCCACTGTTTCCACTGGAATTTATAATGTTTGTTCTTGTGGAGGAAGGAAAACCGGAGGACCCGGAGAAAAACTCTCGGATCAACGACAAGAACCAACAACAAACTCAACCCACATGTCTAATATCACTTTGATTCACAACATAGTAATTATGATTTTCAATGGGATTGCGAGTCAGAGCAACGCCCCAAGGGCTATATCATAATAGTTATTATTTTCCTTCTGTGGCTCGCTTCAGTTTAGGAAATTTAATCAAACTGACCCTTTGTTTTGCTGGTAGAAAACAACAGTTCGACAGCCAGCTCTTTGCATGCCACCCGTTAAACGCTTTCGTTTAGCGTCATGTCTTCTTGTGAAATAACCATCCACTGAGAAAATATATCAACGTTATTCAATAATTGGAAGTGTAGCTTCATAACAATCCTACACTAGAGACTCCCGCTCCATACATAAGCCGATTTCAAACTCTTCACAACTTTTTGCATTTAACAGGAAATTGGAATAGAAATAGCACGTGTCCCCAAAGCAGGTGTAATACATTCTCTCTAAATTTTAGTCAAATCGACTTCAAAGGGTTACAGATATGTTCAAATTATTCTCAGGCATTTTTTTGATAAGCATTCGGTGTGGAAAGGACAAGTCAAAGAGGGCGCTAAGAGAAGGGAGATGAAATTTATCTCACACACTTACAGAATTCTACCCCAAAGAACAATAACTTACAGTCGACTGAAGTAACTAATTAAAGCAAGTACAAAACATGCTGAAAGAATGACATTGAAGAAACTAAAGTAAATGTACATAATACCTGCTGAGAGAATGGCATCTCTCATAAATTTTACTCGTATAATTCTGCAAAGTCTTGATCAGGCCTCCTTTAATATTCTAAATGATAATTCTTTAAAAGGACGAACTGTTTTAAAGTTAAGTTTCATTCTTGACGTGCTTGCAATACCTGAATTAGTTCAACAGTAGGTTAAACAAACGACTACAGATCAAGGTATAATGATATACAGTATCCTTAAAAACAAGATTTGTGTTTCAGCCTCTAGCTTTTTCGGCAGTACCGGCTGTGACAAACTTGGACCGGTTTCAGTCTGTATACAAAGAAAGAGCCGCAATTCCGTACGTTGATCATAATGTGGTTGTAACAGCATTTACCAAATCCACTAAAACAAGCTTTTCTGGAAACGACTCCTTCATTAACTGTTGGGTGTGCTCCGTCCATCCACCCCGTCAAGTCCGTTCCACATCTTTGGGCGTCTGGAATGCATTGTGTGGCCATGCTTGTTCCAGCCCCCGCCGAGAATCTGTACCAGTCTTCTGCCAAATAATTATCACATTTTTGGTCACCGCGACCAAAATCGTTGCGTCGATCGGAGTCATTCAGAATCTTGTACTGATTGCATTCTGGGGGAGCTAAAAATTAAAAATGTATCGGAATACTCAGGCATGAGGTTTTATCAAAGGCGAAATGTTCTGATATCTCATGACAGATGGCGAAAGCGAGGACATGGGTAACCAAAACTTTTTCTTTTGAGGGGGGAGGGGGGGAATTTGAAAAAAGATGGGTTAATATTTCCTTCAGATTCAGAGTCACTCAAAACCTTATACTGATGACGTTTTGAGTTACTTGAACATGAAAGATCCTTCGAAACATTCATGCACCTGATGATATCAGGAGTGTAAAAATTTAACAGCACTGGGGAATAATTATGCCAGAGGACGACAACAGTAAAGTCAACAATATATTTGTGAGTGCACTTATAATTCCATTACTGCATCAATTTATCAAATAAGTTCATAAGGACATACAAAATATGCCACGGTAATAGACGGTGTTACACTGTAGAACAGGGCAAAAATACGGAGCAACAAAGTGGCCGCAATGAACGATCCAAATTAACTTCGATTTTTCTTTTTTTGTGTTTGTTAGGATTGATTTGTAAAGAAACGAACTTTTACGCGCGACAGATTTTTTACTGAGTTGGTCACATAGAACACTCCTAGACAAATGGTTTCGTTCGTGTTGTTTTCGTCTTTTGCGACTCCTTATGCAATCGATACAATGCACAGATAAGGCCGCAGGATGTATCTCACAAACTAAAATCAAAATATTAAAAGGTGAAATAATAGTGGAATCATATATCCCAAATTCGATGGATCAACATATAACACGAGAGGACATTTTATTCGTTTTTCCTATTTTTCTACACAACTTTTACATAAAATACCACACAACTCGCAAAATATCCGCGCGTACTTTAAGTTAAACCATCGAATAAAGTGTATTTATAAAAATTCAAAGGAGTTACTCTATTAAATTTTAATTGAATATACATTTAGACAATATTGAGCCAAAATTCTGGGAAAATGATAATCAGAATGGGAACTTTGTGGCGAGAAACATGAATAAATCAGTGAATTAAAAAGCGCTCATTGATACCGTGGGGACTAAGAGTGCCGATTTGAAAGATAAATTTTTGTTCTAGAGTTTTGTGGCTTCCCTTACTGCATAAATGTAGGGAAAGGCAGCATAATACTAAATTGCCCTGTTATAGTCCTTTAACCTACGCAGCACCACAGTTTCTTTAGAAACTTAGCCCCTTTATAAAATTATATATGGTCCGACTGCCATGACTTTGTATCTGTAACTTTCATTCAAGGGAAACTTGCGGTGAAGTGACATCAATTCTAGCCCTGAAACTGTCCTTTGAATAAAGCGACAAACTATTATAGAAGGGGGCTTCGTCCTAACAGAGGGTCCCAATGGGGTGATGGCTTTTACGGCAAACGTTAAAAATTTTGGCCCTTTTACAGCTAACGGTTAATTACTTCCATTAATATACAGACATGATAACTCAATGTCTGAAGCAGAAATTGGGTTATCATGTCGATTTCAAAGTCTGCCTTGTTTCCAAGCCCCTAGTCCGCATGGTGTTCTCAAACTTTTACAAATCCAGAGAGAAGTGTCTTCTTTCTAAGATTGTTTTAAAATGTATAATAAAACAATTATTTTAACAGTTAAAGTTTCTTTATGACCAATGGTTGGAATTTGTCAATTTTACGCCTCAAGGTTAAAATTTTTGGCGTTTTACGGCTGATGTTTGACCCTACTGAAACCCTCTCCTGGGTACAAAAAACAATTGTAAAATTAAAGGAAACTTTTGTATACCTCAGCTCCGCGGTAAATGAAATTCACTCTCGGCTTTAAATCATCCGGATGTTGTATGTCTGTCGAATTGTTTAATTCACAGACCTCATCTCCTGTTACTCTCTTCCCAAAGTTGTACGATACGCATGCGTTCTCCAGATAACACTGAACTCTGCGCGAATGCTCCGAATTTAAGGCAATTGTTCTCATAACGTGTTTTTCCAGCGCTGAGCCATCTTTGGCATCCAAAAACTGCAGTATTCGGTAATAATCTGCAATAAAAAAATATGTTTTGAAAATAAGACATCGATAAGATCTCGCTATCAATTATTTAACGGCAGGTTGTTTCGTCTTGTTATAGATTATAACGGATGTTCTTTCAAAAATTTGGAAGAAAAAACGGACTGGAAAACACATCGGCTGAGATACGCGCTGAGGACACACGACACACTTTAGAAAATTATCAGCTTTTTTAATTTTGAGAAACTGCTTTCATGATGAAAACTGGAATTCGATTTATTGACATTTGAAAGGACCAAAATTACCATGAGAGTGACGTTCATTAACAAATGGGCTAAAACAATTGAGGAGACCCAGCCGCCAATCTAACCACGACTTTTTAATAAGACAAAATATATTCATACTTTTAATATGTGGAAATTCAAATTGGAAAAAAGATATTCCTTTTCTTTTAGCCGTAATCTTATCCCATAATTCATGTTGATATTTCCATTATTTCAAATTTAAAGCGTCGTGACAAGCCAACCATCTTTCATGAGAACAGATAAAATGTAAATTCCGCTTCAGCTATTTAAGATATGACAGATCATTCCCGCATTATTTACAGGAGAAGATGGAAGCTCTCCAAAGAGGCAGGGAGGTATTGACTGTCCCGATTTTTCGTGTAGATTTTTAACAGACGCAGGGGTAAGCACGAACACCATACTCAACACAGTTGCATAATTTTCTCAATAATAACAAAAATGATTTAACTTTTTGGTCAGTTGGCAAAGGAAGAACTAAGAATAAAGCATTGATCATTGAAATTTTTCTTCATGGAAACAGGACCAAACGTAGAGAACAAATCTTCAACTTAGTGAAACATTTCGGTGATATAATCTATTTTTAAACTCACCTTCCGAAAGAACCAAATAAATTGCAATCGTGAATAGAAAAAAAATGCTGATCAGTTGTTCCACCATAAGGAAAAATATTCCTCTAAGTATCAGCAATAAAACTAATTTACACAGTTCTTCAGTGGTTTGAATTCTTTCCTGGCAAAATACGAGCAGAACAGTTTGTCTCTACCTTTGCACTCACTGAGGATATGCCGTGATGAAAACAGGTCTTTATGATTAAGGCAACTTGTTTTAGAAATGATGTTGCGTTTGTCGTGTTTTATCATTGATCGATGTTCATTTCCTGGCGGGAGTTTAAAATTAGGAGTGTTGAATGGCAGCTCAGGGCATTGTTATCACAAATATCACAAAATAAAGTGAAAATTCTACGAAAGCTACTGAATAACATTTAGAGGTTAATCTATTATACACGAACGGTTATAAAAGACACGGATAATGGCTCCGTATTAAGCAGTCATTTGTCAAAGTCCCAAATATGTTTCCTCTTAATCACTGTAATAATTTTCACCTCTATTAAGCGGTCACTTCAATAAGACGATCGCGGTCACCCTTTACAAAGTCCGGTTTTACCGTCCTTCATTACTGGTCCTTCATTACTGTTTCAGTTGTTACTGAAAGCGGGACTGTTCAAATAAAACTAAGAATAATCTTTAAAGTTATTTTGAATGCATGTTTCTCGCCCAAAATCAAAGTAAGTAGTATTTTCGAGCGAAATTCTGTACATTAAGTGGTCAATGATGTATTTAGCGGTCAACCCGCCATTCCCACTGTAAAAAATTTTGACCGTAAAAAATTTCACAAAAGAAAACTAGCTCAATAAATTGAAATAACATATTCATTCTGAAGAGCTCGCTCTGAGAACTCCAAGCTCGACATGGACCCCCAACAGAACAAATATCTGCATTTCTGACTAATTCGAGACTTTATTTTTCCAGTTCAAACAATAGCTGCCTAATTAAACTTTCAAAGAATATCAGGTCAAAGTCGCTTATCTCGAGGTGGGCTTGAAGTTTCATGTAGAGTAATGTTTAAAGATTTTTATCTCAGGGTAATTTAATTTGGTATTATCAACTAAGTTAATAGCGTAAATTGGCCACCGTAAAGAGTTTCAAAGCTGAAGTTTCGAGCGTTAGCCCCTCGTCAGAGCGATGGAGGAATTGTGGATTTTTATTTCAGTCATTTTGTTCAAATCGGCTCTAATACTCCCAGCTGGTTTTTCATAAGGATAGGCCCCCTTATACCCTCCCTTGAGAAAAAGAAAACTATAACATAAAACACGTTAAGATAATATATGCCTATAAGGATGCTACACAAATGGTTACGCCGAAAAATTTTTGCTCCATGTTCAGTACAAATTATGCTTGTGTTTATAAAAACCTCTGTTTTGATTTGTGTTGGTTTTTCAATCAAACAAATGTATACTATGTAAGATATTCACTGCAGCTAAGCCATAATTCACAGAAACATAAATTACTTCAATTCTATTTTTCAAAACGTTAATTAAACAACCCCCACCATCAGATCATGACCTCGTCTAGCAGCCAAGCGAGAACTTAAGGTTTTCAGAGCGTTTACGACAACTAAGGATAAATGGAGTCACAATTCTATTTAATAATATTTATAAACACAGAGGTCAAACGTCTGCGAATGTACGAACGTATTATCCATTATGCTTTTAGGCCGTTGGAACCCAGTGGTATCAATAAAAGCCATTTTAGCAGTAGACATTCCACGAGGTGGCTCTTCTTTCCACTGTTTCCATTGGAATTAAGAATGTTTGTTCTTGTGGAGGAAGGAAAACCGGAGGACCCAGAGGAAACTCTTGGAGCAACGACAAGAACCAACAACAAACTCAACCCACATGTCTAATATCATAATAGTCATTATTTTTCTTCTGTGGCTCTCTTCAGTTTGGGAAATATAATCAAACTGATCCTTTGTTTTGCTGGCCGAAACAAACAGTTCGGCAGCCAGCTCTTTACATGCCACCCGTCAAACACTTTCGTTTGCTTATGTCTTCTTGTGAAATAGCCATCCACTGAGAAAATATATCAACGTTATTTAATAATTGGAAGTGTAGCTTCACAACAATCCTACATAAGAGACTCCTGCTCCATGCAAGAGCCGATTTCAAACTCTTTTTTGCATTGAACAAGAAATTGGAATAGAAATATCACGTGTCCTCAAAGCAGGCGTAATACATTCTCTGTAAATTTTGGTCAAATCGACTTAAAAGGGTTACAAACATCTTCAAATTATTCTCAGGCATCTTTTTGACACGCATTCGGTATAGAAAGGACAAGTCAAAGAGGGCGCCAAGTAAAGAGAGATGAAATTTATTTTACACACTTTATAGAACTCTACCCTAAAGAACTATCACTTACAGTTGAAGTAACTAATTAAAGCAAGTGCAATACATGCTGAAAGAACGACGTTTCTCATGAAGATTACTCTTTTTATTATGCAAAGCCTTGATCAAGCCCTCTAAATATGCCAAATATAAAAAATTTCTAGCATGAATGGTTAAATACCGTCAGAGGAGTTTCCTGTTGCCCTACCGATGGTTTTATCTACCTTCAGTCAAGTCGAAACCGCCGCGAGCCATCGATCGGCAACCATCACGCACTAGCACGCACCTATTTCTAATTATCACGTACGAGAGTGCAGTTTGCGTCAGTTTCATTCCATTGAACGTTCTGGGCTCAGAATAAAGAAATGGGAAGAGAAGAGAGAAAATACAGCTCTGATTCAAATTATCTAGTGTAAATGAAAATTCTTAAAAAAGGACGAACTGTTTTAAAGTTAAGTTTCATTCCTGACGTGCTTGTGATATCTGAACTAGTTCGACGGCAGGTTAAACAAACGACTAAGAATACAGTATCCTTAAAAACAAGATTTGTGTTTCAGCCTCTAACTTTTTCCACAGTACCGGCTGGCACAAACTTGGACCGGTTTCAGTCTGTATACTAAGAAAGAGCTGCAATTGCGTACGTTGATCATAATGTTGTGGTAACAACATTTACCATAGCCATGAAAACAAACTTTTCTGGAAACGACTCCTTCATCAACTGTTGGGTGTGCTCCGTCCATCCACCCCGGCAAGTCCGTTCCACATCTATGGTGCGGTAGACAGTGAGTAGGTATACTCGTTCCAGCCCCCGCTGAGAATCTGTACCAGTCTTCTGTCAAATGGTTGTCACATTTTCTGTCACCACGACCAAAATCGCTGTGTCGATCGGAGTCATTCAGAATCTTTTGCTGATTGCATTCTGAGGGAACTAAAAATGAAAATGTATTGGAATACTCAACCATGTGGCTTTATCAAAGGCGAAATGTTCTGATATATTATAAAAGATGGTGGAGGCGAGGACATTGGCAAAGAAAACATTTTTTTGGGGGGGGGGAGGGGGTGGAGGGAATTTGAAAAATGATGGGTTTATATTTCCTCATATTCAGAGTCGCTCAAAACCTTATACTGATGACGTTATGAGATACTTGAACATTACAGGTCCTTCGAAACATTCATGCACCTGATGATATAACGAGAGTAAAAATTTAAACAACTGTCTCGGAGAATAATTGTTCCAAAAGACAACAACAGTGAAGACAACAATATATCTGTTATTCCATTACTGCATCAATTAATCAAATAAATTCAAGAGGACCCGCAAAAAATATGCCACGATAATAAATGGTATTATACTGTAGAACAGGGCAAAAATACAGAGCAACACAGGTTGATTTTTTCTTTCTTGCGTTTGTTAGGCTTGACTTGTAAAGAAGTGAACTTTTACGCGCGACAGAGTTTTTAGTTGGTCACATAAAACACTCAAATGGTTTCGTTCGTGTTGTTTCGTCATTCGTGTACTCCTTATGCAATCGATATGATGCACAGATAAGGCCGTACGATATATTTTGCAATCTAAAATCGAATGAGTGAAATAATAGTGGGATAATAAATCCCTTATTCGATGGTTTAACAAATAACACGAAAGGACATTTTTCTCATTTCTCGTATTTTTCTACACAACTTCTACGTAAAATACCACACAAGTCGCAAAAACGACGGGCCGTCCTCGTCTCCAATGCAATGAGGAGAACGCACACGAAAGTAATTAACAGTAAACAGCCGTTACGAGCATATTGTCGGCTCTAAATTTTAATCCCAGAATTCCCTTGTTTCAATTACATGCATGACGTAATGTGACGCTAGTGTCACACGACACTACAATCTTTAATTTACCTGGAGATGGACAGATGCTCCGTTTACGACTGAAACCGAAGCATCTGTTTTCACCTGTCCACACTAAAAAGGAGCGTTTTAAAACGATGCGTTTTCAAAAGACTCCACTTTTGAAACCGCTTTCGAAATTTCCCGTTTGTATCAAAGTATTCGGGCGTTTAAGTATGGATGACCGGCGAAAATACATCAAGAAGTATGCGTTTTCAAACAAAAACGCAGTAGTGTGACACGGGCCTAAATTTACCATGGTCTGTCTAATTATATGAAATAGTTATTTGTGCAAACTGAAAATGTGAGTTACCGTATTGACATAGAGGTCCAGTGAGGCCTGCAGCACAAGGAAGGTGATGTCTCTGACGGAAAAATACAAATATCACAAACAAAATATGATCTTCCCACCAGCTGGACAAATTTGTGTTTCCGAAGTGAAACCCTGATAAAGTAAAAACATGTAAAGGTTACGGTTTTTAAATTTGGACTAAAACACGTGAAGAGAAACCAAGTTTAAAGGTTTAACGGTTGAACGGGACAGAATTCTTAGTAAACCGTCACATACCCCCCCCCCCAAAAAAAAACAATATCCAAAAAATCCCCATCCGTCAAGTATTCATGGCAGCCATTTCCAGCAGCATTACAAAAATTGATAAAAGGAAAACTTTCCAGCTTCTTATACGTTATGCAAGGCTTAAATTAAAGACCTATGTACCTTCACGAGCAAAGAGAATGTCACCCCTTTTTCATCATCAAGGTTTGTATTCTGATCGACGTATCCATGTTTGTTTAGTTCACAAATTCCTTTCTTGTTCACCTCGGATAGCTCTCTGAAGTTTGTTGAAGTACACCAGGAGTTCCCGAGGCACCAGTGATTGCATGACATAAAACTGGGCGATTGAAACTGCTTGACGACATGACCATTAAGCCGAGTATTTTCTCGCGTTTTAAAGAGAGCCGAATTAGTACAAGTGGCGTGTTCTGTAAACATTATTCCTTGAACAATGATAAAAAAGGCAATTTTCCTTTCACCCATTACTCGACAAAACATGCGCAAAGTGAATCGTGACTTAGAGGGAAATTCAAGCATCCTTTTCGTCCTTCACTAGGCAAAACTCAACATATCAAACTCAAAACAAACTTTATTTCCAAAGCGAACAACAATGTCGTCAGCATGCTCTATACTCTCATAAAGCACGCTACAATAAGCCAATCAGAATCCTTGTTAGAATGGTTCAAGTAATCTGATTGGCTGTACAAGACTAAAGCTGTCAAAAGTGTCAAACCATCAAAGTTCAAAAACCATCAAAGTTCACATTCTACGATAGTTTACAAACTAAAATAGTTCGGCAAGTCGAATTTAACACTTTTGCCTGAAATTTTTAAGTCTTTAATATAGAATCTCGAAGTGAAATGTTCAGTGAAATTCAACCGAATTATGGCTCATAAAAACACGCGAGTTTTTTTCCACATGACAAGGTAGAAAACAAGCTGTTCAAGGCGAGTGTTTTTTGAATGAAAGACAGCTGAATTCACCGGAACATGAAGATCGCTCGTGATGACAGCGCCGCAAAACTCGGCTGCAGTGACCGATGTGAATTGCCACCCAACGTATCGGAAAGGATATCAGAGCAAGCTCTTATTTTTTCACTCGAAGGGCGGCCGATGTAGTTTCTGAATATGAGGCTTGCTTTACTGTGATAACCGGAGATCGCCATGATGAGCGAGCCGCGATGAACTTAGCGTGATCATATTCGCTCAGACACCGTTATGATTAGTATGAATTTTAACAATTATGCCAGTTTGGTTATATTTTTCATCATTTCTGTTTTGTCCTGTTTTGTTTTTGAACACTGAACTTTATATACTATACGAGTGTTAGCTGTGTTTGATTTTTATTACCGTACGTAAGCTTGCAATCTAACTGAGCGCCGGTGAAAATCTTTAAAACTCGGAATGTTTATTTTGTTTTTCCTTTGAGGATTTTCCTATCTGCTCACGTTTAAATAACGTAAATTATGGCGCATGGTATGTTTACAAACCTTTGTTTGATTCTTCTGTTGCTATTTGCCGGCTCGCTTTAGTTCCGAAATTTCACTTTCAATTATCGGGAAAAAGCTAAAAAGAAGTCCCGGAAAAGGTCGAACATAGTACAATTGGCAGATGGCGTGACAGCTTTAGCTCAGTTCTATGCTCTATACTCTCATAGAGCACGCTCTTTCAACCAATGACAGCGCGCGTTATATCCGAACTTTATTATAAATAAACATAGACCTTAATGTTGACCAAGATATTTTCATGGAAGGTCTTGGGAGTGTTTTGCCCGGCGTTCTTCAAAGAGGGAAGATGGTTTACCAATTGGAGTCAAATAGGGTGCTTGATTCATATCTAGGGCTGAAGTGGGATGAAAGAATTTTAAATGTAGCTGAAGATTTTGCCTATGTAATTCCAGGAACTATTAAATATTGGCTGGGACAAAGAAGTGCAATCATTGAATACAAGCTCATCGTTGTAGGTGTTCTTAACCCTTTCATAACCTGCTGCCTCCAGGAACTGAATCCTGTTTTTCTTCAGAAACAGTTGTTTGAGGGCATCAACCCCTTTGTGATTTGTGGATCTGAAGAAATCTTTAGAAGCTCTACTATTGTATTTTTCCAAGTCTTGCTGTGTGTAATATGCTATGTTCTGATAAAGTGACAGGAACTCGGGAACATGATAACATAGTGCATGCATGTAGGGAGTGACATCTTTTGCTTGGTAAACTTTGAGAAAGTGCTCAAACCATGATTTGATATTTCTTTGCAGTTCAAGAATACCCTCTTCAGATGTAAAATCTAGCTTCAAATCACCAATTATGTCCATAGATTTAGCCCAGATCACTTGTATGTCTTTGTTTTGACTGCAATGAGGGACAAGCATAGGTCGGAATGTTTATATTCTGAAAGAGTTTCAACTTTTCTGGTTCAGTAAGATCTCTTATAATATTCCAGCTTTTTGCTCTCTTTGTTGATTCTAAAATTAAAAGTGATTCCCATACTTTTGATAAATTCTTCATAACATGCCATGTGTTTATATTTATCCCTTGGGAATCCATCAGAGGTTTTTTTTTTTTTTTTTCTCAATAGCATCACTTCTTCTCAGCTCTCTTATGAACAAGTCAATCAAAACATCTGAAATCCTCAGAAAAAAATGTAATGTATCAATGATGGCATGGTCCATAGGTATAAAATCAAATAATGGTTGTGCCTTACAGTTTAATTTCTTTCCAGTGGAAAACCTTGCTATTTTGGTGACAGTTTTAGCACCAAATTTAGGGTCATTAATTGACCATGTTTTGCTTGTGTCCCACTGTTGCTCCCTGGGACACTTGCACCACACACAAGCATAATCCTCATTTGCCCTGCCTAAACCACATACCAGTGCTAAAAATTTCAAATCTCCACCTAAAAAGTATTCAATTTTATAGGTGCAATTATTTGCACTTATCTCCTTTAAGTTTGACATTTCCATTCGAAGGTCTGCTAAGCTGTCTCTCTGATTATCATATGTCTCTGTAGTTTTTATAACAGCAAGTACATAATTTCCCTTCACACCCATTGCCACATCCTTTTCATGGAGAATAGTAAAAGTGAAGTTGACAACTGTAAGCCCCTTTCCAATATTTGTACCATCACCACTAAGCTTGATCTTAATAGTTTCTCCATCATTTGATTTCTCCATTCTTCTGAAGCCTAACAATGTGCTCTTGCAAGCTTTCTGCAAATCCTAACTGAACACCTTCAGCATCTCCTGGTGTTGGTTTCAAGTTCCATTCACTGTTTAGCTCATTAATTTGCTCCTTGATAGAAAATATTGGGGAGATCATTAGCCTTAATGGCAATTTCATGCCAGGCCTCATTTGAAATAATGAATTTATCTTTGAGGTAGAGCCACATATTTATGTTATCAATGTCATCATTATGAACTTCGCAAATCTTACTTGTTTATCTCGTAAGTAAACAATGGCAGATTAAAAAATCAAAAGAAGGAAGATACAGCTGTTTTGAAACGCCATTTGGCGAGAGTAAATCTGCTTTTTGTTCGACACTTAACATATCAAAAAAAAGGAAATTTGTTCCTCTTTTTTATTCTGGCGGTACATTTTTAAATTGCGCTTGCGTAAAAGGGATATCGCCCGAGACGCCTCGCTCGGTTGTGTTTTGAACAAAAACGCCTTGTTAACGCAACCGCTCGGAGAAAAGGTTAAAATGACGAGGGAAAAACTTTACCTTCAAGTTAGAAAATTAACGAAATAGGAAGCCACAATATTATAGTTTAATATTTCAGAGGTACATTGAGTGCTTTTTCCGTAGAGAATCCCCACGATGGTAAAATGTTCGAAAATTACACTCGATTTGAGTGGGGCGTTGAAGTGGGCGTGGTCACTGTATTCATGTTAAGACTATTTGTACCCCGTGAGTTTGATATGGAAATGCGAGGGGGCAATTTGCCCATTCCTGCTAACAGGTGTTCACCATCCTACGTCTGAGAAAATTAAGAGAGACATTTCACCACACAGAGGCGTTTTAATTACAATATCCTTGACATGCAATATTTTCAAATTAATAATTAAGTTTGTTCCGTCATTCCACGTTTAAATTTTCTATTCAGCTTCTTGTCGTCAAGCAGCGCTATTCTCTTTCAATTACGGTAATGTGTTTTCTCATCAAGTGCATTTCACAAAGAGACTCGAGAAAGCAAGAAGGAATGGAGTCTGTTATTTAGGAAGAGGATGATGGAGAGTTTAAAAGCATTTTGTAAACCTCTATGTGAATATTAATAATAATAATATGATAACAATCATAAATAACGGGAATTTAGCAGTGGACATTCCACGAGGTAACGCTTCTTTCCACTGTTTCCATTAGAATTTAAAATTTTTGTTCTTGTGGAGGAAGGAAAACCGAAGTACCCGGAGAAAAACTCTCGGAGCAACGACAAGAATCAACAACAAACTCAACCATTATTTGTGTTAGTCACAACATGAAACTCATGATTTATTGAAGAACGCGACTCATTTTTGGCTCACGTCAACCCATCCGGCCCCACACATGTCAGCTTCATTATGGTTTTCAATGGGATTGTGAGTGAGAGCAATGCCCCAAGGGCCATATCATAATAGTCATTATTTTTCTTCTGTGGCTCTCTTCAGTTTAGCAAATTTAATCAAACTGACCCTTTGTTTTGCTGGTAGAAAACAACAGTTCGACAGCCAGCTCTTTGCATGCCACCCGTTAAAACGCTTTCGTTTGCTTATGTCTTCTTGAAATAGCCACCCAATCAGAAAATATATCAACGTTATTGAATAATTGGAAGTGTAGCTTCACAACAATCCTACATAAGAGATTCCTGCTCCGTGCATAGGCCGATTTCAAACTCTTGGAAACTTACACATGGTTTGATGTTACTCTGGTTTACAGATTTAATGAATGTAACCGAAGAAGTTACAATTCATAGACCCAACGTTTCGACACTCCTGTCTAGTGCCTTCATCAGGGGTAATCTAAACGCTGCAACAAGAGGTCTTTTCATATGATCACTAATTAGCGGCCTTTTTTCTGACGAGGTGTAAATAGGCGTCAGGAAGCAAACCGCCATCGTCATGATTTAAAGGAGCGTGGGGGGAGTTAATATGCCAAGCCTCCAAACAAAGGCGCTGGTGGTAACGCCGATTAGTGGTGATAATTTTAGAAATATTCCACCCAATTGTATGGTTAGTTAGGCATGTGTGCTCCGATAAAGCTGAATTTTCCTTTTTGCGAAAGAAAACCGCTTTTTGATGCTCTTTCAAACGTGTACCAAACTGACGTTTGGTCTGTCCGATGTATTCGTTGTCACAGTCATTGCAAGGAATAGAATAAATGGCGTCGGTTCGTTGTTCTTTCGTGACAGGATCCTGAGGTTTGGCGAAAATATGCCCCAAAGTCTGAAAAGGTTTTTGAGCAACTTTAACGTTCTAGCTATTCAAAATTCTCTTGATAGGTTCCGTGACCCCCTGAATGTAAGGAATAACAGCAAAACCAGTCGCTGGTTCCCTTTCATCAAGAGCGTTACTAGTTGTAACTGGTTTTGGGCAGCTACGGAGAGAGGTTTTTGTATAGCCATTTGCCTTTAGGACATTAGAAACACATTTCCCCTCCTCAGCCTTCGAATCGAGTGAAGATGGTAGACAGTCAGCCCTCCTAAGTAAAGTTTTGGCTACAGACTTTTTATGGCAAATAGGTAGGTTAGAATCGAAAGCGAGGTATTTGTCGGTGTGGGTAGGTTTACGGTAGACACTTGTCTCTAAATTACCCTGAACCCCTCTGGACACATTTAAATCGAGAAAGGGCAAATGTCTATCCTTTTCACGCTCAAGGGTGAATTGGATCGACGGCTCTACTGAATTCAAATGCGAGAGGAGGCGCTCCGCTTCGCTTCCGGAAACCGCAGAAATAACATCATCGACATATCGTTTCCAGAAAAAGGGTTTAACCGGTGAAGTGGCTAAGGCCCTTTGCTCCACGTCTTCCATTACCATGTTAGCAATGACAGCAGAGACGGGCGAACCCATAGCTGTAACAAAAACTTGTTGATTGTTGATCTGAGGGCAGACGACACACTTTAGCAAAATTATCTCCGAAAGTCATCAGGGTTTTTTAATTTTGAGAAACTCCTTTGATGATGAAAACTGGAACTCAACTTATTGACATTTGAAAGGACCAAAATTACCATGAGAGTGACGTTCATCAACAGATGGACTATAACAATTAAGGAGGCCCGACCCGCTAATCTAACCACGACTAGTAAATGAGACAAAATGGCCGTTTTTATGCTAGAGACGTTAAAGTTGTCTGAGACGTTAAAGTCGTCTCGAGAGTTGTCTAAGACGTTAAAGTCGTCTCGAGACGACTTTAACGTCTTAGACAACTTTAACGTCTCTAGCATAAAAACGGCCAATATATTCATACTTTTAATATGTGGAAACTCGAATTGGAAAAAAATATTCATTTTTTTAAGCCGTAATCTCTTATCACATAATTCATGTAAATAATTCCATGATTTCAAATTTAAAGCGTCGTGACAAGCCAACCATCCTTCACGAGAATAGATAAAATGTAAATTCCGCTTTACCTATTTAAGATATGACAAATCATTCCCGCACTATTTACGGAAGATGAAAGCTCTCCAAAGAGGCAGGGAGGTGTTGACTGACTCGATTTTTCGTGTGTATTTTTAACAGACACAGGGGAAAGTATGAACACCATACTCAACACAATTGTACAATTTTCTCAATAACAGCAGAAATGATTTTCACTTTTTGGTCACTCGGCAAAGGAAGAAAGAAGAATAAAGTATTGATCATCGAAATTTTTCTTCATGAAAACAGAACCAAACGTACAGAACAAATCTTTAACTTAGTGAAGCATTTCGCTGATACAATCTATTTTTAAACTCACCTTCCGAAAGAACCAAATAAATTACAATCGTGAATAGGAAAAAAATGCTGATCAGCTGTTCCACCATAAGGAAAGATATCACTCCAAGTATCAACAATAAAACTATTTTACACAGTCCTTCAGTGGTTTGAATTCTTTCTTGGCAAAATCGGAGCAGAACAGTTTGTCTCTCCAATTTACGTCCCTTTGCACTCACTGAGGATATGCCATAATGAAAACAGCTCTTTATGATTAAGGCAACTTGGTTTAGAAATGTTACGTTTGTCGTGTTTTATCATTGATCGATGTTCGCTTTCCTGACGGGAGTTTAAAATTAGGTTTCCGCAATTGAATAGCAGCTCAGGGCATTGTTATCACAAATATCACAAAATAGAGAGAAAATTATACGAAAGCCATTGAATAACATTTAGAGGTTAATCAATTTTAAATGAAACGGATAAAAGACAACAATCACCTCTTCTCGGCGAAAATGATGAATGAAATAATAGTCGAACCTGCATTTAGTGAAGTGGTATCAATAAAAGCCATTTTAACAGTAGACATTCCACGAGGTGGCTCTCTTTTCCACTGTTTCCATTGGAATTAAGAATGTTTGTTCTTGTAGAGGGAGGAAAACCGGAGGACCCAGAGAAAAGCTCTCGGAGCAACGACAAGAACCAACAACAAACTCAACCCACATGTCTAATATAAATTTATAATTATTTTTTTGGGTCACAACATAAAACTCATGATTTATTGAAGAACGCAACTCATCTCTACCCAAAGTCAACCTATCCGGCCCCACAAATGTCAGTTTTATTATGGTTTTCAATGGGATTGTGAGTCAGAGTAATGCCCCGAGGGTCATATCATAAAGTCATAATTTTTTCTTCAGTGGCTCACTTTAGTTTAGCGAATTTAATCAAACTGACCCTTTGTTTTGCTGGTAGAAAACAACAGTTCAACTGCCAGCTCTTTGCATGCCACCCGTTAAACGCTTTCGTTTGTTCATGACTTGTGAAATAGCCATGCACTGAGAAAATATATCAACGTTATTGAATAATTGAAAGTGTAGCTTCAAAACAATCCTACATGAGAGACTCCTGCTCCATGTATGAGCCGATTTCAAACTCTTGGCAATTTTTTGCGTTTAACAATAAATTGGAATTGAAATAATACGTGTCCTCAAAGCAGGTGTAATATATTCTCTGTAAATTAGGGTCAAATTGACTTAGAAGGGTTACAGACATCTACAAATTATTCTTAGGCATTTTTTTTGATAAGCATTCGCTATAGAAAGGACAAGTCAAAGAGGGTGCCGAGTGAAGAAAGATGAAATTTATTTCACACACTTTACAGAATTCTACCCTAACTGAACGATCCCTTTGGGTCAACTTAGAATTGACAGAAGTAACTAATTAAAGCATGTACAATACATGCTGAAAGAATAATATTTCTCGTGAAGATTAATTACTCCTTTTATTATGCAAAGCTTTGATCAAGTCCTCTAAATATGCCAAATAGAAAACGTTTACAATATAAAAAATCAAATACCGTCAGAGGAGTTTCCTGTTGCCTTACCTATAGTTTTATTTATCTTTAGTCAAGTCGAAACCGTGAGGCATCGATCGCCATCCATCACGCACTCGCACACACTTATTTCTACTTTTCACGCACGAGAATGCAGTTTGCGTGAGGTTCATTCCATTGAACGTTCTGGGCTAAGAATAAAGAAATGGGAAGAGAAGAGAGAAAATACAGCTCTGATTCAAACTATCAAGTGTAAACCGTTCTATCCAGCTTTTTTGTTTTGTTTTCAGGAATGAGTTAGGGCCTTGAAATTTTAACCAGCAGCAGTTAAAAGTCTAAGACGGCCGTTTAAGATAGTCAACAATAAGTTAGGATTTTATATCCACAAATTAAATGTCATCTAGCTCACTGTACAAAAACAACTATAAAAGACTTCAGTCCTTGAAATGTTTGACTGCAACGGGGAAATACGATATGTTATGTAAGATGGCACGGCTTTCCATAACCAGAATGAAACAGTTCTATAAAATGCTTATAAACAATTTATCTTCCCCACCCGTTATAAGAGACTCCAATCCATCTGTAGGCCGATTTCACACTTCGTATGACCATTTCCGTTGACTAAAACAGGAATTTATGTGACAAATAGCTCGAGGCCTCGAAGCAGCTGTGATACTTTCTCTGCAATTATTCGTCAAATTTGAATTAATGTATCACAAATGAATCCAACCTTGTTTAAAAGGGCATTCGTTAAGAACAACTGTCGGATCTCTAGCGACAGGGAAAGTCAAAGACACTGCAAAGTTAAGAAAGGTGCACTTAATTACACGCATTACAAAACTTATACCTTTAAGAACAACCACCTGGTGTAAAAATCAAAATAACGTCGTCTTTCGTCATTTACTAATTGGAGTAGTCGCCAACTGAAGAAACTAAAGTATATATAATATTTGCCGAGAGAATAACATTTCTCATAAATTTTACTCGTATAATTCTGCAAAGTCTTGATCAGGCCTCCTTAATATTCTAAATGATAATTCTTTAAAATGGACGAACTCTTTTAAAGTTAAGTTTCATTCTTGACGTGTTCGTGATATCCGAATTGGTTCAACGGCAAGTTAAACAAACGACTAAAGATCAAGGTGTAATGATATACAGTATTCTTAAAAACAAGATTTGTGTTTCAGCCTCTAACTTTTTCCACAGTACCGGCTGGCACAAAATTGGACCGGTTTCAGTCTGTATACAAAGAAAGAGCTGCAATTCCGTACGTTGATCATAATGTGGCGGTAACAACAGTTATAAAAACCATGAAAACAAACTTTTCTGGAAACGACTCCTTCATCAACTGTTGGGTGTGCTCCGTCCATCCACCCCGGCAAGTCCGTTCCACATCTATGGTGCGGTAGACAGTGAGTAGGTATACTCGTTCCAGCCCCCGCTGAGAATCTGTATCAGTCTTCTGTCAAATGGTTGTCACATTTTCTATCACCGCGACCAAAATCACTATGTCGATCAGAGTCATTCAGAATCTTGTGCTGATTGCATTCTGAGGGAGCTAAAAATGAAAATGTATTGGAATACTCAAGCATGTGGCTTCATAAAAGGCGAAATGTTCTGATATCTCATAAAATATAGTGGAAGCTCTAGCTTTTAGCTGAGGCAGCTAAAAATGAAAATGCATTGGATATATTTTATTTTTATAAAAGATGGTGGAGGCGAGGACATTGGCAAAGAAAACTTTTTTTTCGGAGGGGGGGTGTAGGGAATTTCCTCATATTCACAGTCGCTCAAAACCTTGTATTGATGACGTTCTGAGATACTTGAACATTAAAGGTCCTTCGAAACATTCATGCATCTGATGATATAAGGAGAGTAAAAATTTAAGCAACTGCCTCGGGGAATAATTGTGCCAAAGGACGACAACAGTAAAGACAACAATATATCTGTTATTCCATTACTGCATCATCAAATAAATTCGTGAGGACGCGCACAAAACTTGATATGCCACGATAATAAACGGTATTATACAGTAGAACAGGTCAAAAATACAAAGCAACAAACGTTGATTTTTCCTTCTTGCGCTTGTTAGGCTTGACTTGTAATAGAATACTCAAATAGAATACTGAAATGGTTTCGTTCGTGTTGTTTTCGTCTTTCGCGTACTCCTTATGCGATCGATAAGCGATGTAGAGATAAGGCCGTAGGATGTATTTCGCAAACTCCAATAAAAATATTAAAAAGTGAAATAATGGTGGAGTCATATATTCCTAATTCAATGGTTTAACATATAACACGAGAGGACATTTTGCTCATTTCTCGTATTTTTCTAGACAACTTCTACAGAAAATACTACATAACTCGCAAAAGATCCGCACGTGCTCTAAGTTAAACCGTCGAATAAGGTGTATTTATAACAAGTCAAAGGAGTTATTCTATTTTTTAATTGATGTACATTTAGAAAATATTGACATTATTTACCCTCGATCCGGCGTGTAACATAGAGCATGTGTTAAAAATGGTCGAAAGGACACTTAACGTTTCCGAACGCTTTATTTTCGGCCGCTCATCCAAGTTAAGGGGTCAAATAAGTACAGAGGATCGGCCTTGCTGCTAATCCTAACCCTACACCCTTTACGTACAAACATGAAGAACTATTCAAAATATTCCATTCGCTCTTAAAGAACGAACCTAAGAATCACCAACCTATATCACACAGAGTTCCAAGGTAGCCCCCAAGACAGTCACACTTGAATCCATTGACAAGATCTCGGCATGATCCTCCATTGTGACAAGGATTAGTGCTGCATTCGTTTACATCTGCAATTCCAATTGTGATTGGCTTAGCTAAGCATGATTCGCTACCTTGCGTGTCGCTCGAATGTTTTGTTGGGGAATCAGTAAACGCTGCATGGGACGAGTAATTACTCGCAAGACAAGAGTGATTGCTTTAAGCTACCCAAGGGACTTTAGAGGGTCTTAGGACCTTTAAAAACAAGAAAAACTCGCGACTAGGATTAGTTATTTCAAGATATCCCAATGACTTCAGAAACGGGGGTAAACTAGTTGTAATGTGGAGAACGAACACGAAAGTAACTAAAAGTAAACGGCCATCACGAGCACATGGTCTGCTCTTCTGTCTAATCCCAGAATTCCCTTGCTTAAATTACATGCATGACGTAATGTGACGCTAATGTCACACGACAATGCATTGCTCCTTTCCTTTAGCTAAAGAATTCGTACCCAAAATTGTAGACAAAACATCTATAACAATACTAAGACAAAAGAAAAAAAGTGCTCTCAAATAAAGGCTAAGGCGACTGAAAGTTACGGAGAGGGGTGGCACGATAGTTGCGGAGAAACTGATACATTAGTTGCTTCTAGTTTGTAGTGGTGCGAAGTACCTTCCCAAAAGACCTCATGAACCTTTCAACTTCGCCATTTCCCTCTGGCCATAAGGGGGTGACTTTTCGGAATACAAAACCAACATAGTCAGCAAATTGTGCGAACTCATGCTCACCGTTGTCAGTTTTCACGACTTCAGGAACAACATAGGCAGAAAATATGCGGTCCAGCTTGGGAATCACAGCATTGGCAGCAGTTGAATGTACAATCTCAATATCAGGGAACCTGGGGTAGTCATGTATCACGACAAGAACATAGAGCCCAGCCACTTCGCAGAAGTCGACGCTGACTTGGTGCCAGGGACTACAAGGTAACTGAGTCATTTTCAGTGTTTCGCGGGAAGGCTTCGGTGTAGCAATTTGACATGGAAAACACTTTTTAACAATTGAATCAACAACACTGTCCATTCTCGGAAACCAAACCTTTGAGCGTTACAGGCTACGTGTCCTAACTATTCCTTGGTGGCCCTCATGAACTACTTCTACTGCTCGTTTCTGAAGGACTTCAGGTATCACCATGTGGTTTCCACGGAGCACGATTTTCCCATCCACTGAGATCAGTTCATTACGGACAATAGCAAAGATTTTGAGAGTGCTTGTGTCGACAGTTGTCGATCCTTGCTGAGGCTTGTGAAGTCGGACTGTTGAAGATTTGCAGCAGGGGCTTGTGGTCTGTCAACACTTTGAAGTGGCTTCCAAGTAAGTACATACGGAAATGATGGCAACCCCAAGGAATGGCCAAGGCTTCACGCTCTATCTGGGAATAGCGCTTCTCCACACTTGAAAGAGCTTTGCTGCCTTATGAATTGACTTTGCCATCCTGAGTTAAGAGAGCACCCAATCCGACAGGGCTAGCGTCCACCAGTAGGACTGTTTTCTTTCGTGGGTCAAAATAAGCCATCACGTCGTCAGATGTAGGACTGTTTTTGAGCCTGTCGACAGCTGTTTGATGGACCTTTTCTCTTACGTAAGGGGGCTAACGATGTCTGTATAATTACGAATAAAGCGAGACACATAATTAGTAATGCCTAGCAGACTACGAACGTCGTTCACAGAAGAAAGTGGATCTGCTTTCTGAATTGCTTCTATCTTTGCGGGATCAGGAGACATTCCTCTACCACTGAAGACCAGTCCAAAAAAGGTTGATATCTTTGCGCAGAGTAAAGTTCAATTTCTTAACGCCTGTCTACATTGCATGAAGGGTCTTGTTGTGTTTGCACCATAAATTATGACATCGTCACTGATGTTTTTCACACTGGGAATGTCACTAATAGCTGAGGCAATCACATCTTGAAACATTTCTGCAGCAGCATTGATTCCAAAAATGAGACGTTTGTATCAAAACATCTCAATGGGGATAAAGATGTGGTGATGTGTCGCGAGTCAGGATGCAGGGGTAGCTGGTGATAACCTTGGTTCAAATCCAATTTACTTGAACACTGTGGCACCATTTAGATTATGTATCAGCTGATGAAGGGTTGGCATAAGATGTCGCACTCGGGAGATGGCTTTGTTGGCTTCCCTCATGTCTACACACAGTCGAACACTACCGAGTTGTTTGGGCTTCGGGACAAGAACAACTGGGCAGACCCATGGCGTTGGTCCCACAGTAGATTTAGTGATGTCTTCTTTGAGCAAGGACTCCATACAAACTTCCAGGTTCTTTCCTTGACGGGAAGGAATTCTTCCGTGTGACTGATGTACAGGCTTTACACTTTCATTGATGTATAGCTTAATTTCAACATTATTCATTTTTCCAAGGCCAGTGAACAGGCTAGGATACCTTAAGAAAATGTTTTCTCCACTGAGACGGCATTAGCAGTGCGAAGTATGTCTAGTTCGGTGACAGTGGCATATCCTATAACTATTAACAACAAAGAACTCAGACTGGACTGCGCTGCACTTAGACTCCACTAAAGCTCAGAAATTGCCTAGAACGTGGAACGGATCACTGGAGTTGTAGACATACACTCTAGTATCACAAGACTTCAGATTCACGTTACACACCTTTGAAGCACTCAAGCTCAGAATGTTTTCACTCGCTCCAGAGTCAACCAGGAAATTGCACTTGACACCATTGACTTTTAGTGAGACAAACGGAGCACTAACCATATCGACGGGCGTTTCTGCCCAGAACGCGTACCCGTCATCAGAACACGACGACGTTTCACGTGGCATGCACGTGGCATCTATTTGATTTACATTCTTTGGAAGTTTGGGCTTGCGACTTCGGCGCTCGCGAGGTTTTCTTTTCTTTAGTGGAGATCGGCTTTGACTTGACGACTTTGTACGACAACACTTCGCGTAGTAACCATATTTGTGACGAACACCACAGTGGATTACGATTTCGCGCAAGTCAACCTTTCTTCGGATCGTGTGGCCAGCTTTCACTGCATTCCTAGCACGAACGTTTTTTCTGAGGAGTTTCTGGCGGCTGAGGTAACACAGAACTGGCACTTTCCGAAGGTTCAATGTCCTTCGCCTGTTTTTCGGACACTTCGAGCGCTCTGGCTTCATCCAAAAATGCATCGAGGGTCATCGTCCCATCCCTTGATGCTTTATAGCGCAAACGTTGTGACGAACAAGATTGAATTATTTGCTATTTAATTTCCTTGTCGATTTTAGCAAACTCACATGTAGATACCAGTTGACGTAAACAAGAGTGATAAGCATTCATCAATTCACTATGATTCTGTTTCGCTTTAGTCCTTCACCAAGTAAAACTCAAGTTGAAATGCGAGGGGGTAATTTGTTGAATCCTGCTAAAAGGTGTTAACAATCTTACGTCTGAGAACATTAAGAGTGACGCTTGACCACAGAGAGGCGTTTTAACTACAATATCCTTGAAATAAATGTATAAGTTTATTCATCCCACGTTTAAGTTTTGTATTCAGCTTCTTGTCGTCAAGCAGCGCTATTGTCTTTCAATTACGGTGATATTTTTTCTCATCAAGTATTTTTCACAAAAAGACTCGAAAAAGCAAGAAGGAATGGAGTCTGTTATTTAGGAAGAGGATGATGGAGAGTTTAAAGGCATTTTGTAAACCTCTTTTTTAATAATAATAATAATAAAATGGTTACATTAATAAATAATGGGAATTTAGCAGTAGATATTCCACGAGGTGGCTCTTCTTTTCCACTGTTCCCATTTGAATTTAGAATGTTTGTTTTTATGGAGGAAGGAAAACCGGAGGACCCGGGGAAAAACTCTCGGAGCGACGACAAGAACCAACAACAAACTCAACCCACATGTCTAACATAACTTTACCATTATTTGTTTTAGTCACAATACGAGACTCATGATTTATTGAAGAACAAAACTCATTTCTGGCTCACGTCAACCCGTTGGGCCCCACACACGTCAGCTTTTATTATGGTTTTCGATGGCATCGTGAGTCAGAGCGATGCCATATCAAAAAAGTCATTATTTTTCTTCTGTGGCTCACTTCAGTAAGAAAACTGACCTTTTGTTTTGCTGACAGAAAACAACAGTTCGACAGCCAGCTCTTGCATGCCACCCGTTAAACGCTTTTGTTTGCTCATGTCTTCTTGTGAAATAGCCACCCACTGAGAAAATATATCAACGTTATTGAATAATTGGAAGTGTATGCAAAGCCTTGATTAAGCCCTCTAAATATGCTAAATATAGAAAGCTTTTCAATAATTAAATACCGCCAAAAGAGTTTCCTGTTGCCCTCTCTAGTTGTAAAAATTTTTGCGTCAAGTCGAAACTGCGAGGCATCGATCGCCAGCCATCACGCACTCACACGCACGTATTTCTACTTATCACGCACGAGAATGCAGTTTGTGTGAGGTTCATTCCATTGAAAGTTCTGGGCTTAGAATAAAGAAATGGGAAGAGAAGAGAAAAAATACAGCTCTGATTCAAACTATCAAGCGTAAACCGTTCTATTCAGCTTTTTTGTTTTGATTTCAGGAATGCTTTAGAGCCTTGAAATTATACCTTGCGGCAGTTAAAAGTCTAAGATAGTCGTCTAAGACAGCCAACAAAAAGTGAGGATTTTGTCTCCATAGTTTAAATGTCATTTAGGACAAACCGAAGTTTGTCCATAAACTTCTAACTTTTCCCACAGTACCGGCTATTACAATATGAAAGTGGTTTCAATCTGTATACAAAGAAAGAGCTGCAATTCCGTACGTTGATCGTAACGTTGCGGTAACAACAGTTGCGATAGCCACTAAAACAAACTTTTCTGGAAACGACTCCTTCATCGACTGTTGGGTGTGTTCCGTTCATCCACCCCGGCAAGTCCGTTCCACATCTTTGGCCTTTTGAAATGCATTTTGTGGCTATGCTTGTTCCAGCCCCCGCCGAGAATCTGTACCAGTCTCCTATCAAATATTTATCACATTTTTGGTTACCGCGACCAAAATCACTGTGTCGATCGGAGTCATTCAGAATCTTGTACTGATTGCATTCTGAGGCAGCTAAAAATGAAAAAGTAAAGGAATACTCAATCATTTGGCTTTATGAAAAGCGAAATGTTCTGATATCTCATAAAAGATGGCGAAAGCGAGGACATGGGCACCGAAACAATTTTTTGGGGGGTGGGGGTGGGGAGAATTTGCAAAAAAGATGGGTCTATATTTCCTTCAGATTCAGAGTCGCTCAAAACCTAGAACTGATGACGTTTTGAGATACTTGAACATTTAAGGTCCTTCGAAACAGTCATACACCTGATGATATCAGGAAAGTATCGTTTTAAACGAGCCAAAATAGTCATAGGCTGAAGAGGATAACTTGGATTTCAGATGGCGTTATCCCATTCCTTTCAAATATCTTACCTGTTTCGCATTTTAACCCACTAAAGCCTGCAGCACAAAGGCAGCGGTACCCGTGTGGTAAAAACCTGGATTGACATGTCCCACCATTCATACTAGGCGTGGTTCCACATGAGTTCTGGGAAATGATAAATGGAAAAAAACATTCAAATCAGACTGAAGGGGAAAGGAGGATTATGGGAAAGTACGAAAAGAATCTATGAACGTAATTCTTTCTGGAATGATAAAAGGTTAAGGTTTGCGAGCTGTAGCTCATAATTGCCATAGCTTTTCTCAGTTTCCCTCGAATGAAGTGACATGAAGAACTGCAGCTCTTCATCGGAATATGCTGATCTGATAGTTTTTAATCATTCATGTTCCTGGGTGGAGAGAGGCATTGTAACAGTAATGTGTCTTGCCCAAGAACATGACAATATAATTGGGCCAGGGCATGAATCATCCGACATGTGCTGATTGCAGTGTCCGCATCAACGAGGAACTACAATATTGAACAGCTCTAATGAGAAATCATTTAGCCCCTTTGTAAAATTATATATGGTCCGACTGCTATGACTTTGTATCTGTTACTTTCATTGAAGGGAAACTTGTGTTGAAGTGACATAAATTCTAGCCCTGAAACTGTCCTTTGAATAAAGCGACAAGCCTTCATAGAAGGGGGCTTTTATGATAGTTCTATGATAGGGTACCAATGGGGTAGTGGCTTTTACGGCTAACGATAAAAAATTTTGGCCATTTTACGGCTAACTGTCGATAACTTCCATTATTATACATTAAACTATGAAAACTCTGATTGGACGACAGCATACATTCAATTACAATGACGAATGAAGTTGACATGACAACTTAATGTCTGCAACAGAAATTGGGTTATTATGTCGATTTCAAAGTCTGCCTTGCCTCTAAGTCCCTCGTCCGCGTGGTGTTCTCAAAAAAAAAAACCCCAGAGAGAAGTGTTTTCTTTTTCAGATTGTTATAAAAAAATGTATAATAAAACAATTATTTTAACAGGGAAAGTCTCTTTACGAGTAACAGTTAGAATTTGTCAATATTTACGCTTATTTCTATGGCTAAACTTTTTGGCCGCTTAACGGCTGACGGTTATCTCCAATGAGATCCTTTTTCTGGGTACAAAAAAAATTGTAAAATTATAGGAAACTTTTATATACCTCAGCTCCACGATAAATGAAATTCACTCTCGGCTTTAAATCATCCGGATGTTGTATGTCTGTCGAATTGTTTAATTCACAGACCTCATCTCCTGTTACTCTCTTTCCAAAGTTGTACGATACGCATGCGTTCTCCAGATAACACTGAACTCTGCACGAATGCTCAGAGTTTAAGGCAATTGTTCGTATGACGTGTTTTTCCAGCGCTGAGCCATCTTTGGCATCCAAAAACTGCAGTATTCGGCAATTATCTGCAATAAAAAGTATGTTTTGAAAATAAGACATCGATAAGACCTCGCTATCAATGTTTAACGGCAGGTTGTTTCGTCTGGTTATAAATTATAACAGGTGTTGTTTCAGAAATCTGGAGGAAAAAACGGACTAGGAAAATGCATCGGCTGAGATATTCGCTGAGGGCAGACGACACATTTAATAAAATTGTCTCCGAAAGCCATCGGGGTTTTTTAATTTTGAGAAACTGCTTTAATGATGAAAACTAGAATTCGACTTATTGACATTTGAAAGGACCAAAATTACCATAAGAGTGACGTTCATCAACAAATAGACTAAAACAATTAAGGAGGCCTGACCCGCTAATCTAACCACGACTAACAAATAAGACAAAATATATTCATGCTTTTAATATGTGGAAACTCGAATTGAAAAAAAATATTCATTTTTTTTAAGCCGTAATCTCTTATCACATAGTTCATGTAAATAATTCCATGATTTCAAATTTAAAGCGTCGTGACAAACCAACCATCCTTTACAAGAACAGATAAAATGTAAATTCCGCTTCAGCCATTTAAGAAATGACAAATCATTCCCACATTATTTACGGAAGATGGAAGCTCTCCAAAGAGGCAGGGAAGCTGGGGAAAGCATGAACATTATACTCAACACAATTGTATAATTATCTCAATAATAACAAAAATGAATTTTACTTTTTGGTCACTCGGCAAAGAAAGAAAGAAGAATAAAGCATTGATCATTGAAATTTTTCTTTATGAAAACAGGACTAAACGTACAGAACAAATCTTTAACTTAGTGAAGCATTTCGCTGATACAATCTATTTTTTAAACTCACCTTCCGAAAGAACCACATAAACTGCAATCGTGAATAGAAAAAAAATGCTGATCAGTTGTTCCACCATAAGGAAAGATATCACTCCAAGAATCAGCAATAAAACTATTTAGCACAGTTCGTCACTGGTTTGAATTCTTTCTTGGCAAAATCGGAGCAAAACAGTTTGTCTCTCCAATTTACGTCCCTTTGAACTTACTGGGGATATGCCGTGATGAAAACAGGTCTTTATGATTAAGACAAGTTGTTTAGAAATGTCAGGTTTGCCGTGTTTTATCATTTATCGATGTTCGCTTTCCATGTGGGAGTTTAAAATTAGGTTTTCGCAATTGAATGGCAGCTCACGACATTGTTGTCACAAATTTCACAAAATGAAGAGAAAATTATACGAGAGCCATTGAATAACATTTAGAGGTTAATCTATTATAAAGGAAACGGATTAAAGATAACAATCACCTCTTCTGGGCGAAAATGATGTATGAAATAATAGTCGAATCTGCATTTGGTGGCGCCGTATTAAGCAGTCATTTGTCAAAGTCACGAATATGTTTCTCCTTAATCACTGTAATAGTTTTCACCTCTATTTAGCGGTCACTTCTAGTAGGCGGTAGCGGTCACCCTTTACAAAGTCCTTTTTTTATCGTCCTCCACCTGTATATAACGGTTACTGAAAGCGGAACTGTTCCAGTAAAACTAAGAATAATCTTTTAAGTAATTTTGAATTCATGTTTCTCTCTTAAAATCAAAGTAAGCGGTATTTTCGAGCGAAATTCTGTACATTAAGCGGTCAGTGATGTATTTAGCGGTCAACCCGCCATTCCTACTGTAAAAAATTTCGACCGTAAAAATTTCACTAATGAAAACTAGCTCAATAAATTGAAAGATATTCATTCTGAAGAGCTCGCTCCGAGATTTCCAAGCCCAAAATGGATCCCCAATAGAACAAAGGTCTGTATTTCTGCCTAATTCGAGACTATCTTTTTCCAGTTCAAACAATAGCTGCCTAATTAAACTTTCAAAGAATATCAGGTGAAGGCCGCTTATCTCGAGGTGGGTTTGAAGTCTAGCAGCCCAGCGGGAAGGTTTTCAGAGCGTTTACGACAACTAAGGATAAATGGAGTCAAAATTCTATTTAACAATATTGATAAACACAGAGGTCAAACGTTTACGAATGTACGAACGTATTATCCATCATGCTTTTAGGCCATTGGAACCGAGTGGTATCAAGAAACTCTCGGAGTAACGACAGGAAGAAACAACAAACTCAACCCACATGTCTAATACGGGGTCACAACATAAATCTCATGATTTATTGAAGAACGCAACTCATTTCTAGCTAAAGTCAATTTATCCGGCCCCACACATATCAGCTTTATTATGGTTTTCAACGGGATTGTAAGTCAGAGCAATGCCCCAAGGGTCATATCATAATAGTCATTATTCTTCTTCTGTGGCTCACTTTAGTTTAGGAAATTTAATCAAACTGACCCTTTTTTTTGCTGGCAGAAAACAACAGTTCGACAGCCAGCCCTTTGCATGCCACCTGTTAAACGCGTTCGTTTGCTTATGTCTTCTTGTGAAATAGCCATCCACTGAGAAAATTTATCAACGTTATTTAATAATTGGAAGTGTAGCTTCACAACAATCCTACATAAGAGACTCCTGCTCCATGCATGAGCCGATTTCAAACTCTTGGCAATTTTTTGCATTTAACAAGAAATTGAAATAGAAATGGCATGTGTCCTCAAAGCAGGTGTAATACATTCTCTGTAAATTATGGTCGAATCGACTGAAAAGGGTTAGAAACATCTAAATTACTCTCGGGCATTTTTTTGATAAGCATTCGATTTAGTAAGGAAAAGTCAAGGAGGGCGCCAAGTGAAGAAAGATGAAATTTATTACACACACTTTACAGAATTCTACCCTAACTGAACTGTCACTTTGGGTCAACTTAAAATTGACAGAAGTGACTAGTTAACGTAAGTACAATAAATGTCGAAAGAATGAAATTTCTCATGAAGATTAATTATTCTATTAATTATGCAAAGCCTTGATCAAGTCCTCTAAATATGCCAAGTATAAAACGTTTTCAATATAAATAATTAAATACCGTCAAAGGAGGTTCCTGTTGCCCTACCTATAGCTTTAATTATCTTTGGTCAGGTTGAAACCGCAAGCCATCGATCGCCAGCCATCACGCACTCGCATGCACTTACTCCTTTTAGAAAAATTATATCATGATACATGATTTACTGATTGGGTCAACTGTAAACTGAAGTAACTGGAGCAGATATAATACATGCCGAAAGAATGACATTTCTCATGATATTTACTCTTTTTATTATGCAAAGCCTTGATCAAGCCCTCTAAATATGCTAAATATAAAAAGCTTTTCAATAATTAAATACCGTCAGAGGAGTTTCCTGTTGCCCAATCTAGTTTTATAAATTTTCAAGTCAAGTCGAAACTGCAAGGCATCGATCGCCAGCCATCACGCGCTCGCATGCACTTATTGAGCATTTCATATAGGAAGGACAAGTCAAAGTGGGCGCCAAGTAAAGAAAGATGAAATTTATTTCACACACTTTACAGAATTCTACCCTAAAGAACTATCACTTTGGATCAACTTAAAATTGACAGTTGTAACTGATTAATGTAAGTACAATACATGTTAAAAGAATGACATTTCTCATGAAGATTAATTACTTTTTTTATTACGCAAACCCTTGATCAAGCCCTCTAAATATGCCACATATAATAAGTTTTCAATATGAATAATTGAATACCGTCAGAAGAGTTTCCTGTTGCCTTACCTATAGTTTTATTTATCTTTAGTCAAGTCGAAACCGCGAGCCATCGATCGCGAGCCATCACGCACTCGCACGCACGTATTTCTACTTATCACGCACGAGAGTGCAGTTTGCGTGAGGTTCATTCCATTGAACATTCTGGGCTCAGAACAAAGAAATGGGACGAGTAGAGAGAAAATACAGCTCTGATTCAAATTATCAAGCGTAAACCGTTCTATCCAGCTTTTTTGTTTTGTTTTCACGAATGAGTTAGGGCTTTGAAATTTTAACCAGCAGCAGTTAAAAGTCTAAGACGGCCGTTTAAGATAGTCAACAATAAGTTAGGATTTTATATCCACAAATTAAATGTCATCTAAGTCACTGCACAAAAACAACTCAGAAAAACTTCAGTCCTTGAAATGTATTGAACTCATCTTCACTGTTGCTGAAAGCCAAAGACTGCAACGGGGAAATACGATGTGTTGTGTAAGATGAAACGGCTTTCTCCAACCGGAATAAAACAGTTCTATAAAATGCCTATAAACACTTTATCTTCCCCATCCGTTTTAAGAGACTCCAATCCATTTTAAGCCGATCTCACACTTCCTATGACCATTTCCGTTGACTATAACAGGAATTTATGTGACAAATAGCTCGAGGCCTCAAAGGAGCTGTGATACTTCCTCTGGAATTATTCGTCAAATTTGAATAAATGTATTACAAATAAGTTCAACCTTTTAGAGCGGCATTTATGGAGAACAACTCTCGGATCTCTGGCTGTAAATGTTTCTTTTCAAGCTAGAGTTGCAAATTCGATTCCCGGGTTGATACACGCGCATGCGATAAACACCAAACCAATATAGGATCTTTTCTTTCTTTATTCCTTTTCCCGTTCCTAGGGGCGTTATTACATCGAAGCAGTCAACTGAAATCGTTACGCGAAGAAAGTACCTAAATATTGTGATCATAGCTTAAGAATAATGTCGAGTTTTGGAAACGAGCACGTGGCAATTAAAAGAACCAAAAGAAAGGTAAAAAACGAGCGACAAGTTTCGCTTTGAGTAACAACTACGAGCTAGGTAACATAATCACAAAACAAGTTATTGCTTACCAACGTTCGCGGACTTTAGCGAGGATTACAGTCTAACTTGTCTTCTATTCAAAAACGATCTTGATCACACGGGGTCTTATCCTGAACTGAAACGTTAACTATAATTTTCTGTCTAAAAGGAACTAATCACTTAGGTGTCAATCTAACTACAAAGTATTTCGCAGCTTTTCCCGGAAGCAGTAACATTTAGCTTCAACGGAAGCAGTTACACTAGCGACAGGGAAAGTCAAAGACACAGTAAAGTTAAGAAAGATGCACTTAATTACACGTATTAAAAAAACCTTATACCTTCAAGAACAATAACTTAGTGTAAGCATCAAAATTACATCGTCTTTTATCATATACTGATTGGAGTAGTTGCTAACTGAAGGAACTAAAGTAAGCATCTATAATACCTGCTGAGAGAATAGCACTTCTCATAAATTTTACGCTTATAATTCTGCAAAGTCTTGATCAGGCCTCCTTAATATTCTAATGAAAATTCTTAAAAAAGGACGAACTCTTTTAAAGTTAAGTTTCATTCTTGACGTGTTCGTGGTATCTGAATTAGTTCAACGGCACGTTAAACAAACGGCTAAAGATCAAGGTATAATGATATACAGTATCCTTAAAAACAAGATTTGAGTTTCAGCCTCTAACTTTTTCCACAGTACCGGCTGGCGCAATCTTGGACCGGTTTCAGTCTGTATACAAAGAAAGAGCTGCAATTCCGTACGTTGATCATAATGTGGTGGTGACAACAGTTATCATAGCCATTAAAACAAACTTTTCTGGAAACGACTCCTTCGTCAACTGTTGGGTGTGCTCCGTCCATCCACCCATGCATGTCCGTTCCACATCTATGGTGCGGTAGGCAGTGAGTAGGTATACTCGTTCCAGCCCCCGCCGAGAATCTGTACCAGTCTTCTGTCAAATTTTTATCACTTTTTCGGTCGCCGCGACCAAAATCGCTGTGTCGATCGGAGTCATTCAGAAACTTGTACTGTTTGCATTCTGAGGTAGCTAAAAATGAAAATGTATTGGAATACTCAAGCATTTGGCTTTATGAAAAGCGAAATGTTCTGATATCTCATAAAAGATGGCGAAAGCGAGGACATGGGCACCAAAACAATTTTTTGGGGGGTGGGGATGGGGAGAATTTGTAAAAAAAGATGGGTCTATATTTCCTTCAGATTCAGTGTCGCTCAAAACCTAGAACTGATGACGTTTTGAGATACTTGAACATTTAAGGTCCTTCGAAACAGTCATGCACCTGATGATATCAGGAAAGTAACGTTTTAAACAACTGCCTCGTAGACGGCACTGGGGAATAATTGTGCCAGAGGACAACAACGATAAAGACAACAATATATCTGTTATTCCATTACTGCTTCAATTTATCAGATAAATTCATGAGGACGCGCGCAAAGTATGCCACGTTTATAGACGGTATTACATCGTAGAACAGGGCAAAATTACAGAGCAACAAACTTTTATTTTTCTTTTCTGCGTTTGTTAGGCTTGACTTGTGAAGAAACGAACTTGTACGCGCGACAGATCTTTTAGTTGGTCACATAGAACACTTTAATGGTTTTGTCCGTGTTGTTTCGTATTTCGTGTACTCCTTCTGCGATCGATACGATACACAGAGAGGGCCGTAGGATGTATTTCGCAAACTCAAATCAAAATATTAAAAAGTGAAATAATAGTGGAGTCATATATTCCTAATTCGATGGTTTAACATATAACACGAGAGGACATTTTGCTCGTATTTTTCTACACAACTTTTACATAAAATACTACTCAACTCTCAAAACATCCGCGCGTACTTTAAGTTAAACCACTGAATAAGGTGTATTTATAAAAAGTTAAAGGAGTTATTCTACTTTTTTAATTGAATATACATTCAGACAATACTGACACTATTTACCCTCGATCCCACGTGTAACATAGAGCATGCGCTAAAAATGGTGGAAAGGACACTTAACGTTTCCGAAAGTTTTATTTTTGGCCGCTCATCCAAGTTAAGGGTCCAAATAAGTACAAAAGATACCCTGCTGCTAAACCTTTTACGTGCGAACATGAAGACCTATTTCGAAATATTCCGTTCGCTCTTAAAGAAAAAACCTAAGAATCACCAACCTGTATCACACAGAGTTCCAAGGTACCCCTCAGGGCAGTCACACTTGAACCCATTGACAAGATCTCGGCATGATCCTCCATTGTGACACGGATTAGCGCTGCAATCGTCTATATCTGCAATTCCAATTGTGATTGGCTTAGCTAAGCATGATTCGCTACCTTACGCGTCGCTCCAATATTTTGTTGGGGAATAAACACTACATGAAATGTTCAATTACTCGCAAGACAAGGGACCTGAGAGGGTTCAAGGACTTTTAAGAACAAGAAAAACTCGTTATATGGGATTATTTATTGCAAGATACCCCCAGTGACTTCAGAAACGGGTCTAGTCAAAATTTGCCAGGAGATTATGTTCTTTTTTGGTTTTTTTTTTTTTTGCAGTTATTGTTTTTTGTAGTGTCGCAGCTGACTATGGAATTAGGAACTATTCCTGCTCTCTCTTACTTCCTTGAGCTCTTGAGGTACAAGTGACAAATTCTTAGTTTTGTTAGACGTTTTGAAAGACTGATCTAAAATGAGCTAAAATAGTCATGGGCTGAAGAGGATAACTTGGATTTCAGATGGCGTTATCCAGTTCCTTTCAAATATCTTACTTGTTTCGCATTTTAACCCAGTAAAGCCTGCAGCACAAAGGCAGCGGTATCCGTGTGGTAAAAACCCGGATTGACATGTCCCACCATTCATACAAGGCGTGGTTCCACATGAGTTCTGGGAAATGATAAATGGAAAAAGAAAAATTCAAATCAGACTGAGTAATCTGAGTAAAGTACGAAAAGAATCTATGAACGTAATTCTTTCTGGAATGATAAGAGGTTAAGGTTTGTGAGCTTTAGCTCATAATTGCCATAGCTTTTCTCAGTTTCCCTTGAATGAAGCGACATGAAGAACTGCAGCTCTTCATCGAAATATGCTGATCTGATAGGTTTTAATCATTCATGTTCCTGGGTGGAGAGAGACATGGTAATAGTAATGTGTCTTGCCCAAGAACATGAAAACATAATTGAGCCAGGGCGTGAATCATCCGACATGTGCTGATTGCAGTGTCCGCATCAACGAGGAACTACAATATTGAACCTCTCTAATGAGACATCATTTAGTCCCTTTATAAAATTATATATGGTCCGGCTGCTAAGACTTTGTATCTGTTTCTTTCATTGAAGGGAAACTTGTGCTGAAGTGACATCAATTCTAACCCTGAAAATGTTCTTTGAATAAAGCGACAAACCTTCATAGAGGGGGGCTTCTGTGATTTTTCTATGAGAGGGTCCCAATGGGGTGGTGGTATTTATGGCTAACGATAGAAATTTTGGCCATTTTACCGCTAACGGTTAATAACTTCCATTATTATACAGTAAACTTATTATAAAAACTCTGATTGGACGACAGCATACATTCAATTTACAATGGCGAATGAAGTTGACATTATCATGTCGATTTCAAAGTCTGCCTTGCTTCTAAGCCCGTCGTCCGCGTTGTGTTCTCACATTTATGACAAACCCAGAGAGAAGAGTTTTCTTTTTCAGATTGTTTAAAAAAATGTGTAATAACACAATTATTTCAACAGTTAAAGTTTCTTTACGATTAGCGATTAGAATTTGTCAATATTTACGCCTATTTTTAAGGCTAAACTTTTTGGCCGCTTTACGGCTAACGGTTATCCCTATAGAGATCCTTTTCTAGATGCAAAAATTGTAAAATTATAGGAAACTTTTATATACCTCAGCTCCACAATAAATGAAATTCACTCTCGGCTTTAAATCATCCGGATGTTGTATGTCTGTCGAATTGTTTAATTCACAGACTTCATCTCCTGCTACTCTCTTTCCAAAGTTGTACGATACGCATGCGTTCTCCAGATAACACTGAACTCTGCACGAATGCTCAGAGTTTAAGGCAATTGTTCTTATGATGTGTTTTTCCAGCGCTGAGCCATCTTTAGCTTCCAAAAACTGCAGTATTCGGCAATCATCTGCAATAAAAAGTATGTTTTGAAAATAAGACTTCGATAAGATCTCGCTATCAATTATTTAACGGTAGGTTGTTTCTTCTTGTTATAAATTATAACAGGATGTTATTTCAAAAGTTTGGAAGAAAAAACGGACTGAGAAAACACATTGGCTGGGATACGCACTGAAGGCAGACACCACACTTAAGAAAATTATCTCCGAAAGCCATCAGGGTTTTTTTAATTTTGAGAAACTGTTTTCCTGATGAAAACTGGAATTCGACTTATTGACATTTGAAAGGACCAAAATTATCATGAGAGTGACGTTCATCAATGAATGAGCTAAAATAATTAAGCAGGCCCGACCCGCTAATCTAACCACGATTATCAATAAGACAAATTATATCCATACTTTTAATGGTGGAAATTCGAATTGGGGGAAAAAACTTCCTTTTTTAAAGCCTTAATTTCTTATCACATAATTTATGTCAACAATTCACACGATTTCAAATTTAAAGCGTCATGACAAACCAACCATCCTTCATAAGAACAGATGAAATGTAAATTCTGCTTCAGCTACTCGACAAACGACAAATCATTTCCGCATTATTTACGGAAGAAGATGGTAGCTCTCCAAAGAGGCAGGGAGGTGTTTACTAACTCGCTTTTTCGTGTGTATTTTTAACAGACGCAGGGGTAAGCACGAACACCATACCCGACACAATTGTATAATTTTCTCAATAATTGCAAAAAGGATTTATCGTTTGGTCACTCGGCAAAGGAGGAACGAAGAATAACGCATTGATCATTGAAATTTTTCTTTATGAAAACAGAACGAAACGTACAGAACAAATCTTTAACTTAGTGAAGCATTTCGCTGATACAAACTATTTTTAAACTCACCTTCCGAAAGAACCACATAAACTGCAATCGTGAATAAAAAAAAAATGTTGATCAGTTGTTCCACCATAAGGAAAGATATCACTCCAAGTATCAACAATAAAACTGTTTTACACAGTTCCTCATTGGTTTGAATTCTTTCTTGACAAAATACGAGCAGAACAGTTTGCCTCTCCAATATAAGTCCCTTTGCAATCACTGAGGATATTCCGTGATGAAAATAGTAATGATGTCACGTTTTCAGTGTTTATTAACGTTAATCGATGTTTGTTTTCCTGGTGGGAGTTTCGCAATTGAATGACAGCTTACGACATTGTTATCACAAATGTCACAAAATGAAGAGAAAATTCTATTAAAGCCACAAAATAACTTTTGGAGGTTAATCTATTCTAAACGAAAAGGATAAAAGACAACAATCACCTCTGCTCGGCGAAAATGGTGAGTGAAATAATAGTCGAACCTGCATTTGGTGGTGTCGTATTAAGCAGTCATTTTTCAAAGTCTCAATACAGGGTAATTTTGCAATATCAACTGAGTTAATAGCGTAATTTGGCCACCGTAGAGAGTTTAGCCCTTCGTTAGCCCCTCGTCAGAGCGAATGGGGGAATTGTGGATTTTTATCTCAGTCATTTTTTCAAATCGGCTCTAATACCCCCAGCTGGTTTTTCTTTTTCGTTATTTAAGATAACTTCCCTCTCTAATCAGCCCCCCTCCGATAACGAACTTACGAGAAGAGAAAATGCGTCAACAACACCAAGGTTCTCTCCCTCCACCCCTCCCCTCTACTTCTTTCTAAGGCTTTAAGTTTCTATCAATCTTCAATAATAGGTCCCCTTATACCCTTCCCTTGAGAAAAAGAAAACTATCACATAAAACGCGTTAGGATAATATTCCTTTAAGGATGCTACGCAAATGGTTACACCGTAAAATTTTTTGCTCGATGTTCAATTCAAATTCTGTTTGTGTTTATAAAAACCTCTGTTTTGATTTGTGTTGGTTTTTCAATCAAACAAATGCATACTATGTACGATATTCACTGCAGCTAAGCCATAATTCACAGCAACATAAATTACTTCAATTCTATTTTTCCAAACATTAATTAAACAACCCCCACCATCGGATCATGACCTCGGCTCGCAGCCAAGCGGGAACTTAAGGTTTTCAGAGCGTTTACGACAACTAAGGATATTGATAAACACAGAGGTCAAACGTCTGCGAATGTACCAACGTATTATCCATTATGCTTTTAGGCTGTTGGAGCTCAGTGGTATCAATAAAAGCCATTTTAGCAGTAGACATTCCACGAGGTGGCTCTTCTTTCCACTGTTTCCATTGAAATTAAGACTGTTTGTTCTTGTAGAGGGAGGAAAACCGGAGGACCCGGAGAAAAACTCTCGGAGCAACGACAAGAACCAACAACAAACTCAAACCACATGTCAAATATAACTTTATGATTATTTTTTTGGGTCACAACATAAAACTCATGATTTATTGAAGAACGCAACTCATCTCTACCTAAAGTCAACCCATTCGGCCCCACATATGTCAGCTTTATTATGGTTTTCAATGGGATTGTGAGTCAGAGCAATTCCCCAAGGGCCATATCATAATAGTCATTATTTTTCTTCTGTGGCTTACTTCAGTTTAGCAAATTTAATCAAACTGACCCTTTGTTTTGCTGGTAGAAAACCACAGTTCGACAGCCAGCTCTTTGCATGCCACCCGTTAAACGCTTTCGTTTACTCATGTCTTCTTGTGAAATAGCCACCCATTGAGAAAATATGTCAACGTTATTGAATAATTGGAAGTGTAGCTTCACAACAATCCTACTCCTGCTCCATGCATAAGCCGATTTCAAACTCTTGGCAATTTTTTGCATTTAACAAGAAATTGGAATAGAAATATCACGTGTCCTCAAAGCAGGCGTAATACACTCTCTGTAAATTTTGGTCAAATCGACTTAAAAGGGTCACAGACATTTTTTTTGATAAGCATTCGGTGTAGAAAGGACAAGTCGAAGAGGGCGCCAAGTGAAGAAAGATGAAATTTATTTCACACACTTTACAGAATTCTACCCTAACTAAATCATCACTTTGGGTCAACTTAAAATTAACTTATTAAAGTGAGTTCAATACATCCTGAAAGACTAACATTCCTCATGAAGATTAATTACCCTTTCTATCATGCAAAGCCTTGATCAAGTCCTCTAAATGTGCCAGGTATAAACCGTTTTCAATATAAATAATTAACTACCGTCAGAGGAGTTTCCTGCTGCCCTACCTATAGTTTCATTTATCTATGGTCAGGTCGATCGCCAGCCATCACGCATTCGCACGCACTTATTTCTATTATGAAAATTGTATCATGATACATGATTTACCGATTGGGTCAACTGTAAACTGAAGTAACTGGAACAAATATAATACATGCCGAAAGAATGACATTTCTCATGATATTTACTCTTTTTATTATGCAAAGCCTTGATCAAGCCCTCAAAAATATGCTAAATATAAAAAGCTGTTCAATAATTAAATACCGTCAGAGGAGTTTCCTGTTGCCCTATCTAGTTTTATAAATTTTTGCGTCAAGTCGAAACCGCGAGCCCCCATCGATCGCCAGCCATCACGCATTCGCACGCACTTATTTCTACTTATCACGCACGAGAGTGCAGTTTTGCGTGAGGTTCATTCCATTGAATATTCTGGGCTAAGAATAAAGAAATAGGAAGAGAAGAGAGAAAATACAGCCCTGATTCAAATTATCAAGCGTGAACCGTTCTATCCAGCTTTTTTTTCAGGAATGAGTTGGGGCCTTGGAATTTTAACCTGCAGCAGTTTAAAGTCTAAGATAGTCGTCTAAGGTAGCCAACAATAAGTGAGGATTTTATATCCATTGATTAAATGTCATTTAATCGATGGATTATAACCTAACTTTTTCCACAGTACCGGCTAGGACAAATTGAAACTGGTTTCAATCTGTATACAAAGAAAGAGCTGCAATTCCGTACGTTGATCATAATGTTGTGGTAACAACATTTACCAAATCCACTAAAACAAACTTTTCCAGAAACGACTCCTTCATCAACTGTTGGGTGTGCTCCGTCCATCCAACCCGGCAAGTCCGTTCCACAACTTAGGGCACCTGGAATGCATTGTGTAGCTATGCTTGTTCCAGCCCCCGCCGAGAATCTGTACCAGTCTTCTGTCAAATTTTTATCACATTTGCGGTCACCGCGACCAAAATCGTTGTGTCGATCGGAGTCATTCAGAATCTTGTACTGATTGCATTCTGAGGCAGCTAAAAATGAAAATGTATCGGAATACTCAAGCATATGGCTTTATCAAAGGCAAAATGTTCTGATATATTATAAAATATGGTGGAAGCTCGGACATGGGAGGGTGGTGGGGGGAAGGGGGGGGAGAGAAAATTTGCACAAAAGATGGGTTCATATTTCCTTCCCGTTTTTTAGGCTTGACTTGTAAAGAACTGAACTTTTACGAGCGACAGATATTAAAGACCTATGTACCTTCACAAGCAAAGAGAATGTCACCCCTTTTTCATCATCAAGGTTTGTATTCTGATCGACGTATCCATGTTTGTTTAGTTCACAAATTCCTTTCTTGTTCACCTCGGATAGCTCTCTGAAGTTCGTTGAAGTACACCAGGAGTTCCTGAGGCACCAGTGATTGCATGACATAAAACTGGGAGATTGAAACTGTTTAACGACATGACCATTAAGCCGAGTATTTTCTCGCGTCTTAAAGAGAGCCGAATTAGTACAAGTGGCGTGTTCTGTAAACATTATTCCTAGAACAAGGATCAAAAAGACATTTTTCGCTGCAACCATTTCTCGACGAACACGCGCAAAGTGAATCATGACTTAGAGTGAAACTCGAGAATCCTTTTTCGTCCTTCACTAAGCAAAACTCAAGTTAAAATGTGAGGGGGCAATTTGTCGATTCCTGCTAACAGGCGTTCATTATCTTACGTCTGGGAAAATTAAGAGTGACGCTGGACCACACAGAGGCGTTTAAATTACAATATCCTTGACATACAATATTTTCAAATGAATAATTAAGTTTATTCATTCCACGTTTAAATTTTGTATTCAGCTTCTTGTCGTCAAGCAGCGCTATTGTCTTTACAGTGATGTTTTTTCTCATCAAGAGCATTTCACAAAGAGACTCGAGAAAGAAAGAAGAAATAGAGTCTCTTGTTTAGGAAGAGGATGACGGAGACTTAAATAGCATTTTGCAAACCTCTTTGTTAATATTAATACTAATAATAATAGTAATAATAATGATAATATGATAATAATAATAAATAATGGGATTTTAGCAGTGGACATTCCACGAGGTGGCTCTTGTTTCCACTGTCTCCACTGGAATTTGGAGTGTTTGTTCTTGAGGAGGGAAGGAAACTGGAAGACCCAAAGGAAAACCCTCGGGGCAACGAAAAGAACCAACATTAAACTCAGCCCACATGTCAAATATACTTTACCATTGTTTGTTTTAGTCACAACACGAAACTCATGATTTATTAAAGAACGCAACTCATTTTTGGCTCACGTCAACCCATCCGGCCCCACACACGTCAGCTTTTATTATGGTTTTCAATGGGATTGTGAGTCAGAGTAATGCCCCAAAGTTCATATCATAAAAGTCATTATTTTTCTTCAGTGGCTCACTTCAGTTTAGCAAATTTGATCAAACTGACCCTTTTTTTTGCTGTTAGAAAACAACAATTCGACAGCCGCCTATTTGTATGCCACCCATTAAACGCTTTGTTTGCTTATGTTCTTGTGAAAACTCATAAGCCGATTTCAAACTCTTAGCAACTTTTTGCATTTAACAAGAAATTGGAATAGAAATAGCACGTGTCCTCAAAGCAGGTGTAATACATTCTCTGTAAATTTTGGTCAAATCGACTTTAAAGAGTCACAGACATGTTCAAATTATTCTCAGGGATTTTTTTGATAAGCATTCGGTATAGAAAGGACAAGTCAAAGAGGGCGTCAAGTGAAGAGATAAATTAAATTTACTTCACACACTTTATAGAAATCTACTCTAAAGAACTATCACCTACAGTTGACAGAAGTAACTAATTAAAGCAAGTGCAATACATGCTGAAAGAATAACATTTCTCATGAAGATTAATCTTTTTATCATGCAAAGCCTTGATCAAGCCCTCTAAATATGTCACATATAAAAAGTTTTCAACATGAATAATTAAATACCGTCAGAGTAGTTTCCTGTTGCCCTACCTATAGTTTTATTTATCTTTAGTCAGGTCGAAACCGCAAGCCATCTATCGCGAGCCATCACGCGCTCGCACGCACTTATTTCTACTTATCACGCACGAGAGCGCAGTTTGCGTGAGGTTCATTCAATTCAACATTCTGGGCTAAGATTTAAAATTAGAAGAGAAGAGAGAAAACATAGCTCTGATTCAAAATTATCGAGCGTAAGCCGTTCTATCCAGCTTTTTTGTTTTGTTTTCAGGAATGAGTTAGGACCTTGAAATTTTAAACCAGCAGCAGTTAAAAGTCTAAGACGGCCGTTTAAGATAGCCAACTATAAGTGAGGATTTTATATCCACAAATTAAATGTCATCTAAGTCACTGCGCAAGTAGAACTCTGAAAAATTTCAGTTTTTGAAATGTTTTGAACTCATATTCACTGTTGTTGAAAGCCAAAGACTGCAACGGGGAAACACGATATGTTGTGTAAGATGGAACGGCTTTACTCAAACGGAATAAAACAGTTCTATAAAATACCTATAAACACATTTATCTTCCCCATTCGTTTTAAGAGACCCCGATCCATTTGTAAGCCGATCTCACGCTCGCTATGACCTTTTTCGTTGACTATAACAGGACTTTATGTGACAAATAGCTCGAGGCCTCAAAGCAGCTGTGATACTTTCTCTGCAAGTTTTCGTCAAATTTGGATATATGTAAATAAGTCCAACTTTTTTAAGAACGGCATTAATTGAGAACAACTCTAGGATCTCTAGCGACAGGGAAAGTCAAAGACACTGCAAAATTAAGATAGATGCACTTAATTAAACGTATTACAAAACTTTTACCTTCAAGAACAATCACTTAGTGTGAGCATCAAAATTACATCGTCTTTCATCGTATACTGATTGAAGTGGTTCCTAACTGAAGAAACCAAAGTAAATATAATAACCTGCTGAGAGAACATTATTTCTCATAAATTTTGCTGGTATAATTCTGCAAAGTCTTGATCAGGCCTCCCTTATGTTCTAAATGAAAATTCTTAAAAAAGGACGAACTGTTTTAAAGTTGTGTTTCATTAGTTCGCCTTTAGTTCTCTTTAACGGTAGGTTAAACAAACGACTACAGATCAAGGTATAATGATATACAGTATCCTTAAAAACAAGATTTGTGTTTCAGCCTCTAGCTTTTTCCACAGTACCGGCTGGCACAAACTTGGATCGGTTTCAGTCTGTATACAAAGAAAGAGCTGCAATTCCGTACGTTGATCATAATGTTGTGGTAACAACATTTACCATAGCCACTAAAACAAACTTTTCTGGAAACAACTCCTTCATCAACTGTTGGGTGTGCTCCGTCAATCCAACCACACAAGTCCGTACCACAACGTAGGCCACCTGGAATGCATTGTGTAGCTATGCTTGTTCCAGCTCCCGCCGAGAATCTGTACCAGTCTTCTGTCAAATTTTTATCACATTTTCGGTCACCGCGACCAAAATTGTTGTGTCGATCGGAATCATTCAGAACCTTGTACTGATTGCATTCTGAGGTAGCTAAAAATGAAAATATATTGGAATATTCAAGCATGTGGCTTTATCAAAGGCGAAACGTTCTGATATCTCATAGAAGATGGTGGAAGTAAGGACATCGGCAACCACAACATTTTCCCCTTTTTTATGGGGGAGGAATTTGAAAAAAGATGGGCTCATATTTCCTTCAGATTCAGAGTCACTCAAAACCTCAATTGTGCTGATGACGTTTTGAGATACTTGAACATTAAAGATCCTTTGAAATATTCATGCACCTGATGATATCAGGAGTGTAAAAATTTAAACAACTCGCCTCGTAAACAGCACTGGGGAATAATTTTGCCAGAGGACAATAACAATAAAGTCAACAATATCTTTGTTAGTGCACTTATAATTAATGCATCAATTTATTAAATAAGTTCATAAGGACACACAAAATATGCCACGGTAATAGACGGTATTGCACTGCAGAACAGTATTCTATTTTACATAGAATACTACACAACTCGCAAAATATCTGCGCGTACTCTAAGTTAAACCATCGAATAAGGAGTTCTTCAATTTTTTTTTAACTGAATATACATTTAGACAATACTGATACTATTTACTCTCGATCCCATGTGTAACATAAAGCAAGCGCCAAAACGGTCGAAAGGACACTTAACGTTTCCGAAAGCTTTATTTTCGGCCGCTCATTCAAGTTAAGGGGTCAAATAAGTACAGAGGATCGGCCCTGCTGCTAATCCTAACCTTAGACCTTTTACGTACGAACATGAAGAACTATTTCAAAATATTCGGCCCTTCGCTCTTAAAGAAGGAACCTTAGAATCACCAACCTATATCACACAGAGTTCCAGGGTACCCCCCAGGGCAGTCACACTTGAATCCATTGACAAGATCTCGGCATGATCCTCCATTGTGACAAGGATTAGCGCTGCAATCGTTTACATCTGCAATTCCAATTGTGATTGGCTTAGCTAAGTATGATTCGCTACCTTACGCTCCAATATTTTGTTGGGGAATAAATGCTGTATGAAATTTTGAAACGAGACAAGGGACCTTAGAAGGTCCAAGGACCTTTAAGAAAAGAAAAACTGGTTACATGGGATTAGTTATTGCAAGATACCCCCAATGACTTCAGAAACGGGGGTAATCAAAATTTATCTGGAGATGGATTTTAGAATGATTTCATTCCTTTTGCTACAAGAAATATTTTTTTTATTTATTTATTATTTATTTTTTTTTTTTCTAGTTGTTGGTTTTTGTATTGTCGCAGCTGACAATGGAATTATGAACTATTCCTGCTCTTTCTTACGTCCTTGACCTACTTGCTCGAAGATAGGTATTATAGAGAAGTTACTAAAAACACTTCACGAACTATAACTTGTACAACATGTATCAAACTTAAATCTATAGCGAAACAGTAATAACAGTCAAATGTAAGGCAGCAAGTTGTTTGTTTGTCTTTTTGCAGTGACCAAAAGTATTCATTTCGAGGCGCACAAGTCACAAATTATTACTTTAGTAAGATGTAAAAATGTCGAAACGAGAGGCTGATCCAAAAATGAGCCAAAATAGTTATGGGCTGAAGAGGATAACTTGGATTTCAGATGACGTTATCCAGTTCCTTTCAAACATCTTACCTGTTTCGCATTTTAACCCAGTAAAGCCTGCAGTACAAAGGCAGCGGTATCCGTGTCGTAAAAACCCGGATTGACATGTCCCACCATTCTTACAAGGCGTGGTTCCACATGAATTCTGGGAATGATAAATAGAAATTTTTCATTAAATTCAAAACAGTCTGAAGTAGACAGGAGCCTAAAGGAGAGTACGAAAAGAATCTGTGAACGTAAGTCTTGCTACGGAGAAAAACGGTTTAGGTTTGCTAGCTTAAGCTCATAATTGCCATAGCTTTTCTCAGTTTCCCTTGAATGAACCGACATGAAGAACTTCAGCTCTTCATCGGAATATGCTGATCTGGTAGTTTTTAATCATTCATGTCCCTGGGTGGAGAGAGGCATGGTAACAGTAATGTGTCTTGCCAAAGAACATGACAACATAATTGGGCCAGGGCGTGAATCATCCGACATGCGCTGATTGCAGTGTCCGCAACAATGAGGAACTACAATATTGAACTGCTCTAAAGAGACATCTCCATGCAAGTGTTACATTCACTCAGTAAAATTATATATGGGTAATTTAGTATTAACAACTGAGTTGATAACGTGAATTGGCTACCGTAAAGAGTTAAATTGCTAACGTTTCGAGCGTCAGCCCTTCGTTAGAGCGATTGGAGGAATTGTAGGTTGTGTGTGGGTTATATATGCAGAAAGTGGAGCCACGCTATTGGTGGGAATATGGTGACGAGAGGCCAAGAAGAAATTAGTTGAATCAAAAAGTGCTCGTTGATACCGTGGGAACTAAAGAGTGCCGATTTGAAAGATAAGTTTTTGTTTCAGAGTTTTGCGGCTTTCCTATCTGCCTTGATGTAGGGAAAGGCAGCATAATACTAAATTACCCTGTTACACTCTCCCACCTACGCAGCACCACAGTTTCTTTAGAAACTTAGCCCCTTATAAAATTATATATGGTCCGACTGGCATGACTTTGTATCTGTTACTTTCATTGAAGGAAACCTTGTGTTGAAGTGACATTAATTTAAATTTGTCAATATTTACGCCTTTTTTAAGGCTAAACTTTTTGGCCGCTTTACGGCTAACGGTTATCCTCATTGAGATCCTCTTCTGGGTACAAAAAAAATTGTTAATTAAAGAAAACTTGTATACCTCAGCTCCACGGTAAATGAAATTCACTCTCGGCTTTAAATCGTCCGGATGTTGTATGTCTGTCGAATTGTTTAATTCACAGACCTCATCTCCTGCTACTCTCTTTCCAAAGTTGTACGATACGCATGCGTTCTCCAGATAACACTGAACTCTGCACGAATGCTCCGAGTTTAAGGCAATTGTTCTCATAACGTGTTTTTCCAGCGCTGAGCCATCTTTGGCTTCCAAAAACTGCAGTATTCGGCAATTATCTGCAATAAGAAAAATATGTTTTGAAATTAAGACATTGATAAGACCTCGCTATCAATCATTTAACGGTTGGTTGTTTCGTCTTGTTATAAATTACAACAGTCAGAAATCTGGGAGAAAAAAAAGGACTGGGAAAACACATCAGCCAAGGTAAGCTCTGAGGACAGACGCCACACTTAAGAAAATTATCTCCGAAAGCCATCAGGGTATTTTAATTTTGAGAAACTGCTTTCATGATGAAAACTGGAGTTCGATTTATTGACATTTGAAAGGACCAAAATTACCATGAGAGTGACGTTCATTAACAAATAAGCTAAAACAATTAAGGAGGCCCGACCCGCTGATCTAACCACCACTTATAAATAAATAAATCGAAGACAAAATATATCCATTTTTATATAGTGGAAATTCGAATTGGGAAAAAAAATCCTTTTTTTAAGCTTTAATCTCTTATTATATAATTTATGTCGATAATTCTCGCGATCTCGAATTATTTTATGAAAGCGTCATGACAAACCAACCGTCCTTCACAAGATCAGATAAAATGTAAATTCTGCTTCAGCTAGTCAAGATATGACAAATCATTCCCGCATTATTTACGGAAGAAGATGGAAGCTCTCCAAAGAGGCAGGGAGGTGTTTACTAACTCACTTTATCGTGTGTATTTTTAACAGACGTAGGGGTAAGCACGAACACCATACTCAACACAATTGTATAATTTTCTCAATAATAATAAAAAGGATTTAATTTTTTGGTCACTCGGCAAAACATTGATCGTTTAAATTTTTCTTTATGAAAAGAGGACCAAACGTACCGAACAAATCTTTAACTTAGTGAAATATTTCGCTAATACAATCTATTTTTAAACTCACCTTCCGAAAGAACCACATAAATTGCAATCGTGAATAAAAAAAAAATGTTGGTCAGTTGTTCCACCATAAGGAAAGATATCACTCCAAGTATCAACAATAAAACTGTTTTACACAGAACCTCATTGGTCTAAATTCTTTCTTGGCAAAATACGAACAGAACAGTTTTCCTCTCCAATTTACGTCCCTTTGCACTCATTGAAGATATGCTGTGATGAAAACAGGTCTTTGTGATTAGGGCAACTTGGTTAGAAATGATGTCACGTTTTTCTTGTTTTAACGTAAATCGATGTTTGTTATCCTGGTGGGAGTTTCGCAGTTGAATGGCAGCTCACGACATTGCTATCACAAATGTCACAAAATAGAGAGAAAATTATATTAAAGCCATTAAATAACTTTTGGAGGTTAATCTATTCGAAGCTGAATGGATAAAAGACAACAATCACCTCTTCTCGGCGAAAATTGTGGGTGAAATAATAGTCGAAAGAACCTGCATTTAGTGGCGCCGTATTAAGCAGTCATTTGTCAAAGTCCCAAATACGTTTCCTCTTAATCACAGTAATAATTTTCACCTAAGGCAGTCGCGGTCACCCTTTACAAAGTCCTGTTTTTATCGTCCTCCACCTGTATTTAACGGTTACTGAAAGCGGGACTGTTCCAATAAAACTAAGAATAACCTTTCCAGTAATTTTGAATCCACGTTTCTCTCCCAAAATCAAAATAAGTAGTATTTTCGAGCGAAATTCTGTACATAAGTGGTCAGTGATGTATTTAGCGGTCAACCCGCCATTCACCGCGGGCGACCGCCTAATACAGGCTCGACTGTAAAAAAATTTCAACCAGGAAAACTAGCTCAATAAATTGAAATGATACATACATTCTGAAGAGCTCGCTCAAGCCCCAACAGAACAAAGCTACGTGTAGAGTAATGTTTAAGGATTTTTATCTCAGGGTAATTTTGTAATATCAACTAAGTTAATAGCATAAATTGGCTACCGTAAAGAGTTTAGCCCTTCGTCAAAGCGAATGGAGGAATTGTGGATTTTTTTTCAAATCGGCTCTTATACCTCCAGCTGGTTTTTCTTTTTCATTATTTAAGATAACTTCTCTCTCTAATCAGCCCATCAGCCCCTATCAATCTTCAATAATAGGTCCCCTTATACCCCTCCCTTGAGAAAATGAAAACTATCACATAAAACGCGTTAAGATAATATTCCTATAAGGATGCTACGCAAATGGTTACACCGTAAAATTTTTGTTCAATATTCAGACAAATTATGTATTATACAACAAATGCATACTGTGTACGGTATTCACTGCAGCTAATCTATAATTGAAAGAAATATATATCTGACTTCAATTCTATTTTCAAAATGTACGTTAATTAAACAACCCCCACAATCGGATCACGTTTTCGTCTAACTTCCTAGCGGGAAGGTTTTCAGAGCGTTTACGACAGATAAGGATAAATGGAGTCACAATTCTATTTAGCAAAGTTGATAAACACAGAGTTCAAACGTCTGTGAATATGCGAACGTAGTATCCATCATGCTTTTAGGCCGTTGGAACCTAGTGGCATCGATAAAAGCCAGCTGCAAGCGGTCTACCGCTGCCCTCTAACCGCCCTCTTATCTGTTGAGCCTGCGAGCATACCCATCTATTACACCATCGGCAGCCGCTTTATTGTTATTGAAATCGAAGAGAACTAAGTTGTCTCACAGGAGTTACAGAAAACCGCACAAATTAGTCGCAGTGTTTCAAAAGCATATAATGCTAAAGGTCAAAACAAAATAGTAAATCGAAATAGTATCCGTAATTGGATAATCTTTGTGTTGGAAAACACCTCAATTTTTCCTTTGTATACTTCTAAACATTTCTTTTGAAAGTTTTAGTTTTATTTCGTACCTTGGCGCAAAATAGGTCGTTCGGGGAACTAGGATTCGGAGTTCGAATCTTCCTGGATAAGAGACATGAAGCCTATTCTTCGTTAAAATCTATAAATGTTTAAACTCTCTTATCTATAAGAAATCGCCTGTTTAAACCGCTACAATTTGCCGCAATGTTTGAAATTTCATCGCCCTTCTTCTTTTGGCACGAATCGTTTTGCACTGACACTATTTCTCTGATTAAATAAAGGCTATTAATTCTTTCGTTCCCCCCAGGATGATCAAAACGGAAATTCTCTTAACAATAACAATACCTTTTCAAGCAGAAAGGTGACGTGAAGATTTAATTTCCATCAAAAGAGAGATATCGTTTGATTTAACTTCAAATTCTTTGAACTAAACTGAAAAGAAACGTTTTGCAAGTGGTAAGGAGAATTTGGGTGTTGAACGTGAAGGGCGCATGCGGCACGTAGAAATCTGGGTTGCGAAAGAATGACTGCAATTAACAGCATTTATCAATGAAACCGGCAAAGCGCTTTAGATGATAAATCATTTTAAAAGCATTTAACCCTGACCTTTGGCTACAAACAGATATTCTTACACTCATTTTGGGAATTTTCCAGCAAAATCAGTGTTAAACATGTTGGCTTAAGTCCATTAATAAGAGATTTGTTGTAAAAACTGTATTTGAAAAATCTACACCTTTAATGATTGGGACATCGGTAATAAAAGCTTAGGTTGTTTGTATATCTACATCAGACAAAGCCAGTTGTTTGAAATTTAATTGAAATGAAAACTGCTTTGTTAAATTCCGCTAACTTTTATGGCCGCTATACACGAAAGTTCACAGTGCGGCTTTCATTGTAAGTACAGATGCGAAATACAAGTCAAGCAACCTTTGAAAATTGTCAACAGTTTGTGGATTGAAAACAGTTTGCGAAACAAATTTCGTTCGTTTAACTGATGACATCACATCACTTTAAGTAAAAGAGAGGTATTTCCTTAATTACTTTGCTGCATTGTTAATTGGCAGAAACATGTTACTTATCTCTGTATACGTTATTTATCTAACGGATTAAATATGTCACTTTGCCCTAAGGTAATTTCACTTGAAAACTGACGTAGAAGAGGATTTTGTTAAATGCATGCAGGCAATCAATTATACTACCCGTAATTAACCAGCTGTGTAAATAGTAAATTAGGGTTGTACGTGACTGTAAAATGTGAATGGTGATAAGCAACATTGTTTAAAAATGGACTTCAGCAAGACCGCCTCCTCACAGAAGCGTCAAACTACAGCTAATCGGTATGCGTAGGTAAATGAGTCTGCTCTTTCACAGTCACGTCTCAACTTATTTACTCTCGTGGAGTTTCAAAGAGTTTTCTTAGGTTCTACTAAATCAAAACCATCAGAATATTCTCGAATGACATCACTGAGCCCCTCGATTTGTGAACTAATTGGACAATTTAAGCGTCATTCCAGTTTAATTGGAATTTACGCGTCATTGGCGAGCTCTCCTTTTCAGACAGCTGGAAGTAAAGGTCGTAAAGAAATTATCTTTGTGGATCAAAGAAAAATTTTGCGGAAAAAAGCCTGTACAAATTTAGGCTTACAGCAAGATACGAACCAGTGCCTCTCGGTAACAAATTGTGCACTCACTCACTCTACAGTTGCTTTAATTGCTGCGAAGATCTCTCCTTCACTTCGCGGGTCGAACATCATTTATTTCATTTAACTAAGAGTGTTAGGTTTATTATCTTTTGGAAAAAAGCCTTTGTAATTTTCCTCCTATGAAGACGTTTCACGAATGGGTATTTTGTTCTCAATTCTTTCGGTAATAATATTTATGACTGACGCGACAATCCAGACTCCCCGGCGCTTAGAGGTCGTCCAATTTGGTTCATCGTTCGCATTGTCTCAGAGCAGCGTGACTAAGCAACACCCTTTCCTTTCTTAAATTTTGTTTACCTATAAGAAAAACAGACAAATTTAGGGACCCCGTTAATCAATATGAAAATTCAATCTGCATATCAAAACTTATCTTTAGAGTGCTTTTCGATTGAGGGTCGTAAAACCAAAAGCGAAGTAATCTCCACGATCGATCAAAAGAAAGGATGATATCGAATGATACCTATAAGAATCAATGAGAACTCACAGCAAAAAAAAACCAATTAAACTGCGCATGCCTAAAGCGCGGGAAAAACGCGGGCCACCAAATCTTGATTGGTTTTAGTTTTGTAAATCGGTTGAGAAATGGCGCGAATTTTCTAGACCAATGCAATCTCGGATTACTTTGGACATTTTAACTGTGACAAGTTCACTATGGAAATAATTTATCATGGAAAAAATAGCCTCTCAGCTGTTGTATCATTAGCTGAGGTTATATGTCAATAGTACTTATCAAGAAAATTTTCTTAGGTAAATTTTCATTTCCGTTTTGTTCAGCCCTCTTGATGAGTGCTCTTGTCAAGACCTTTGCACTTCAAAAATTGTCTGGTCGGTTTTGAAACTATGGAACTCACATAAAAGGAGTTTTTGTCATGGAAATTAGATCCGATAAATGCGCTTAATTTAATATTTCTTATAAAATAAACCGTTTCGTAGTTGCCGCTGCTGATTTTGTGATTTTGAGGTCTGTAAGCTTTGGCTGACTCGTGCTCATGGTGTGAGAAGAGAAACGCACTGCGTGACCCTTTACACCGTAATATCAGTATTAATATTCCCCATGCTGTTCTCTATACATTTCCTAAGGTGCTAACAAGGAGAATTTGTTCAACAATCAAGAGCTTCTTTAGTTGGTGGTCATTTCCTTTATTCTCATGACCTTAATATTTGATTCAGAAGGATAGTGGAATGAGAAATTAGTTGCTAGTACCTCACAGGCGTTAAAGGGTTAGAGAATGCAAGCGAACACTCAGCATTTCTGCCCAGGCATGTTCAACGTTGGATCACTGTGACCTTCAGCTCTTTCATTTACCCTTGTCAACAAACCTATGAGAGAGGAGACTAGAATCGGACAATCCTGACTGAAAAAATGGAATGAAAAAGATCAGTTAAGCCGATCATTTTGCTTTCCCCTAACCTACTATGTATTTAAAACCAGCGCGGCCAATTTGAGCAAGCACACGGTACGTAAAACTTCAACGCAATACTTCTTAAATGATTGGAGAAATAAGCCATTTAGGCAGATAGAAAGGTGACAGGTGGCTGTGATACTTAATTGAAGCTAGACCTATTAAAATTCCTTCCCGACACCAACTGCCAAGTAATTTTTTTGAGTGTCTGGTTCAACACTTAATGTATCTTTGATGAGACCGACCTGTTGCATGGCGTTAGTCTTTTTTTCTTTATCCTTTTCACTGCCAGGAGTGTCCAAAAAGAAACTTTCTTCCGACAGCATTCGTATATTTTCATAAGAAAATGATGAGAAGTAAGACAGCTATCATAAAGAAAATATTGTGGATTCAGCACCAAATTCTTAGAGTTTAAATTGTAAAAATGTGTCACAACAAGAGAATGTAAAGTTTATGTTATCTTAGTCACAAACAATGCAGAGAAGCGATATTTAAATCGTGATAGTGAAAAGATCATATATCGCAATGAAAGCTAATAATATCGTGCTAAGATACATGTGTGGCGAAAAGGGAATTTGGAAATAAATTTTGAGCAACCTCTGAGTTAAAGTGCGGAAGCAGCGCTTCGCAGTGCAAGGTCCAGTAAAACAAAGAACAGTAGTTCCAGCTTATGTAGACTCCTACGTGTTATGGAACTAAAACGCAATTTGAACCTTTTGTTTCCTAGTCAGACAATGTATTGTCCAAGTAATGCAAGGAGCTTGTCTCAAACTGGGAACAGATTCGCTTCGATGCTGAAAAATTCACTCAAGGACAAAAATTGCCATGGTAACGGAAAAAGCTTCTTTAAGCGTCTCATAACCTTGGGGTTGTGTAACCTTACTATTTGTCTATAGTCACGTTCAGGGCGGTGCTAATTGAGCGAGGAAATAATTTTAAAACGTATAGCACGCGTGTGAACGCAGGCGTCACATTGTCAACATGGTTTTAGCTCAGTTACATGACTCTGTAATGTTATATTCAATAACATAAGAAAGCAGTCTTGGATAGCCTTGTCAATAAAATCGTATTACCTCATTGTCTCTCCACTTCGTGGCAATGAAATCCGGCCGGCTTTTTGGACTTAACTTTTGACACGGTTCTTACACAGGGCATGAACGAGCGCACGATTCGCTCAACTACCACGTCAGTAAAGTTTCTCTGAATAAAACTGCGAACCAATTAGGTATGGAAAGAACACTTCACTTCAACTAAGGAAAATTTGTTTTCTATTAAAGAGAGGAGGGGAGAAGGCGTCATTGTGAATTCTGAAGGTTCAGGGTTAGATACAGATATTAGGTATCACGTTTTAGAGACACAAGCCCTCCGGCACCGACATTAAACATTCTTACTATTAATATTACCATCATGTTTTTCATCGGTACGGTTAAGCCCTCACGTATACACAAATACATAACTTGCTGCGCTTTTAACCAAATACAAATGAAAAAATTAACCCTGAATTCTCTCCGTCTTAGCTTTAATCAATATAGAAAAATAATGATCACAAAAAGGTGTTCTGTCCACAACGACACCAGACGCTTCCACATTGTGGCAAGAATGGATTGTAAAAGCTAAGCGGCAGACTTGAAGTTAAATTCTTCTCGAGTGTCGAAACGTGATTTAAATCTATGTTGCGCACTATGCAATCCCTCAGCAATATATTCAACACCTGCCATGATAATTTAGGTACTTCAACGCAGAAGAGTATTAATGCCTAAGGAACTAAAATGTTGAGAGGTACATAATCCTTATTGCGGTCTATCTGTCTACATTGTATAAGATTGATTTACGCGTAATCACCTGTGCTCTGACTACAGTCAATGATGATTCATTTTCATCGTGGAACTAACTCGCGTATTTTAAAAAACATAAGTCAGGCTATTGCTGAAGATTTTGGTTCATGCCCTTGCATTATTTGCTGGCTCAAAAAAACATGAGAAAATGAATTGTCCCACGTTTGCCCACACATGAGTTATCAAGCCGCCATGAAAAAATTCAAACCGTTCAAGAACAGGTATCTTTAGTCCGGATACTGATATCAAGGTAAAGAGCTTTTCATCGGAAATGACTAAACATCAAAGCACCTACCGGACGTAGTAATGTAATAACCGTTGTTAAATTGAGTATCATAATTCTCAAACCTATATCACTGAAGATTTCGTGTTCACTGAAATATTCTTCAGACAAATTGGCATCGAAAGAACAGTCTCCAGAGTAACGGTGAAACTTTCACACACTCTTCTGAGCTTTCATTACCAATTGCGTCCATTTATAAACTGTTATATCGCATGTCAAGATGAAATAAAATTTTCGAAGTTTGATGCGTTAAAAGAAACCTCAGTTAACAAATTAACTGCTAAAGACAACAAACTGTGACTATAAGCAAGACACACAATTTGAAAATTGGTTCATAACTATATTTGCCTCTCTATTTTTATGTGTGATTGCAGTTTTTAAACTAATTGGCCTATCTTAACAGTGCTATATGCTTTTGTATTTCTATACCAGTTATGCTTCTACATTGTTTGCACCACTAACCCATGCTAGGGTTGAGGAATTGTAAATGGCAATTGCCCTAAATGACAGCTTCCTATCTACGAAGCCTAAATTTACAACAATTTGCTTGGGGCTGTGTTTCTTTGTACAATTAATTGCTAGCTTTTCTCTTGTTGACTGTATACATGTTTTGATTGTGATCTACAGCAATAAAACAGTTACGATTTGGTCGCAAAATATTAGGTTCTTATTTTGCTAATAAGAATTGGTAATAAATTAGAAAAATTGATTTAAAATATCTTTTTTCTGATATCTTGGTCTACAATATCCGCAACTCTACAGCTTGCCGTCCTTTTTTTTAGTGAGAATATTGATTGGAAATTTATACGAGTCGCTAGCGACTGAGTATTTCGAATAATCAGGATGCTCATCTTCTGTTTTTTTTGTTTTGTTCTTTTAAACGGCCTACCAACTAACGTATAGTAGCTCTATTTTGTATATGAGTTCTCTGGTCTCTGTAAATGCGTTCAAGTTGAAACCAAGTTTAGATCTGCGGCTGTCCAATTAGTTCGACGTGTGTTGGAAAGAAATGTTGTCCGTGTAACGAAGGAGTACTGAGCGGTGGCGTCGGTGGTGCAACCGTTTGATATGTGAACGACGGCGCCATCGAATTGGCGGGGAGAGTTGGGGAAGGGACGTAAGACGGTGGAGGTGAATAATAAACCGTATCGTAAACAGTGCCAAAGACAAGTGTTGGAACGCCATTGTATTCAATAAGCTGTAATGGTTGCACCGAAGGCTGCATAGATGGAATCTGTCCGTTTGGCGACTGAGGAACCGGCGAGATCAGTGGTACTGATTGAAGCTGTTGAGCGGGGAAACCAGCCGAGAATCCGTTGGTAAAACTGGAAGCGAATGGCTGCGACCTGGAGATCAAAACAATAAATTGTTTTTAACTATGCTTTTACAATAAGCAGCTGTATTGTTGTAAGAAGCCGGCTTAAAACAAAGTTTTTGAAACTTAATTCTTACCCAAGAATTAGGTTCAAATTTCAAAAAAAACTAATTCTTTCGGCTGGCGAAGACCGCGCGAGAAAGATTTATGTCTACAAATAAACTTTACGAGGTTCAATTTTGTGATCTTACAAAGTACACATTTTAAGAATTTAGGTATAATATTCAAATCATTTGTCTTGAATGGAAGTTAACCCTCTTTGTCCCAAAGGGGACAAGATTACGTTGTCACAGTTCTAAAAGATCATTTCCCTTATTTCTTTGATGTAAAGGTTTGAGGCTTTGGAGAGGCTTCATGTCGTACAAGCTTGTTTACAAGTGTCTGACTGATGGGATACTTAGCGCTTATTAATCAAGCCTTTGTAAAGTTTATAGTTATTACTTGTTGACCTGATTTACAAAACAAAATAACTGACTTAAGACCAGACTCCTTTGTTCGTGTTTGTCTCTTTTTATAAACACTTTTTCGGACTTCGACAAAATCACAACGTCGTATACCGGAAAGCTCCCAGACTTATGCAGACTCGGTATTTTGAAGGGGGTCAATAACTACTTGTATTATCAAGACTGTAAAGTAAATAATTGACGAACCACCCGGATAATTGTTGAATACCATAATAAGAGAAGTCTTGTCGGACCCTTTGATTTTTCTTATGTGTTTCACCATGCAATTTAGTAATCTTTGTTTTCCTTTATAGCATTATGGGCCATTTGTTAACTGCGTGGTCTGTTTGCAAGGCTGAAAGGTCGCAAGCTATTAGCCCCATTCTCTTCGAAGAAACATTTTAAAGGCTATGAAAAGTTGTTTCATTAACGGCTTCACACAAAGTTCTTCCGAATTCTTTTCAAGCAGACGTTAAATTCAACTTACGAACAAGTATTTCCCGTTCGATCAGTTCCAAGGTATATTGAAGAGTCTCAAGTCTGCCGAAAGAGTTTTATACAATACTAAAATTACCTACCTTTGTGATAAAAAGGTCACTAAGATTAAAGAAAAAAATTCGCAAAGTACTCATTGTCCATTAAAACTGCTGACAGCTAGTCTCATCTGAATGATATTGAAATCGTTGGCAGCCTTACCCTATTATCGTGTTCTGTTTATAGACAAATCCCTGACTGGCAATGGCATTCTTTCCATTTCCTGAAAACAAAGAGAAAAAAATTACGTGTGTTGGCGTTTGTAATCAAACAGAAATATTTACCTTAACAGTCTTGCCCAGTTATTGATACCCGGTCTCCTTTCGATTCAAAGCTATTCAAGCGAGAAATGAGCCAATAATAAGATGTGAAGTTATGAAATGTTTATAGAGTTTTCTCGGGTAAAATCGATTGCAGATCGCATACACATCTTAATGGTGATCGTTGTAAAACTGACCTTTGAAAGGTTTCGGTTTCGCGCCGAGATAGGCGAAGTTGACATTCGCTCGTCTACCATCAATGATGGGATTCATGTTTTCACACGCCTTTTCCGCGCAATCCTTGTCGTGGAACGTAACCTGGAGATGAAATGAAATCATTTCAAAATCAGTGGATCCCAGACGAGAAATCGCTACGTTGCTAATGACGCGCAAAAGTAAGCGCAGCCATACTTACAAATCCATAACCTTTCGACTCTTGAGTGGTTCTGTCTCGAATCACAACAGCCTCCTTGATTGCCCCGTATTTCAAGAAAAATTCCCGTAGCGATTCATCGTTTGTACCGTACGGAATACCTCCGACAAACAGTTTTTTAAACTTGGTGTCTTCGTTTCGGATCATCTACAGTTCCTCTCTCTCCTTCCGTGTAATACGCGCGCTCTGTTAGTAAGAAGTCCCGCCGTCCGGTCTTGGATGACTTTAGTCGAGAGATTACTGGCTTTTGGAGTGACTGATCACTAGCACTGTCAGGGGTCTTTGTTAAATATGCAGACTACCGTTCCAGTGTGTACATATCACTAATTTGCACGTGTATGATGTGTTATAATACTGCTTGTCTATTGAGTCCCTCGGGTCCGTATTAGGAGATTAAGTGTTAAGCCAATGATGTGATGGGGCTGCTTTCTTCAAACGAGTCCTGCGGGACGTGTGATTGATGGAGTGTCGAAAACCAAGCTAATTAACAGTTTTAAATCCCCTTTGACAAGTTTAGCTTTTTTATACAGCCTTACAGTCCAGGCGATAATTGTAACGAAGACTTCTGCTACGAGCGTCTTGATGGCCTGAGTGGACTGAAAACCTAGTTAAAAAGTTTCGCAATATCTACCCTTGCCTGAGGACACACTCAACAAAATCCTCCGCTAAACCATTCAGACACAATGAACTTATGTTATGCTAATTCCGTTTTTTTTTGTGAATCATAACGACAGCTCGAGTAAAACGATGCCGGGCCATTTCATAAGAGCAAATTCAAACGTACCCAGCTGCCCACAATCCTGTTTGACGCACAAAGCACTTCTTTTTACTTCGATGCGCTTGAAATCACCCTCACAGGACATCACGTAGCGCTACTAAATCCTCCACACTACAACAAAAAAAGCTTCAAATCATTGCTGGACACACTATTTAATTGCTTACATAACGAGTCAATAATTCTGATATTTCCTTACTTATTTTGAACCCTGTAAAAAATACCAACAACTGACAATATTGTAATTGACCTCTTCCGAAGTGCGTGAAATTCTGCACGCCCCTGTGGTCCTCGTTTTGATCTCACTGTAGCTTGGTATCGTATTAAGAAGTTGTTGATTTTTTCATTCATCGCAGTTCTGTACAAATTACGTAGAGTACCCTCGATGTTTTTCTAGTCAATTGAATATTTTTACGCGCGCTAACAATTTCAACAAATTTCACGGATGGATTCGAAAGCGATACGCACAGAATAACATTACACGGGTATGCAGGTTTTGAGAGACGACGGAAGGAAAAACCTGTAACATTTGTAATATTGGATTGTTGTGGCATTATAACGGTTTCCTCACAGCCTCTTAACAAGAACGATAGGCTCTTTGCTTAATAACTCAAAACAATGGGAGTAAATATTTACGAGGTACTCTGTTTGTAAGGATCTCAGAGAACGACATTACACGATCTTTGTTAAAAATCTATATTAACATTTCTACAAAAAGGTGCCCAAAAAAAATTGTGCCACCAATCTTAAGTGAATTACAAGCGTTTATTAAGGTAAAACCGTTTTCAATGAGAGTCCTGACTGAGAACATAATTTGGGAGCCGATATGTTTATGATCGTATCGTCGTGAAAAGTAGCAGGTTTTTGTTTATCCTTTTGATCGTCTAGCTGATAGGATTTTATTCAACCGGAAGAGGGCATCAGCGATCGTTACCGGCACATATTGCAATTTTTTTTTTACTCAGAGGAAAGAGCTATCTGGCTGATGCCGAAGATGTCGAACAGTTCACAAGTTGACAGAAAATGAAAACACCCGCATATACTCGTCAAATCGGTTTCTTTCAAGGTTATTTTAGGCACTGTGGTATGGCTTATTGGCATTTTAATATCGATGCAACGATACATGAAATAAATTTCATTTATTTCGCTATCTCGCTTTAGTTAGGAGTATATTTCTTTCAATGAAAAGTGCAAGACATGAATATTGTCTACCGTTGAGCAAATTGTCTAGCCTGGGGCATTGGACACAAAAGACGTGATCTTGATTACACGATGGAGGTTTAAAACTTAAAGATTACGCCTCACAGATGTCTTAAACCCTCTCTTTGTGCTTTGATCGAATACAAAAGCGCTACTAACATTTAATCACCAAACAGGAACCGCAAGCGTGTCAATGGAGATCAGTGTTGTTCTTTTTGCAATGAAAGCCGTTGTTCGTTTTCTAGCGGTACTGCAGAAAGGTCGAAACCCCAAAGTCATCCAAGCCGGATGGCGTCGAAATTGTTTTTACTAACAGCCTACGTTGTTAAGTAAAAGCATTTTATAGGAGAGAAATAACGTTGCAAAATTTTTTGCCTCGAATTTTAGCATTTTGAAGTTTTCGTTGAATAATTTAAATCGTGTGCAGAAGTTCCTGGATAATGCTTCAAAGTACGACCCGAAATTAATACACTGCTAACAAAAAATCCACAAATTTACCCCATGTGTACAATCAGTCAATCTATTGATATTAAATTTGATATAATTATAACTCTTTAAACAAATTGAAAATCAATTTGTTCTCGTGTTTGCATTTCTCATTTTTATTATTCATAAGAGCTTCTGACGTTTAAATAAATGATGTTTCCTGTATATCTTCGATGTTTCTAGCAACGTAAGGAGAAAGAAAATGATTCCTTGTTCCTTATTCAAATGGAACTTCTGAAAATTGATGTTTCAACGAAACTTTCATCACAAGTAGTTTGTCAAAAGGAAAAAAATCATCACTCAATTATAAACTATCAAGGTTAGTTATTGAAAGGAAATTGAAAATATTAACGACACTTCACCGTTCCAAAATAAACCAAAATTTGTCGTTACTTCACTGTTCTTCTCTTAAAACCCGAAATATTGGGCAATAAAAAACGAGAAGTCAGCCATATGTTGAAACCATTAAGCTATTAGGATTAAAAATGTTCTTGAAAGACAATAAGCTTGCAATCCCTTGCTTACTGCCTGCTTGCCACACGAAATGTTGATTAATTCTTTTAACGTCGGAAAAATCAGACAAACTAAGGCCTACCGGATTAGGTTAATAATTTGAAGTAATCCTTTCCAAACAACGACAGTATTATTGAATTTGGATTGCTCTCCAACGGTTTGCACTCGCCGGCTTGTTTACTCTAAACAAAGCTGGATCGTGTTAAAAAGATTCCTTGCAGCGCTGTGAATGCAAGTTATGCATGAAATGAGGAAAAGCTGATTTCCTACACAAAACACTGCTGAGACGGATTTTTCTTAGCTCATAGATGTATCCGGACAACGAGATCTGTGTAACAGTGTATCCGTTACAATAATATCTATGATCATGGCCGACGCGGAAATTGGTTGCTATGGAGAAGAGGAATCAGCTTTCACGAAAACTAAAAAATTAGAGGAAGTATTGTAAGGCAGAAAATTCCAAATCAAATCCCAGTATTTCGATTGTCCTTCTACAGCTTTACACTTGAATAATAAAGATGTCGGTGTTATTGAGGCAGTGTTCGTACTAAGTTCATTGTAAAAGGCGTTCTGTTCACTGATTGGGTCGACATTAATTCGAAGGCGCGCTGTGTGGAAATTGAGAGACATGGCCGGCCTGTGACCTGTGTTGTGTTCGATCTTCGAAAGAGGGAAGATTGTGGAAAATTTTCAGGAACGTGCCTCAAAGGAACAATGAAAATCTGTCTCGTTCAGGAATCTTTTAATTTAGCGGTTCGACTTTCTAACAACTGAGCGTCACTCATCATATTGGCGATCAAGGACATAAAGTCACCGTAGCTCACGCATTGAGAAAATAGCACACAGCCGGCTGGTACCAGCAGTGACTAAAAAATTCCCGTTTCACTGACCACATTGGCTATCGAGGACTTATAGTCACAATAGCTCATGCTATGCGAAAATAATACACAGCCGGCTGGCACCAGCTATGACTAAAAAATTCCGAAGCAAAATAGCTAAAGAAAAGATTGCTGTATAGAAAATTTCAGAACAGCAACAGGCTCTGAATTGTATTTCGATCTTAAACACAGTGACTAAGGCCATCTACTTGAGACACAATTTTTTATAACTCTTAACCAATAGGAGCGAATCCTAACACTAACTAAACTCCTCACGAAACTTAAAACTAGACGGCGCGTCGACATGGTCAAAGAATTCGTCAGCGAGCTTGATTATATTCTACATTTAGTTACCCTGAGACCTAGCACTTTGAAAATGAGAATTTTTTTCGGTCTACTTGACATTTTTCAAAATCGTGCCACCAATAGATGGCCCTTTTAACGGTTACTACGCCCCGTGGTCAAGTTACCCCGCTCAGATCGAAACGATGTTTATTCATTAGCTAAAATTCTCACCTCGTATTAACATAAGTTCGCATATTGCGCTTGGGTTTAGGTGTGAGCTTAGCTGGGCTGTGTCAAATGCATTTTTTTCGTGATCATTTAAACCCGAGAAAAGATCGATTGAAGATTGATTTGGAACTCACGAAAATAACTTAAAGCCCAGTACGAGGGAAAAGGCAAGTTATATTTGAGTGGACGCCCCCGAAGGCTGATTGGAAGAGCGAAATTTTCAAAGTGTTCTGTTTGCTATCTTAGCGAAAATATCACGCAAATAATCTTGTTACAAAATGTACACATGAAAGTGATCTTCGCAGTAATGAACACTACTTGAGCAGTAGTGAAAATAAGGCCTGAATAAATTTTTTCAGGCCTTATTTTTACTACTGCTCAAGTAGTGTTCATTACTGCGAAGATCACTTTCATATTCACGTCTTTATCCGCAGTTCAAATATATGACTTTCATATATTCACAGTCGTTTACTAAATGTAATAAGCATACTTGATAAAAAGAGTATCATTTGATACTTACACCCCATAAAAGGGAGCCATGAAACCATGTAGATTAACTACAACTACTAGAAGAAAGAACTCGATTATCGCGAATTGGAACCACTGATTGTAAGTGGGGAAAGAACTTTGGAAAGAAATGCCGAATGTGTTACAAGATAAAGTTATGGCATGGAGCGAAGTCATTTAATTAGAAGCGATCTGACCATGGGGCAACGTACCACTAGGTTACCAGGAATTTTCTTGAAGTCTAGGGAAGGTGAAGATTTAGATATATGAAAATTCACATATTTGCACTGCGGTGGAAAGATGAAATTAAAAGATCCTCGCAGCTAAGAACACTACTGAAACTAGTAGTTGTAAGTAGGACCTGAAAAAAAATTTGTTCAGGTCCTACTTACAACTACTAGTTTCAGTGGTGTTCTTAGCTGCGAGGATCTTTTAATTTCATCTTTCCACCGCAGTGCAAAAATGTGAATTTTCATATATCTAAATCTTCATTCACTCGGATGTTTATTTGTACCCAATTCATTGATCAGCTCCCAGTTGGCTTGTTAGCTCAATTGGTAGAGCGCTGCACCGGTATCGCAGAGGTCATGGTTTCAAATCCCGTACAGGCCAAAAAAAACAAAAACAAAAAAAAAAATTTTTTTCAGGTCCTACTCACAACTACTAGTTTCAGTAGTGTTCTTATCTGCGAGGATCTTTTAATTTCATCTAGGGAAGGTGTTAACAGTTTTCTTTTACGTTCGTGTGAGACCTGGAAACGAATACTGAACCGACGGGAGAGGGCAGATGATCTCGATTGTGCCAGTAAATATACAAAGAAACTGTAAAAGGAACCGACAAAAACAAGAACAAAAAATAAAAACAAGTCAAGGACCCAAAGATTGGTGTAAATTTCAAGGCAATTTTGAGAAAAGTAATTTTAAAAACAAAATTTCGTAAGGTACAACATATTTCAGTATCAGCTGATATCCCGAGGGGTGATTTGAAGGAACCCCTGGGCATTTTCAATGTCGTGGGGGGAGGGGAGGAGGAGAGTGTATGAAAAAGCTAAATATGCCAAAAATGGTTTCAAGTTGACTACACAAGTAAAATAGCGAGTTGTATTATTTTAAGAGAGTCCCTAAATTGCAATAGACCTTTATAACGAGGTCGCGGAATTGGCAATGACGGTGGAATCATTAGCATCTTTAAATATTGACATTGTAGCATGCAGCCGCGATTCATAAATTTACCCGAAAATTTCGCTATAAAAAAAGAGAAATTACTATGACGTAAAGTTTCATGACGGAATCGTTTGTGTTGTGCATTCGGGGGTAGGGGGTTTGAGGATATGGTGGGAAAAAGCGCCAGAAATCTAAACCATAGTATAGATGTTATAATATTGTTCATGAGCGATTGAGCGAGAAAAGAATATTCTAGGGTTACACTTTAAGACCTACTGTTCGTGGTATATGGGTTCATTCCCTCGAATATAGTAATTTTATAAAGAGTTAAAAATCAAAAGTTGTAAACGTTGTTTTTTTGTTCCAAGGAATTGGAATGATTTGTGGAATTAATCTCGCTGTAATAAAACTATACATCGTATCATATCTTTCAACATTTCCTGAATAGAAAAGTTTAAAAAATAAGACACATACATACCTTCCAGGTAGGTTCATCATGCATTTCATATCGCAAACAATTTTTGCGCTGAAAACGTCCCTGATTGCATAAAAGGCGTACTTTTAAGCAGCCATCTTGGATAATTTTTTGGCGAGAGAAACTGGGGCGAATAAAAAACTCAACCCTTTCCTCCCCCGTTAGTATTTTTTTATATCGACTGTATGTATGTCTTATTAAAAACAAGCAGACGTGAACAAGAGCGAACTAATTAAGATTACCATGCGAAGAAAAATCCAAGGAAAGTGAAAAACGAGGGGAAAAAAGTATTGGACTGTAGGTTCAATATTATTTCCTTTAAGTTAGTTTCCTGACGATACTTCAATAAAATTATCTGACGTATTATTTATTCCGCTGACAGGAAAGCTAAGAATCCAACAGACCATATTACCATATTAGGAAAACTGTGTAATATTTTTCACCCCTCCCTCAACTAATCTGTTGGTTTCCTTGCAGAAGCTTGTAGTAAAGTACGCAGTTTTTCTCTTTGTTGTAGCAAACTTCTGAGATGTCTGGTGACTTGAGTGCCCTTGTAGCTCGTCTTGAAGCAGTCACATCACGTTTAGAAGCTGCAGCTGACAAGGCCGGCGGCGGAGAACCAGCAGGTTTGAAAGTTCGCTGAAAGCATAGCGTTACTTCATACGGAAATTTTATATTGGAGAGAGTTTTTAGGACACGTAGTTTAGATTGAGTGTGATTAAAGGATTTGACTTTAAATTGCAGATTTGGGAGTTATTGTTGAAGAGTACGACCAGGTAAAATAAGTGACAATTGCTTCTTACTAGAAGAGAGAATTGTAAGGTCATGATCTTCCTTACTTGTTGTGAATTTGAAATTTTAGATATTTTCGGCTTCGCAAATTGAATGAAAATATTTCAAATATACTTATCGCTTCTGTTTTCGTAGGTGCTTAAGGGTAACGTGGCCGAATTTTTTAAGCTGTCGAGCAAAATTGGTGGCGATGTAGACACCCAGGTAATGCACAGATGCTAACTTCAACTCCCAAGTTGATCCATCAGTGCATCCCTAGTCATAATTATGTACATTGTTATACCAAATGCAACTTAAATTCACTTCATTCATTGTCGTTATGTTAGAAGAATGTATGTAAATGTACCTTTCAGTTTCATGTGATCAAAATGCCTTGTGCTGATTATGTAGTGTGGTTGTCTTGCCAACTGGCACTAAGAATGGACCTGTCGCTTGTGACAGGGAAATTTCTGGTAGAGTGTACTGCCTAGGTCATCATTTAGGATGCTAAATGGTAAAATTGCATATCACATGTAAGAATTAGGACTCTTTAACCCTTTACACCCCAACATCAATATACATGTTCTTGATATTGTTCTTTATACATTTCCTAAGGTGCTGACAAAGATAATTTGTTTACCAATCAAAAGCCTCTTTCATGAGGCCTCTTTTGGGGATCATTTCCTTTATTCTCATGACCTTAATGAGTGATTCAGCAGTGATATTGTAGGGAGAAATAAGATGCCAGTCACTCTCAGGGTTTGAAGGGTTAAACCACACCCTGTAAAGCACTTCCCCATCCAAGCTTTACACTTAAATTCCCATCTGGGAATTTAAGATTTGAGAATGTTTTGATAAAGATGAGTATGTGTTAATGATGGAATTTTTTTGTCACTTGTTAGGCAGTATTAATGGATTATTTTTGTCATGGATTTCTTTGATTTTAATAAGGCTGTAGGTATTTCAACTCACAAATATGTTATCTGTCTTGTCTAGGCAAAGTTGGCTAAGAAAGTGTTTGATTCTCAAAGGGAATTTATTGTGCTTGCCTCTACGTGTCAAAAGCCCAGTCAAGTAAGTACTGGAAAAATTATATTTATTTCATCAGGGGAGATTTGCTTTGAGTGTTTTTACCTTTTATATTATGAATTTCACTCTACTAGGGTCAGGTTTGTTTTGTTTTGTTTTGTTAATTTGTTTGTTTGTTTTTTTAATAAAAGCTGCTCATTTCATGACCAGAAACTCCAGACAATAAGGGATTACACTGTTTCCCCCTGCCTCAGGCTTGCAAATGAATTGGGGAATTTCCAAAATTACAGTGCCCCTGACTTTCCAGATATTAAGTCAAGGTCATGGTAACAAAGTGATTAAAGAAAGAAACCAAAAGAAATCCCTGTAACACAGAAGGAAAAGTGGAAGATTTCCAATTTTGTATGAAAATTTTTTATGTCAGATTTCTCTGACATACAAGATCTAGCCATGATGATTATGATAAAGTGCCTAACCCTTTAGGTCCCAAGATTTGGTTAATTTTCCCCTCTAGCTGCTACACATTTTCTTGTAAACCAGTTTTGAGAATTTGGTGTGAGATGAAGAGAACAAATTATACCGATAAGTTTGAGTATTCTTGTCACCTAAATTGCTGGATAATGTTGGATGTTATCTAGAGAAGTAACACGTTAATCACTTTCCGGAGTTAAATTTTCAAAATAAATTCCCAATGTTCAGAGCAAGAAAAGAATTACTGTTGGTTTCAAGGTTTTGAATTATGTTTGTTTTCAATAATTTTGTTCTGTGTGCCAAGAATTTTGGCAAGGATTATAGATATAGCTCCAAAAATTAATTTGTAGAAGTTAAGCAGGGAAATCTTTGAGTTCAAGGGGCAAGAAATAAGCTGTTGGAAAGTAAACTCAGAACTTTAATCAACAGGATGAGTTTGCGAAGATATTGAAACCACAGGCAGATTGTATTGGTGAAGTACAGGTAAATGCACTGATATTCAGCAACTATTTACCAAAGGGGAGGTGGTGTATGGTGGATGTTTACCAAGGCGCAAAGTTAGCCAGCAACACTGAGATGAATAGTTGTGTTAGTTTAAATTTTGTGCATGTTGCCCAGAGGTGAATAGCAGAAGATACCTGGAGTTTTGGTAGCCCATCAGAGAGCACCTTCAAAATTATATACTGTTAAGTAGATATAAAAGAAATTACCCTTATTATCACTTGTTATGAATGATGTTTAAAATTTAATTTTGTAATTGTGTGAATCTCACTTCTTGCTAGCGGCAATGAATACAAAGGAAAGATTAATTGCATATAAAGCTGGGAAATTTGAGAAAGATAAGTTTTAAAGTACTGTATTGTATTTTGAGCGTGTTGAGAATTTCCATGTAAATTTTTAATAGAGTTTTCGTGAGAAGAATCGTGCAAGCAAGCTTTTCAACCACCTGTCAGCCCTTAGTGAAGCCATTCCTGCCCTTGGATGGGTTAGTGTGGTAAGTGAAAAGTCAGAATCTTTATTACGATACAATTTTAACCATCAGAAAGAACAGTGTGCTCCTACAAACCCAACCACTTTATATGAAATACCAGGGCATGAAATTAACTTTTTTTTCTGATAGCCACTTGGCTCCTAAATTCTTCAAAGTGGTAGCCAATTAAAAAAAAGTTGGTTGCCATTTTCAAAGACAAACAAAATCTTTCTTTAAGCTGTCAGCGTTCTAGATAGACCCTCCTAAATTAAGTTAGGGAAAGGATCTGTAACATGCTACAAAGTGGACACTAGGATGGATGATATACAACATTCAGGCTCATCTAAATCCAAGATGGCGTCTAGTTATCGATCGAGATGCATGTGCTACGTTTTGGAAACAAACTTAACAAGGAAGTTTGCCGCGGATTTATCTTTGCAAATCTTTTTAATTCACTATATCTCTTGGTAAGGTTATGACGAAACGTTCTAGTCGCCAATTTGGCGACTAACTTTCAGGATTTGGTCGCCAAAGTGAAAAATTTAGTCACATTGGCGCCTGTATTAGGGGCAATTTCACGCCTTGAATACTCTTACTAAAGAGTAACTCCTGTAGACTATTCATTAATTATCCTGATAAACTTACTTAAGCCCACTACAAACTATAACTTAGCTCACCACTGACACAAACTAACAGTTGCCTCCAAATCTCCTGGAAATACACAATCTCTGAAATATATCACAGTAGCTCTCTCTGTATAGCTTTCCTATATGGCTGAGTCCTTATATACAGTTGGGCTCCTAATTATGAAATAATTTTAACAAACTCCTTTCTTACAGGACCTTTGCTTGAATATGCCACTCCCTCTCCCCCCCTTCACTCATCAGAAAGCCTTAGAAATTAAAACAACTTCCCTTGGGTACACCCCTGGGTACATATTAGTAAAAGTATGTACAATCTTAAACTTCAATAGGATTACACAAACATCTAAAACAAGCAAGAAATGCGAATAGTACAGTGCAGTTCTAAAGAAAATATCCTTCATAACAGTATCAGGTGAAAAAGGGTTTTAATGATTCATTCTGGATTTCAAACTAAAATGGGAAGTTGCATGATTGATTCCATTCTGATAGAGCCCCACTCCAGCTCCACATGTAAAAGAAATGGTTGATGCAGCACAGTTCTACCTTAACCGAGTATTGAAGGACTTCAAAGGAAAGTAAGTCTGGGTGTTTAAGTCAAAAAAATTTGAAACTTATCAGTTTTAGAGATTCCATGGTATGTCATTTTGGTGTGATTTGATGTGATGTGATGTAATTTAATTTAATGTGATGCAACATGACCATTGAGGCATCATTAATATCATATGTCCAATTAGCAGTTAGTTTTTGAAATTTTGTTGAATAATTGATTCCTATTATATAGTGGTGAAACAGTTCTGTTCACTGGATAAGTCATAAATATTTTTGTTTGGCAGAGATGAAACACATGTGGAGTGGGTGAAAGCTCTTAAAAATTCCCTTATGGACCTTCATGCATATGTTAAAGCTCATCACACAACTGGTGTAGTGTGGAGTAAAACAGTAAGTAATTCCTCCATCTGTTCTCTTAAACAACACAAAAACAAAGGTCTTTGTAGATAATAATCCTGTTGTTCATTCCCAGTTTTGCATCAGAAATTTTTAAATGAATGTGGCTACTGACTGACCAATTGACTGGTAAGCCAACTAACTGGCTGGCTGGTTTACTCACTGAATGATCTGTACAAACAGCTGTTACCCTGCTGATGCTTTGACACTGATTTTCTTGTTGTTCTTCATTTTTTAATAGGGAAATGTTGCCAAAGCTGGAGCAGGGTCTGTGGCACCCCCACCTGGTAAACCTGCTCCCCCACCCCCTCCTGCTGTGCAAGCCCCTACCCCTGTTGCCTCAGGGCAAGATGTAAATGTTGCAAATGCATTATTTGGTGAGATCAACAAGGCAGGCATGAATATTGCTGCGGGTACGTGTACCTTCATTGTCAAATTTGTGTGAGTTTCCTGTAACCTCTGAGTGGTCCTTGTATGTGCCTTCAAAACTTCAACTATCTAGCCCTGTTAATGAATGAATCATCTCCTCAACAGTTAAACACTATGAGCAGGTTTATTTTAAAATGATTTCTAACCTAAAACATGGTTTTACCAAATTAGTGGGCCTCAGGCTTTCTCTACAAGAAGATTGATTTAATTGAATAAATATCCTTCCTCTGTTAGCTTTTGGCTCTCATGAAACTGTTCACAAATGTTGAATGTTTAGATAAATGTTTTGGGTAAATTGAGGGTTGTTGTTTTGTTAAATAAGGGCGAAACTTTGTTTAACTAACTTGCCCTATAAATGTCCTGGCAAATTTGCAAACCAAGAAACAGGATTTCTTTGGGTATATGTTTATAATGACTTTTCATAAGGTACAGTTGTTACCCAGTGATTCCAAGTTCAACTCCCTGTATGGGCTTGATGTTTAGCATGTAGTCCCCAATCATCCACAAAGTAAGGTAGTCTTTTGGCAGAACAGAACTTAACTGGATGGAGCTGTTTTAAAAAAACCCTTTCTTGCAGTCATTAGGGAAGTCAGAAGGAAATGTCTGATCCAAGAACACACAATTATTGGTTTCTTCTTCCCACACAGGACTTAGGAAAGTAAAGGATGAGGAGAAGACTCACAAAAACAAAGAACTGAGAAAGACTGGGCCTGTTCCTGACAAACCAAAACCAGCTGTAGTTGCCCCTAAGCCCAAAGCTGCAGCTGCCAAAAAACCTCCAGTGTTTGAGCTGCAAGGGAAGAAGTGGGCGGTTGTAAGTTTAACATACTTTGGATGATATTGTAGTCAGTTAATTGTAATGTTATCAGCAGTTCTAAACAGAAATACAAATGTGACGACATGAAGAGAACCATGACAGTAGCATCCAGAACTGGGAAAACTGAAGATTTCATGAGAAAAACATATGCTTTTCTTTTAGATTTAAAAACTTTGCACTTTTACAGGACATTCAGTTTTAAACAACAATGTGAAATCACCAACTTTTGGGTAGTCTGAGAACGTGATGTCAATTTGCAAGTTATTCTTGTGTCTGTTCAAAACTCATTATCTTAATATGTTCTGAAGAAAGAGAGGTCTGTTACTGTTGAAGTTTTTGTAGCTTCGGAAACATCCCATCCATATCCTGGCCATCCAGCGATGCATTTCTATCAGTTATGGCATTTGCTAAAAAGAACTTTGAAAATTTGTGCCATAGCCTTTTAAGTAGGGCTGTTATTTTGTGTACGACAAACTGATATTTTGTTTTCCAGGAATTTCAAGAAAACAACAGAGAGCTTGTGATCGCGAAGCCATCAGTATCACAAACAGTTTACATCTATTGCTGCAAGAACAGCACCATTCAGGTCAAGGGCAAAATCAATTCCTTGGTTGTAGGTAAGTCCTAAGGTCTATAATGTTTAGCCCCCATCCTAACAGCTGTACTTTTGTTGAGAACTGGGACTAGTAAAGGTTACAGAGGAAACTTGTTGGAGAAGTGTGTTATCCAAGATAGGGGAGAAACAATACTGATGCATATTGAAATAGTGAGCCATTTGTCGTTTGTTTTAATTTGTTACTTGCTTCTTTGTAAAGTCAGTTTTTTGAGATTTTAACCCCTTTAACTTCCATTAGTGGCCAAGACAGAATTTTCTTTACAATTTCAATACAATATCAAGCAGTCAATAAGAGAGAATAAATAAAAATATCAGTGAGGAGATTTTCAATGAATCAAATACCAAATTCTCCAAATTAACATCTTAAAAATTGGGTGGCAGACAGTAAGGAGAATTACTAATGAAATCTTGGGACTGGAAGGGTGAAGAGTTTATCTGATGCAATTGGAATACCAAACCCCTCTTCTGATGAATCACACCAATTTAAGTTCTACTCAATGTTCATTTATTTTTTAAATGATGTGTTTCTTTGTGTTTAATCTCAGATGGCTGTAAGAAAACAGCAGTGGTTCTCGAGGATGCCATTGGCACCGTTGAGTTTATCAACTGCCAGAGTATGCAGTGTCAGGTAAATAACAAGGACCACACATTATAATTGCCTCAGAGTGACAAATTCCAGATAATTATTGGATGCAAGTAATACCTCAGGGCTGGAAGGTCAGCAGTCTTTTCAAGAAGCAGTGTTCACTTCTGTATGGTAATATGATGAACTGACAGGTTTTGTTATCATCTAGATTAATGGCATGGTTCCAACAGTGTCAATTGATAAGACTGATGGCTGTCAAGTGCTCTTTCCTAGTGGCATTGGCAACACAGAGATTGTGACTGCCAAGTCATCTGAGATGAATATCATGATGCCAAAGCCTGGTGGGGATGATATGGTAAGTGGCTCTAAATTGTGATAGTTTGGTGTGATTGTCCGGGTGAGTGTAGTCCTGAGAAAAACTGTTGATGGTAGTGGTGACTGACGTTCAACAACCTGGGCAGAATCATCTCCATTCAAATTATTTTACTTTACACCCATTAGTTGGACACTTGACACTGGTGTTCAGATTGAAATAGTTGACTGTCATCAAATGCTACTCATTCCATGTCTTGCTTGTTCTTATTGTTGTTTAAGATGTAATTAAACTGTTTTGTTGCTGTTATGTTTGTTTGAAATTGTTGTTGCTACTTTTTTGTAATTGGAAAATTTAAAAAAACTAAGGCCAACAATTCTATCTTTTTTTCCTAATCTCTTCTTTCTAGGTGGAATATTGTTTGCCAGAACAGTACAAGAGCGTATGGAATGGCAAAACATTTGTTACCACTTGCAGCGAGTCTCTTGGATAAGTGTTGTGACCTTTTACTGGAATGTTCTACACAGCACGGAAAAAGACAATCTCAAAATGCTCAACCTAGCATCAAATCGCTGGCAATTTGAAATCCCTTTAGTTGAAACCTAAAAATAGTGAAATTACTTCTTTGATTGTAGAAAATGTAAAGTTAAACTTGATAGTTTGCAGTAGTTTTGGAGGCTGACTAGGATAAAATTTCGAATTAAAAGTGATTCTTTGTGCAAGATATTTTATGGCGTTGAGAATTAGACATCAAAGACTTTATTTTCCTACAGCACAACATTTTTGTCTCAGTTCACATGAAAAAAGTGAAACCGTTGTTAAAGAAAATAAAACAGAAAGCTTGAAATTGTTGCTACCATAAGCCTATTGACTATTTCTTTTGATTACATGGAGCAACCAAAGCTGGGAGATTAAGAGGATGCCTAACTATGTTGATCAAGTTGTCTGCTCATCTGCAGCTTGTGGTCCTTCTGTTCTGGAACAGCAACCATTTTTTAGATCTTTTACCCTAGAAAAGTGCTTATTTCGCCGGTAAAACTGACTTAATAAGTTAAGTTGTAAAGGAGGAAAGTTTTTAAAGAAACTGGTGCTGCGTCGGCGGGAGAGTATAACAAGGTAATTTGCTATTATCAACTGAATTTATAATGTGAATTGACCACCGTAAAGAGTTCCAAAGCTGACGTTTCGAGCGTTAGCCCTTCGTTAGAGCCCTGCGAAGGGCTAGCGCTCGAAACGTCAGCTTTGAAACTCTTTACGGTGGTCAATTCACATTATCAACTGAGTTGATACACTTCAATAACAAATTACCTAAGTTATGTTGTAGGTTACTCCTTCTTCCAGTCCTTTCCACCTCCAGACTTTACCTGCTCAGCAAACCGTCTGGTTTCAGACAGGTTACCCGCGTCAATGAATGTTCTCGGTTAGGAGAAGCAGTAGGAGAGCTGCTTTGACTCTTAAACGAAAAACGAAGTGAACTTGGCAAAGATCGTGCCTCCTTACCCACTCCCTTCTTAAACATATTTTTCTAGATTTTCAGAGCTTTCCGATAATCTCCTGGTAGCTTCTTTTCCTACCAGGATCGAACGACGAGGAACTTAAATCTGGGCTGAAATATGGGCCCAGTTGTTTCGTGATTGGGACGGGCTGCATGTCACATTTCATTTTGGAAAAAGGACTTACGGAGCAATCCCAACCCAGGGTCATTTCGGTTCCTTGTCAGCGGTATGGTAGCTAAATAATAATGAGGTGATTATTTGGTGACTATACCGCTGACAAGGAGTCAAAAAGACCCTGGGTTCGAGATTGCTTAGCCGGGAGAAAAAGGGGAAAGTGAAAGAGCATTTCGTTGAACACCGCTGGATTTCTCAAGAAAGCATCGATTAAACGCGTTGCGGTTCGATTTGTAGTCGAGAGAATTTACGCTGTATTTCCTTTCGCGAGGAAGAAGCGGCGACTGTTCAAACCTAAAACTTCTAACATTAGCTTCAGTGCCAGAGATACAGTTTGTTTTGTCATGGATGGAATGACAGAATGCGAAGAAGCCGAAGAAGAGACCTGCGATCAGTTGAACTCTTCGAGTCGCCATGATGACGCAGTAAATGCGGCAGAAAGTAGTGTCCCCTCAACAGAGAAGTTGGCCTTCACCATGGGATCAGAAGAGGGATTAAAGAATCTAAAGGCTGTATTGCAAACAGTTCCAAGTACAGATGAAAACCTAACAAACTTACATGACATGGTTGAGTCGAATACAAAAGGGGAAGTGGGAAAGATTTCGCCACAAGGTGACGCGAGCTTTTTGATAGAGATTGAAACTGCGACGATGAAAATTACTCTCTACGACAATAATTTTCAGCGTAGGAGTATTTCGTTGCGACTCAAGAAATCAGCCAGAGTAAACTTCATTATAGAAAAATGTCAAAACGTAGTAGTAGGCAATCGCACGGAAGCGAACATGTGCTGTGACAAAGATCTGTCTAGTCAGAATAAGAGGTCAAAGTCAACATCTTCCCGATCGAATGAAGGTGTTTCTCTCTTGCAAGCCGATGGAGGTATCAGAAACCCGGTCTATTCGCCAAGAAAAAAAGGGAGGAAGCGACCTCCACAGAAAAAGAATGGCAAAAATCATGCTTTGAAAAAGAATTCCTCAAGAACGATGAAAGCAGAATGGCAATTTCCTTTGTGTTTGTCAGATTTTACAGACAGTGAGAGACAGGAGAAAGAAATTGATCAATGGCTTAAACAACTTATAACACCCTTGTTCTCCAAAATACTAGACCTGGATGATTGCGAGTTAGTAATAGAGTCAATGGAAGAAGATGGAAAAATTCGAGAAAGTTCTATTCCCAACTGCATTGAAAAACTTGATTGCGCCATTGGAATAGCACTGATAGTGTCGCTGATGGAAGAGGAAGACAAGAAAAAATACCAGATGCTACAGATCGAACTTCAGTTTGCATTAGCAGAGTTTTACATCAAGGAAGATTATCTTAAAGCTTTAAACTGTTTGAGAGCACTGGAGAGAGATCTGACACTGCGTGAAGGATTCGAAAGTCAAAAAGGTAGACTCTACGCCAAAATAGCCAAAGTTAAGGAACTTTGCTTAGAATTTTCCAAAGATTTTACCACCGTTGAAAACGAGCTTGAAATCGCTCCTGAAACCCAGCTTACTGACCAAAACCCAGATGATGTTGTGTTGAGTTACTTTCAGAAAGCTTTAGAGTCGAGCAACAACGAGGCTCTACTTCAAATATCTTGTTATTTAGGAAAGGCATCTGTCTTATTGAAATGCTGCAAGGGAAAAAATGAAACTAGAAATTTGACACAGGTGCGAGAGAATTTGAGATCAGTAGAAATCCTCTTCAATCGTATTTCTCCAGCCTTGAAATGCCAATTTTACTTGGCTGAAGCATTTCTACTTTTCTACGAAGGACGGTTCAAAATGGCGAAAGACAAACTAGACACACTGATGGCTCGTGAAATCATTATAGACAACGATGAACACCTCATGAAGAGGTTGGAAAGGGAGTGCTTAGGCTCTAAAAGGTTTCGGTTCCTAACAGAAGAATTAGAAAAAGCACTGGCTGAAACAGTTTCCTGTGGAAGGCGCGTTTCGAACATGTAGACGACTTTCTTACACATTTGAGTCTATTACTCGGACATTTATAAATCAATATTACAAGCGCCAGTTTATTTGCAATTAAATAGTTCCGCTTATTTCGAATTTTCAAATATTGCGTGATCAAATGTAGTTTATAAGGAATATATAACTTATTTTAGGATTGAATTTAAAGCCAGAGGCAAACCTTTTTCATCGCCGAAGTGTGAGGCAAACCTAAAATATTGGGAATCTAGAATAGTAGCAATTCATCTGTTTATCAGTTCTGCTTAAGCGTTACCTTTGTCATTAAAGTTGAGCTAAACTTTAAATTTTCCCGGTGATGAAAGCCTTAACTGTCCATTTATACGATATCGTTTCAGTCAAATCGAAAGCTGACCTTGACAAAGATCTTGTTTTGATCAGTCCTTACCTTACTTTGTAACACAATCTGTTCTTAGAAATTCGACTAAGTTGAATTCGATTTTGCTTCAACTCGTTGTTTATGTATTCACATTTTTCTCATTTTGGGTAGCAGCAGTGCGTACATGATCTATCAACATTTGACTAAAGTTTTGTTCCACGTCGTCTATCTTTTCCTCTAGGAAAGGTATCTGTCCTATTAAAATGCTGCAAGGGGCAGGATGATGCTACAAATTTGACACAAGTGCGAGAGAATTTATAATCAATAGGCCTCATCTTCAATCATGTTTCTCCAAATTTGAGATGCCAATTTTACTTAGCTGAAGCATTTTCACTTAACTATGAAAGACGGTACAAAATGGCACAGGACAAACTAGAAATATTAATGGCTCGCAAAATTATGATTGACGACAAGGAACATCTTGTGAAATAGTTGGGAGTGTATGGTTCTAAAAGGATTCGGTGTCTTACATAGGAATTAGAAAAAGCAATGGCTGCAAAAAGATGTTCGAGGAGAGCGTTTCGAACGAATAAACGACCTTCTCATAGATTCAGCTTGAATTTATTGCAAGAGCAATTTTAGATTGAAATTACATTTGTCAGCTTTCTAACAATGGGACAGCTCCGCTTATTTCGAATTTTCAAATATGTTTTCATGAAATATAGTTGACATGTAATAAATATCTCATTTAGAGATGTATTCGTGTAAAGCTAGAGAGGCAAGACTATTTCATCGAAGTGTTTAGCAAAACTAAAATTTTGGGATAGCTAGGAAAGCTAAAACTCAGCTACATTCATTCTGTTCAAATTTTCGTGAGGGGAATTTTGTCAATAAAGTCACACTAAATAGTTTTCCTTTGACGTTAGCCTCCTTGCATTCACTCAGATTGTCTGTTCATTCGAAATCGGGATCAATATCAGTATCTGGGCAACTGCCCACCTTCCCCTCCCCTAACCCAACATTAGCCTTAACTTGTTGTCAATTGACTGTTGTTGAGTTAGGGGAGGGGTAGGTGGGCAGTTGCCCAGATACTGATATCGATTCCGACATCGTTTCAGTTAAAGTGGAAGCTGACCATGACTTTATCTGCTCAGCAAACCCTCAGGTTTCATAGACAGGTTACCAGCGCCAATGTATGTTCTTGGTCAGAGAGAATCAGTAGGAGAGCTGCCTTGTCTTTCAAACGAAAAACAAAGTTAACTTGGCAAAGCTCGAGGTTCCTTCCCCACTCCCTCTCTTAAACTTATATTTCATATTTTCTAGAGCTTCCCAACGACTCTCGCCCGAGCCAAAATCCCAGACTGCATGTAATTGCTATTAGCAATATTATTATTATCACTATTCGGATGCCTGCGAAAGCTCACTTTGTTAGTAAGAGAAGGTGACCGTTTTCACACAATAGCCCTAGATGATCTCCTTCTAGCTTCCTGCCGTACCAGATTATCGAACGACGAGGAAGTAAAATCAGAGCTAAAATATGGTGCCAGTTGTTAGGTAAGTAATACGGCAGTTAGTGATTGGGGCAGGCAACATCTCACATTTCACTTTGAAAAAAGGACTCGGGGAGAGAAAAGTGCTTTTTGTTGAACACCGCTGGATATGCTTGAGTCCTTGCTTCTCATTTCCAGTCCCGCTCCTGTATTTCGCGAAATATTTTGCTTCGATTTGCAATCACGAGTGTGAACGCCGTATTTATTTTCGCAGAATTAAGCTGCGTCTGTTTAAAGCTAGGACTTCGCACTATAGTTTTACCAGAGAAAAAACTTCGTTGTAATGGATGGAACGATCGAACACGAAGAAGAACAAGAACCGACTTGCGATCACTTAAACTCAAATGAACAGATTCCGATTAGCCATGATGATACAAGAAATGTGGCAGTAAGCAGTGTCCCATTGACAGAGAAGTTGGCCTTAATCATGGAATCAGAAGAGGGAATACAGAATCTAGAGGCTGTACTGCAAACATTTCGGAGTACAGATGAAAATCTAAGGAACTTACACGACAACGTGGAATCGAAAACGATAGCGGAAGTGGGAATGATTTCGCCACAAGATAACGTGTCCTCTTTGACAGCCACAACAAACATTACTTTCTACGACTTTAATTTTCAGCCTAGGAGTATTTCGTTGCGACACCAGAAATCAGCCAAAGTAAACTTCAATGTAGAAAAATGTGAAAACGTAGTAGTGGGCGATCGCGCGGAAGTGAACATCTGCTGTGACAAAGATCTGTTTAATCAGAATAATAGGTCAAATTCAACCTCTTCCCGATCGAATGAAAGCGATTCTCTCTTGCAAGCCGATGGAGGTATCAGAAACCCGGTCTATTCGCCAGGAAAACAACGGAGGAAGCGATCTTCACAGAAGAAAAGTGGCAAAAATCATGCTTTAAAAAAGAATTCCTCAAGAAAAATGAAAGCAGAATGGCAATTTCCTTTGCGTTTGTCAGATTTTACAGACAATGAGAGACAGGAGAAAGACATTGATCAGTGGCTCAAACAACTTATACCGTCCTTGCTTCCCAAAATACAAGACCTGGATGATTTTGAGTCGGTAATAGAGCCTATGGAAGAAGATGGCCGAAGACTTCGAGAAAGTTCAATTCCAAACTGCATTGAAAAACTTGATTACACCGTTCGAACAGCACTGATGATGTCGCTGATGGAAGAGGAAGACAAGAAACAATTCCAGACCCTGAAAATTGAACTGCAGTTTGCATTAGCAGAGTTTTACATCAAGGAAGATTATCTTGAAGCTTTAAACTGTTTGAGAGCACTGGAGAGAGATCTCACACTGCGTGAAGGATTCGAAAGTCAAAAAGGCAGACTCTACGCCAAAATAGCCAAAGTTATGGAACTTTGCTTAGAATTTTCCAAAGATTTTACCACCGTTGAAAACGAACTTGAAATTGCTCCTGAAACCCAGCTTACTGACCAAAACCCAGACGATGTGGTGTTGAGTTACTTTCAGAGAGCCTTAGAGTCGAGCAACAATGAGGCTCTACTTCAAATATCTTGTTATTTAGGAAAGGCATCTGTCTTATTGAAATGCTGCAAGGGAAAAAATGAAAACAGAAATTTGACACAGGTGCGAGAGAATTTGAGATCAGTAGAAATCCTCTTCAATCGTATTTCTCCAGCCTTGAAATGCCAATTTTACTTGGCTGAAGCATTTCTACTTTACTATGAAGGACGATTCAAAATGGCGAAAGACAAACTTGACACACTGATAGCTCGCGAAATCAAGGTAGACAACGATGAACATCTCATGAAGAGGTTGGAAAGGGAGTGCTTAGGCACTAAAAGGTTTCGGTTCTTAACAGAGGAATTAGAAAAAGCACTGGCAGAAACAATTTCCGGTGCAGAGACGGGTTTCGAACAAATAGACTTTCTTAAAGATTTGAATCAAATACAAGGACATTTGTAAATCAATATTACAAGCGCAAGTTTATTTGCGATGAAATTGTACCGCTTATTTCGAATTTTCAAATATTGTGTGATCAAATGTAGTTATGAAGAATAAATAATTTTTTAAGGATTGAATTTAAAGCCAGAGACAAACCTAAAATATTGGGAAGCTATTGGAGCTAGAATTCATTTGTTTATACTTAAGCGTTTCCTTTGTCATTAAAGTTGAACTAAAAATTTTCTCCGTGATGAAAGCCGTAACTGTCTATTTTTACGATGTCGTTTCAGACAAATTGAAAGCTGACCATAACAAAGATCTTGTTTTGATCAATCCTTACTTTACTTCAGTTGTAACACAATCGATTCTTAGAAATTCGCCCGAGTTGATTCGATTTTGCTTCAACTCTTTTAGTATGGTCTTTGTTCGTGAGCTGTCCGCAATAACAGTTTTCACTAAGAATGATCATTCTAGTTCTCAAACTCTAATACTTTGCAGCCAGGCTACTTCGCAGCCAAATGCCACCGTGACGTTATTTTTAATTTGTTATCAGGCATGATGTGACATCACTTTCTTTTTATATCATGGTTTTCTCCAACCGAAAAAAACACACGACGCAATATCATTTGCATAAAGAACCATATTTTGATGCGTAAATACAGTTTCGAAATACATCCTTCACCCTGAACGAATCAGTTGTAACGAAGAATATCACTGACGATTTGATATCACAAAAGCAAGACGTATGGGTTTAAATTTATCCATCTACGAACAACGTGGAGAAAATACAATTTAGATTTTAATGGCCGGGTGTGATAGTAAACAAGAACCTCATAACAACAATTCTGAAAGTACCGCTGCTAAAAGACATAACAGAATGGAAAAAATCAACCCTCGATGTTGTGATTTTAATGGACAACAAGTCATCGACGCCACCGATGTAGATGTGATAAACGTGGACTTGATCAGAAATGGTACAGTTTTAATTGGAGATTACTCGACTGTGAAAATTTGCCAACAATGTTTTCGTCGTCAGAATTCGTCACAACGTTCAGAAAACAACACTCAAGGATCAGCGGATGGAAGCGAGGTGAAGAAACGCCGAAGAAAACGGCGAAAGAGATCCTCGCACGATCCATCGACTTCTCGAAAATGTGTCGAAGACGGAAATTCGGCCGATGGTGAAAACTCAGACGGCGATGAAACTTCGACATTCCATGATTTTCTTCACAATGATTCTGACGATGATTAGTTAGCTTGTAGTGAGCAACATGCTAGCGGAGCCGAGGACGGTGGAGTTGCCAAAGATGAAACGAGCGCGCAGATGCAAGGCAAGAACCTAATTTTTAGGCAAGGCACTGAACTTTCGCTTTCAAGTAGTCGCCGCTTAGAGGAGAGACAGTAGAGTACGGCAGACCACGTTGAACATATTATCGGTAAAATTATATTAGATTTACTGTTTTGGCATGTCTTAGAACAAAAGAAGTCTCACGTTTTGCGTTTTTCCCTTTCTCTTAAACCTTGAGAAGATAATTTACGCTTGTTGATTTGTGATATTAGCCGATGTCTTACATGACATTCATCATGAAGCTGTTTGCAAACCGCTTCTTTAATTGGTTGACGTAGAATAGAGTCTGCACCGACATCTTTAGAAGAATATTGTTTACTTTGAACTAAACGACAAAATTCCTACACTGTAAGTCGCTGATTGTATCTCAAGTTACTGGAGGATTAACGTACCTTTACGTTGAGGAACTTGTGAGAGTAAGCTAAGTGTACAGTGATGAAATACCACGAGGTTTCGGTGACGACACACGTAACCAATGTCAAATGCACATAATTAAGAGTCGATCCAAAATATTTCAGCGCAGCAAGTCTTAGGTGATGTTTTAAGAAATGAGCTATCTCTCTTATTTTTAACTGAGTGGGTTGCTCGGTTCTGAAAGATATTTTTCAGACAAGTAAAGATGTTTTTCGTCTTGTCACGAGCGTGAGACAAATAAAATCTGAGCTCCTGAGGAATAGGCCATTTTACAGTTGTGTAGTTAGTTGCTAAGTCTTTGATTTGGAGTGAGGCTGAAGTTGACCATGTTGCGATAGAGACCAGTATCTAGTTAGCACGATAACAAAGTAATATACATTTGAAAAGCAGCAAGGTTTTTATTTTGTTATCGTTTTTCTGTCTCTAAATCCGCTTACCTGGAGAATCTGCTAACCCGTAAAGTGAGACTGTTGTAACGACCCGCCACAGAAGTAAGTTTATATTGAAGTTTTTGAATTTAGTTACAAGATAAAGACTTGATTTGCGTTTGTTCTAATTGCGAATTATAAATGTATTTCTTTTAGATCGAATAATTATTAAAGCTTGGCTTAATATTATACGGTTTGTGGTGGTCACTTGATCTAACCAGTTCCGAGTAAGGAAACAGTTTGTATCAAAACAAGGTAACCCTTAGCCTCACTTGTGTTTAAAGGCTTGGCAACCAAGCGCGTAACTGTAAAATGGACTATTGAGGCTTCTGATTCCGGGCTCCGTTACTCTGCCACTGAGTCTTAGAGATTCTGCAGTGGGCAAGGCTAGCACGTAATTTTCACGTTACACTCGTCCTGCATAATACTGGGATCAACAATGTTAAAAGTGCCACTTGCGTAAACAGAATAAGAAAAATGGTAACTTTTTTAACTCGGTGGTAAAGAAAGATATATTTTATTCGATCTTGGGTTCGCGTTACACTGATGAGTTATTTCATACCTAACCATAATGATAATTCAGAAAAACCTCGACAAACACGTTTTGTTATTCCCAACGTCTAATGCCTCATTTACACTAGAGCCTAAAAATGTCTAACGCGTTAAGCTGTTGAAATTTGTTTTTATCATAGAAGATGCTTAATTAAACCGACGGTTGTCAACTTTCCGCAACACTTCATCGAGCAAAACAATTCATAATTCCTAGAATCAGTCAGCGAGAGAAAAATCTTAATCTAATGGAACACATTACCAAATAATTATTCATGACAAATTCAATTTTAATAGATCTCATAATTGGAGCTGTAAAGCAAGCTGAAGTGCAACAAAATTTGGAACGTCTCCGGAAATCAAGATCTCATTGTTATATATCATTTAGCGATCTTTCATTGCCTCCTCCATCATTCTTCTGGAAGCATTGTGACAGTTGTCAAAGGCTAAGTTGTAATCGGACCCCCCTGCTTTGACGTAATCAGCCACCCTAGTCCCAGGCTTCACGGACTGGACACCTCCCGACTGCCAGTCTCCACTCATGTGCTTGGCATTTGTAACAACTGTTTCACCTGAAGACAACAAACACGAAATGAGGTTAATTTTCCTTTATAGAACGCATCGAGCCTTATGATAAGCCGTCTTAGCGCGTATAAATTCGACCCAGAAAAGTAGGGCGACGAGGACGAGGACATCAGTCACCTGCTGATGTTGTTTATAAATGAAACTTACTTGAGTCTCCGTATCCTGAGCCCTTATGCACTAACCAGCGGTCACCGTTGTCAGTTGTCACCACTACACCAGAGTGTTTCACACCAATAGACCCTCCCGACCCCCCAAGGGGTCTGGTCACGTGTTCTACTTTAGTCACTCCAGAGTTGTATAAGTCGGTGAGGCCCTGTTTGCTTGTGATGTCGTGCGGAAAGTTTCCGCCTGAGCCTGAACTAGATGAAAAACTAGGTAAAGAAATATATTAAACATTGTAACTAGCATGAGACGAAGGAAACATCTGAGTCCTCTAAAATATTCCAAAAGAGTTACGATTTGCTACATCCTTAGTCCCCTTCGCAGCTGCTCTTTAGGATGTCACGCAACGCTCCCCGAGACTACTACATTCTTTGACATAAATGCCTTTTCGGGCAGTAAACGCTGAAATTTTTTAAGACTGTTTTCAGATTACAAATGAACGTAAATTAAAGAAATGCCCCTCTAAGGCCTACTGGTTCGAAGGAAATGTCACCAGGCACTTGTTATTAGATCTATTTGGATGGGCTTGTTCAGGCACTTGTTATTAGATCTATTTGGATGGGCCTGTTCAGGACGTCACTTTAGTAGTCTCGTACCCAACTGGAGATCGAAAACCATAATTTTAGGCAAAACTGTGAGCACTGGTGCAGCTTACTCAAAAAATAGGGGCAATTCAGTTCTAAGTCGCCAAATAATGATGACAAAAGCAGAATTTGTTAATTCCTGTCGACGATAATAAACGAAAATGAAAGTGCACAGAAAGCGTCGGCACGTTAATCACAAGGATCTCAGTTATCGAAAATTGATGCGAGAGAGCGAAAGTAAGGACTCTTCGTTAATGCTTACTGGTTTGTATTCTAAATATTAATTTAGTTTCAAGTACTTGATCTCGAAGAAGTTTAAACAGGTGACTCAATCGTGACAAGGAACTGATTGTTTTTGCGTCTATCACAGCTCGAATTGGTTTCAAGGGATCAGTCTCTACCAGCTGTGATAAATTACGCGAAAAGTTAAAATACACGAAACTCTGATTATTGTTAATGTAAGTCAAAAGCGGCGAAAGTGCACACAGACAGTGGAACTTATCGAAGGGGCATTATCTGTAATTGATAATAATTGAATTCCACTTCAACCGAACACAACTTTCGAAAGTTTTAAAAACACGGCTATCGTTTTCATGTCCTCCTGATAAGTGAAATTTGTTTCTTTACAGGTGATCAAAAAGGAAAACTGTCATCCTCCACGGGAAAACGTGCACAAAGATGTGCGCACAAGCACGTATATGCCATGCCACTACGCGCCGCTCGTGTCACAAATTTTAAGATATGCGCATATTCAATAAGAAAAACAATTGCAGACACGGTAACTTTTATTTGGCTTTGTTTCAAGGAGTGTGCTGCATGACGCGTTTAGTTTGTAATACAACATGAATGCGAAAAGGCACAAGTACCCTTTGACACGCATGCAAAAATAGGCTTGCGTGCGATCTGTTCGCCTCAAAAACGGGCAAATTAAAATAAAAGCTTACCTCATATTGTATCCAGTAGGAAACGACACTAGACACAGAAAACACAACCGAATGGCTATGATGAGTTGGGTTATTCTCGCTCCTGCGGTTTTCCTCTTAATAATTCAAAAACCTAGGGTCAAAGTTAATACTGTCATTCACTAATGCCTTGAATGAGTCTTTGGGCAGTCGTTGTTTGCGAATGAAACTAGAAACAAAAAGGTAGTTCTTCCTCGTCCCATGAACTTTGATCGTCCCTTCTTTTTACCTAAATATTTCCCATGACGATAAATTTGCTGATGAAAGCAAAACTAGCTGCCTCAAAGTGATAAAAACGATTAGTCAAGCGAGATCGAATTTTTCACAACCATTCGAAACTGAAAGTGCCGAAAGATAAATTTGCTGATGAAAGCAAAACTAGCTGCCTCAAAGTGATAAAAACGATTAGTCAAGCGAGACCGAATTTTTCACAACCATTCGAAACTGAAAGTGCCGAAAGGGCAAAAATACCACTTATCTTGAAAACATGCAAGCTGTGCATTTTTTTTTCTAGCTACGTTTGAGGTTATGTCACGTAAATATTACTGAAATCGAAAAGGAAATATTAAATATGCTTTCGCGCAATAAATCTCACGCCACCGGTTTTTCCAATTTCCTTTCAAACATAACAGTTGATCCCAATCACAGTTGCAGCTGATCCCAATCACAGTTGCGTCAGAAATGGAGCTCGAAACGACATCAACCAGTTTAAAAGATTAACCACAGATCACAGTCTTACTTAAACGCTGATGTCTACATACCTTAACGTACCGGTGGTTGCTTGAGAAGCACCCAGACCTTTGTATTTAACTTGCGCTTCACTGTATCCTGAGGAGAGGCTGATGATGTTTCCTCAAATGAAGGCTATTCGACTATGAATACACTTAAAAATGATACTGGACACAAGTCTTTGGTCAGGAACCAATTGTAAACGGTGCACTGTAACACGTGACATTCACACTAAGCGCTCTAAAGACTGGACCCGAATAACGATCCAGTCTTTTCCGGGCACAATAACTTGCGTGACAAGCTCCAAGAAGGATGGGAGCAGGGCCGGGAGGGATGGGAATGAAGGGGAGTGGCGGGTGGAAAGGGGGAATACGAAAGAGGTACACCTGGTCTCCCGTTGCAGCCTTTTTCATGGGATGTCCCGAACAAAGTTCCAGCCCACCCTGTCTGTACCTAGCCTCATCCCGGTATCAAGAAGAAAGTGTTGCGTGACATCTGTAAGAAAGGTAGCAAAGTAACTGTCGTTACGCGGCACTACGAAAATGGTTTCGTGACGAACATAACGAGCACTCCAGCTCAGAGTGAAGTCCAAACTACATCGTTTAAAATTGGACAATCTATAAGTTACCGATAGAGGTAAATTTCATCACGCAAGGCGAGAGGCAAGGCGGTGATATTATTGCTATTGAAATGCATTTCTCTTTCATTATACTCCGCGTAAACAAACAAAACCATTAGCCGTTAAATACCGGCATACATTTGAAATCCGATCTTCACTAGCGTGAAAGCCGAAACGGAAATCGAAAAATTATGTCTCCAAGGGTCTTGTTTTTGTGACTGGTAGATTGTTGAACTAAACAAAAGCCAACGTTTCTAAAACTTAACATTTTTCCGAATTGAGGGGATTAGCGATAATTATACGAATTTTACAACAGGTAATGATGTGAGCTCCAAGTTTAGATCACACGTTCCGTTTTAAATTGTGGCAGAGAAATTAGCCAATCAGAGCGCGCGATAAAACCAAGCACAATAGAACACCAGATCCTAACAACAATTGTTATTTAAATAATGAAACAAACGGTCGCCAAGCATCTTAAATCACATTTTTGAGTTTTAAAAAGCTTCGTCCAGCAACCACAGAGGTGATACATGCATAAAATATATAATATTTCGCGAGGAGTTGCCGAACGTGGGACAGCTTTCAGTAGTAACTGCTGAAAAGATTTGTGAATCATTGAACGCCATTTTTGATTCGCGAAGATCTGCTTACGGAACTTCTTACAAGAGGTACATTTTGGCACAGCTGTTCGAGTCAAACCGTTGGAACTATTTGCAGTCAGATACAGTTTAGGATTTATCAACTTCTTCGAGTGAGACGTGTAAAATAGCGATTTCCACAAGCTGGAATGCGAATGGTCGCTACATCTAGTTGTGAGAACGTTAATTTTGCGGAACGTGAGCTGGAACACTTGAAGACGGTATATTTTGACAGCTGTTTCCTCAATGTGAAGTTTGAATTCGCCAAGTTTTATTAATCAGCCTTGTGAGAAGGTGCTTTATGGAAAAGTGACAATTTACACGAAATGGTGAGCAAGCTACAGACATCATATAGAATGCGAGAAATTTCGAAGGCTGGTTTTACAGAGTAAATACCATAATTGTTACGAAACTAGAGCGCTACTGACCTGTGAAAGAAACTTCAAGGTTCGGGTGGATTCGTGAAGGTGAAAAGAAATTGAACTTGTTTGAAGGACAATGTTACCGTCTTCGCTACACTTCGACTTTCGTCGAATGGTATATATTTTACCCTTGTTATGGGTTGTTGTTTTGAGACTCAGTGTTGTCCATGCTCAGAACGACTCGTCCATAGTGTCGAACTCACTTTGTATTCTACAATGTCCTTCTGGACACCACTGCTTTAACAGTACCGTAGTAACTACGGCCATAGAGTTGGGTCACAACGGCCATATTTGCACAACTGCGGGTGAATGTTACGGAGAGAGTGACCCGTTAGGATTTCTTCCCGGGCCAAGACAAAAACCTCAAACAGTTGTGTATGGAGATACTGTTGTCATTAAACCAAAAGAGATTGGGGTAAATTTCCTCAATGTGTCCAGAGACACCTTCCATAACTGTGACTCAGGTGGACAACTTTTTCAAAATTTTACTTCATCTCAATTCCAAATTCCATCAAAGTATTTAACTCCACCAGGGATCAAATATTTTATTGCAAAAGATGCTCTTTTTAGTTGCAGTTTTGGCGTTAGACTTGAGCTATATGTGCGCAGTCGTCAACAGCCAAACTGTACCAATCCAGCCTTGCCAAACCTGGGTGTCTGCAGTGGAGTAGGTCTTTGTAGCAGTGCCAGTCAGACCTTTTTTACCCGTGATTATACATGTGTTTGTTGTGATGCATACAAAGGGAGATACTGCGAGGAACTTGACAGTTGTCACCCAAGTAGAAATCCATGTAAAAATGGTGCAACATGTACAGATATCAAAGATGGCATTGCTGATAGTTTCAATTGTACGTGTATACCTGGATACACGGGAACTTTCTGTGAAACAAATATTGATGAATGTAGCTCCAGTCCATGTGTCAATGGATTCTGTGTGGATTACATCAATGCTTACTCATGCTTGTGTGACCCAGGATTTAATGGCCCAAACTGTCATGTTGCCATTCCAGACCTATGTGCCAATAACCCATGCAAAAATGGTGGATCATGTGAACGATCTGGAACTAAACGTCAAAACTACACTTGTACTTGTCTCCCTGATTTTACTGGACGAAACTGCACAGAAAATGTCACTAGATCATCAAGTCTGTCAACCTCTACAATGCTTTCTAAAACAAGTATATCGACAATTGTGTTTCCTACTTCATTTATTGGGAATTTTAGTTTTGTTATGCAAAGTGTTTCCTCATCTGTAGTTCATGCCACAAGGTTGTCATCTTCAGTTCCCAAGTCTTTGTCTCAAGGGAGCACAATGATTACTGGCACCTCAGTGGTGGGAACATTGTCGCCAACAGGATCCCAAAGGATATCATCACTTCCAGGGTCAGTGATTTCTAGCACTGAATTAGAAATAGCACCTTCACCTTCAATTTCATCATTGACTTTTCCACAGTCAGTTTTGAGCACTGCAATTAATTCTTCAGTTGAAGGCATATCCACCTCAAATGTATATGAATCATCTTTAGAAGCCTTCTCCACATCTGTTGGAACTTTTTCACCAGCTGGCCCCTCCATGCAGACTAGAAATAACACTGTTAGTTCAGTTACCAAGTCCAATGCAATCATGGAAAGTGTCGTAACTAAATCATCCTTGGCTCCATCATTGTACTTGACATCATCATTGCACTTGACGTCATCCATGTATGTGTCTGCATCTAATATAGGACCTGTTTCATCCTTTTCTTCATCATTACCAGCATCACAAGCAGTTACACTAACCATCGCACTTTCCAGGAGCACCTCAACGCTATTAGGACCAGATGCATCTTTGTTGTCATCAGTATTGGCATCATCACAAGCAGTGACACCAACCATTGCAATTTCCAGGGGCACCTCAACACCATCAGGACCAGATGCATCTTTATCATCATCATTATTGGTATCATCACTAACAGTGATGCCAACCATTGCAATTTCGAGGAGCACCTCAACACTATTAGGACCATATGCATCTTCGTCATCATCATCATTGGCATCATCACAAGCAGTGACACCAACCATTGCACTTTCTAGAGATACGTCAACACTGTTAGGACCAGTTGCATCATTTTCTTCATCATCATCCTCATCATTACCAACGTCACTGGCAGTGACACCGACCATTGCACTTTCCAGGAGCACCTCAACACCATTAGAACCAGATGTATCTTTATCGTCATCATTATTGGCATCATCACTCGCAGTGACACCAACCATTGCACTTTCTAGAGATACCTCAACACTGTTAGGACCAGTTGCATCATTTTCTTCATCATCATCCTCATCATTACCAACATCACTGGCAGTGACACCGACCATTGCACTTTCCAGGAGCACCTCAACACCATTAGAACCAGATGTATCTTTATTGTCATCATTATTGGCATCATCACTAGTAGTGACACCAACTATTGCACTTTCCAGGAGCACCTTGACACCATTAGGACCAGATGTATCTTTATCTTCATCTTTCTTGGCATCATCACTAGCAGTGATGCCAACCACTGTACTTTCCAGGAGCACCTCAACACTATTAGGACCAGATGCATCTTTTTCTTCATCATCATCTATATTATTATTGACATCATCACAAGCAGTGACACCAACTGTCATATTCTCTGAGAACACTTCAACATCTTCAACTCCTTCTATGGCATCTCACTTTGAGGTAACGACACCTTTAGCTATCACAACAGGCCTTCCATCAATGTCTACTGTCTCTTTCAGGTCAACCACTGCAATATCTTCGTCAATGAGTACCTCATTTGTTTCATCATCTGTGGTTCCAACAATGCCACCCATTCCAACCACTGTACCTCTGATTAACCAGACATGTGTTCATAATCCTTGTAACAATGGAACATGCTTTAGTGAGCCATACTTACAGTTTGAGTTCCGCTGTGAATGTTCTTATCCGACAGTTGGACCTGTTTGTCGTGGTGTAGCTGGTGAGTAGTGATCAAACTTTTTCTCATCACTGTTTTGTTAATGTGGTTTTTTGAAGAGTAATTTAAACTCTAGACAAAGCTGACTAGCTCCAAGACTATTTTAGTCAGTCAGGGATGTTTGCATTACCTTTTAGGTGTGGAATCTACATATATGCAGTGTAGTTTCTGTGGTAAAAACTGTGCACAAAATTTATCTAAAAGACACCACTTGCAATAAAATGTTTATAAGTATAAGCTTCATTTTAAGCCAGCCTTGTCTTAAGCGGATACTTGACCAAGTCCTAAGCATTTTCCTTCTGCTTTTACTGTTTGAAAATGAAAAAGAATCAGTTGAAACCCCTATTAGGTGGATATAGACACCAAAACTGAAGGCTTTTTCTCTTTACTCAAGATGAAATTTTCTTCAGCAGACAGCTGTTCTCTTTAACCTTTTATATGCAACTCATAAGATTTGATTGTTTAATATTCTCCCCTCTAGTTTCTAGACCTCTCTTTGTGAGGTAGTTACAAGAATTTAGTGTTAGATCAAGATAAAACTTCTACTTGCTTATTTTGAATATTCTCATTACCTATTTGCTGAATAATGTATGGATATTATAGGGAGAAAGTGCAAGTTAACCATAATACAATGTAATAATATACATGAAAAAATTATGCACATCTGATTGGCTGAAAATGAGTTGCATTTTTCATGTAACACAAGTGCAAAGTTGTAACACAAGTTCAAAGTTGCAACTCAAGTGCAAATTACAAGTTGTGCACTCTGGAAAATTTTATCCATTTTGATTTTCTACAATGTGTTTTTCATGTCAATTAACAAGTAACAACATAATTTCAAGTGTAATTTGGTGTAAATAAGCACTTATAAATTTTACAGACTTTGTACTCACTCAAATGGCTTCTTGCTATTTTGTCATCTTTGAAAAATTTACTCATGCTTTATACCACCAAATTGTATGCAAAATCATTTTGTTACCTTATATACTTAAAGGACTAAGAGGGGTTGAGCTTTCGCCTCAGTAATAGTAACCAAGCTGATTTAAGCAAGCATATAGAATCATAGCGTTTTTTTTTTTTTTTCTTTTGCAGAGAGTGATCTTCACTTCCCAGCTTTTGGAAAGAACTCTTTCCTGGAACACAAGAGTATATCATTTAATAATGAAATCAACAGGATTGACATAACATTCAAGACGAATGCATCTGAAGGTCTGCTGCTCTTCGCTGCCGATTCCAAAAAGCGGGGTGATTTTATCCAGCTTCATGTCACTAGTGGTAAACTTGAGTTCAGATTTGATCCTGGTGACAGTTTAGTGTACATTCAAAGCAACCAAAGAGTGGACACTGGTGAAATAGTAACAGTCACAGTCACGTAAGTTTTTGTTTCATGCAGGTATATTATGCATTCAAGCAAAAAAGGTGAACTCTGCACTAAAGACTTACTCACATAGCTGCCAGATTTTAGCCCTGTTTCTGTGGTGATAATGACCAGGGTTGGGTTGTTCAAAGCTGGGTTAAGATAACTCAGGGTTACTGTGAAATCTGATTTCAGATCTGATAGCTTTAAAAGAAAATTCAGTCAAATTCTTTTTGTCTAGAATATGATTATTTGATGCTTTAAAAATAAGACAGGAAATTATCCCAAAAAGGCTTTTGAATAAAGGAATAAAGAAACCCAGATTAAAATTTAACCTTGGATTACGGCTGAATGGCCTTCGAACAACTGGGCCCAGGGCTATTGCTTCTTCTTACCCCTGGATATTTGCTAGTTCATTGCAGGTTACAACACCCAACACCCTTCCACCCCCTTCCCCCCCCCCCCCCCCCATTCTTCCTGCCAAAAAGATTTCGTCAGGATTTCATTTCCCTAACTAAGTGAGTTAACTGCAGCCATGTGTACTCCTGGGTGGAGAGAGGCACTGTGGGAAAAAAAGGGTTCCTCAAGAATACAAAATGATGACCAGACCTGGGCATGACACTCAAATGTATTCTGTGGAATTCTTTCACTCCAAAAATAAAATACAATTTCTTTGAATTGTGCTCCATACATTTCTTACAATTTTAGTTTGGAGAATTTTGTATTTGGTCCATAAAAACACAAAGAAATTAACTGGTCAATATTTGGTCATCTTGATCTCACACTTGGTCTTTAACTAATGAGTCTTTGTTGGTTTCAGAGCAGTAAGTGACAGAATGAAGGGTAGAACTGTCTTTTTTTTGTGATATTTCAGGTATGACAGTTCGTCCTCACCACCTTTTGGCACTCTACAAGTTAACAATGGTGCGCAACTTATAGGTGTTGTCAAGGGAAGACTCCGGGGAATACAGTTGTACGATAACTGGTATGTAGGAGGTGTCCCACAAGGCTTTGACATGCGTAGTCAGACAAGAGGTAATTCTGCCCCATCAACATCCTTTGTTGGGTCAATAAGGGATGTGCAAGTGAACGGAGAGACAATAAATTTATCAGGTAAGTTATATTCTTTGATATCTTAGTCAATGGTTGTGTTATTTGGTACAAAGGAACTTCTCTGTGAACACCATAAGGATAGGAAAAGTTTCTCTGTCATAATATTATCTTGTTGCTAAAGACAATAGGATCATATTTTGATACTCTGACATGTTTGGGTATGTAAATGTGGAGAATATTTCCCTTTTTACTTTTCACTGCGTTTCTTGATGACAACCCCGTATGCACATTTCTAATGCAGCCCATTTCGAACAGGATATCAACCGAAGATGTACATATGAAACGATTCTGGAATTTAAGTTAACATTTTGGGTCAGTTATTGAAACAAGGCTTACACTTAGTTTAACAAAACTGCGTCCTAAATAATCCTCAGTTTAGCTGGACCTTTTATCTGAACATTTATTTTTGTGAACAGTGTCAAGAGAGCCAGAAGCTAGCTGTGGAAGGGAATTTATTTAATTTAATCAACCCTCTGATTAGGGCTGGTAAGGTAACACGTCACGTGACCTGACCAAGACTCTGGCGGAGTCGAAAGTTCATAATTTTACTGTTTATGGTGTTGTCATAAATTATAAAGTTCACGTACATTAAGTTTCTCTATTAATTACTGGGCAAACACTATTTTTAGATGCTGAAAATTGGTTCAACATCAATGAGGGTGATATGCCAGCCTGCCAGAGAATGCCGTGCCAAAATAACGGAAAATGCACAGAAGTTGACGGCAATGTACTCGATTACGAATGTAATTGCACAGCGGACTATGAGGGGAGAAATTGTGGAGTACACAAGGCCTGCAAATCAGAGAATTGCAATGGAGGGGAGTGTATACCCAAAGAATCAAATCCCAACGATTTCATTTGTCTGTGTCCTCTGGGTCGAGTGGGTGTGCAGTGTCAAACAGGTAAGGGGGTACCGCTTCCTCATCGTAGCAGCTATGGATTAATGATTGTGCAGTGGATATTCTCAGAATTTTGTCAAAAACGAATGATTTGAATTCATGTATGCATGTACAGTGTAACCGTGAGAAAAATATTAATATGACAATGAGTTTAGCGGTGGTAAGCATCTTTCCGCGAAATCGGGAGGCCGAAGTTCGTTTCTGTGTGGATAATTCCGTTTTTTTTCATTAATTTTTTGCATTACTTTCGTTAAAATTATACAACATCCCTCTTATTCAACTACGTAACTTACGATTTGCCTTTTTTATGGCTCTATTCACGTTTGTGTTTTTCAAAGTACATTTTTCTGATTTTTTTTTTATCTTTTATTCTCAGTTATTGACATAACAGTTCCATTGTTCACCATTGTACAAGGCTTCCCATCATATTTAGAGTACCCAGTACCAAAGGATGCAGTGAACAGCTTTCACGTGACCTTCCTCTTCAAACTCGACAATTCGTCAAAATCTTGGAACGATAGCCTTTTAGTTTACAGCGCTCAGAATTCCTTTGTAGGGAGCGGGGATGACTTTTTTGCAATTGGATTGAAAGACAACAAGGTCTTACTGCAATATAACGTTGGTAGTGGCAGTGCAAAGATCTACAGCGAACCAGTGGACATGCGCAGAGAGTGGCATGTAGTAGTCGCAGGGCGAGATGGGCGTCAAGGCTGGCTGTATGTTGACACCCAACCTCGTAAAGAAGGCGAGTCTCCCGCGCCACTTGTGGGACTCAACTTGTTTGAGCCACTTTACATCGGCGGTATTCCCAACACACGTCAGCTTCCTAGTACGCTGGAATTTAAAACTGGAGGATTTCATGGTTCTATATATGACGTAGGCATTAGATTCGCTAAAGGAACTTCATTCATCAAACTCTCAACTTCGACAGGCATGGCCGACGCAGCTAATGACTGGGCGGTTGTCAAGGGAAGAAATGTCGGTAATGAAAGCTACAACGAATGTAACACCCTCAACCCGCCATGCTTCAATGGAGGAAACTGCACCCAGGAAGGGGCCACATTTATCTGTTCCTGTCCAGCGGAATGGACCGGTTTGTACTGTGGTAATCAACGCCTGCCATGTTATGGTTACAGTCCGTGCGTCAGTGGTTCATGTCGTCCTGATGGACTGAACACCATTTGCGATTGTCCTTTGGGGAAGACTGGACAATTTTGCAGTCAAGGTTTGTGAAATTTTTTTTGTTAAATTTCGTTAAATATTTTGATTGATTTATTATTTTTTGGCAAATGGAAGGTGTTTTAGGGAGACGAATTTTCAGATAGCCTTAGTCGTGTATGTGGTTTTGGGGTTTAAATCTTTTTAAGGCTGGGAATCCTCTGGCAATTACCGAGCTGTCCGCGGGCATTTGAGATGCTTAGGCCTCAAAGAACTCTGAATCTCAGGGTGCGGTACTTTTTGGGGAATTCTATCACACATTTAACATTAATCTTTCGGAAGGTTCAATCTACTAATTTTGCTAACAATAGCCTCCCCCCGCCCCAGCGCTTACTGCGGTTTAAATGCTTCCTAACTTCATGTTTCCTTAATCAGCACGATTTATGATACGCTTTTTCTTGTTTTCTTACTGCAGACATCATAATCCAAACGCCGCGGTTCCAGAATTTTTCATACATGATGTTTGCCAAGACAAACATAAGATCTACCACACAGATCACGATCAGATTTAAACCGGAAACGCTGGATGGCATTCTGTTTTATGTGTCCCATGAAGAGCAGAGCACGACTGGAGACTTTTTGTCCATCATTCTACACAATGGGTAAGGTTTTACTTGACCCGCCTTGTTGGCGATCGGCAGGAACGCGAGTTACACGCGCGCAAGAAAGTTGACTTTCGCGCGTGTGCGTGTTAGTCATTAGCGCATGTCTAATCCGCTCTTATGATCTGCTTTTGACAACCAGCGGTATTTTTGGTTTAGTCTCGTGATCTCACCTTCATCCCTCTTTCTGCTATGTTAGCCTAATAGGCAGTTAGTAGAGTGTAGGGTTTTGATCGCACAAACGAGTTAAAAAAAAAAAGAAACTTTTATTTAATAATAAGTACGTTTTTCGCTCAGACTTAAATTATGTTAGTAGCATTTGTTGGGTGAACGACTGTTTTGAATGACTCTCACTTGTGTTTGTTACATTACTGAAACTTCTAATTGAGATTTCACTCTGTTATCATTTCTGATTCTTTCAATTTGTTATTCTTCCATAATTTTTTTAGTTTTGTCAAGTTGAGATATGACCTTGGCAAGGGCGTCGGCGAGGCAATGAGTAACGTTACAGTCAGTCTGAACACGTGGTACACGGTCAAGGCCATACGAAATGCACAAAATGGAAGTTTGGCTATCAATGATGGTAACCCTGTGTACGTTACTTCGCCTGGGTCGGCTGTTGCTCTCGACGTTCGGTCCAATTTCTACTTGGGAGGGGTTCGCAAGTTGTCCAATGTCAATCCTAGAGCTGTGGACAACGCGGCGTCCTTTGTACAAGATTTTTCTGGCTGTATTGATTATTTTGAGGTAGGTTGACTTTTTGATCGATGAAAGTGTCATTTCTTTCTCCTCCTCCCCCCCTTCCTTCCTTCCACGGCCTCTTCCCCGGCGGGTAGCACGCTGGATTCAAAGTTGATAGTCAAGATGAGCTACTTGGCTACACTGCTTACCTTACCTTACTGGGTAATAGCAAATCTATGAAGCTTATGCTCCAATTACTTATTCATAATATTTTTTGCATGCCCCAACATCCACCATCAAAATTTCTCGTTATGTTTAAATCCATGGTTGTGACGTAGAAAGAATCAGAGTAGCTTAAAGGTGCTTGGTGTGCACTTTCCGTACGTGTACGTTGTATTTGTCTTCGTCGCGAGTTTTTTACCCGGATATGATTTAGATTTTTTAACTTTTTCTTTTAGGTGAATGGAATCCTATATTTTCAGCCGAATACTGCTCCAGTAGAAGGAAGAAATATTGCTAACTGCCCCGAACAGCAAGTTGCTTAGATTCAAGTCCTGCTAAGGGAATGGAAATTGCCATGCCGTCCCAGAGGGAGCTAATCAAATCTGATTTTGTACGTCATTTGATGTTCAGTGAAATATCCGAGTTCCTGTTCCTAACCGATATAAACAGCTGTTATTGTTTGATTCATAACTGGATTCCGAAAAAAGAATTGCTGTCAATCTCCGATGAACGTTTTTTTTTATCTTCGCAAGTGACAGTGAAGAAGCCAATCAAATGAAATCTTATCTTCACTCGTGGAAACCAATGTCGATAAACGAGGCACGACGCACGAAAATTGTCGCATTAGCGAGAAATGGAACTGCACGTGTGACAGACGAGCGCGTTGCGTGACACGAGAAGGCTTTCAAGAAGCTTAATATGATTTACTGACAGTCTCAAGGGTTTATGATATAGTTGTGACTGTAGTAAAACAAGTCAACTTTATGGGGTCACAATTGTTATCTGCGCAATGCTCTTAGTCAACGATGGAGGTCGCTTCGTCAGTATCAGTATTGAAATTAGCCGTGAAGTACAATTTTTTCTTGAAATGTTCTATGACGCTATGTTGAGTTATGGCTGTAAATGCTCTGAAATTCTGTTTGAAGTTGAACGTATAAGGAAAAGAAATTTAATCGTTATAAAACTTGGCATCAATTAGGACCCAAAAAAAATCCAGGCTAAACTCCAGCGAAGTAACATTATTTGGAAACTTCCCAACTGACTCAGTTCAGACTGGAGTCTTTAACCCTTAAGATCTCGATTATCGGTTGCCTTCTAAATTTGGGGGAAAGGCACATGACTGCAAGAGCTGTTTATTCCGTGCATTACTGAGATCATGGTGCTGTAGGGTCTAGAGCAACACTCTGATCGTATAGTATGATTTAAACCGTGATTAAATGTGCTATTTTTTCATTGCGTAAGAATTACCTCGATTACGTTTTAATATTAATATATGAAGAATACATTGAATAGCTTGCTACTTTACTGCAACTGTACATAGTTTTTATTCAGTTGTACATACAGATGGTACGTAGCAATAAATTTTTTTCTTAGTCGACTGAGTAAGAGTAATCGAGTTCATGTTTCGAGCCCCTTAAATAAAGTTTCACATTGATGATAGTCCTTTGTTTCCCGAAGACATGTTCACTTTTGTATAGTTACGATAACTTTTCATGGTGTGATATCTTTTCTTTACACCCCTCGTCATTTGGATTATTTTACTTTTAATGCGATACATTGGAAAACTAATATTATAGTACCTCTAATTAAATCTAAGCTTTTAAAGTTCACATCGGATAAATCAGGCTGAAGAAAGCTCTACTTGGCCAATTTGCATCAATGGTCTGTATGCCTATCAAGTCATTCTGGAAGGCCGAGCTCTGACTGTGGGGGCCTGCCATTTTAACCTGTAAACACAATAATCAGAACACTGTGACTAAACGGCAAGAGGGAACAATAGAGTGCTTGAACTGCGTCTGATTATTGAGATGGAGCAAGCGACGAGTCATGAAATTACGAAAACCACAAACCTCATAATGTGTGTTAAATGAACAAAGTAACAAATCGAACAACCAAAAGGGTGACTGTTGTCAACTCGGTAATAAAAAGAAGATTGAGGATCTCAACTAACAAATATCACTATAAAACAAAAAATACATTTAATTGGAGTAATGTAATGAGCTGTACCTTGCACGGGTTGAAGGCTGACATAGTGCGCCTCATGAATATGTCCCAGCACAAGAGGTTTGCTTTCGTCAACTGGACAATGTGGCGTAATGATGACATCATTGCTAGGAAGTAGACTACTGACCACACGAATGCGCGTTTCAAAGTAGTTTGCTGCGGCACACAGAATCACGTGATCACCCCAAGCGCCATCTTGTTGCATGTATACTAGGTATTCAGTCCATGTTTGATGTCCATGAACAAAGTGAAACAGATCTGTTCCATCCGGCTGTAAGAAGAACCAGTTAAAGAAGGAAACTTAAAAGGATTTTTGATAAGAACTAGAGCGCGTGAAGTACGAGTCAGGGTGTAACTTTATCAGAATGGTACGAGATGATCTTTAATTAGCAATTTACACGTTAAGTAACATATGAATTTATCTGTAACCAGCATCATTGTGTGACTTTTTAAATAATAAAGTTAAATCTTTCAAGTTCCCCTTTCCACTAGGGGTACAAGCTGGTATCAGAGCTCCTGAAAAGAGACCATCATTCCATACAGGAGGAGTAACAGTACCCCTGGTCACTTCACACTGTGAACACTGGGATAGGTTTTGGTAGTGTTGGCCAAGTGGCCTGTATTATCACTAAACCTTTATCATACCCTTAAAATAATATCACGTGACATACTCTGTTAGACATACTAACAACAGCTTACAAGTTTTGGTTTACTCCTGAGGTACTGGACCAAGGTTTGTCTTAATTCGCCATGTGGGATTTCGATTCCCTTAACAATTTCCAGTTGTTCGGACAAGGCATGGAACATGCAATTTCCTGATCCTTCATTGTCAGATATTCTGAAGTCCGCGTCTGATACAATATTCCTCAGCCCCAATAATAGATCTGTTTTGCTCTTGACTTCGCTTGCATCGAGTTGCATCTGCTGAAGTTCCTGGGTGAATCGGTCAAGAGAACCTTGAGAGACAAAGTTCTCATTAATCTAACTGCATCAAAGAAACGAAACAATCGTCCTCTAGAAAATGAGAATCCCCAATCTAATAAGAGAAACTTTGAGGTAAAAAGGAAAAGAAGGGCTTCAACCACCAGACTCCTGCTGTTTTGTACAACAACTCAGCCTTAAAAAGGTAGCTCTTGGTGTTATTTAAGGTTTTAAGATACCCGTGAATGAATACACTACTAATCAAGAGAAGAGGCACAGAGGATAAATTACTCTGACATGTCTGTGTAACTGGAAAAAAGAATCCTGGAGAAAATTACGGGCTTCAAAAATATACTGATATATTTTCTCTGCCATATGAATATGTGATTTCTTCGATATTGTGTCGAAAGACAACTGCATTGCGAATAGAACATAAACCGGTTTAGATAGGAACACCGTTTAAACTTTGGCTTCGTTTTGAGAAAAAGCAAAAGAATACCCCAAGTCTCCCTGTTTCAGACAATTTATGGTAGTTTCCAATTGAAACGGGATGAAAACTTCATATGACTAAAAGAAATAAATAACACTCAGCCATCCTTTCGGATCAGAAAGTAAAAGAAAACCATATTTTTTTACACACTTCTTTCATTTGTGACTGAAGAGTGCAGGGATATATACAGCAATAAGTCTCATAAGTAAGAAATACCTCACTGAGTTTTCACGAAGCTTAGCTGGCCTGAAGTCGGAAGTTAAGGAGGGGAAATTCCTGGATCTCCTTCTAACCTGTCTGTACTTCTTTGTGGATGTCAATTATCATGCGTTATTAAATTCTTTTACTTACTTGGTGTCAGTAATGAATCAGCTGTTAGTTGTTCGGCTGACGTGTCAACAACTTCGACCTTCCGAGTTCTGAAACTTGTGTCTCGTCTTTTAGAAGCTTAAGAGATAAAAAGAAACTTTTGTTTTAATATCACAGCAATCAACAAGAGGATAAAACGACTGACTACTATCCATGTTTAACATTATTTTCATATGAGGTGTTCATGCTTTCCATAACAGTTAATTAGAGACTGAAAGTCGAGTAGCCCCCTAGAACACTTTTTAAAAGAATATTCAAAACATTCGCACCATGAACTATGTCCCACATCTTCTCCACAAGACTGTCACACTGTTTCTCCCAGCTAAACTTCTCTTCATATGAACTCTTCAGTTGTTGAATATCTCGAAGTCGATCTGATCTTTCCTTCTGTCGGACACCAGCAATTGCCTTTGCCCACTCCCAAGGGTCCTCAGACTCCACCACCAATGATTTGCCTGATGGTACAGTGCACAGTGCTTCACCAAATCCTGAGTTTCCACTGACAAGAATGGGAAGACCAGAAGACAACGCTTCTAATGCTGTCAAACCAAAACCCTCTGATCTGGAGGGCATGATACAGAGATCAACTTCACAAAATAATTCTTTCAATCTCTCTTTGCTTTGCACGAACTTCCTCACGGTCAGCTGGTTTTTATCAATTCCACTCATGAGTAAATACTTTGCAACTTCATCCTGTTTACCGTCTGGTGCACCCACGAAAATCAGATGGTAAGATCTGTCTTTCAGTTCAACTATTGCTCGAGCAGAGATATCGTAGCCCTTCAAGCTGAAGTCCTCTGGGTCACCACGGCCAAATGTTAGAACCTTAAAGTTGTCCATGTCAACTGCAGCTTGTTTTACGTCGGAAAACGCACTAAACGTGCTTGGCGTCAGTTGAATTATCTCCTGGTGCTTCTCGTATGAGCGCAGATAGGAAGAGTAAGCCCTCTTCAACTTTGGTCCAACTGCTACCACAGCATCTGCCAACTTGCACAACTCCACTTCAGTTGTATTCTTCTCTTCACCTTTACAAATGGCCATAGGATAGTTTTTGTGCATTCCGAGTTCTTCGGGTGCAGTATGCACTACCTGAAACCACTTGCACTGGTAAGATTCTCTAATAAATTGAGCTTGTTTACCAAGCTTTGCTCCATGGCCCAATACTATGTCAATGTCCAGATCTCTCGGTGGGGCACTTAGCCAGTCAAGGGACTCGGCATAACCTGGACGTTTTTGTGCCTCTCTGAGCGATAAATTGTGAATTCGAGCCATTCTCCTCTCTTCTTCAGAACAGGCAAACTGGGGGACAAGGAGAGTAACGTCCACTTCAGAGTGTGTGGCCAACAGAATGGCAAGCTGTCTGTTAATGGTGGACAAGCCTCCCATTGACGAACTCCACTCACTGCCAAGGAGAGTCACCTTCAATGCTGTGGCAGACTTCATTGGATTGATTTCACTTGCTTCATCATGTGATCTAGCAGCTAAATTTGAAGAGGACAAACCCTGAAGAAAAAAAGTCATATAAGATTATGATAATTAAATAAAATTGATCAATACTTTACCAAGGAAAACAAAAAAGTACAAAATTCAAAAACGATTACATCTTGCTGGAAATACTCTGACCTATACTTGAAACTGAAGACAACCTATCAAGGTTCTCTTTCTCAACACTGATGACAGCCCAATTGATATTCACATCAAGTAAACCAGAGGAGCAAAGCAAAGATGAAACTGAGTCTAGAAATCTTTGCTTAAAAATCATTATAATCATTTATACCTGGCTTCTTCTTTTTAAGAACCATTTCTCCAATCCACAAACTGGTAGTACAATCTTCCAAGGTTTTCGGTTACAAATGGCCAGTCGACCTTCATTTGCATCAATGAGGTGGAAGCAGTCCTCGTGTGTGCAAGTGGTTTTCATGTGGTCTGAGCATGTACGACGTGTTTCTTCTGCCCCTTCATGACAGTTAGGACATGCAACACACCCTATACTGCAGTCCCCTCAGGTAGGGCATTTCTCCTGACAAATTCTTTAGGGTGTCTTCAAGAAATTCACGAACACGAGTTGCTAGTGCGACGGAGTTCTGCCCTACAACCTGATGACTTTGTGCTCTTTTTTGTCTCAAGATCACCTTCACAAATCCTGTTTTGCATATGAGGACAAAATCATGAATATCTTTCCCAATGATGAACCATGCTCCATTTTGGTACAGCCTCGGTTGATGTGTGGCCCATGTCTTTGAACACCAACGAATGGATCGCGAGACAAGCTGCAAGAAGAGACCATGAGGGACAAAGCCATGGACAAAGAGGAGATACAATGGACATGGATCAGTTGATGATGGTGTCATCTTACAGAGTTCTACAGGCGATGCTTTCAACTGAGCTGGTACAAAGTACTTCTCGTCAGTTGGGGAAACTGAGTACTTAGCGATCAAACCAAATTGCTCCATCATGTCCAGAATGTCTTCTTTAAAGATTTCTTGTCCAATAAAGGTGGAGAACACATGATTAACATATTCCATGCTAAGGATGCCACTTCCTTCAAGTTCACGCCAGTACTTAGCATGTAAGGGAATCTACAAAATATAGGAATAACAGCAATTCCAGATAAGAGAAGTCCACTAAATGTTGTAAATGTTTTCCACGTAAATGTTCAAGAACTAAAAGAAGTTTATTTACATCAATGTACTGAAATGCTCGGAAATTACACTCTGAATAAGCAATTTTGTTTATTTTTAGTTGTTATTCACCACCCCAGAAGCCAAGTAGCACAAGTGAAAAGAACTATTCATTTGTCTGAATACAATCATTGTAAGCAGTGGCAAGTCAATGCCAGTTTCTGGTAAAGGAAAAAGGCAAATCAATTTATGACGTGAACAGTTGCAAAAGATACATGAAATAGCTTAGGGTCAACATTAATTATTATAAAGAGCAAAGAGTCACAGCTGTTGCCTATTTATTCAAAGAAAAAGTATCATTCTCATTTTCTGTTGGTCTAAATTATTGAACAACATTTTCCAAGTAAGGCTTTTTTTGAAAATGAAAAATTTTTCTTACCTGGTTATTGAAAGGTGGAATGGTTATCAGCTGTTTGAACAGATCAATCAGCCACTGGACCTTCAGTACAACTGTACTGCCGTGTTTGATTATCATGCCCAAACCATGGTAAAAACTGATCATGGACTCAAACTCTTTTGCATCTTCCATGAAACAATCTTTCCTTGCATAGTGCTCGAGTTGTTGCAGATTCCTGTGATAAATCTGTTTAGCCACCAAAGCTTCAATCACCTTTTCAAACAAAAACCATCTAGAAGAAAACAGAACACATGAAATGTATTAGGGTTTAAAATTGGATATTCATTTCTGCCAAATGGTGTTATTCATCTATTTCCTTGGTCTAGCTTCTCAAAATTTTAGGAAAATTCAAATATGGCTATGTTTTTCTCCTAAACAATCTCAATTCAAAGAGCTCTGCCTTCTCAAATATCCATGAGACATTCATGCCCTTTTAAAAATACAATATTGTCATAGTGTCATAACACTTAAATGACTGCTGTGTATTTGTGTAGTCTAATGTTTTAAGAATTTTGACAAACTTCAAATTAGTGGAGGTATGAAATTTTTATGTTCATATACATTGATATGCAAATACAGTTATGCTGAAAACACAGCTTGCTATTTGAAGAACTTTCCATGCTTGTTTCAATACAACATTGATCCTGAAGTCCATGAAATGAGGTTTGCCAAATAAAATATTATTTTTGTTTACCTGACAGGTATTTTCTCCCCCATATAGGGCTCCTGCCCCAACACCTCCAAGATTTTGTTCTGCAATTCATTTATTCCATCTGCTTTTCCTTCTTCCCTTGCTGAATATGTTTAGAAAATGAATTCAAACCATAATGTAACACAGAAACATATGCTCACAATGAGCATAGTTTGTATCATACATGTGTGATTGCAGATATTTTATAACTGACAACATAGCTAAGATGATAAAACTCTTCAACTCTCCAAATCATCTTTTGTTCCTTACTTCAAACTCTGAAATGAATGGATCTGCCAGCAAAAATTTATAGGTCCCAATATGGTGATGCTGGTACATAAAGTAGATGAAGCCTTAAAAGATTGCAGCCAATAAAAAAAAACAACAACAACTCTAACAAGCTTCTACTATGAGCCTGAACTCATTCAATTAGGGCAGCATTCTTCCCTTATCACTCCCACTTAAACATTCTGTGTCTACCCACCAGAAAAAGTTATAACTAAATACAACACAACTGCTGGGTGACATGTAAATTTCAGTCAGATAATAATTATTGTATGCTCAATGCTTGCCAAACATCCACTAAATGGGCTTTTGTTTAAAAAAATGGCCACAAATTAGGTGTTATAGGAAATGACACAAAGACAAGCTGATGAGCAAATATAAAACCATCAATTACTGCAAGTAACACATTGTGAAGGATATGATATGACATCAAATATCTTACCTGTTTTATGTTTTTCTGTCTGCTTTCCAATCATCTGGATAAATTTCTTTATCAAGTTTGGTCTCTGAGTGTTGTCAATGCAGAATAAGGGTCTGACCACATGCTTCTCATATTCCATACCAGAAATTCTCTCTTGTATTTGTTTCTTTATTATTGTTATGTCTTCAACTGGTTTGTCAGCATGTGTTCCAACAATAAACACTGGAGGACGGAGGTAGGGCAGCTTATGTTGTGCATCATTAACTGTGTCATCAGTTGCCAGGGCAACACCGTGTACTGTGGCCAGCCATGACAGCAAATTCTCCATGTTTGTTTCATTGTTAGGGTTTTCCAATTTCACCTCATTACTCCCTTGTCTCATGCAGGGCTCAGCTGCAGCATCTAAAGGCTTGCTGAGATTGTGGATCAATATGTACAGTGCTTGCTGTGAGAAGAAGATAGGATGACTGGCATAGTACAGGTGCTGCCCTGCAAAGTCCCAAATATCCATTATAGCATAGGATTCTTCTTTCAATAAACCACTTTTGATGTCTTTGCCTTGGACATACTTCAACCACTGATGAACATGCTTCACGGTATCAGGGGGTTGAGTAACATCAATAACTACCTTGGGCTCATCTAAGATGCAGTCCATTGAGTGTTCAATGCTAATGTTGTGCATAGCATCTACTGATGGGTAATCTCCTTTATCCTCAACCTGGGTAAAGTATCCAATGAGGTGCAATTAATTACTTCAAGAACCATAATGATTCAGTTTAGGCAGCAAACTAATAACACATTTAAAATAATTATACCAAAGTTTTATGTAAATAAGATAATTAAAATAACAGTTCATGTACTGGGAGGGAAATTATTGTTTAGACTATAAACAGTTCCCTGCTTTTTGGCTAAGACCATTGCACACATTGAAAAATCAATTAAAAAAGTTGAACAGTTTTAATTTTAGCTTCACTTTAAGGTTTGCATAATCTTCATTTGACATTTAACATTTAAAACTATACTGTCATTAAGAAGCTGCCTTAAACATGTATACGAAGAACATTTGTACAATTCTGACATCACCTTCTTTCTGCCATCTCTGTAAGCATCAAAAGCTTTCTCTTCAAAATCTGCAGGTGAAATGTGAGCTGCATCTTTTTCAAAATCTTCTTTTAAACTTTCATCTGTATCTTCTTCTAAACATTTTACTTGTATAGTCATTTTTCTAGCAAAATCATCTTGTACAAAAATTTTCTCTACAACAATCTTTGCCACATCTTTGGAACATTCCAACAGGCCAGGTTTATTCTCACCAATGGACTGCCAGTTCCTTGCAGCTTGGTCAACATCAATTTCACACTTTGAAGGATCCACTTCAATCCCCTTAGTACTCTGTTCTTTAGAGTTAAATGGAAGGCCAAGGAGACTCTTCTTTAAACTGGTTTTACCAGCTCGATCCTGACCAATGAGTAATATTCTACTTCGGTAAACTGTGACATATCCATCTTTCAAAGCCCTTTCATAAGCCAGCTGTGCTTCTTTAGGTCTGTCTGCTATTTGGCCTAATTATAAAAAGTTTTCACAACACAAAGAAAAAAAGCAATTTATGCATTGATAAATTTGTACAACATAGTTGAAAAGAAAATGTAAAAGTTGACAAATCAACTACTATAAATGCCTAACATGAATAATGTTGGAGTTTAAGGCTGGTATATAAAAACTGAACCATCAAAATTTTTTTATTTTCTGATGTTAATGCATCAGTGAGTTTGGAACACACATTTATTCCACTCTTACATAAATGTTAAACAGTGAATCAAATAATTCTTCTGGCATAAAATGTAGAGATGAGTTTGGTGAATATACACACTAAACTGACCCAACATTAAAAATTAGAACCACTTGCGACTGATCACACATGAGAGATCGAGGCAATGACTTATTAAATCAATTCTGCCGAGTAGTGAGGAATCAATAACCAATTAATTGTTTGTAAAAAAAAAGAAAAAAAGAAATAGCCCATATTCCCAAAAGGTAATGAAAGTAAGTTTAAAAAAGATTATGCAAAACAGACCAATGTAAATTATGCAGAAATAATAATCAGAATTCAGTCACACTTAAAATAAAATTATATTTAAGTGTTATTCCTGTGACTTAATTCACAAATTGCATTGGTTTATAAATTTTGTTTGATTAGTCAAAAGTTATTCCCTATTTGAACACTTCCAATTAATCAAATAGAAAGCAAAAATAAAACAACAATTCCTAACAGTGAAATGACTTGGGATACATTTTATCCTTTTGTTATTCCAGTAAAAGATAAAGCAAAACTCAAAACAATAATCCCTAACTGCATAGAATGATTTGTAATAACATTCACCCCTTGATTTCCAATCATATCATATTTCCTTACAAATGAACTTAAATTCAAAGTCAGCCAAAATGTTTACACAAAGCTTTTCAATATTGAACAAAAACTTCCGATACAAGTGTCATGTACTTCTTAAGTGATGCCAACTTTGTTGAATTATTATTGAATTATTATTGAATTATTATACAGTAACTGTAATACTATTTACTTCATATTCTTCTAAGGCTTTACTGTGTAAATATTGTTTACTTTCTGAAATAATCAGTAACAAGCAGAATAACCACTTGGAAGTCAAACATTAAAACCAATTTAGTAAATGCACATGTCACAACATAAATATGAACAGATATTTCCTTTACTCACCTTGGATATCTGAAAAAAAAGTGTCAATCTTACATGTATCCTCTAGCTCCATAACACTTCTTATTCCTTCAACTATAAAAGGATTCCCACTCACAAACAACATTTTGAGTTTCTTAAGCTGTTTTATAGCTGGACTCAACACAGTCAACTGGTTGTAACTCAGATTCAGTCCCTCCATTTCCACCATCTCACCAATAGCATCAGGGATGGTGGTTAGTTTGTTATGTGGGATGTTTAGCCATTTGAGTTTCTTCAGCTGTTTTATAACTGGACTCAACACAGTCAACTGGTTGTAACTCAGATGAAGTTCCTCCAGTTCCACCATCTCACTGATAGCATCAGGGACGGTGGTTAGTTTGTTAAATGAGATGTACAGCCATTTGAGTTTCTTCAGCTGTTTTATAGCTGGACTCAACACAGTCAACTGGTTGTGACTGAGATCCAGTGTCTCCAGTTCCACCATCTCACCAATAGCATCAGGGATGGCGGTTAGTTTGTTATATGTAATGTCCAGCCTTGTGAGTTTCTTCAGCTGTGTCAAACTTGCAGGGAATATGGACAGCTGGTTTCCACTCAGATGAATTCTGGTAATGTTGTTTAATCCTGCAATATTTTCTGGTATTGTTTTAAGTTCATTCCATGACAGGTCAAGTTCCTCCAACTCAGTGAATTCCAGCACACCTTCAGGCAATTCACGCAAACAATACCCTGACAGATCTAATTCCTTTGTTACATTAAAAGTTGTCTTAATGTCACTTCTCAGCTTCTCCTTAGAAAGGAAATCCATGTCTTAGAAATATAACTGTCAGAACAAAAAAAAGACAGCTGTCATTTAAGATGAGTAACTTGTACTAACTTTCTTGGCATTTATAATAACCATTGAACCAAAAATTGCCAAAAAATGAGTTTTATAATCTAACATCTTCTAAACCAAGGTATTCATTTATTTCTCTTAGTACAATCTTTGGCAGAGACACACCATTCATTATTCTTTTAAACACTTTCTAAACAATTTGAGTAAAGGATGCTTATGTGTAATGGCTCTAGTTATTTATTTCCATGAGAAACATCTTAATTTAAATCCTTTTGTAGGATTTTTTGTGTTCATAAACAACTGCTCGAGTGATACGTGTTAACATAAAGGCAATTATGAACAAGGAAGATATTTGAATTTTGACAGAGCTCTCCAAGCTGCTTTTACAAAAACATACAAACTACTTTTATTTTAAAAATTAATATTCAACAGGAAAGAAATTACTAGTGCAAATCTATGGTTGGTTTTGTTTTGATGTGATAACTTAAGACAGTTGTAATATAAACCAAAACATGAATGATTTTCAAGCTTTAGATATTCAGACCAAGTTGCTAATTTTCAGACCTGTTATTTGATTTTATCCTCTGTAAATTATTTTTATTTGTGATTAATAGAGTGAATTCATCAGAATATGGCCCTAGTTATTTAATAGAGACTAACCAGATAAGTCCTTCTCTCTGACATATTCACTGTTTAAATACAAAAAAATCTGGATGAGAACTTATTGTTTTCTTTTGTGTTTTTAATGGAGTTTGTCAAGCAGCATGGTGCTTTTAAGACTAAGGCTGTAATTAATTAATTAAGAACCTTCGTTAATTTGCAAATCTTCTGTCTTCAAAACTTTATAAACTGTGCCTAGCTTCTTAACCATCTAATTTGCACAAAATGAATTCATTTCAAAAATTTGCAACTGCAATCATTTACCAATTTCAAAACTCAGAACACAAATATATAACCCTTTAACCTGCATGAGTGACCAAGACAGGAATTCTCCTTACAATATCAATACAACATCAAGCAGATAAGTGATACAAACAAAGGAAAATATCAGTGAGAGGATTATTAGTTGATCCAATACCAAATTCTCCAAACTTACATCATGAGAATGGTATAGCAAATAGTAAGGAGAATTACTAAAGAGATCTTAGGAGTTAAAGGGTCAAGAGAATGAGAGTGTTTACCTAAGAACAAAATAATTCATGTCCCCAAATGTGCTGAAATCCATTTTTTGCTTTTTCAAACTAACAAGTAATGGTTAAAATACTCAGGGTTGACTTCCACAAAGGAAAACAAAACAATTTTGGAACCATGAAACTTTAATATAGGCTACCCCATCTCAGTGCAAAAAAATAAAAATAAATAAACAAAAGCTTACTTATTTTGTAGGACCTTAATAATTTGCATATATCAGAATTAAAGAATGTTAAGCAAGAAAAACTTTCATCTGAAAATAAAGCTTTTCATCTGTTAATCACAGAAGCTGCCAGAAAGTAAGTTTTATTTGTTTATGAAGGTAAGATCAAATTGATCATGCAATCAATTAAAGTCATTTCGAACTTCTTTAAATTGAAAATCTGAAAAAAAAAACATGTAAAAAAGTCAGACTGTTGCCATCAGCTGCAATAGTTGCATGGTATACTGAGGTATGGATGTACTTGGGAAGGTTTGTCAATCACGGAAGCAGACAGCGAGCAAGTTTGATTTATTTTATCAAATACCTGACATATCTGCATTTAGGTCAAATCGATCAAGCATTCATTTGGTTACTTTACAGATTTAGGTTTTTTAGTTCGTTTCTAACTTCTGTCAGATAAAATCAAGTACAATCCATGGAATTAAGCGACTATTTTTTCGTCAGTTTTAACACTTCCATTGCTTAACTTGGAAGCCTGAAAACTAATCGACGTTGAACAAAGTTACCCGACAGAATGATTAATGATCAGAGCTGATCGACGTCAGCACGATCAGAAACACTTTGTCCCTTTTATTCTTTCCATTCCTATGAGAATCTTCTTTCAAAAATTTCCGTTAAGGCAATCTTAACTTACAATCACTGTTTTCTTTTTCTCTGTTACTAAGAGTGTTTAACTTCAACCCGTTTGTTGCAGAAGGCCGACTGAACGCGCCTTCGCTTTACTCTATCAAAATCGTATGTCTTGCAATTGTGTGCTCTGCATGTAACGAGCGTCGCTTAAGTCTTGACTATAATAGATCAGAAACCCACAAACTTAAAATACGAAGGGAAACCAACGAATATTGAAGATATCAGAGAGTTTAAGTGAACTGACAGAAAATGACGAAAGAAGCACTACAGGGGAATTGACTTCTGTTCGATCGAGCGGAGAGAGTGAGTTCTTATAGCTGAATATTATCTTCGTTCACGTTGCAAGAGTCCAGCGAGGTTACACTTTGCAAGTGAGCTAAATTCTTATCTATATTGAACATAATTCTTACCTCTCAGCAAAGTAAACAACAACAGCGAATGAACAAAAGTCAAAAACAGATTGTAGACAATCTAGACGCTCGGCTCGACGCGGACACTCCTTAATCCACACAATTCGTGTTACTTACTCCACAAAATATTTCAGGCATCTCGAACGTCACGCGACGAGGGGCCTGTTTACTTGGAGGTAGGGTGTAGTGTTGCGTTACTTTTACTTCCCATCACTCATTCGTGTCGTAAATCTACTTTCTTAAGTAGATGGAAAATAACTAATCACGAGTATTACATTATAAATATACTATCTTGATTATAAAATAAAGGTCAGTTGAATCAGAGGAATGAAAGGAGTCACTTGACCTCTGAATACTCCACAAACTGGCGACGAGGATTCTCCGACAACGAATATTCACCACTCTGACCAGCGATCACGAAACGCTAGACGAAGACGAGGAAGCATTGGAAAATTACTTCGCCCCGAAAAGAAACGTGGTTTCCAAAAGACATAAGATCCGATCCGATACCTATTTCACCGCCCTAAGAGAATTATCAGACGTGCTAGTTTAGCGTGTTAGAAGAAGTGACCATTTCCTGAAAAGTATAACTTGCTTTTAAATCAGAAACGCTATGGTCACATCTCATCGGTTAGCAGATATTGCGTAGCTATTAATAGAATAAATCACAATTCACGTACGCTTTTCCACCGTACATGTGTTTTCCAGCTCTGAGCAGTGGTGATGAGTTAGTAAACATATGCATGGAACAGTCTCCTCTTTTGAAATCTAAAATTTGTAAACGCGATTTAAAAGCAAAGGCTTCATTATGGACCACACTGGTTTAACTGTATACAACCACTTTCAGTTACTTAGCTTAATATGAATAATTTAACTGTGAATTTGAACACAAATTCATCCTTTCACTCAACCAGGAGAACTATTTGTAGTTTCTTAGTTGGATCAAAAGCCTGCGACGTGAACATCATACATAAATGAGAAAACCTAGGCAAAAGTAAAGTAAAGATCTAGCATTCCGTTTAGCCACTCTCATTTTCGCCAAAACTAGGTTTTGTATCCACATCCATTTCATCGGCCGTTGCCTTCATTCCAAAGTTATTCCAAAGGGTTTTCGCTCAAATTTTCATGCATGTTCTTTTTCTCATTCTAACCAATATTGACGCCAAATTCAGTGCGCCCTAAATTCTTTTTCACATAATATTATGAGAATTAAAATCAGAGCTATGTACCAAAAACGTAACGAACGCAACTAACAAATTCTTCATTGCCTCTCTGAACTTTCCAAAATCTGTCCAGCTGTTTTAGTACAATCCATTTGTGCCAAAATTCAGGATGCAAATTCTGAATTTTTTATCCATTTGCACCAAATTAAGGCCCAAAACTCGACCAACTTATCGGTCCTCAAATTACCAGCGACTCATCGCCTGAAAGCCTCAAAACCGTAGTTATCATTCCAGGAAATTTACCACTTTCCGATTCAGAAAAATCAGTTCCCAGTAAGGGCTTAAATTTTGTTCGCATTTTTAGTTAAGGAAGACGTTGAAAAATTCCTTCGCCGCGTTCAGTTGAAAGCCTTTTATCACGACAAAGAGGAAGATTCTAACACTTCGAACAAAGATGCTTTCGAAACACTTCAGATTCGAAAGTCTAAGTGGACTCCCCCAGAGGGCCAGTTCGAGTTCGAGGGCTTTAGTTTTTTTTTTCATCAAAAGATGTCGCCACGATATCAACAAACTAAAATTCAATCGTAACATCTAATTTTTCAACCTTTCATCGGAAGAGTGGTCGGCACTAAAAAGTTAAAAAAAACGCAAAGACATGGTTATCAAAGCGGCCGAAAAAGGCGGTGCAGTTGTTGTTTGGTGGGCCGACCTCAACCAAAAAGAAGCTTCCAACTTTCTGACACCTCCTTTTATGCAAGAGTCGACAAAGATCTCTCTTTCATCAACGAAAACATCGTCAAAAATTCGATGAACGATCTTATCGCTAAACAAGAATTACCGGCCACTGCAAAAATTCTCACAATCACCACTCCTAGAACTTCGTGTATTTACTTTTTACCTAAAATCCACAAACCTAACAACCCAGGTCGACCCATCGTTTCTGCCTGCAGTTGTCCCATTGAACTTATTACCAGCTCATATAGAAGCGATGCTCGCAGTTATGAACACTACTGAACTAGCAGATCGAATAAGGCCTGAAAAAAATTCAGGCCCGTACAGGATTTAAATCCGTGACCTCTGCGATACCGGTGCAGCGCTCTACAAAATGAGCTGACAAGGCAACTGGAAGCTGGTCCTTATGTTGTATCCAAATAAACCTTTCAAGTGGTGAATAATGACTTTAAATATATGAAAATCATATATGTGCACTTGGCTTGATATTTCCAGCTATTTAGACAAAATTATGGCACCTATCGTCAAAACTTTACCATCTTACATTAAGGACAGCCGACACGTACTTGAAATTTTCGTGATTTTAATTTCCTTGGCCAAAACAAACTCATTTTCACTATGGATATTACATCTCTTTATACTGTCATTCCCAATGACGAAGGTCTCCGGGCCCTCAGACATTTTTTCGATCAACGCACTGTTAAGGAAGCTAGCTCTGAAACTCTACTCCGTCTAGCCGAACTAGCCCTTACACTCAATTGCTTTTCATTCATAGTAACTACCACAAACAAACTAATGGCGTGGCCATGGATACTAAAATGGGACCCAGCTACGCCAATCTTTTTGTAGGTTTTATCGAACACCAATTTTTTAAGTCAATACCCCGGCCCCAAACCTGAACTCTACGGCCGTTATATTGACGACTGCATCGGCGCTACCTCCTCTACCAGAGAGGAGCCTACTCAACTTATAACCGCTGTCAATTCCTTTCACCCAGCTCTTAAATATACCTGGGAAATTTCCGATACTTCTCTGGCTTTTCCAGACATCAAAATTTCAATTAAAGACAATTAACGGTTATGTACTAGTGTTTACTACAAACCTGCAGATACACATAGTTACTTCTTGTATTCATCTTCGCATCCATCACACGTCAAGAATTCCATACCTTTTTCACAGTTTCTCAGACTTCGTCGTTTACATAGGGACGATTCTGATTTTTCCGAAAAATCAGTGGCAATGTTGCGTTTTCCGACAATTTTCCGGCTATTCTGTTTCCGTCGTTCAAGCGGGCCACCATCGTGCCTAACAAATTGATCGACAGTAAGTACTACAAACAGCTGAGAAGGAAAACACTAACCGTATTCCATTTACTCTCACATTTCACCCTCACAATCACACTGTTAAATCTATCATTCCTAGAAACTTTAAATTACTGCAAAACGATTCAGAGACTGGTACTATCTTTTCGCAATCCCCACTAATTTCATTCAAACGTGACAAAAACAAAGGCAGCTTTTTGGTCCGAAGTTCATTTAAAACCAATGACCAACCTGAAACTTTCAAATGCACTCGCTCACGATGCAAAACTTGTCCTTTCATTCATAACGTAGAGAAAATGTCGGAACCCAAGAGATCCATTAAGATCACTGATCACTTTACGTGCACCTCCGCCAATGTCATTTACTGCATAACTTGCACTTATTGCAAAAAGTTACACATTGGTGAAACAGTAAGACGACTATACACTTAAATCTCCCTAATCATTCTAAACAGCATATGGCAGTTAATGGCCTTTCCCTACATCTTGGCAGTTCGGAAAGCCGCAAAACACTAGAACAAAAATTTATCTTCCAAATCGGCACTCTTAATCCCCACGTTATCAAGAGCGTTTTTCATTCAACTAATTTATTCCTGTTTTCTCGTCACCATATTCCCATCAATAACGTAGCTCCATTTTCTGCATATAAAAACACACAGCACACAATTCCTCCAAACGCTCAGACGAAGAGCTAACGCTCGAAACGTCAGCCTTTAAACTCTTTACGGTGGCAAATTTACGTTTTCAACTCAGTTGTTGACACTAAATTACCTGAAAAGCAAAGAACCATCAAGTCATCGTTCATTACTGTGAACTTCAACTTTTCCACGCAGGGGCAATAATTCAATTTTAATTTTGGATTCAACAGTTTCAGAGGTAATTCGATTCTAACCAACTAACGTCTAAGTTAAGGAGCTAAAATAACTTCACAAAGATTTTAAACTCATTAGCACAACACTACAGCCCTTCCCTCCACTGAAGAAACTTGCAAACGTTTCAAATGTTGCGATCGCGCTGAAATTTGACTGCGCCAGCTAGTGCCCGGTTTCTCCGAGCAAACTGTCACGAAAGCGACCTTGGTAAAGCTAGTGTCACTGTTTCGGTCACGGCTCGAACTTAGCTTCGAACTCCTTCCCCTAGTAAAACATTACGATTTTATTCCTGACTTTTCAAACCTTCCAGTCATTCAAACCAATTTGATTTTTCCCAGGAGAAACGAAATAAGAGTTTGGTTAGAAGACGTTCTCTGTGTCGTACAAATGAGATGACACTGGAATTATTTAAATGGGAATACTTGGAAATATCATCAATACGGATGAATAATTCCTTTGGCGATCAATCCTAAACTTTTGTCAAATCAATGCAAGTCTGATTATTAAATTGCACAAATGACAAATGCGCAAACGTCTAATGGCAAACAAACATGTTTTCAGGACTACACGAGTTGCTGAAATCCTGCTGGTCATGAGCACGCACAGGTGTGTCACGTGACTGTCGATTGATTCATGAAGCGGAGGGGAAAACGGAAACTACCTTAATTTTCACCAATACTTTTGATAGGAAATTTTTTCAACTCTTTTATTACTTGTATAACTTTTCATGCTGTTTATTCTAAATCTACATTATTACGTGACATGCCTTCAAAAAGTGACTGGGAGTCTACAAAGGAAACATGCAAATCATACGTCATTTTAGTTTACTGAACTAACGTCTTTGAGTTTTATAAACCCTGTGGATTTTGTTATGACACTTGATTCAACAGATTTATGTTAAGTACTTTCATAAAACACTTCAACTTCATCTGGTTGAAATTTGTAACTTCCTGCCAGGAATGATCGGGTGAAGGAGCTGGTATAACTATGGCCAGATGGTGGACTGTAGGTGTATCCAAGGTTTGAGTAAGAATTTGTGTTGGAAGAGGCGTGGTTCCTAATGTTGATATCGTGTCCTCCACCAAATGTGGGTCCATAGCTTGAACAACTGTATATGGAATGTATCCTTCTATAACTATACTTGCCTTGTTGGGTTAGTTTCACTGGTGCCCAGCCTGGCTTGTTGACCAATGAGAACAAAAAGGCACTTGCATCGTACTTCCACGAACAGCCAGAAACTGCATAGGAAGTAAATAATTCAAAATATATCTTCACTGTCGATCCTTTTAAAGGGAACAAACCAATCACCGCTTCAAATCTCTGTTAAAATTTTCAGTGTCTCGTGAAATCTAGCCATTTTTATTTTATCCTGCAGCTCGTACACAGGATATCATGATAGGCTAAGTTATTTACCTCACTGGTTTATTCTTAGTAACGTGCTTACTCGATTAATTGCCACGGCGTTAATTACATCTTAGCACTTCCCAAGCGGCATATATTCATGGGCGGAGTTTATTCGAGGGCGATGCGCGTTCATTCCAACTCATGTTTCTTAACTCATTGACATCAATCACAATAAAGCATTCGTAAGTAGAATGTAAAATGGAAAATTTTCCGAGAAAGTTAGTCTGAAAAGATCGAGAATCGGCCCAGAAGTGGAAGATCGAATTGCTCCCCATTAGCTCAAAGGAGCCTGGAGGAAAACTAATCGCTGAAATGACGTTGGAAGCTTCAGGTTTTTTTACTTTCTTCAAAATTTAGAAATATTTCAATTCGCCTAACCCGGTTGAAAATTAGTGCAGGTTTCAACTACCTGCACAAAGGAAGAAAACCCTATTTGAACATATCCCTCACTTCTTTCACACATTGCTTGCGTCGTGCTCCAATAACTAATGGATCATATAATTCATCTAGCGCCGATTCGTTTTTAACAGTTATTCAGAAAAAGACACTCGTTAAAAACCTGAAAAACTCAAATATACCGTAGACCCCAGTGCATTGTTTTGTTTAGTTTATGTGTTTTGTTTGTTTGCTTTTTTTTTTAATTAGAAAGCAGATGTAATCTCAGATTTTAATTTGTTGGTTCTACTTCAGCGAGGAGAGAAGGCAAGTAAATTCAATCAATCATCCACTTACTCCATGATATCCTGGTGTATCCACCAAAGATGTATTTTCCCACACGGATTATAGTCACTGTGGGTCCTTTGCTGTCGCACAATGAATGGAAGGTAGTACTGGCCCAACCATCCACTGATGCTCGCCAGCAGCGCTTCCAGTAAGAGGACTGGCTCTGTACAACAGGGCTTAACCAATTGTTCAGGGTTTTAAGGTAACCGCCATCGTTTGCTAATATTGCTGAATACCCCAGGCCTTAATAAAGGAATAAGTATTATTGCACCCTTAAAAAATACTTTTTTATTGCTATAACGTGTTTACATGTTAATGTATAAAGAAGACGTAAACCATTAACACAACAACAAGACACATCTGAACTACAGAGAATTCGTTGGTGACGCAGGGCATAAACAAGGCTCATGAGTCAGGAAACTTGTCCACTTCTGCGATGTCGAAAGCGTTATGTCAATCAATACATTTGGAATAATATGATAAATTTTGAGCTCAGCTGTCACGTACGGTAAACACCTTCCACGGACGGGAAAAAAGTGAAAAACCAGTCTTCCAAACTTATTTTTTTGAGATTGATGAAGGGCTCAGAGGTGTTTTTCACAGTTCGAAAAGAAAGCCAGTTTACAGTTAAAATCTTAAGTTACGAAGGCCAAACTTTCACTTCGCTGCTTTACTGACAAATTTTTGTCAAACTTAACCAAGGAATTTTTTGGGCATAAAGGAACATAACAATGTATTTCAAGTTGTTTTTCAGCGCATCTTACCTGCATAGATGTGATAACAATCAAATCCATCTCCAGAGTATTCAGCTTTACACCTGCACGTGTACGAGCCACGTTCATTTGTACAAGTGGCCAGTTTGTGACAGTAATCCAGATCATTTTGGCATTCATCTAAGTCTAGTATTGGAATAAAATAAAGCATTTGACACTCTTTCAGCACGGAGAACTTAATTTCCCACTACTGACTTAGCGTATTTCCGTACATTGAACTTATTGGGAGTATTGCTGGTATTCGTGCCTTCCATTCCCCCTAACAAAGTTATGAAGTTTCCCTGATAGACCGGTGGTACCTAGAGTCTTGCCTACAAACTGCAACACAGTGGTCCACTCACATGATTAATCAATATACCCAGCTTTCTCAGTAACTCTCCTCATCAAGGAGATATAATGGTTTTCAGTGAACTATCCTGAAAAGAAACATGGCCAAATACTAGGACTTACACGTGATGGACTGACATGTGGAGGAGTGGAGTATTCCAACTTTCTTCAAGTTTCCAAGAATGAAGATAGGATATCGATAAACCCAGACAGAACTGGATCATAACACAAGTGGCACCCAACCAACCATTGTAAAGCATTAATTAGATTTTGCTCGTGAAAATGATATCGTAAAAGCTTCATTTAATACGTTTGACTAACCTTTCCTACAAGTAAACTGATGACACTCACTACAATGCACGTCGTTCCATTCATAGTTGTGTTTCACACCAAGAGCGTGCACACAATCTTCTTCTTTGAAATTATTTGGCTGATTCTTGGCCCAGGCTGTAAAGTTTCCATGGCCATGGTCCACCCAAGTAAAGTCACCCTCTGTTGATCTATCATTTAAACCCAGCCAGGATTTCTCTCCATTATGGCGATGTTGTATGTAAACATTTTCTTCATTGTTGTTGACGTCAGCAAGGACTGAGTTTTCTTGTCTACATTTTTTTACTGCTGTGGTCCAATTTGCACAGGTATCACTCGTGAAGTAACAGAAGCCATCGAAGTAGCTCCATCCGGGATCGCAAATGTCTGGAAACGAATGACGAATGTGTTATTTTACTAATTATTGAAATAATTCATATATTTACAAGTATGCTGAACGATTTTTGCATCTTTTCCTTCTAAATATTGTTGAGATCAAACCACCAAAATTAAGTTGATTTATTTGGAATGATAACTAACCTTTAAGCACCGCATAACCCACTGACAGAGGATCATATCTAGTCACGTACAATTCCTTGACACAAACTCTGAATCCAGATTCATTCATATTCTGTAAACAGTCAAAATTTCCTAATTAAAATTTTTTCCTTATTTCTAGGCTGTTTTCCTAGGAAAGGGGAAAATAAGAGTGTGATATCGATCTCGTTCGTGATAGTCTTATACTGCATCCTAGGAAATTGAAAACGACATGGATAATCAATCATCTACTTTTAAGTCAATCTCCTGTGTTATTTTAAAGTTTTCCGAGAAGTGAGCTTTTTACCTCAATCCATGTTGAAATACCGTTATGAACTGGTGCCAAGTTTCCACTTGCTGTCGTGCTGTGATTCGCTGATATCTGGACAGATGGTGTCGCATTGTAACTTCGTGTAAAGTGCACAAACTATCAATGAGGTAAAAAAGGTGCTTAAAGGGGAATCCTTGAATATTTGTTATCCAAAAGTACATTTTTCTTATGAGATCATCGTACACTTACCTCGCAGTAAGCATTGCTGTCTTCATCTGTTGGTGGATTCGTGTTTGGAAAGTTTACAGAACCGTGTTCAGTGAAGAGCGGCTTATGCAAGTTAGCAAACGCTAACCAGTTCTGGGAAGAAGCAGTGTACAAAACAAAAGACTTACTTCTAGTAAGTACAGTATTGTATTGTAATGGGTTACAATTGTTGTCACACAGAAAGGACCTTGAAATTCAATCCAACAAACAATTAAAAAAAACTATTTTAACTGTCGAAACAGGGAAAACCTTTGGAAGAATCCTAATCAAGCTAAAACAAAAATGCAGACATCAAACTTTTCCAATGAATCAAGCTTATGCCTTGAAAGGACTGAAGCAAAATATCCCTAATCTTAGATCTTTAACAATCTTTCAGTTGTTATATTTAGACAAAACACATCACATACCACATAAATATCTTGATGTTTCCCATCAAAGTTTTGCAGTTCCCGCAAACAAGCCTTGAATGAGTTCTCGGTTACATCCTCTGTCCAAATCAACGCAGCGTCATGTTCCTTTCCACTTCTATGGTGATTGGACGTCACAAGAACAACTGGTAAATCCTTAAACTTGTCCTAAGCACATGAAATAAATCATTTCATCACATATCTTGCCACAGTTTCGCAGTTTTATTTGAGTTTGGTGGAAATGGATAAATAAACTGAAATCAGAGTTGAATTACTTGCTGTCTGTTTTAACTTCTTGCTCACGGTTTTTTTTTTTATATAATTTTTTTTTTATTATTATTATCATTATTATTATCAATATGACTACTACAGTCGACTCTCACCCTGCGGACACCTCGCTATTACGGACACCTCATCATTGCAGACAGGAGCCAGTCTCCCGGCGAGACTCGTAAAGAAATGACTGAAACTTACTCCTGTTATTACGGACTCTCGCTATTACGGAAATGTGGAAAATTTCATGCCCCCCAGCGCGACAATTCACTTGTTTTTTCTCTCACTTTAGCGGACACTTAAGTATTTCGTCCAAAATGCTGATTCACATAATCTAAAGCGACATTACGATAAAAGAAAATAAGGAAACCATTCTTCAATTGGGTGCGAACATGAGAATTTCCCGCTTGCGGCCGCATCTTTTTCGGTTGGTGAGGCCATGTTAGAAGCTTCGTGTTTGCGTAGTTACACATTACTTCATATGTTTAGGGAAAAACAATTTATTCTCTCGTAAACCGCTATTTCGGACTCTCGCAAACCTCTTTCCCCCCCCCCCCCGGGGGCGTCCGCAATAACGGGAGTCCACTGTATCATTATCATAATATAATTTTTGTTATTATCATTTTGACATGGAAACGAGATGGAGCCTGTTGTACAAAAAAGTAGTAACGATTCCAACATATACTTTAATGTAAACCTACTTTTGGAAACGTCACATTTGCACAATTTGTTCCTGACCACCATTTTGTCATCTTGATTGTTCCCGTCGTTCCCTCCGGTGGTGCTCCTTGGTACGCCATCCAATCAACAGTGGCGAATGGATTGAAGTTGTCTCCATTTCTCCCAGATTGCATTGCGCATACTGTAAAATTTTGTGTATTGATTCTTTCGGTCCAGGATGTGATAGCATGGTGCACTGTGACAGAGTCATCCAAGTTCATATGATTAAGGGTGATCTGTACTTGAACCTTTTTGTTCGGATAGAAGCGGTACGGTGGGAATACCACTGTCTGGCAACTTGAGTCTGACCAATTGGGAATTCGAAGAAGCTTGATACGACCATGAACGATTGGAAAGCCTGCAGTGATTAAAAAAGCTGAAGTTCTGTGCCCTCAGTGACCATTTTTGCTGTTATATCTCAAGTTGCTGAGGGATTCCGTGTATACATTTGGAAACTTGAACTTGTTTGTGTGTCTTGTTAGAGGTAAATGAAGAAAGGGGGAAAGTTTCTAATGAAACTGTGGTGCTGCGTCGGTGGAAGGGAATAACAGGGTAAATAAGCGGTATCAACTGAGCTGATAATGTACATTTGCCTCTGATAAGAGTTTCAAAGCTAACGTTTCGAGCGTTAGCCCTTCCTCAGCTCGAAACGTCAGCTTTGAAACTCAACGGTGGCCAATTTATGTTATTAACTTAGTTGATAATACCAAATTACCTTGTTAAGGGTAGACAAAGCTCATTCATAAAGAAATATGACCTTACCCTCACAGCTGCCAGGATGATACAAGGTATTATTGTCTATTCCCTTGCAGAAGCTCAATTTGTACAAGCATTCATTGTCATACGATGTTCCATTTTCCGTGCAGACAGGATCTTGATACGACGGGCAGTTTTCATTACACACACAGCGAGCTTCATGGGCACTATAGGTTTTGCAGACTCCGAATGACGGGCAGAACACGTCTAGACAAGGATTGAGGTCTGTGGATGTGAAACAAAAGGGTAGTTACCACACAGTGAAAGAAAGATTCCGAAGTGAAGCCGCAGACTGGTTGCACCAACTCATTCTAGTCAAATCCAAACCTCCAATTACGACGTAGTTAACCGACAGAGGATCGTGTTTGCTTCCTGTTCCACTCAAGTCTCTGACGCAAATCCTCATGGATGTGAGGCTAACTTCCTACACAAAGATCAAAGAGTACAAGGTGAACAAGAAGATTTTGTGAACTGACGTTTCGATGGTTAGCCCTTCGTAGAGCGAAATAGAAACCGACTGTTTATTTACCTCAACCGAGGCTGATATGATGTTATTTTTCGGTGAGATGAGGCTTTTCATACCGACTTGAGAGTTGTACAGATGATGCACAGACACGAGGACAATGGGTGAAGCATAAAAGGTTGTGTTAAACTGCACTTTCTAAAGAGGTAAAAGAGGTAAAAAATTTATATGAGACACAATACGCATGACACTTACTCTGTTTTTCCTAAAAATAACTCCTCCTAGTTTACAGTAAACTTGACTAAATTACACTCACTTGACAGAAACCATAATTGTCTTCAGCTGTTGGCGGGTTACTGTTTGGAAAATCTGCTTCTCCTGACAGCGTAAAGTTAAATTCAGAGCCATTGCCAACAAACGCAAACCAGTCCTGCAATAAATGAATGCAAAGCAAGAGTTGCCGTTAGACTACGACAAGGTTATCGAACAAAAAACAGAAAAAAGAAAAGTTAGCTTACACGTCCACCCATGAAAATACAATAGAGATATCTTTTACCACAGAGGTGTCTTGATGTTTTCCATCGAAGGGCAGGAACTCCCGGATGCACACTTCGAAACTTCTGGAATTTACATTTTCCAACCAAACATACATAGCGTCATCCGGCTTTGTGTCACGTGTGTACCTAGCTGACACAAACACGGATGGTCTTCCAGGAAAATTCTGCAATGCGGTTAAATATATGAATTTATATATGTGGAGTCAATTTATCTCAGCTATAATAGAAATCACAAGACTTTTAATTGCATAGTGGCTTCAAGATGAAGAAATGTATCGGATAGTTGAGAGGGTAAATATTGAAATCTCTCCTAATACTTCTCTTTTTACCTTGCAGGGTTCGGAGTTTGCAACCCACCACCAAGATTTCTGAATATTGAGTAGCCTGTCTAGATGAGCACAGAAATCTGTCCGACATGAAGAGGGCAGGCTTCACTAAGTAAGTTGATCTAAAGTCTTTCTTATAGAACATGCTCAGAGGTTTTGACCTTTAACTTTGGTTTTGGTTCTTTTCTAACCTGTGAGAAGGTAACTTTGTCACACTTAGTTTCCGTTGTCCATATTCCATCAAAAGAAACTCTACCACGCGTCATTTGTGGATGATCTTGGATAGCCAACCAGTTGATGATTCCTGTACCATTTGATCCAATACCTGACTCACGTGCACACACCTCAAAGTCACTTGTAGTGACGGACTGAACCCACATAGCTGAGGGTGAATGGACACGTGAAAACTTCTCTCCATGGCTCACCGTCACATAAATGTTAACCTGAAATTTTGAAGCCGGTGCGAATAAGGGATTATGCTAACATAATAGGAATAATCTGTAGATGCATTTCTAGCGAAATAACTTAACATTTTCAAATGACCGACGCATCTTGATGTTCCATAGTCTGTTGATGCTACTCATTGTTTGGTCAGGTTGGAAAATACTAAGTTGTAGGATTTACCCTTTCCTTTTTTATTTCTTCAGAGTTGCCTTCTTTAATGCTAAGAAGGAAAGATGAATATTATTTCTTAGGTGCTAATCTCTGGAGCTTGAGAGAGGTGTCTGGCCTTTACAGTATCCAGGGCTTCGTTGTGAATTTTGTCTAATTTGTATTTTGATCCCCGTTCCTAATTCTTGGTATTTGAAGTTACAGTTCCAGATAAAGAGCCTTAATTACGACTGAATATCTTAGGTCAAAATACAGCCTGCAACTATTTGGAAACTGTGAATGATATCCAAGGAAATGTGATCGCAGTTAGCACTGTGACAGCCGAGTAAGAAGAGGATACCCGATCACACTAACCTCTCAAAGCGAGACATGGAACTAGAGAACAGATGAAACAAGAAACGTATTTCACGTGGGGAGAAGTGCAAAATAAAATCGAGTCGATCCAGAGATCGATCAAAAATGAATTCGATCGAATGGAAAGACATGAATATTTTCTCAGTTTTGTTCGACTAAAGACCTTCCATTACCGACTGGTGATGTTGGATGGTGCCACGAAATTCTCTGGATCCTGACCTAGTACTTACCGTCCCGGATCCACTGAATGTTTTGGGGAATACAACGTTTGTGCAACGAGGCAGCCGACAGTATTGAGAGGGTGAACAAGCACTGTTACAGCTCCAGCCCTGCAGAGTCTGAGAAATGTTAAGCCTGCCAGTTTGGAGGGAAATACCTACAAGTGAGGAAAGGCATCTTTATTAAAAGGATCATTTAGCGTACAGAGGAGATCAAAGGAAAATATTTTACTTACATTGGGCATTGTAACTTTACCTAGAAGTTCAGATGGTACAAACAACGCATGCAATAGCTACTGATTCGACGCACATGTAAAGACGCGCCTCCAGCACAGAACTATTTGAACGCAGACCAATTTCCAATGAATGATGTAAGTAATCAGGGTTAGTTCTGGTTTTGCATAACTTCACTCTCGTGTAACTTTGTCAAAAGATCAGAAGCAAAACTGAAATCAATCTCGATTTGGTTCCTCTTGTTTTCCCCGCTTTCCAGCAGTCACTGTTTTTACTTTGAGTTATCGCTGGCTAATGATAATGTCAACCTTCGTTCTGTATGACCATTTGTCAATTTGCTTTTGGGTTTCGACACTTCGAAAAAATATCCAAGTAGAGCCGAAATCGTTTTTCTTGTACCACTTGTACCTTGTGCGAGGAAGCAGCTCAAGGACTTAACAACGCGAGATCTTGGATATTCCGAGAAAAATAAGATCTATCTTGCAGAGAGCCTGACAGAAAGGAATCGAATATTATTCAAAGATTGTTTGAAGGTAAAGAAGGATATGGAGTTCAAGTTCATTTGGACTTTAGATGGAAAAATCTTCATGAGAAAACACAAAGACTCTGCTGTTCGCCATATTAATAACAAAGAGGATCTTCAGAAGATACAAACTAGATAAGTATTTATTTTCTGATCTTTTACGATTTGATGAATTGTTTAAAATGTGTAACTGACACTAGTGATATGGCCTGTGACCTGGCCAATTCACTTCCATCTTTAAGTATCAATTCTCCTAGTCCATCAGTATGGAATTCCATTGACGAAGATATAAAATTATCTTCATTGTCTTTGTTTAAAAAGAAAGTAAAGCAGCAATTTATCAAAGATTACTAGACATCTGTATTGTCTGTGTAACTTTAAAATGGAAATAATACTGTTTTGCAAGGTATTAATTTTAGTCTCTTTAATATACTGGTAGTTTACCTTTGTGTGCGTTTCTGTATCTCTTTGTTTTTGTGTCCCAGACCTAAACGTTTAAACATCTTTTCTTTCAACTGGCTGCCTGGCATTTTTAACTCTTAGGTTATTTCGGGCAGCCAGCGCCCCTATCATTGTCTGTACTATTATTATAAATTTTTCTTTCTTGTATATTTTGGGGTGAAAAAAATAAAGTTGTTGTTGTTGTTGTTGTTGTCGTAGTCTTACCTTTCACAGCTAATAATAAGTTTCCAAAGATGATAACAGTCAGCATTAGCATGGTAGACGAATTCATCCTCAGAGACCTGCTTTCCACCGAATCACTGTGATCTGTACCTGTAAAGTGTGATTTATAATTCAGTAATTAAATCAGTTTTGTTTTTGGTCAAAACAGCTTCCTACTTAAGCAGATTACTACGTGTAGAAAAAGAAAATGATACCATTTTACCGACGCAAATTGTCCATCTCTTAGTGTTTGATTTTGGCGCAGAAGGCAATAACATCATGTAGCAGCATGATACACATTTACAAATGATTCACAGGGTAATAAAATTCGTAGATTACTCAGCCGTTTGTCTTTACAGAACCTCTGTAAAGTATTTCAGACTCAGACGCGAGATCCCCTTTGTAAAAGGTGTTGTAAAACTGTGATTTTGATTAGGCAGACTATCTTTGAAATTGGCTGACAAATTAAGGGAGCCTCAATCCTCGCTCTAAAATCATCATCTAATGCAACAAATGTATTATTATTATTATTTGCTAGTCACATCAGCAAAGCAGCCTGATCAATTCCCCATCGATGAAATGAGTGATCACTTTTTTACAGTTCAAGTAGTTAAGGCTAAACCTTAAGGCCTTTTTTGCTGAAATACTGCACGTTCTGGCAACTTGCCATATTCACTCTTTATTTTTGGTTGTAAATTATCAGCTGGTTTCTAATGGGCCCCTATCTAATCAATTGATTTTGAATTACGGAATAAATTGTAAACACTTTGAGTAAAGGATGCCTATGTGTAAAGGCTCTTGTTACTTATTTTCATGAGAAACATTTTACCCAAAAGCCATTGGTCGAGATTGTTGAAGGCTTCAACAATAGCCAGGCACATTTTTTCATTTTTCGCATAGTGCTGCTCGGTAAGGGTTAGGCTCATGGAACTGTACGAAATGGGTTGTAGAAGAAGACTTGTCAAGGGCACTGCCATTGTGTGGCTTGATGGGCTGTAAGAGGGCAGCTCCTAGGTCATAGTCTGAGGCGTCTACCTAAAGGATCACAGGCGCAGTTACGTCATAGTATGCCAGGCATGGAACAGAGGTGGCTAAGACTTTTGCTGAATCGAAGACTTGCTGGTGCCTTGTTGACCTTAGGAACGGCATTTCCTCTTTGGTGAGGTTTTGTAGAGGTTTGAGGTCTGAGACGTCTACATGAGGGGACGCAAATCGTCTGCACTGTAAGTACATATCAAGCTCTGTAGGTGATTTAATCCCATTTTAATCCCATCCGATCTCACAATTTACGAAAACTTCATTATTCTTGTGAAAAATGATAGCCGTCTTATTGAAACTTGATGACAAGTATAAGCCGGCAAAGAAAACAGTGCAAAAGCAATTATCTGTCACATCGATGTCAGCAGCAACAGGATTATGACACCTTACAGTCCCCATACATTTTCTTAGACTAAACGTCTAAGAAAATGTAGGGGACTCTCCGGGATACTTACAGTACAGACGATTTGCGTCCCCTCATGTTGAAGGATCACTAGCGCAGTTACGTCATCGTATGCCAGCCATGGTGTAGAGGTAACTAGGACTATTGCTGAATCAAAGGCTTGCTGGTGCCTTATTGACCATAGGAACGGCATGTCTTCTTTGGTGAGGTTTGTGGAGGTTTGTAGAGGTTGGGTGGCGCTGCTAAGTTGGGGGCAGAATTTGACCATTAATAGCTCCTAGGAATCGGCACAATGCGTGCTTGTTGATTGGAGTGGGCATGACGATTAAAGCGCTAACCATGACAGGGTTGGGCTGGCGGCCATCCTCGTGATAACTTGGCCCACGAGGGTGGCTTTGCGAACAAAGAATTTTATCTTGTTGACATTCAGCTTAACATGATGCTGTTCAAATCGCTCAAGCAGGGCAATAAGGTTGCAGTCGTGGTCGATGTACCATTTATGGGTCGCTAGTTAAAGTGTCGCCTTTAAGACGGTTTGCATTTTTCTTCTTTTTGCACCGTTTTCCAGCATTTTATCTGAACAAAGGCTCTTGCTCGCAGATTGCTGCTGGAATCCATGACGTCCGCCTTGTAAAAAATTGTATGCTAAACCAATGACCGAAAATTAATCTCCTCGATTAGTTAATTTCGGCCGAATAAAGTTCGGCGTTTGAGTCAATTCATCCAGGATTAACTAATTTAGGTCGGCCTATTGTTGAATTCGATTCGGCGCGGCTGAAGTACGGTGTCTGAACCGGGCCTAGGAATTTGAATTGGATCTTTTCACTGGTCAGAGGTTCCCCTATGCCCTTTGGTAAAACTCAGTCACATAAAAATATTTGGCCTTTTCACGCATAACGAATAATATCAAAAATTCTTTCACATGCAAGCGAAATTTCAGACATTTCACATGAATATAAAAAACCACATTCACGAATTAAATTTTTAATTTTTTGCAGTCTTTACTAGTCCTATGTGACAAATGATGACAAATTTTCTTACCTTACTTGTTCAAGGACCATTAGTCTTTTTTTTTACTTTTATTAACTCATATGAAGTTCATGTCCTGTCAAAACCCTGGTTAAAACTTAACCATTTGGAGAATGTCCCCTTTTCTTCAGTGCTCTCCAAAAGTCACAATATGTTTTTAAAGGTATTTATTCTCACACTTTCCGATCACATTGAGCACAACTCTCTAACTGGTTAATTTACCCGATTGTGTTCTTATTATATCAGCTCTAGTCTTAGTTTTGGTCACACAGGAATTTCCAGTCATTGTTGACTCTTATCTATTGATTCAATGTCACGATCGTCACGCCCTATTCACGCAACTTGATAACAATACGTTTCCGACAACCACAACCGTTCGAGAACAATACGTTTTCAAGACCATGAAAAGCCGGGAGTTCATCACGCAAAACAAAATGGTTAACGAATCACGTTTAATTCAGTTCTTCATTCACGAGTCACGTTTTAATTGAAAAAAAAAATGAGGACATGAAAATATCTTAATACCTTTAATCACGATTCAAGAGGGAAAAAATCGCCCAATCATGCTTCACGTAGAAACCATAGGGGACCCTCTTGTCAATCGCGAAAGCAGACAGCGAGCAAGTTTAATTTATTTTATCAAATACTTGCATTTACATTAAACTGATCAAGAAATAACTTGGTTACTTAGCAGATTTAAGAGGTTTTAAGTTCGTTTCTATCTTTTATGTAATAAAATCAAGTACAACCCATGGAATTAAGCGACTATTTTGTCATCAGATCTAACACTTCCATTGTTTAACGTGAAAAGCTGAAAACTAATCAACGTTGAACAACTACCAACAGAATGATTAACGACCAGAGCTTATTGACGTCAGCACGATCAGAAACAATTTGTCCCTTTATTCTTTCCATTCCTACGAGAATCATCCCTTAAAACTTTCCGCTAATGTCATCTTAACTTACAATCACTGTTTCTTTTTCTCTGTTGCTAAGATTGTTTAACTTCAACCCGTCTGTTGCAGAAGGCCAACTGAACGCGCTTTGCTAAACCGTCAAAGTCGTATGTCTTATGTGCTCTGCATTTGACGGGCGTCTCTAGTGATTTAACCATAAAGGATCAGAAACCCACAAACTTAAAATATAAAGGGAAACCAGCGAATATTGAAGATATCAGAGAGTTTAAGTGAACTGACAGAAAATGACGGCAGAAGCACATCAGGGAAATGACTTCAGTTTAATCGAGCGGAGAGTGTGAGTTCTTAGCTGAATTATCTTTAATCGCACTGCAGGCGCCTAGCAAGGCTACACTTTACAAGTGCGCTAGATTCTTATCTATATTGAACATAATTCTTACCTCTCAGCAAAGTAAGCAACAACTTGGGGTAATGAACAAAAATCAAGTACGGTTTGTTGACGATCCAACCGCTCAGCTCGATATGGACACTCCTTGACCACACAATTCGTTTAAATTCCTCCACAAAATATTTCCGGGTTATAAACGTCACGTTACTAAGGGCTGTTTACATGGAGATGCGGGACCCCAGGTAGGTTAGGTAACTTGTCTAATCATGGTCCAAAAATAGCCCGCGTTAACCACAGGCAGCCCAAGGTCCAGCTGTGAGATGATCGCTTGAGCTGCTTGTGCATTAACCTACAATCCTAGAGTGAAGCTTCTCGAGGTTGTTGTCGCACTTTAACTGAGGGAGTAAAGATGTCATTACGGCGACGTGTAACGTAATTTGTTTTCCTCTTAAATTCGTTAACAGCTTCAAGCTTCAAACGTTTAAGCATTAGTAATGCTTAAACGTTTCTGACGTACGGCGCGACGTCTTCACTTCGGCATAACATGTGAGTATACATGTAGTTTTGAGCTCAGAGTAAAAGCCTGACTGAATTGCTGTCGAAGTTTTATCGCTAAGAGGACGTAAAAGTCGGTGTTTAACGTTTTAGTTCTGTATGGGATGGCTACGAAATTTACAAAGTTTTAAAACACAAGTGTTTCGCTATTGTTCTGCTCATTTGATCTCTTTGTAACACTAACGCGACGCCGGATAGGCGTTTTCATGGTAAATTGTTACCCTGCCCGGCAGATGGGGCCACCCGCGTAGGCAGGTCACCCTGTTTATCACGTTAACTTGATCAAGATGAAATAACAGATTGCATACAGAGGCGGGTTACTTCACCTACCTGGGGCCCCCACCTCCATATAAACAGGCCCTACAGGATGACGGAAAGAAGGAACTGGTAGATGGATGAATTAGAACAAGGTTTGGGGGAGGGGATCGTCTCCGTGCTGCGGTGGCGAACAAGTGAAGTGGATTTTGGCGGTAAGAGAATTGCGATGAGTAGGGATTTAAAAATAAGGTAGATGCAGTCGAACCTGTTTTAACCGGTCACCCAAGGGGAATGGTGCTTAGTAGAGGTGATTGCTTAATAGAAGTGAAAAAACAGTGTTTAAGGGAAGATAAATGCAGGACTTTGGCAACTGATCGCATAAACTGGGTTACCGCTTAATACGGTGCCGCTTCATACAGATTCGAATGTACATTAACAGAGAGTTACCATGTTGGAATAGGGAAAATTGCATATTCCCAAAAGTGGCACTCATCCAGCAAAAAGTTGACCTAAGTACCCCCCCACCCCACCTCAAATTAAATGAAACTCAAAGAGTGCTGCAGTAGTAGTGGTAGTAATTTTTATTCGATTTTAATTTGTTTTTACCTTTTGTGCACTGAAAAATTAAATTAGTGGGAATATACGCAAGATATATATATATTTTGCTCCGTGCGGGAATTGATAAATTAAAAACTAATTCATCTCATTATTCATTTCTTAGATTGGTAGAGCGCCACTCTATTCTGAATGACAGCGTTGACTAGACAGGAGCACAAATATTGAGACTATTCCATGGAAAGTGCGCGCGAAAGATGTTTATTCACGAGTTGCGATGTTTCGAAAAAACGAGCAAGTGGGCGCAGCGATCGAGTGAGTTTTTTTTCTTTTTTGCATCGCAACGAGTGAATAAAAATCGTTCAAGCACTCTCCATGGAATGATGTTTCTATTTCGTATATGCCGAGATGTTTTCTTACTAACCAATACACTTCAAAGATTGGAAGCGAACGACCGTGAAAATACATCGTTTGTCCAATCAGAGAAACAAACGATAGTGCTTCACACTGTAAATCTTAGTATGTACGGCGATAAAGCTGCGCTTGAGATTATACGGATTTGATCACTATGATACCGTTTTGCCTTCGCTTTATCAAAAGCTCGCATGAGGAATAAAGTTCATCTAAAAAATATCACGGGATACAACGTGTAGAATATCTCGTGTTACAGACGTTCCCAGCACGCGATGCGTCAGAGTTTAATGTATGTGAAGAACAATTCGTAAGTTCAAGCTTGATGTTTACAAGCACGTGCACACAAAAAAAATAAGCTCTAATTCCTCTTCGCGTAGATGCACGTGCACGGGAAACAAAACCTCTAATTCGTAGATGCACGTGCACGACAAAAATAATCTCGAATTCCTCTTTGCTTAGATGCACGTGCACGGGAAACATAAGCTCTAATTTCTCTCACTTTTCGTAGATGCACGTTCACGACGAAAATTAAACTCTAATTTCCCTCACCTTTTCCAGATGCACGTGCACTGGAAACATGAACTATAATTCCTCTTCCATTTCGTAGATGCACGTGCACGACGAAAATTAAACTCTAAGTTCCCTCACCTTTTCTAGATGCACGTGCAAGACAAAAATAAATTCTAATCTCACTCACTTTTCGTTAAGTCCTTCAATCGACACAGTAGAAACACATTAAAGAGGACTGTATATCAACGATTACTGAAAATTTTCAGTTAAACAAAACACTTCTGAAATTAAACGACAAGATATTCGACATTTGTTATTTTCCATAAACCTCTCTAAAAATTATGACTTCTATATATACTTCTCCGAGTATGCCTTTGTTATTCACTAAAATAAAATTATCTTTCAACGTCTCAGTCTTCAAAAGCGGTGTCGTTCGCACCAATCAGATTGCGCTGGTATGTTGCCCGCAGTAATTAGGTTCTAGAGTGTACGTTGAAGGCACCATTCAGATTCGTGAGTGTATGTTGCTCGCACCAATCAGATTTCTAAGAATATGTTGCGCGCACCCGTCAGATTCTTTAGAGTATGTTGCAAGCACCCATCAGATTCCGTAAAGTATGTTGTGCGCGCCTATCAGACTCCTTAGAGTATGTTGTGCGCACCCATCAGATTCTTGAAAGTATGTTGCGCGCACCCATCAGATTCCTTAGAGTATGTTGTGCGCACCCATCAGATTCTTGAAAGTATGCTGCGCGCACCAATCAGATTCTTGAAAGTATGTTGTGTGCACCCATCAGATTCTCGAAAGTATGTTGCGCGCACCCATCAGATTCCTTAGAGTTTGTTGTGCGCACCCATCAGATTCTTGAAAGTATGCTGCGCGCACCAATCAGATTCTTTAAAGTAAGTTGCGTGCACCAATCAGATTCCTTAGAATATGTTTCGTGCACCCATCAGATACCTTAGTGTATGTTACTCGCACCAATCAGATTAGTTATAGTATGTTTCGCACACCGATAAGATTCCACAGGGTACGTTACTCGAACCAATCAGATTTGTTACATTGTGTTGTTCACATCAACCATTTGAACATATTGCTTTCACCAACCAGATAATACCAACAGGGTTTGTTTGCTCGCCCCATTCATAATGCAGTATTTAGGTTTGTTGCATTTTGTTCAAGTAATAAAGAACTGCCGACATGGCCGACGCTCAAAGGCCAATTTTTTATTTGTATCAAATGAGATCATCTGGTGCCTGTTTTGCGTCTAACTGTAGAAGTAATAAAGAACTGCCGACATGGCCGACGCTCAAAGGCCAAATTTTTATTTGTATCAAATGAGGTCATCTGGTGCCTGTTTTGCGTCTAACTGCACAAGTAATAAAGAACTGCCGACATGGCCGACGCTCAAAGGCCAATTTTTTATTTGTATCAAATGAGATCATCCGGTGCCTGCTTTGCGTCTGAACGACAGCGCTACCACAGTATCAGTGAAAGCGTTGTGCTTATTTTTCACGCACAACAAATAGTTTATTTTGCTTACTGGTTACTCGCATGGCAAAGGTTAAAAAGAGCGGTTACATTTATTTCCTGCATCGGCTGCCATCTTGATTAAGGATCCGTTTCCTTGCCTATAGAAGTCTTCGGTGATATATTTCTTGTATCCAAACAGCATTTTCCCGATACAGTTACGAAATCATATCTCACTATTAATTAGGCTTGCACATACCCCGTATCATGACATTCCCCAGCAAACAACCTAAACATAACGACATATCCCACCCCAGTGAAAATAAATTGACACGGGCCAAAATGCTATTTTGAGTCAATTTCCCACGCAACTCTCAAGAGCTATGACGTTTTCAACCAATCAGATTGGTAGTTACCTTGGACTTTATATCGGTGCGTGTCAGTTCCGTATAGACAACTTTGTTTTCCTCACGTATGTCTTACGCAGAGGGCAAAGACTAGATAGGCAACCGCCATATTGTTACGCCCAAGTGAAAACCTTTGAAATATGATCAGCCATTTCTCTTCTTCAAGGCATTTTTACTTATTCGAAAACAGAGATCGGCAAATATCTTTGGTGAGGGACAAAAATAGAGTTTTGGTTTTAATTTCCGGAGTAAACTAGGTCAGACATTTTGTGGCAAATAATTGCGACATTTAGTAAATGTCGGAGTAACGGAGAAAATTGTTGGATCAAAATAATAAATTTTTGCCTGTCAATATTCAAATAACAGAGACGACAAACCTCTGCAATATGTCTATCGTCTGAAGTTATTTAAGAAAACTCGGGAGAGGTTTGCACCAAAATAATGCGATGTTTTCGTTGAAATTCTTTGAGAGGCAATGCTCTTTGTCATTTACAAAAGAAAAACATCAGTTTCATGAAAAGTCTTACATCATATAACGCTTATGTACGTTATCGCTTATGTACGTATCGAGCATTTAGGGTGGAACGTACTCCTGAGTCACATGGGAAGTTGAGTTTACTTCCGGTCGCCCCGTGATTGGCCGAGAAAACGCACGCCTCTCTCTCAACCAATCACTGGATGCTGTAAGGAAGCAGATTAAGGAAAGTGAAAGAGGAAAGGGAAAAGTGTCGTAACGTTTACAAACCCAAAAGCGATAGCTTTAACGATAATCCATAAACAAGCGTAGGGAATGGCTGCAAAGCTCCCATGCTCATTAGCGTTTCATTTTCCTAGTTATCCATGAATGAAATTGTTATTGGGATCATCCAAAAAGGAATTTTAAATATCGTAAAAATTTCTAAAGGAGAAAGTGTTAGCGTGCATTTCGATGCAGAATTCCGGAGAAATTTACATACTGACCAAATTTTGATTTACGTTGCAGTTTCTTGCTGTTATTAGTTCTGTAAGTTTAGGAGGAGAGAAGATAATTCATGAATAGAAACCGAAAACTCTTGAGAGATTTGTTGTTTTGCTCTGTGACTTACTTTCTACTTGATGTTACGTTTCTATCCATGAAATTGCCGTCGTTATTGCAACAAAACCCTCTCTTTTTCCTTCATAGTAACATAAAAGCCGGTCTTCTTTTGCATGAATGCATAGTTTTAACAATTATATTGACATGGGGCGTTGTTACTATTTGCCTGGCGAATCATTTGGTTTCCACGAGTTTCACTCTTCGTTCGAAGGTTTCGGTCAATCAAGCAATAAATCTTTGGAAACGTTGTCTTAAACTGTTACGTAATTGCTCTAACGTCAGACGTGTAAATCAAGTGAGGCCAGGTAAGCTACGATATGGCCTCACTTGATTTACACGTCTGACTTTATAACACTATGCTACTCAAGGACAACATCCAACGTTTGATACTGCTCTGACGTTGCATTATAAACAAAAAGATTCAATTCAACAGATATCCTGCACTTATAGCAAGAATGGCAGCCAAGATAATTTCTGAGAATTCGTTTGGGAGGTGTTGAATTGTCTGGGAGATGGGGCCGGGTAACCATCATTTTTCTCACCGTCTAAATTGAATGAGTGAAAATCATTCAATCGCTGTTAGAAATTAATCGACGTCATGATTAACCTCAACAGTTCGACTGAAACCCAAACAGGAAACTTTAGTGAAGGAAGCAACTTATGCGAGTCAAATTCATTTTCTTAGAGTTCTCTTCAAAAGAACGACACTAATCCGAAAGTTAGACAATACCTTTCAAGATCAAGAACAGAACTCACTGTTGTGTTTCTCCGGCGTGTGGGCCAAACCTTGATCGACCTTAGACAGTAAACAAAAACCCTGGACAATAAAAAAACCAAAAACACCTTCATAAAACTCCAAAACAACTCACAGTTCAATGTTCGATACCTTGAGGCAGTTAAAAAAAATGTTGGCCCCCAGGCGGAAAAAAATAATTGTTCAGAAAACCTTTGGAAGATGACGGAATTTTTGCCAGATGTTACTTTTTATTCAGATCATTCGCCAATATTTCATTGCTTTTCCACCACCCATCGGATTTTTTAGATATAGTTATATCTGCGAAGACTGTCGACTTTCCTCCATCAAAAGTATAAATTTGTGCACAATCCTAGCATATTTAATTACGTAACGTGTTGGGATAGTTAAAAAAATTTCCCCCAAAATAAAAATATTTGTCCGCGTGCAAAATCCTTGTTTATGACGGCTTAAAAAAAAGTCATATAAAACCGCACGTGAATTAAATCACCTAATTCCGCAGAACCTTGAGTGACCGGGAGCTGTTTTTAATCTAACCAATCACGAACGAGCTTCTACTTGATCAGTAAACACAGTGACGATTCGAGAGACAACTAAATTAATTTGCAAAACATTTGAGTTTCCGAGTTTTAAAAACCTGAAAGAAAGTTCTTTTTTTCCCTTAAGTACCTCCAAAGTTATCTTTTCTAAATTTTGATGTCGCTTTTACCAGAGGGATGTTGGAAAATAGATCGTAAAGAAACATTTTACTAAATTCATTCTTCAGATGAAAGTAGAGAATCTCCTCACAAACAACAACACTTCCGGTTTGCGACCTTGAATGCACCTTAAACGTGCCAACATGGTTTACGCTCTTAAAAAGCCACCGTCTAAGCAATTTTGGACATAACTTTCTTCGAGCTCAGTCGATGTCAGCGAAACAGTTCTAGAATTTGAAGAGAGAAATTCATCTACAAAGGAAAATTTATTGAGGTAAGAGAGCACTCCTCGTTCGATTGCACTTAAACATCGTTTTGCACGTCGTTATCCAGCAGAAATGAGGACTTGATAAGTCTCGTTGGCCGAAATAGTTTTACATCTGAAGGATGAACTGTGTTACGCAATTGGCAGTTTATTTATCTACTCTTTCTGGAAATGTACTGTTATGGATCTCTCATGATGAATTTGTCAATCGTAGAAGAGTCATTTCAAAATAATTCTGTTTATTTTAACGACTGGGCTTATAATTACACAGATTATAAAATAAAATTTAAAAAATGACAGTTTTTCTAGTTTGGTAATGAAAAGTATGTAAACTACCACAGTTCTTACAGAAAAATGTAACTTCAACATATTAATTAGCCCCAGTTACAAGATAATTTCGCGTGCGAGGTCTCCAAATCTGGATTTATACAGTGTAAATTGTGTTACTCGGTATGAACAAAATTATGCAGGAAAGTTTATTACTAGTTTTTGATTCAGATTTCTTTCGTGATGTCAGGATTTTTTTGCCAACGACGACGCTTCTCATTTATTGAAAAGCTAGATTAATTTGCCTATTTTTCTTTGCAATATTGAAGCTTGTGGTTTTTGTTACCTGCATGGCTTTTCCCTGGCACGTAACGCCCATAAATAATTCATTGCGTCAAGCCTCAGTTTTTCCGCTGCTCAGTCGCGGGAATATATAATTCCAATTTTTTAAATCTATACATTATTTTCACAGAGGAAATATGGCTCCTAGAAGTTCAACACAAACAGAAACACTCGTAGTCGAGCCCGACTCAAAGATTTGCGATGACAACAACCGGAAACGAACCGAACGGGAAATTGTATGGTTCAATGTTTACTTCATGATAGTACTGCACCTGATGGCAGTATACGGCATTTATCTGTTACCTAACGCAAACCCGCGGACGTGGCTTTGGACGTGGTTATGTCACTTCATTGGAGGACTTGGTATTACAGTTGGTGTTCACAGACTTTGGTCTCATCGTTCGTTCAAAGCAACTTGGCCCCTGAGACTTGCTCTGATGATGATGAACTGCATCGCTGCACAAAATGATATTTTTGAATGGGCGAGAGACCATCGTGTTCACCATAAGTACTCCGAAACCGATGCCGACCCTCACAATGCCAAAAACGGTTTCTTCTTCTCGCACGTCGGATGGCTGTTGGTTAAAAAGCACCCTGATGTCATTTCGAAGGGAAAACAGATCGACCTGAGTGATTTGTACGACGATGGAATTGTCATGTTCCAACGAAGGTATCTTTGCTTCACTGTTTCATAATACGTACAATTTTAATTTCTTATTCCCCATAATGCGTCAATATTAGGATACATTGCACCAGTCAGCATCATGAGTTACAATTCTTACTGAAGAGCGCAGTGAATGTCACCTCTTCCTAATGGTAACAGTTCGCATTACCATACATGGCATATGGCTTATTTTTCCTTATGGTCTCTGATTTGGCAAAGTTTAAAAAGAACATAAAGTATTACGTATTCTCTGCGTAGACAGCCATGTGGAATATATGTTGATTTGCTTCTGGAAGTTCTCCATAATATATTCCATATTCTTCTGTCGTTATCTGTCACTCTTGAGGAGGTTTTGTTCCATTACATAACCACCCAAACTTTATTGGGTGTCCCCTCCTGGTGTGCAAAGTTCACATCAGTTAAACAACACAGTAAGCTAATTTTCCATGCATTCTTTTATTTTCCATGCTTTCTCCTCAATTGTCAATTTATTCCCTGCACCAATCTTAATTTTTTCAAACTCTTGTGGTCTAATTAATTGATACAAATTATCTTGTGTTAAACTTGAAAGTAATCAAGTTAGAAACTGAGGTTATTGATTGGAAATTTATTTGAATTGTCTTTAAAAGGGGTTGTTTACTACTGAGAAAAAGCAATATAAAATTTTCTTTGTCCTTGATTTGATGATCATGACACATTGCGTTAAAATTTTTTTTATTTTTTCCCTAGAAACTACAAGTTACTCGTGGTAATTTTCAACATTGCAATACCAATTGCTGTACCATGGTTGTTCTGGAATGAAAGTGTCTGGAATGGCTTCTTTATTTGTTATGCACTCCGTTATGTCGTCACTCTTAATGCCACATGGTGTGTTAACAGCCTTGCTCATCTCTGGGGATCAAAACCATATGACAAGGGCATTAATCCTTCTGAGAATTTCTCTGTTGTCTTGGCAACTGGAGGAGAAGGGTTTCATAACTTCCACCACACATTCCCACAGGACTATGCTACAAGTGAGTTAGGTTTGCGATTTAATCCCTCCAAGTGGTTCATTGACCTTTGTGCAAACCTTGGACTGGCATATGACTTGAAAACTATCTCAAAAGACACCATCTTAAAGCGAAGAATGCGCACTGGAAATTTACAGCATCTTAAACATCATGATGACTAAATGGTCTGATTTACATTACCATAAACAAGCTTCATGACTTTTTTGCTAAGTGCTTTCTCTCCTCTGGAAGAATTAAGCTTCTAGCTTCAAACATCAAAGGCATTTTTAATGCTGTGTGATGCATTATGCCATCAAATTCTTTATTTTAATAAGTTCAGACCAGTGCTTAGTTTTCTAAAATATATTTGTTTCATTAAGCTAAGCGTGGAAATTTCCATTTAACTGCCACTTAAAATTGAGACAAATAACAGTTTGCTTTGATTGAAAAGCAAAGGTTAAGTTCAAGTTAAAAGTTAAGTTTCTAGAATTTTGTAAGGATTCGAGAGTTTTTTCCAGTATGTCTTGTCAGGTGAAAACTTAGAGATGATTAATTATTATAGCTATATGTTAATATTCCTTGAATTGATCATTTAAAAAGCATAAGAGCTGTCTTAAATATATCAAACAAAATTGCTTGAAAGCAAATGATTCACAACACAATTACTTCTTAAAAAAAAGCTTCTCCCTAAAGACAAAAATTAATTAAATTCTAGTTATATATTACATAGTGCATAAATGAAGCACTGTTAAGTTAATATAATGTCAGGAAGTACTCACTGGCACTCAATCATAGATGTCACTTTGACCCACTATCTCCCCTCCCCTCATAACAATACACACCTAAATTTGGGGAAAGGTGCTTTACCAAGTCAATTAAGACCCCCCTCCCCTAGGTAGAATTTATAAGGTAATACCTATAATAAGTATGCTTTATTTAAAGATTTTTGGGCCAAGGTGCATGGTTTGGGCAAATTAAAACAACATTTACACCAAAGTATTTGTGCTTTTCACATTTTCAATACATGACAATTGTCCTGTAGTTTTTTTACTTATATGATGAATATTTGTAGTGAGACAGTCAGTTCTGCAAGTCAAGAATATAGCACAGTTTATTTCAGTAAACAATTTTCTCCAAAAAATTATTTAATTAAGTTATTGTGCAGGCTAAGTGAAATGAGTAGAGTCAACGCAGTCAAACCTGCCTTAATATTTCAAGTGGGTGTAAAAATAAACAGCAAAGTTGGCGGTGCACTTTGAAAATTAATTAGTAATTACCCATGAATGTTATTGAAAAAAGATGAAATAAATTATATTGTTTATGAAAAGAATATCTTTTTGTTAAGTTACTGCTGTTTTTAGTTTTCAAAATCCTATGAAAAATGGTTTGTCAACCTTATCACTCTCAAGATCTAAGTGGTAATTCTCCTCATTGTTTGACATGCAATTCTTGTGATGTTAGTTCAGAGAATTTGGTATTGGATCAACCAATCATTTCTTTAATTGATATTTTTCTTTATTCTCATCACTTGTCTGCTTTATATTGTATTAATATTATAAGGAGAAATTCTGTCTTGGTCATTCATATGCTTTTCATCTTTCCCATCCCCTTATCCACCAGAAAATCAAGTTTATAGGTCATTGTAAAATGAGTGAAAATTCTTATTAAGGGTGTCTTCCGTAAAATCGTTTGTACGCGCGTCCCTGTCACTAAAATTCTTTAAAAGACATCACCGTTGAAAGAATAAAATGTAGAATCCGAAGGAATAATCATCGAAATAAGGGTAAGCGCGCGCAAGCTCTTAACCCCAAAATTATCGATTTTTGATCAACTGAATTACTTACCTTCGGGTTCGCAAGCAAGTCCAAATAAACTGCACGGTTCCAATTAGCAGTTGATGGACTGCAAAAGCGCGTGAAGCTTTGACCATAATCACATTGTTTGCCGAGAAAATCTATTTTGACATCCGCCAAAGGAATATCTGGCGATCCCCGTCACACAAAAAGCTATGAAAGGAGAATCGGTTGGATTATCAGTAAAACCTGGCACTCTTTAGAACGTTAATATCTGGTTAGCATTTTGGTCAAATTTCGTAAAATCCTTAAAATCTACACACCCTATTAATTTGCTCGACGAAGGGAATCCAAACACGTTTAATATACAACAATTTTTACTCTATTAATTTACTTTGCTCGATTTTTAACTTTTTTTTTGACATAATTTTTTCACCAAACTAGAAATAAATATTTCACCATGAGTACGAACGAAAAACGTTTCTAAAAAACATTTGGCCTTCCAAGGTCAAATATAACCACTTTCATTCCAACTGAAATAATATGCAAATCATTCGCGCTATCCCTACAAAAGTACACAGGGTGTCTGGGATTTTTGAGGGTTTTTTTTACTTTCCCTACAAAAGTATACAGGGTGTCTGGGATTTTTGAGGGTTTTTTTTGTTACCCTTTCAGTAAAATATAAAGCATCTACATCAAAAACTTTGCTCAAAAGCGCTACTTTGAAGTAAAAGAAAAATGATTAACAAATAACGATGCGTTAAATTACAAATTTCAGACCTCCTATTAGTTCAATATATACTGATCACGTTCTGATGAAAAACAGAAGTTGTTAATTAAAAGCATCGTCAAATAAAATTATCTTATAAAACGTCTCGGCGTGAAAATATAATCTCCCATTCTGTTCATTGGTCAAAATTAAAGAATTTAAATAAATATCCGTAGTCCGTGTTTATTAAGCTTTTAGAAAATGTATACTTTTATAGCCGGTGATAGCGCCAATAAGTTACATGATATTGCAGTTTAAATGAAAAACGCCTTTTCGATAGGTTTAGTTTCAGATTTCGTTTCATCAATTAGCTAGAGAGGGTGAATCTTCCAGGGCGTAGCGGGAGGGGGTTCTAGGGTGCCAGTAACCCCACCTTTGTAAGCCTATTTTAAGCAAACAACCTACAATATTCAGGTGGCAAAATTAAAACTGGTGAGTACACAGTGTGACCCCCCCCCTCCCCCTTTTGAAAAATCCTGGCTACGCCCCTGATCTCGGTGATCTTCAATTTTAGATTTCGTCTAGGGGTCCACAACCAATATTTCCCATCCCACCCCGCTCTTATCCATATATACTCTACCATAAACTCCTTACTGCTCTTCCCTAGGATTGCTCACACTTATTAATAAATTGTAACTTATAAGACTGTAGTTTATAACATCAGTAATGCAACGTAAGGCTGCCGATAGTAGAACTATAAACCATCAAAAGCTGAATTGTCACAGAAAAATGAAGATTACAGGGCCAGTTATTCAAACAAAGATTAGCCATTGTTTAAAGTACGCTCTAAGCTATCTTCGATTGAGCCGAGGAAAACTCAGCGGCCAGGTAATCTCATGGGTTGAAGGACCGCAATAAACTCTTCCCGCTGATTACCACACATTTCCTGTGATTTTAAACTTGAAAAGTTAGGTTGAATTATATAATATTCCCGTGTTGCTATTTCTCTTCAATCTCATTATCTTTCTGTTTGAAAACGAATCGATGCTGTTAGGAGAAAATCGCGTTTGGTCACACTTTGCTGAGGAGGTACATAATCACAGCGCCCTCTCGGAATAATAATGGATTATTGTAGAATACTTAGTCATTTTCGCGAGGAATAGATTCAGTTGTTTTCTTATTTTGAGGCTCATTTCTTCATGTGAGTCAGTCATTTGGGAAAATGTGATGCAATCTTGAGCCTGCTTGCAATTATCATTTGAAAATTGGTCACCAATACACGCAAGAGTTTGATGCACACAAAATCAGCCCAAGCACGTATTGCAGTCCTACCTTTTGAAGGACTTAACCTCTAAACACATCTTATGTTGAATACACGATAAATTTAAATTGACTTTTAACAAGTTACATGGGTGTTTTTACTCAAGATTCACACGTAATTGATCATATCAATCAAGCGTATAATATGCACGGTTAGTAATATGCACAATTCGTGAATAAATAATTAAAACGCAACCGCTTCATATTATTCAATATATTCTAATAGTCGATTTTCTAACCCGGTAAGTTACATGTGTTTTACTCCTAAATAATTGTTGACAGGTTGAAAAGATTCAGAACTCATGAAATCGTAATTTATCATCAGAATTTCCTGTCTCCTGTCAATAATTCCCAGGCGTAACGAAGGATTTAATCCGCACCACTTAAAATTGTTTATTTCTGATTGGGTTGTTTTTTGAAGCGTACATATTTGAAAAGCATATCTTGCTTAGTTTTTATTTACGTGGGCGAGTGGTAAACTCATAGACTCAAAAAATATTCAGTCTGTTTCGCGCGTTCATTTCACCGAGATTCGAGTTTGCAGAGAAAAAAACAGAGAGAGAGAATGGCACCTAAAAATTCTACAACAGCCGAGGCAGAAAACACATACCTAACAAAGACGAGCACCAATGGAAGAAATACAGAACGCCCGCCGCTGCATATAGTCTGGCTTAATGTCTACCTGATAACTGCCTTGCATGGAATGGCATTATATGGTCTTTATATCCTCCCCAGGACAAAACCATGGACATGGGTTTGGATGGGGGTCTGTTTCATTTTAGGAGGAGTAGGAATTACAATTGGAGCACATCGATTGTGGTCACACCGCTCATTTAAGGCAACTTGGTCTCTTAGATTATTCCTGATGTTGATGAATTGCATGAGCGCTCAAAATGACATTTTTGAATGGGTAAGAGACCATCGTGTCCACCACAAGTACTCTGAAACCGACGCCGACCCTCACAATGCCAAGAGAGGTTTCTTTTTCTCGCACGTCGGATGGCTGATGGTCAGAAAACATCCTGATGTCAGAACGAAGGGAAAACAGATCGATATGAGTGATCTGTACGCCGATAATATCGTAATGTTTCAGAGAAGGTAAGTGAAAACCACTCTTTGTCTTCAGGTCATTAAGAAATAACGACTACAACAGAGATATCCCGATGGACACAGGCCCTGCAATTGTCAGAAAATAATTTCAAGATGTTATCGAACATCAGCTTATGTCCAAAACATTTTACAAAATCCTTGCAGTGAAGTATTGTATAACTCTTTCCGCTGCAATGCTTTCTACACACACCCTGTTCGACATTTGCCCGCCCCACTCCACCCTCGTAACAATAAACGACCTCCTGTCCTCCTTGGAACATGGTGGAACAAGTGTATTGTCAAATATATTGAGTCATTTATGAACACATTTATTCATTGATATAGTTCTTTGATACTGGACTAATATACTTAAATTTTACGCTTGGAATCATGATGTCGTGAATATACAGATAAGCGAATACACGACCTGAATGAACAAATGAATGAATGAACTGATGAATGAAAAAGTGGATGGGTACATGTGTAAACGGAATCAAAATAAGATTATTAACAATAGTAAGCGTACAAATTAGCATTTAAAGAATAAATGTATTTTACGAAAAAATTCAGTAAGTGCGCTCAAATTTAGTCGTTCTTTTTTTTTAACCCCAGGCACTACAAGCCCCTCACGATAATCTTCAACATCATTCTTCCAACTCTTGTTCCATGGTACTTCTGGAATGAAGCGTTATGGAACTCGTTTTTCGTTTGTTTTGCGTTTCGTTACGCTTATTTACTCAATGTCACGTGGAGCGTGAACAGCTTTGCCCATATATGGGGATCACGACCTTACGACGAAGCCATAAGCCCTTCGCAGAACCTTGTTGCTAATCTTGGTACACTCGGTGAAGGCTACCACAACTTTCATCACTGTTTTCCTCAAGACTATGCTACATCTGAACTGGGTACTTATATCAACTTGTCTAAATTTTTTATAGATTGTTTCGCTCTTGTCGGGCTGGCTTATGACTTAAAGACAACTTCTAAGGAAGCTGTGTTACAACGCAGGAGGCGTACGGGAGATTTAAGAAACCAAAAGCATTAGGGGGATAAATATTTACCAGAGATTACGAGACATCATCTTTTCCCTTTTTTCCTCTTGATATTTAGCAATTAGTGAATTTCATTCATGAAATAAGTTTTTGTATGCGTGACATAATTTGAAACCTTTTTAAAAGTATTCGTACACTGTTTCTTTCATCTGTTGTAGCTAGGTGTGTGAAAAGATGAAAACACAACCTCACTCCCCCCATCCCCTCCCATACGAATGTTGTCTTTGAAGGTAGCAATGCTGCTGGAAAATCACATTGTGCCTGGGAGGGAGGGGAAGGGAAGAGTAAGTAATGTTACAACGAGGGGAGAGTAAGTAATGTTACAATGAGTGCAATTATACAAGTACGCTATTTATTTGATCCTGTTCAAATTTAAGGTGACAATTCATTATCTGTTTGAATTTTTGTAAAGTTGTCTTGAGGACTTTTGGAGAGGTTAACTTCCAGTTCAGAGCAACCTTAAATTACCAGAGTTAAGGTGACCCTGAACTTCGTTGAGAAGTATGTAGGCATGTTCATTGATACCATTTCTGTCACACATCGGTGCTAAAAGTATTTGTTACACCCATATTATATCAGGTAGCACTAAACTTAAGGGCCAAATGATAATTTAACCATCCTTCATTCAACTGAGCCCTGATCTAATCATGCTACGGAAGGCGGCATGACAAGTTAACCAGGTTTTATCAACTGAATTCCCAAAGCTAACGTCTCGACCGTTAGTCCTTCGTTAGAGCGAATCTGGGATAAAGAAGCTTATATGAAAGCCTCGGTTGAAACATGTACACCATTACCACTGTTAACATGTCAAGATTGATGCGGAGAAGTTTAGTTACAATCTGACTCATTACATTAGAAAAAAAATCCAGCCACATTAACAATAGAAAGAAGGTTGTATTTGTATCCGTTCACTCTTACTTACATGATATATATGTACCCCATGATATTGATTTTATTCCTATCAGTTCTACCACTAAAGCTGATTTTAAAATCAAATAAACACCGCTTTGTCATGAAGCACTGATATTATCCGAATAAAATGAATTTCCTCATGATTTTTAATCTATTGGTTAAGAATAACCGCTAAAAGTCTCGAAAACTAATATTAATTATAAGCTTTTCGGCAAGCCGCTGCTTTTACCGTGAAATTTACCTTAACGTGACATGCATGACAGCCAATATAGCCCTTAACACAACAAGCCAACCCGTGACTCAGTAAGATTAAAACTAGCACCGCGTGACATAACGCTTGCTGTCTGCAACATCAAAATCTACTCCCTGCATTTACAGATAAATATAGTTACATCATTGATCCATTAGAGATTTATTTTTACTGCAACAAGGTACACGAAGATATAAAGGATGTTTCCTTACTTCGACTACTCTGCCACACTAAAAAAAAATACTATTATGGGATAAAACTCCCCTTGGACATTCTAAAGCTCCTAAAATGAAGTATACCTTAGTGCAAGGCTGCCGTTGCAATCCATGATGAATTTTTACCTTAAAATCATGGATGAAAAAAATTACGCTTTGAATATTACCTTATAAGTTACCTGTCCCGATAGAAGTTTAACTGTACAACGTTTGCAAAACTTTTACTCGTTCATGAAATGAGATTATTGCAATTAAATATCCAAACAAAGCAAAATGGGATCAACTAAAACACCGACAAATAATTCAGTCTCATAGAGCCATCTACAAGAAACGAAATGCGCTTTAGAGAGAATAACTCTTTACTCGAGTAGCATGACACACTTTGTATTTTCCGTCTCTTGTTCTCAGAGCAGAAAAAAAAATCAATTTGCAACACAATGGTTCCAGTGTAGGACCCAATATCGTCACAGATAAATCACAGTCATTTCCAACCTTCGTTGAGCCCTTGCTCCTTACAGCAGTTCTTTTATGTTCCAAGTGGTATTCTCATTACTCTCAATTCTCACCCCCTAATATCTTGCTTTAGCTTACAAAAAGTGGAAACAAATTTGAATCATATCAAAATATTGGAAAAAAAAAGTTATTTTTCTCACAATGCAGTCACTTCAGGAATGGATCACGATCACTGCCGTGGAGGAAAGAATACGCGTAACCTTCTGATAAAAAAACTAGCCAATCACAGCCGAGTGATAAAAAACTAGCCAATCACAGATGAAAATACTGAATCACGAAAGGATGCGTATCGAGTCGACCTCATCGCCTGAAGAAGACTACTAGCATGCAGTCAGTCTAAACGTCGTGATCTGCCTCGGAAGCGACTACATCGGGAAATAAACGCTAATTCTTCGCTACTAGTGAGTCACATTTGGATACCTAAATTTGACTCAGATTTCAGAAGACCTTGAGGATTTGTGGATTTCTGTGATATCTCTCATCTAGTTGGTGATAAAACTTAATCAGGTCGTCTATTTACACAGACTATTGAAGAGAAAATGTTGAAATTTCAAGTTGTAGGTACGACTTACAATTACACTAGATTTTCTTGGTATTACGTTTTACTAATTGAGAAACAATGTTATCCCAGATTGGCCTTTCTGTTACCATTACGCAAACTCAGAAGAAGTTCAAAGGTTTCCTATGGCAAAGTTGTGATCAGAGCCAATTTTGGTAGTGCCCTGTGACACACGTCTGTGTGTAGGGTGCCACAGTGATTAGTGTGTCTATTGGATAACTAACCCCAGTCCGCGTTGCGGTGGAAATGGTGGTCAGTGATGCAGGGTCTAGAGACATGCCATTCATATCTCCGATCCGTTTAGTGGAGTCCATAAAAGAAGACATATAGTTCTGCGAATTAACTAAAGCAAGGTTGGATGAAAGGCCATTTCCAGAAGTTATAAGTGGATGAAAGGGAGGCATGAAAAAACTTGGATATGTTGGAAAAGGAACACCGAACTTGTAAGGACTGTAGTTGAATAGACGGTTGGCCGCCATTGAGAGGTCAAGGTAGGATCTTTCCGGCCCAGCGGAAAGTTTCTCTCTGATCCCTGCAGAGTGAGCAAATGGAGGCAAAAATGGGAACCTTGGCGACATAGGGACATTGGGTGACTGAAACGTAGGCTCTGAGACAGAATGGTGCCTCGCAGGGACATCACGATCCTTCTCAGATGACCGAACATGCGAAGGGACTTGACGAGCCGTGTCTGCTTCTCTTTCATCCTGTGCATTGGAGATTGTTTTCTCGTCCCCGAGAATGCTGCTTATTCTATAGGATGACGACGAACCCGTGGTGGATTTCTCTCCTCTGTTGTTATTGTCATCCCCTAACAGCCTCGAGACACTGAAGTTAGTACCGGTGTTAAGGCGTTCCTCTGGCCGTTTGGCCGAGGATGGTTCTGTCACAACATCTAATCCTCTGTTGTCAGAATTAACAATTCTCTCAGGAATTATTCCATTGGAAGAGGAGAATATTTTGAGTCCTTCGCTCTGCGATGGCTCTCGGTGGTTCATGTCGGCGTTTTGAACAGGTGGAACTTTATTTGGTTCTACTCTACTTGTAATGTGTGAAGACACATTAGAAGAAAATGACGAACCTTTGGACCCTTCGTTGTTTTGATGAACGTGATGCATAGATCCCCAGATTTGCTGCCGCGGGTCGGAAGAGACTTCCTTGTTCTGGTGCTTATTACTCTGTGGGATACTCATGGAATTTATCCCAATCTGTCCCTGACGAGGCCGTTCGGGAGCAAACTCAATTCCGTTGCGCAGTTGACTATGTTGCTCTGGTTTGGTGGAAGACAAGTTAGATAGAATTTCTTTCGCGGTATCTTTCGCACCGTGGACATCTGCTTCTATTCGTTGAGGAAACTTCGAACCATTTAAGTCGTTTGGACCTCTTATTACACCTTCTGGCGGACTGTCCGCGCCATTTTGTGCAAGAACACTGGTATTCACCGACGCTAGCTCTAAAGAATGGCCCGCACTAGAATTACGCTTGTTTGTGACACCAGGATCTATGTCCGCTCTAGACAGAGCTGTTTCCGCAAGCATGTCCAGATAGCCCAACTCTCTTTCTTCTTCTTTAAGGTCTACAGATGCGTCCTTCTCAGTTCCATCCACCTCCATGCTGGCTACCTCTCCCTCCAACTTCTTTCGAGCCACTTTCTGCTCCCACTCGCCCAAGCCATGCAGAGTGAGGTTCATGTGTTTGTGCTGATAAAACACCAAGCTAATCCGAGTGGGATTCTGTCTTTGGGGGTTCCTGAGAGGCGTAGTTGCATGAAGTTCTTTCTTGGCTACCTCGATTAGAAGTGATCCATGAGTAAGAGCGATAGCCACTCCTCCCATATTCTCCTCAATCAGGAATGGTTTCCGTGCTTGTCCCGAGCTTCCAACATCTTTTCCACTGCCTTTGCGATTTTCTACTTCTTTTATGTTGGCATTTTCATCCAGGGGTACACTACTCGAGGCTCTCATGAGTGGTACTTCTTTGTCATCAACCCACTTGATCTGAGAAGGCCCCCTTGTGGCCTCACCATTGTAGTGATGAATGACAGTCTTTGGTTTGGCGTACTCGACACCTCTATTTGACGGTGCATTGTTCATTGGAAACGACTTACTGAAAGGCATTCGACAATTCCAGGTCCCACCCATAAAAGGAACCTTTGTGTCGTAGTTACCATAATTGTCGAAGTTGTTACTCGAGTTGTGAAAGTGATTCAAGTGTCCCGGATTTCGATACAAATATGGAATACGGTTCTCGTCTACCCAGTGCACCTCGGGCGCCCGGCAATGGTTAAGAACATAATTGTTACCAAGATGCGGGTGAAATTGAAACATTGGCGACCCGTGGGGGTGGGGATAGTGTCCGTTAAAACAGTTGTTCATCATCTGATTAGAAGAGGCATGGTGGTGAATCACCGAGTTTGGAAAGCCATGCATCGACTGCGCATGTCCGTGAGGAATGCTATGCCCATCGAAGGGTACATATGGTCCATTACTGCTTTTGTTGTTGTTGTTCAGATCCTGAAAGACTTCTTTACGTCCTTCTTTGGGCTGTGGATCGTGGTTACTCACTGCTTTGCTAGCCTTTGGGGAATTCTCTTGTCCTGTTACCGTGGAGTAGCCTGGGGAGACACCCACAGGAGGTTCAAGGAAATGAGCAGGCATGACGTAATTGGGTCGCACAGGCGCACCATCCTTGTCCAGCAAGCGGTACAACGGCAAAACATGAAGTTGTTCTTCGTCTGACGAAATTGCTTCTGGCTTCAGAAGCGAGCACACCTGCAGCAATAAATAAAAAAAGCAACAACGAATAAGAAGAACTACCTTGAATAAAATTCTATCGTTTCGTCGTCTGCAATCTGCTTTATCCTATGTCATCCTCATCTCTTTTAAATGTACTTTTGATGAACACACACTAATTAAACAGGATTAGTTACCAGGGTTGCTCCACCGTCCATATTTCTGGAGTCCTTGTGGCTATGTGCACAGAAATCCACGCAACACGTGACACCAGAAAAGGGCCGTCTCTCATTGTTTCCAATACGGCATTCTAGCCCCTCTCTTTCTTCTTTTACCTAAAATCAGAACGCTCAATCCATCAGTTGATCATTTAAACATTCTCGCCAACCCTTGAATGACAATGTATTGATTCTGTGTGAAGAAATCATACATTCGTCGAAGGAGAGAAGGATTACCTGGTTTTGGAAAGCTTGAGGTGCGTATTTCTCGTATACGGTGGACAGATCTGTTGCTAATGTCTGCATCATGGTATCCAACTCCTCTTCCTGTTTGAACGTAGAAAAAAAAAGTAGCGCTTAATTGTTGCAACACTCAACATCAATCAACATCATCCTTAAACTGGTCCGCTTTTACCTTTTTTGGTTTCAGAATCTCTTTCCGGTGGCCAATTTACTCCACCAACTCAGAAACTCCCCACGGACGCACAACACAGGTAATTTAAAATCTTACCTCTTTAATAAAGGTTGTTTGGATAAAGATCTACTTTCTTAACCATTCTAATTTAAGCTGCGCGGCAGTTCTTTCATGTGGTTTCTGTTTATCACGCTCTGCAGGGCGATTATGTGGATAAGATCTCAGAGTGTGACCTTTCTACTAAAGGCTACAGGACTGAAAAAGGTGGCTTAACCCTTAAACTCCCATGAGTGACCGAGACAGAATTTCTCCTTACAATATCTATACAATATCAACCAGATAAGTGATGAGAAGAAAGAATGAGATCAATTTGGGGGTAATTAGTTGATCCAATGGGAGATAAAGGGTTAAACTTTACAGACTGTCTGAAACCCTAGTGCGTGTCGATTCAAATAAAAGCTGCTGATAAGAAAAGGCGGATAACCTTTTAAAGTCTGTGAGTGAAACCTTAAAGTGTGACCATATGAAAGCTACTGAACAGTTCTTTCATGTGGTACTGCTTAACGTGTAGTTTGTGGAATTAAAAAAATTATGCTATGGAATTTAATGAACATTTCTCATACGTCGTTTATTTGTGCGTCCTCCCAGGGAAAAAGGGAGTAAATACTTCAGTCTGTTGAATTCATAACTCACCTTAGAAGAATCAAGTAGTTTAAATTTCCTCGGCGTTTTACTGCGAGTGAACTTGCAACCATTGAAGTACATGCTCCAAGAGCAGCCGAAAGAAAAAGACGCACCACAAGTCTCCTCGCTCAACCCCTGACAGGCACATGATTTACTGCAAGACCATAATCCGAAAGGTAGTTTGTGAGGGGTGAGGTTCGTCTTATCATTAACCATAGGGAAAAAAACACTTTATACCATCAAAAAGGATACAGTATCAAGTTTTTTTTTTAAGGTACTGGTAATATTTAGGTGCGAGTATTTGTATACGAACAGACAGACACACAAGATGCATAGACAGATGGACGTGCGTAGGTCTGTGAACGAACAGACAGGTAGAGAGACACATAGAGAGACAAGCAGACAGACGTGCGAGTAAAAGTAAGGCACAGACGCACCACCTAACACAAACAGACAAAAAAAGAAAGACGGACAGACGGCTACCGTCAGAAAACACACAAAACACCACCAATAAACAGCTAAATGACAGACAGACATAAACACAGGCGGGGAGAGAGACAGATACATAAACAGACACGTAGAGTAGAAGAAGGAGCCTTTAGGGGGACACAAGAGACCCGGAAAAGAGGCAGAAGAATATTTCATCTTACGTCTCATTGATTCCACATCTTCTTGCCGTAGGGACGCCATGTTGAGGCAGCATGGTGCTAAGTGACTTATATAGATAATCCGCGCGCTCCTGGGCAATACCTTCCCATAATACAATGTTCACTACAGTCAATGTCGAGTCGCACACGTGATCAGTACGCTTCCGCGCGATGACCAAAATCTTCTCCTCGTCACTGGAACGACGAATAACCTATGCCATGCAAGAAAATGATACATTAAAAAACACTACTTGCAGACAAATGAGTGACAAAAAACGAATAAGTCACGTACGATAGCACGCTAGATCTCAAACCCAACTCACTCCTGCTAAAGCGCCACCGTCTTTTTTTTTCAGCAGTTTTAAGAAGAGAAATTTTTAACATAGTTTTCTTTACAACGCGCTGTGATTGGTCCAGAAAATTCGCACCACCTTCTCCACCAATCAGATAAAAAAAATTTAAATCAATCGTTGCTTGGGACCATGTGAGCATGGAACCGTGTGGGTATGGGACCCCGTGGGCATGGATTTTATTTGAGTCCTCATTGGCTACTCTTAATAATCACGTTTTTCTGATTGGCCTTTGCCATCATTTTGGCTTCCGACACCCAATCTAAAAAAAACTATTTGGGCGCTTGGTGAGCGATTTTGCCCATTGTAGGTCGTTTTCACATTTCAAGTTCCTCAGACTTTCTTTTCTTTTTCAGTTTTGTTCTTGGTACGTTTGTAACTATTTGTGAGAAGGTGCAACCTTTCTTAGAGGTACTATGGTGTTGCATTGCATGAAGAATACTTTTAAACGGTGATGGTTCACCGGGTTTTCGTGACTGGTGTGGCACAGAATATAGTATTTGGAACAATTAATTTAATTTTTGCCGATAGCACAAAGTTTACATAAGATTATTAATCGGCGCTTGCCGAAGGATCTTTGTGCATTGAATTTCTCGTGTTAGCGAAGTCAAAGAGCCGCTCAAAGTACGAAGACGTATTTGAGAACGAACTTATTGAACTATAGGACAAAACAAATAGATGCAAAATCTTTGTTTTCCCAAAGTAAACACTTTTCTTTTGCCTCCTCGATGGATTTCATCAGAGACATTTAAGGACCAGATAAGACATTTTACTAGCAATTAGAAGCGACACTCTGTCTTTTAGGATTTACTGAGAACGTCTTAGTAATTAAAACGGCGCCCACTTATTCGCTTTGTATTTTGCTTCTCTTCTACCATTACCATCATCAAGAAGTTTTCTCCAACAACGGTGCTAAAACGCTTAATTTCTAAGCTGATCCGATGGACAAATTCCTTACAACACCCCAGCTACAAACATGATAGATATGTTAGGAATGTCTATCTCAAATGAGGCACGTAGTCCGTGATTGTACTCTTCTTCTGCTACAATAGAACGTGGGTACAATAAATCTTCTACAAGACATAGTACAACTGAAAAACTTACCCATCTCGCTATGGGACAACCAAGATGATTTTTTCCCTCTTTCCCTGTGTAACCAATCTAAAGCAAAAAGGTAACAGATACCAAGGATTAATGAATATTCATCCCACTTGATGTAAGCCTGGGATTAACTGAAAACCCTCAATGCTTCAAACGTTACCGGAAAGTTGACTCGATTTTGACGTTTCCTCTCTTTAAGATTAAAGTGATAACGCAAAACTGACGCCACTAAAGACTTGATCAGTCAACAAAAAACCGTGTGGGAGAGCTTACGTGATGAAAAAAATTATCACGCCAGACTGTCTAGGATTAACAGACAGCCTATCACACGACTTTATTGTTTGCTTTACAAAATCTACAGAGTGGAAGCGTGGATACTCGCGTGTGAACGTCCCCCTGAACATGCACTCACGTTCAAAATTATCCCCCGTACATATGCACGTTCACTTAAGCTACAAATCATTATCCAACTGCACAAAGTAGAGTACAAATAACGCGTGAATAGAGTGCAAATATCCTGCGATATTATACGGTTATTAGGAATCTTGAGTATTTTGTACTGAAAAAAAAACTGTTTAACCAGTCGGCTGCACGCGCTACGGTTCTCTACCCGCTTTACTTTTCTTGCCTTATGAGAAATAAACAGAAAGACTTACGCAGAAGCAGTTGGATAATAAATAACTTATAAGACGTTTTGGTTTATAGTATCGCTGAGCATTTTTACTCGCTGTTTGTATTTTTGACGAGCCCGTAAGGCTCGTCAAAGTACGGCATCACTCAGAAAAATACTCAGCGATACTACACAAGAAAACGTCTAATAAGATATATTTATTTATTATGGAATGCGAGACGAGGTTGTCTAATGGTAAGAGCGTTGGTCTTCAAATCTAGGGAGTTCCAATTAGAGACGTGGATGGGTCACTGTACTGTGTTCTTTGGAAAGATACTTCACTCTAACAGGGCTTCTCTACTGGCGAACTGAAAGTTAACCCTGAAGCAAGGCCTTATGGTAAACTGCAGATAATTCTGTCCAAAATGAATAGCTATGCTTCTAGTCGCTTCATTTTGTGAGGATTAAAACTCCAGTGTGCCGTAATTAATGAATCCACCTAGCTCAAACGACCACGATATGAGAGAGACAGAACACTTTCCGTCCACTAAAGATGGTCCCAACTACTTCACTACTACAGAACACTGAAAACGCCGAGTTTTCAAAAAGAACTCAATCACGTTCTACAATCCGTGTAAATCTTCTCCATCCTCAGCAATCCAGCTTCCTTCTTGGTAAATATTACAGTCTCCTCTTTGTTTCTTATCTTATCCAACTAATATTTTGTACGCTCCTTCAAGATGAAGGTAACTTTCGCGGATCACAAAATTTTAGTTAAGTTCATCGTTTCTCTCCAGCCTTCTTCATCTTTGGCCATCCTTGTTCCTCTTATGTGTTTGCAATCTTATTGAACTGATATTTTTAGGTCTCCTTCAAATTGAGTTCCTGATCATTTCCAGGTTCGTTTTCATCGTGTTTATTCTTGCCATCCTGAATCCTTCTTGATTTAATTCTGCTTGTTTTGTGTTTTTTATTCTACCTATAACTCTCATGCGTGACCAAGACAGAATTTCTCCTTACAATATCAATACAATATCATGCATAGAAGTGACGAGAATAGAGAAAAATATCAATTAGGCGATTATGAGTTGATCCAATACCAAACTCTCCAAATTGACATCATAAGAATTGTAGGTCAGACAGTAAAGAGAATTACCAACGAGATCTTGTAAGTTAAAGGGTTAGCCAGTGAATGACTCCTATAGTTTGAAGGTCATCTTTTCACAACATTAAATTTGACTCAAGTTCGTTATTTTTTAATCTGCTTTAATCTCCTCCATCCTCAGCTGTCCTTGTTTATTCTGGTTTCCTTTTGTGTTTTTCCATCTTACCGCGCTAGAGAGTACTTAGACATGGAGAACTTATCCGTCTATGAACTTAACAACTCTACTGACCGTTTGACTAAATATCCATTAGCGCTGATCGTCTAAGTCGTTCACGGGTAAACGAAAGTCGCAAAAACTCCTCAAAACATACCCGTTTCCAAACATAAGCGGATATTTCTGAATGATAACGCTTTTAGGGAAACCGCGAGGCCTGTTTTCCAGCACTGGTGCTACTCTTTGCAAGTTACATCTATGCGTAAGCCCCACTGAGTCTTGTTGCAAGTAACCGCCTGAGCTCATCTCACTTTTAGTGGTGCACAGCGACCGACAGTTTGAACCTTTCCCTCTGCCCCACGAAAGAGTACATGGTAGGTTTCCCAATACCACTAGACATTTATACTCCCGGGTGCAGGAGCCTACGGGGGCTTCAGTCTTCGAGTCGCTATCTGTGGTCCAGCGCTCTCACCATCTGGGCACTGCGTCCTACATGTATACTCGTCTTGTTGTTGTTTTTTAACTATTTCACCCATACCACACTCTTTTAGGATCAATATCAGTATCTGGGCAACTGCCCACCTACCCCTCCCCTAACCCAACAACAGTCAATTGATAACAAGTTAGGGTGAATGTTGGGTTAGGGGAGGGGTAGGGGGCCGTTGCCCAGATACTGATATTGATCCCTCTTTTATTTGGTATACACCGTTGTCAGAGGAAGTAATTTCATTTGAAAATTAATAAAACATCACTACATGTGCAAACTGGTCCTGTTCTCTCTATTTGAAAATATATCGTAAAAAATTCAGTTTTAACTCACCAATTCAATTCTCAGAGCAGATCCTTTGACGCCAAACCTGCAAAATGAAATTCAAAATAACAGCTTAATATTGTGACTTCTTGGATACAATAAAGTTCGTTAACAAAGAGAGAAGAATCTGAGTTTATGAACTAAGGTCTCCCGCCACATTTCGTAAAATCAGAGTTATTGTAAAAAGAGACTGACAATATTTCTTTCTTTACCTTTCCTCCAAGAGATTCCTCAAAACATTCACATTTGGTGCAGCTCCCAGGTAGGTGTAATAAGGACTGTCATCTTTTCCTGAAACTACAACAACAATATAAAAGAGCGATTTGTTATGGCATATAACTTTATTTTTTAAAATAGTATGACACAACCAAGGGTATTGATTCTCCCTCTGAATGGAATACTTTGTCCAACCCTGAGTAACTCTTTCATTTCACGGGTTTATTACGAACTAACATAATGACCAGCCCCCAGTTGGCTTGTTAGCTCAGTTGGTAGAGCAATGGACCGGTATCACAGAGGTCATGGGTTCAAATTCCGTACAGGCCTGAATTTTTTTCAGGCTTTACTTTTTCTACTGCTTAAGTAGTGTTCATTACTGCGAAGATCGCGTCCAAATTCATTCCTGGGTTAACTACATCATGTAATCAGGTTTCCCAGATATTTAACTAGTAGTCATTTACACTCCAGGGCAGGGAGGGATGTACTGTGAGAGTAAAGTGTTTTGCTTCAAGATACAACATGATTATCCCAGCCAAGGGTAACCAACCATTAAGCCAGTATATGTCCCATGTGCATAAATACAGCAAGATGTTAAAATTCGAATTTGGGACAATGAAGCATTATTAATCTGGAATAAAAGAGGAGGGAATTTTGATACACGGAAAGAAAGAACATACTGCCATGGAGACAAGACCAAGGAGAGAAGCAATGGGGATTGAGAAGCATAGAAGACACCAAGGGTAGCTGATATGGGGGTGGGGCACATAAGTGAACCAAAGAAGGGGTAAAAAGGAAATAACAAGGCTGAAACATGGAGTTTAGAGAGGTATAGAAGGTAGCATTGCACTTGCTGTTCTACTATAAAGTTAAATATCCTGCAACTAAGAAAGATAATTTATTGCCGAGCTGAAAGTCAATGCACAAACAATGCATTATTGATTTCAGCATTCATGTTGGGAATCAGAAAAACTGCCACATTCTCTCAACAGGAACAGAGAATAGGCACAGAGCATGTCTATGATGACTGTACTTGAAGATCCTTAAGATCAGCTCTAACAAACATCTTATAAAATTCAACACCCCGACATAAAAGAAAATCTCCCAGAAAAAAAAAACTTTCCAAGTTTCCCAATCTCTGAATTTGACCTCATTTATCCTTTCACCCCAAATATTTCATCAGTAATTCTCCATAAAGTCTGCCATACTATCCTTCAGATGTTAGTTCTGAGAATTTGGTATTGGATCAACAAGGAATCCCTTGATTGATAGCTTTCTTTATTCTCATCACTTATCCGTTTGATATTATATTGATATCTTAAGGAGAAATTCCATTTTGGTCACTCATGGGAGTTGGGGATATGGACACAGTAAACATCGCTATAAAACCTGCCCATTTTGTTATCAAAACCACTAATGTCCAGTGGTTTTCTATTCACACAACTTCATTTGTCTAATTCCATCCATGATAAAGCTGAATTTTCAAGGCTTAACACCGCAAAAATTAGGACAGACAGACAGACAGACCCTAACCTACCTCTACCTTAGAATTACTGGAAAATTTCCCGAAATAAAAAATTATATTCTTGCCTTGATTTGCACAGATTCATTAATTACGCTACAAAAATCCATCAACGTGTTTATCAAAAACAGCAGGTTTCAAACTTGCACCACAATGCACGGATCTCTTACTGTGCAAGGAGATTTATCGTTGTTTTTGTAGAATCAGCTGAAACCCTGTTTGTCTAAAGGCTGATTTGTTTATACAGCAAAGTAATATAGGCTCCAACAGTGCTTAATGATTGCCGACTGAATGCAAAGAAAATTTATGCTTTTTAACTGCAGAAAGCAACGATTAACGATTTAAATTTCTGCTGAGCTCCTTCGCAAACAAAAAGATTTTTAGAAGTGATGTTCGGATGTTTTCTTTCTGCAATCTTAAACCACGATTAGACAGCAATCCTCCTTAAGAAAAATCTCGTAGCGATGAAAAGAGCTTGATAAATGACGTCTAAGAGTTAAAAAAATCTTTTGAAGAAACAAGGAAAATTAGAAGCTTAGAGCGAAATCTTTACAACGGAAAGACCGAATGGTACAAACGGAGCTTCCGGTGTTAATTTTCAAGACTTTTTCCGCAACCCCCACCAAAACTTCAAAACAATATCCAGCTCAACTGCGAGTTAAATTCCGTGCATTTTAAATATCGTGATTTTGGCTTTTTTTTTTTCTTCTTTTCTTTATTTTTTACAATTACCCAATCAGACATCTTTCAGCGTGGACCTGTTAATTCCTATTGTTTCGTAAATCAAAAATGCGCCGAGGCGCGATATCTGCTGCCAGACTTGTCGAGAGAAGCACTCATCTATCATTTAGAAACTAACAATAGCTGGTCAGAGAAACCGACAACTTTCAACTTCTTGATGCTGCACTTTAGAAACCATTACCAATCGCAGACGCGATTTCGCTTTGTTTCATTTACATATTTATTCCTGCGGTAGTTCAGTTCACGTTGCGTCTTTGATGATTTAATGATTTAGGCCGATAACGTGAATTAAAACTTTCGCAAGAGCTCAGGGGAGCGTGTCGTTTAGGCAGATTAGGCATTAACACGAAATCTCGCCGCTGAATGGACAAAGTACGCTTAGCGCAGATGGAACAACTGCTGTTTTGACGGCCAACTGAGACACATATAAACAAACGTTGATCGCTATCGTAACGAGATGCTGATGAAAAATTTGATAAGAAAACCTCTTTAACGTTTACCGTAATTTTTTCGTGTGCGCTACTAATTTATTTCAACGTGGCTCGAGCTTAAAAGTTTCCGCTGTAATTTAGCGCTAATGTCAACAAAACGCTGAGACCTAACCGCGCGGATACACTTTAATAAATTTTATTCCAAGCAACCCGGCTTAATCCCCAATTAGGTTTATTTAAACCGTCAAACAAAGCCAGTCTGCACATATCACGCTATCTACAAAGGCCGAAACAAAAATGAAATACGCGCGGCATGTAAAAAAAAAAAAGAGATCAAGCAAATTAGATCGCGTTCGAGTCGGCAGTTAGCGGTTAGATTATTCAAGCCGGCTGGATCGTACATTTGAATATGAATACATGCAGAAAAAAATATGTAAATACCTGGGCAGTTGCACGGAGGGGGTTCAAAATCGCTTTCACTGCGGGAAACCGCTACCTTGCAGTTCGTCAAAGGCTTTTCAGCGCCCGGCTCGGTTGAACGACTGGAGTGGACATCACCGCTTGCTGTTTTATTCTCGTGAGGGTCTTTAGGGAGTTCGTCGGTAGCGCTGATTTCTGTGTTTTGCAGCTGAGCAACTTCAGTGCCTTCTTGCGCATGAATTGCCTCTGGCGACTCCGGTTTTTGCGGTTTACACTCGCCTTGAACGGAATCGTTGATAATCTGTCTCTCGCCACCTTCACCGACAGCTCGCTTTGAGAGAAAACGCAAACCACAACAATAAGGAGTGAATATTAGCCAAAGACGCGCGCATCAAAATTACTTTGCTAATAATACCCGGCAGAAATTAAAGAAATATCCCTGTGGTCAGGAATGAAAAATTTTGTTTAAACTCGAAAAATATGAGCGGATGCTTACTTCTGTGAGTCGAGATCATACTTCTTTACCTTATCGGGTTCGACGACTTCGCAGCTCACGAGACGCGATTTGTCACCTACGTCGTCCTCGTTCAAAGCCGTTCGCAGCTGAGCCCCTTCGCGTTTGCCAACGTTGCTTGTCGTTTTCTGCAAAACCAAAATGAAATCACACCCTTGAGTATTTTCAAGCGAAAACTTCGTTAGCACAACGCAGGGAATAAATGCGTGAGTTATATCAATCCCTGTTCCAAATCGTTAACGTTCGTTCAAATATTCGCACCTTTCTCAGTTCAATACATTTACGGAACTTGCATATCTGATGACCAGTTTTTCTATTGACACAATTGCTGCAGTCCCCGCAATTTACTTTTCTCAAACAAGGCTCACAAGCACCGCATCTTCGCCGCTTCTTTCTAGGAACAACATCTTCAAAATCGCCTGATCGTTTCTCGCCAGCTTCGCTTCTCGTTCCCGGTGTTGTTGGCCGTTCAACTTTGCTTTCCATAGCTAATCACTAGACAAGTCGCGGAGCGTCGTGAAAAAAAAATTCACGACCAACAATCCGTGACATCAATAACATTTAACAGGTAAACTCTCAAATTTCGATCAAAGCTTCGAAGGACGCCGCCAATTCCAAGGCGCAACGACGAAAAGTTGACTCTGCCTGAAGCTGCGAGCGACTTCCAAGCGATATCGGTAGCGAGTGTCAGACAGGCTTGTCGTTGATCGAACGCAAATTCACGCAGCCACAAGCCACTTCCGAGCCAACCAAATGCCTAGTAGGTGGGAACAGTCTGTTTGCGAGCCGACAAATGCACGCCCACGTGGGAAACGAAGCCGCGAAAATTGATCAAGCGTGACCAATTTGCGCGCGTGCGTTTTCGACGTTCGTCAATTTCGAGTCGAACGCAATAAGGCGATTCCGGTTTGGCTGCCGCAGTCAAAATACAACACGAGAGGCCTCCATGGCGGAACTAATATCGGATTTTTCAAAATCTGCCTCGCAAAATGTTCAGGGAATACTGTTTTTATGAGAGATTTCACAAATCACTTTTTTAAATCAAGCCTTTTCAACATATCCAGCGAATTATTTCGCGTCCAACTGCGTCCGGAAAACCTTGTAATTTTCAACTCTTCAACGCAGCTGTTCACAGTTATCCAAAACAGTAGAACTTAGCAAAAAAATCCTCCAACCGGGGGATTAGGGTCGGAAATTGCTCATATTTTAAGATCATATCACAAAGAATTTCGCTGTGTCGCGAGGGCAGAGAAAGAAATAAGAAACCTCGATCGATTTTGACGTCGGTGCGTTTTTGAAGATTCTGAATTAGGAACGTTTGAAATGCAAATTTTTGTGACTTGAAAAACGAAAATAGTAATCTCAAACTATTTTGGCCAAACACTATTCACAGCCGGCGTGTCGCAGCATTTATTTCGCTTTAACTGTCGACACCAAGTTATTGTGTTCACTCGTGATTGGCAAGCGGAGTCTGAAAGGAAAATGTCTCATCGATCTTCGAAGCGCCGGAGACGAGAAAAACATGCTAATCGTTCTCATCTGTCTCCCGCGAACTGCTAAGCAAAATAAATTATTCTTTATGTCGAGTACGAGATAAAGGTGTATAAATTAAGCCATTCATCATACTGAAAGAGTAAATAATGCGAACTGGGATGTCGGATCGCCCCCTGTGAGTGATAAACCCTTAGGCCAAGTGAGTGCGGTGGTCTATTGTTCAAAGACGCAGTTTGACATTTTAACTGATCCGTGACAATATTTATACAATTGTCTACACGCACTCCATCTACTTACGTACCCACGACCATGGCTCGTTGTGAAAACGTCGTGTTGCCATGACAACTTTTACCCAATCAAAAACTTGCTTAAAATTTAAATATATTAATTTCCACAAAATCGGTGTGAAAGGCGCATTAGCTCAGTTGGTTAGAGCGCTGGTCTAGTAAACCAGAGGTCGGTGGTTCAAATCCGCCATGTGCCTACTATAATAGTTTTATTTTTTGTTAAGCCAAGAGGTTTTCTGGGACAAAAAAACAAAACATAAAGGGAGAAATTTAACATCCAGTTTAGGTTCGTCTCATATCTTTGTTCAGCGAGCATTTTCTGTATGATTGTCTTCTCGATTCACCTTTTCTATTTTAAAGCTTTGGCTCAGCTTTAGTTGATGCTTTCATAGTTCGAATAAAATAAGAATGGAGAAACCTGTGCAGCTTTTCTATTGAAACTCTTCTTCTCTGGGCAGTAAATTTGCGAACGAGAACTGATTACTTATTAAGGTTAATCTTTTTTGTTGACATACAACATGAAGAAGAAAAAAAAAACTAGAAAATGCACAATACGAAACACTGAAATGGTAAATCAGTTCGCAACTTTTGATGAGAGAATTTGCTTTGTTTTGCAAAACTCAGTCTCTATATTCCTGAGTTAAGAATTTCAAGTTTAACCATAACATAGAAAACCATTGTCATGGTCATGAGCGCCTGAACATCCAGAGTTTCTAAAAATACTCTAAAAATAATTTCCTTGCGGATGCAACTGTGGCTGTTGATATTAATTTTGTTCCCCTCAAGTTCATGCTGCCATAAGACACATTGTTGGTATATACTGAGCGCCAATGTTATTTTGATCAGGTCTTCTAGAAGGGTGTATCAAATTCGGGGCGTGACGGGGGAGGGTCAGGGGCCGGTATCTGGACTAAATTCTTACACAGCAAATTTAATACGTCCTAAGTAGGTTAACAAGAAGGTATAATTGACTTAGGGTGAGATCACTGCAAATGACGGTCGCAGACAGAATAAGGTGAACAGGATATTTGTCTGCTAAAACTGCGTGCTGATTAAAAATCACCCGACAAAAAGGTGAGAAACATTGCTGTCCGAGAATATTCTTCAGCAGCACAGTGGTTGACCGGGCATAGCGCGAACAAGAAGCTAAGATAGCTGTAAATAAACAAACATAAGTGTTGTCTTCTGAACAAGAATTATACTTTTTTAGGTAGCAATTATGCGTAGAAAGAAATATTTTTGATTGAAAATGTAAACTTCCCTCCAAAACTGATTTATTCATTATTTTCTATTCCTTTAGTCCCGCATACCTCGGCTAGTTTGCCGCGTGGAAAACACTAAATAAGATTTAAAAAAGAGAACGTGAAAAGGAGAAGCATTTCCACTCAATCGATTTTCCTTGAAACACCACCTCGAGCTCTAACAAGCAAAAACCGCGCGTATTTTTATCTTAAATTTGTTTAAGCAAAACCAAGATGAGAGACATCGGCTGAGCTGCAGAATACCTTGCCACTCATTTACACTTCAATGAATAAGAATAACATTTTGTTGTTTCATGCCTCGATCTTCACAGCCTCCCGACACATGTAAATGAGGTGGACCAAAGTGGCGGGGTATTCTGCAGTTAAGCCGACACATCAAAGTTGTCAGGGAAAGAAGCGTGCTAGTATAGTCTGGAAGGTCAAATTAAATTATCGTCTTCCTAACTATGAATTGCAATTTACGGCGCAAAAATAAACTCAAGCTACGCTTTGTTACTTTGGACGCGAATGCGAGCCTATAAAACGCCAGGACACCTCAGGGACATGGCTAAACTCACGAAAGATTTCCTCAATCGAGATAAAGCGGAAGCTAAAGATTAAACAAACTAAATTAACGTTTGAAAATCTTTAAGCCCTCTTAAGATCGGAAAACTGTCTAAATTAGCTGCCGGCGAGAGGTAAAGTGGAGCTGTCAGCTCGAATAGCCCCAGGGAATTACGTTTTTTTCTTCCCTTTTTTTTTTTTTGCGAGACGTAGGCTAAAGTGTATAAAACAAAGAAAGTGACAACTGATTTCTCAGTAGCACGGACTTTAAGGCTCGAAATATTTAACTCTAGAATCTAATCAGCAAAAAATCGTGTATCACGAGTTATATATTTGTGGTCGTTGTTGTTATAAGTTATTGGTGGGGTAATTTTTTGTTATGTCTGGTAAACAAGGGAAATAAAACTGTCTTGTGGTTGGCATATGGAGACCCTTATCCTTTGAGATTTCCTCTAAATGATTGACAAATTTGTTCACTTCCCAGTGAAATGATAATTTATAGCGTCAACCCCACTAAACCTTAAAAAATAAATTGGATGTAAGCATTGCTCAAGACATCGTTTACTTTACTTCTATGACGTATCGCGGTTTGTTTGGTCTCGCTAAGAGGATGATTACACGAGCTAAGACTGAATGAAGATATTAAAAGATGAGACAATAATGACAATGAACTGACACCATCATCAACTGAACATAATCGAGTTTGCAAATCTCCCCGTTGGATTCTTAAGCACAGCCAGGAGCCCGGCTTAAGCTCCTGGCACAGTAAGTCATTCTCTATGTCAGCTTTTTGATCATCTTGTTAAAAAAGGGAGGCAAAACCTGTTCTTGAGCCCAGGAAGAGATTAAAACTTTAAGTCTTGTCCCTTTTTTTTTTTTTTTTTTGTTCATTTTAAAAGGAGTTGGTACAATTGATCCACCAAGGGCACATGTAAACTTTCAGCAATGAAGATTGGAGGTGGACTGGGGTCGGGCCTTAATCAGCTCTGGCTCTCTGCGCCCAAGGATATAGATATGAATCCGTGAAGATTCAGGAAAACCTGTTAAAATGATAGGGAGGGGGAGGCGGGGGGAGTTTTGGGAGCTGTTCTTGAGCAAGAGAAATAAATTATCAGAGTACCTCTCTCCACCCAAGAGTTAAAATGGGTACTGGTTCATTGTCAGGGGGGTACCGGCTAACCAATTGCTGAGAGAGGGGGTGGGGGAAAGTAACTTGCGCAATAAGAGCATCCAGGGGGAGAGCATAACTCCTAGTCGCTTCATGTTACGCAAATCAAAATGAAGTGAGGCAGCATAGGCTCGTGTACCTTCCCCACCTGACTCAAGGTACAAGAGGGAGTTAAAATATTCCTCGATGGCTGCCGATGCGAATTACGAAAATTTAAGAAAATTTTATTAAATATTGCCAAATTTTTAAGCCAACACATCCTCGCCACTTACAACCAGGAAATGAAGAAAACTGAGGGCAGACGGCTCTCTGGTAACCACGTTGACGAGAGGAACTGTTAGAGTTATGTCTTGCTCAAGAACACAACATGAGAACCCCCACTCATTATCACTCTCGGCTCTTCTACCCGAGGTCCATCCACCGGTCTGCGTATTACCACCGTGGTCATCTTTTGTACGAGTTACGACAGACACATTTTTTTCTCAAGATAAAGCATCTCGTTATCTTTATATCTATCGATGTGTTTCGAGAATGAAATAATTTTTGTTGACCTTAAAATGACTTAGTAGCTTGATTGTATCAAGGCAACACTTGAATACGTTTTGTAAAGGAAGGTTCAGGAAACAAATATTCTCTCGTTATGTTATTCAGTTTATCAAGAGCACTTTGCGCATGAAGTCGAGTGATGTCATCGGGATCTGTTGACTCCACCACCTTCAACAATTGGTAGATTTCCCTCAGAGTCGAGCTTAGAACCTAAAAATGACGTATAACAAAAAAAATAAAAGAGAAGAATAAATTCAAAATATGTGCTCTTTGCCAGTTTCTTTGTGAGCCACACATCTTGACCAAACAGTGGGGATCTTATGCACTGACGTTTTTCCGAAGCGAATGGCATTGGGAAGTAAAATGCAAGAACTTCCGCTGCTCTTTGAAATCCAACAACCACCTGCAACGCTACTGTTTTAGCAATGTCAACTAAAAGGTACAGACAACAGACCCGTCTAAAGAGACAAAGGAAAAAAAAACTCTCAACATCCGCGAGCCTTTAGTTTCTAATGTCTCAACTTATGCCTCCTTGTGTTAGTCCTCTGCCCCCTTCTCTTCGCTTTCGTTGCGAGCCCTCGCGCGACTTCCTGAAAAGCTGAAAGGAACCGGAATGGACTGCTGGGCAAACTGTGACACATTAGCATTTGTCGGATTCTTTTTATTTCTTTATTATTTCACTTAACCAGATTAGTTACTCTCCCTACCTCCATAATACTCTTCCCCAGTCCTCTAAGTAGTAAAGTTAGGACAAGGACTGTGGCGCGTCTGACTTCGGCCGACTTGTCTGTCTTTAGTACAGCAGATACACAACTGAAAATCTAAAGAAAAATAAAGAGAAACGTGTGAATTTAATTTTTCGATTTTCCCTAATCATCTTTTATCTTACCTATCACATATCTACGTTTCTTGTGCTTTTTATCTTTTTTTTTTGCTACAAACTATTTAAATCGCTAAGGAGCGTTGGGTATGTGGCTTTTGGGCCGCTTTTTGAAGAGAGCTTTAATGCATGATGAAGTAAGATACTTTTCCAGCCACCGTTCCGGGGAATCTAACACATTCAATCATGATATTTCAGATTATCATCTCACCAACCTCGTTCACGACAGGACCCAAAGAGAACCTCAACAACTGACACACTTCACCAAGATTAGACAGACTGCTGGCCCGCACCAAGGGCTCAGGATCTTTGACACCTGTCAACAAGGCTGGCAAGAGATGCTGGGAATATCTGGGCACCAGTTCACCGCAGATTCTTGTGGCTTTTACCAATGCTTCTCCGATTTTCATTCTTAATTCAGGAGACCTGGTAGATCGGTTTGCTCCACATGAAACTGAAAAGCAAATAAATAAACATAGAAAAACGAATTTTTCATAATATTTTTCACAATATCATCAAGATGAGTGAGGAGAATAAAGAAAAATATCAATTTGGGGATAATTAGTTGATCCAATACTACATTCTCTGAACTAATTAACAAATAGATTCCAAGTTGCCGTGCGTCTGTTCAGTAATAGATCACAGATGACGTCAAAATCTGGTAAGAACAAAAAAGTGGCACACGAGGCGTAGCCGAGTGTGTCACTGATGTTCGGGACTGATAAATATTCCTTAAATTCGGAAGCGTTACGGTTAGTATTAGAGAAATACATGTTAAGGCATTATGCACGACCCGTGATTTGTGGAGAGTGTGTGTATGTGCTATGTGATAGGAAACGTGTAAAATGCAATCAAATCCCAACCACTCAGAAACCATTAGTATTTGACGTGATGATACCACTTTCAAGGACACCCCCGACTCCCTATAAAATAAATGCCCAGGAAAGTTTCATACAACTTTGCTCACTCTCTCGTTGACTGGCACGCGCGTCAATGTGGTATCAAAAATTCGTTAAGAACAACGAGTTCATGCTCTAACATGTGATAATCGAGATATCAAACACAACTTAGCTATGTCACCTGGTTTATAGTACCCCTTGTCATTCGCCTCCTTTGTAGAGCCAGCGGTAATCCCTGCGTCTTTCCTACAAGCAACAAACTCGCGAGCGAGTTGTGGCATGACCGTATCTGCCCTGACATCAGCCAAAGAGACAAGCCCCTGAATGGCAGCCAGGTAAATGTAAGAGTCGTCGTAAGATAATTGTTCCAAGAAGATCTTTAGTAACGTGTCTGTAGCCTGAACAGCTTTGGGGTTCCTTTGGCGTAGGAGGGAGGCTAATTGCAACAGACTATGACCGCGGACGGGAATCAAAGGATCACAGACCTGAGAGAAGGCTTCGTCGAATTTGTCTTTTTCTTCAGTGTTTGCGTTTTCTAAAGGAAATGAGATGAAAAACACATGCAATGAAAAAGAGAACAAGTATACCATTGAAGGCATGGCCCACTAACGGAGGGGAGGGGGGGGGAGAGTAGACTCTTGGAGGTGGGTGCCTCCTCCCCTGTCTATGGAGAAAGTGATGATTCATAGTAATAAAAAGTCCAGCCTGTCCCTTGATCCATGTAAGGCGCTAGTGAAGTGCTCTTCTCTCACTCGTGAAACCTCAATCCCTCATTTACTCTTTCGAGAGTGACAAAATGCTTCGGCCTTCCACAGCTTTCTGTAGGAATCGTGTCACATAAAGTACAAAACGTTTGCTGCTTTAATGAATGTCCCAGATTGAAAAAGCTAAGAAGTTGAATCAATTTCGGACCACGAGTGGCACATACCTTTGACGGCTGTAGATTCAGAATTTATCCTAACTGCATCGGTTTGCTTCCCAAAATTCATCGTATGTATGTATGTATGTATCGCTGCAGCCTCCATTTTGTGGCTCCACACAGCTCCGTGTGTCGCTATGGCAATGCGCAGATCACTCGCCATATCTCGAACCTCTACCGAAGAGTGTTGCTCAGCAAGTGTTTCAAGTAAGGGCAAAAGATTTTGAACAAGGGGACGATGTTCCTTTTTCATCTGAAATAAATTCAATGCATGACTATCACTTGCTCTATTATCTGAAACAGCCGCTTGAAAATTGCCCGTTTGAGTATAAACCAGATCAAATCTCAAATTCTACACCTCACCTCCAGTCCTCCTCCTTCTCCACTCAGCACTGCCGACAACATCCCAAGGGCCATGGTTAGAGTCTCAGTGACAAATGCCAGTCCCAGTCCCTGCTCATCTGCATGGATGATGGCACAGGCGCGTATCAGTGTTGACTCTATGAAGGCCAACATCTGGGGAGTGTCTGTCAGAATGGAAGGTCCAAGCTTTTCGCACATAAGCGCAACAAGATGAAGGATCAAAAGATTGTGTTGTACATCTGAACAAAGAAAAAAAAAAACAGTTAACTGTAAGTAAAAATAAAATGTTTCATATTCAAGGACTTTAATTTGTGACCTAAATTATTAAAAGTGATTACACAGACTCAATAAAAAATTTTTAAAAAATGCATGAAAACAGAGATCCCAAAAAATAGTTGACACAATAGGTACTTTACCTTTGTACTCAATCTCTTCCAAGAAGTCTGATATGATTTTTGTTAACTCCTGCATCAAGTAAATAAAGAAGTCTCCAGCAATAGCATCCTTATTTAGACCCCTCAGAAGTTCCACAATGCATTGGGCTTGGACTTCACTGCCACTCAAGTCATTTCCTTGTAAATCTCTCAAGATACTCTCTGCATTGAACTGCTCATCAGCACTTTGATATCTGATTAAAGCTCCACCTTCATCTCCATATGCAAACACAAAATTCTCATCCATAAGAGGAATGAAAATTACTTCTTTTTCATCTTTTTTGGCTCCATTGCTGTGTGCAGAAGATTTTGATAATGACAAATTATCTGAAGGATTCATCTTGAAAGCCAGGGTATACAGAAGTTGGAGTACTTGACATGGCTCAGCTTGCTTTAGTACATGAACAAGAATTTCTTGGAGAACAGACCTAAAAATTAACAAAACAATAATGAAATCAATCGTGTCGCAATACCAGCATAACCTAATGTGAGCAATGTAATATAATGATAGAGATCCACTATTGTTTCCTAAGGTCACTTGTGAAATATTACAGTTCTTACTTCCTAAGGCCATAATTTCTACAAATTGCCACCATTTTCAGCCAACATAAATGCTCACCTTAAATGAGACACTCCCTTTCTAGTGAAACAGAAGAGCTCAAATACTGGATGAACAATTGGCAACAAAACTTTTATGGCACTTTTGGGTGACCCAGAAACAAATACCTACAAAAAAAAATTATTGATTAGAAACATGTAAGTCCTAACCTCACAGCAGAGCTGTAACTTCTCAACAGCCACTGTTAAGTAATGTGACCACTTTTTCCTTTTGCCCATATAGCACACTACCTCATTCGTTCTGAACAGGCAACTGTTTCTTTAGGTCTTGATTCCTCCTTGATTCCAGACCCAAAATTGGTCTATGTCTGAGGTTCTACCATTTTTTTACATTTAATTCATAATATTCAGTCCACATATGCCAGATGTGGCTCTATGAGGTCAATATGCTGCAGTCAGTGACAATTTTGTCTTTTCAGAGTTTGAAAATCTCAGTGACACACTCCATTCACTTAAAATTTTTATAATTGCCTCTCCCCCAAATCAATGCAAGAAATCAAATTTAACATTCTTCAGCAGACATCAGAAGCCATCAGTTGTCTAAAGTTTAACTTTGCCTTAACAACATATGGCTTTATTAGAAAAGCTGTTTGTTACTTTTAATGCACTAAATTGTAACAAACTGGATAAATCAGACAAAAACTATCAAAAAGACACCTCAATGTACCTTGTGAATGTCTTCAACACATTGCCCCACTTTTTTTTCATCAACAACAGTGGTTCCTGCTCTCCCTCCTAAAAATGATTATTAAGAATTTGTTAGTTTTACAATTCTGAAAGCCACTAGTCTCTAGGCCAACTTTACCCTTTTAAATATTATTGTTGCTTCATTCCTTTATATAAGAGGAGAGGGTTACTGGTTATGAACTTTCTACCCCATTTTTGTTACACTTCATTTTAAATTACTGGTTCCTATAATGGAACATTGCTACTTCCCTGGTTTAACATGCTTATTTGTCACTGTTCCCCATTCCCTTCCCCTCCCCTCTACCCCCAGCATGCTGCCTTAGTATCAGCTTTCCCTAGAAGTTCAGCAGCACCCAGGTTTACCCCTGGTTAGAGAAAAGCACTTTTCCAGTTTCAGTGTTAGTTTTGTCTCTTTGTAATAGATACCCAAGAACCCAACTAAAGGACCTGAGCAAGGCATTCCCCCAGACCTTTCATTCCAGAAAAGAATTTCCAGCATACTAATCATTCGCTTGCTATGCACCTTGAAAAGAGGAATGATGGAGGGTGATGACTTCTCTAACGATGCCTGAGAAGGAGGTCTGTAAAGCCCGAGATGCAGTCAAAAGCAGGGACAACAGATCCTGATAAGTTTTGAAAATTCACAGTGCATGGCACAAGGTGCAACCCAATGTGGCAAAAGCAGAACATAACTGACCATGAGAAGACACATAAATAAAGGGGGCATACTCTACATGGGAGAGTGTAACAGGGTAAATTAGAATTCTCAACTGAGTTGATAACATAAATTGGCCACTTTAAAGAGTTTCGCAGCTGATCTTTCGGGCATCAGCCTTTTGTCCAAGCAAAGAACACACAGTTGAGCACCTTATTCAATCAGAGCCACCCCACCATAACAGTGGAAATCCCTTCAGTTGCATAGGAACACATTTCATAACTACCTTGCCTTTCAGTGGTTTGGGCCAAAGGTCTAATGATAGGAGAGAGGACATATTTCTGAGCAAGCTCTGGATACTGAATTAACATCTCCATTATAACACTTGATGCTGTCCTTATATAAAGCCTTCCAACACCACCACTCTGCCCATGTAACAACTGGATTACCTGTTCCAAAGGTAAAACAGTCAAAGATTCACGTGGTTAATTCTATAAAAAATCAATCTAGGATTGTAATCAAAACCTTATTCTGGAGATAAAAGAGATAAAAAACCAATGATTTTATAATTTCCCATTAAATATATCATCCAGGTTTCACCGCCCAAAAAAATCCCACCTCTAGTCCTATCTCTTCCCATATCTCCCAAGCACCCCCTAATAAAAACAACAACAAAACAAATATGCAACGATAAAATCCCACACTTGTAAATTTTAAACCTCGAAATACCCCCTAAACATCATGTCACTTAAGGCCTGACCAAACTTACACAACATCTTGCAACATCGTTGGATCATGTTGTGAGATTTTACAAAAGAGCTAGCAAAATGAATGCATTTTGCAACATTTTGCAACAACCAAAAATGTTGCAAAAAAAATTTGACCATTTTCAAACTTGATTCAACACCATATCACATCTTGCAATATGTTGCTACAGTGTAGCCAAACACATTGCAAACAATCTATTGTTTCCCCACTGGTGGGTCCCCTAATTTTGCAACCTTTCCTTATATCTTTCAATTTTAACATATAAGGAGATTTTTATCCTTGATCAGTCTGGGTATATAAAAAGGTTAACCAAGTTTGTCTATGATTCAACCAGAAAGTAATGCTGAAAGTATGCTTGCGGAAAGTAGATTATTAACACCCCACTCACCTGTGGAGAAACTAACTTATAATACTCTTCCACAGATTCTGCCTGACTAGGACAGTTTGCTATTAATTTGGCAATGACATCACATTTCTTCCAGTCAGGAGAGCCAGCCCCACCTGAAATACCACAAGATATGCCAAGTAACTTGACTACATTCTGAATAAAGTATAAACTATAATTGTATAATAATTAGTAGAGAAATGAAAAGAGGAAATTCAACAGTAATGAATTTCTGTAACTACAGGCTATTTGCACTTTTCTGATTAGATCTTCAAGCAGATCATAATGAGTTTTTCAAAGGAAAAACTGGTGAGGTGGGATGTAAGGAGTTGTGTCAGCTCAATTGGTATCACAAGAGGCTGCTGTACCTGCTGATCTTTCAAGAAGGGCATGCAACACAGCTTTCACTCCATTTTGCTTCATGAGCCTTTCAGAAAGAAGTTGGCCACAGATATTTCTCATCCACCTTGGAGTCTGCTGCAGTGTTCCTCCATGATTCACTCTTTGATGACCAGATGCTTCCCTGGAACTAACTTTCCCAGGTTGTTTCCTACCATTTGACAATCCCCCCTGGAGCATCAGGAGATCTCTGACAACCATCGGCTGGTAAACACGATCTAGAATTCTTTGAAGATCCTGACTACATTTTTCCCTTTCAGACGAGGTAATGAATAACTGTTCATCATTTTTTTCTTTCCTGTTTGGGGGATTTTTTTCTAGTGCATAGAGAGTACCTGGATCTAGTTTATTAGAAGAGGTGCTTTTCACTGAAGGTTCAGCACTTGATTCAGTTTTTGTTGTGCTATGGAGATTTTCAGTGGTTGAATTGGGATCCCCACAAGACTCATCATGTAATATTTTAGAAGTATTAGAATCAGAGATATCACTTTTCCTCTCTGTAGAAGCAATTGAGCCTTTATTGTTATTGGAGTAAGCGGAAACTGGCGCATAACATAGCTGCAAAAGCCCAGCCAATACATCTCCTAAATGTCTTGACAAAATCAATGCACCCAATGAGGGCTGTTCTATGCAGTCAACAAGTGTATTAATACATTCAAACAAGCGCCTTTCATTATTGATGCTACAACGAATGTTCAGTAATGAGGCAAATCCAGATCGCTTCTCAACAGGCACACCCACACCAGATAACAGATTTGGACAAATTCCCAACATGACCACAAATTGAATAGCTGTCAATACTGTCTTTTGATCAGTAACGCCGAGAGTATCTGGGGGCAACTGTGGTACTTCATTATCCCGTTTTCTACTATTCTGATTATCTTCCTTGCCGCTACCTTGCCCATCGATTGCAACGCCGATCAAAGCTTCTTTCAACAGTTTTACAAGTTCTAAACATGCTTCCACGAAAATCCACCGAATAAAATCTTTGAATTCCTTTTCTCGACTCTCTTTATCTGCATGAAGTTTCTCAACAGCATCTTTATTTCCATCGAATGTGTGATCAGATTTTTCCAGTTCTCTCACGTGCGCAATTGTTTGAATTTGTAATCGGCGCTCTATCTCTGGAAATGTCCCTTTCTCGCAGAGATTTTCCCTTAAACGCTGCATATTAAAAATAAGAAGCTCGTCAAAGTCTTTCTTCTTTTCTGCTGGTGGAGTGTTGGGTGAATTCGAGGTTAAAGTTCGTAGATACGAAAGGGCTTCCGCTACTGTCGCCATTTTGAAAGTTTCAGTTGGTCTGTCGTGTAAGCCCATTCATAGAATAGTGGCAGGCTTGTCACACAACACTATTGTTAGCTAAAGCGTTGCGTTACAAGCTTCAAACAGCTATTCTAGAAATTGTGTGACAGCGGTATAATACTCTTCTTTTCAGTGACAAAGTCTTGACTTCTGTAAAAGGAGTGGTGCTTCTTTTATATATGGGAACAAAGGAGAAAAATTTTGAAGTAATTTTGGAACAACATTCTCCAAAACCTTGAGCAGGTCTTCAGTCATAATTGCATAGAGGAAGATGAAATGGTCACCGATGCCTTAAGTTAACGTGATGGGCAATATTTTAACAAAATTTCACTCCTAAAACAGGGGTGAAGTTCCTGGGAAAGCTCTTCCTTCCCTCTGTGTACAGCAGCATCTTACTGACAATGTTACTGAGATGATTAGTTGTTTTGTTGTAATAATGCCCAAACAGACACAAAAATGATCTAAAATAAAATTGGTTTAATTCCTCTTTCAACTCAACTTAAGTTCAACCCTCAATCTGTCAAAACAGTGTCCAGTATGGTGCACTTGGTCTGAGAGTTAAAAGATTTTCAATTACTTTTAAGCACTGATATTTAATTTTTCCAGACAGTTGGCCAGGAATACATACTCTGGGTTAAAAAGGTTTGTTCACTAACAACAGAAGAGAATGCAGACCTCAATCCAAGCTGGCACACCGGGGGAGGCTATTATCATTAATTTGGCTACCAGGCCCCTTCATGCCACTCATGTCACCTCATTATACCACCTCAGAACTACCATTTAGGTCTCTTCAAGAAAAATTTATCCTTTAACTCCCAGAAATGATTAACTGGTAGATGTAGGATATAGGACTTAGAATTTCTCAATTCCACTAGAGGTATTTTTGGCTAGTTTTCTCAACAGGGGTTTAATTTCTGAACTACTCATATAAAGGCTAAATTCAATACATTATTCTAGGTGAAAACTGTGTAAGGGTGGAAAACAGAGCAATCAAATTTGTCAATGAAAATTATTAACTATAAAACAACCGAAAACACCTCAGAAAATATCAGAAGTGGTATTTCTTGAATGTCTGAGGAAATAAACTTCAATTTCTGTCGAAACTTACATAGATAACTGACGTAGAATTGACAAACCCTAGGCACCACCTCAATTTTCTTACTCCTAACTTTCTGTTTATCTGTTCCATAATTAAAATACAGAAAAGTATGTACATTTTTTACAAAAAAAAACCATAGCCATTTAACCTGTCATCTTTACAAAGCTGTTGCATTATTAAATTAATAAAAATTTATTGACTTACTTACAAGGCTAAATCTCTTTAAACAAATAAATAATGTTTATTTGAAATACATAAAAATATCATTATATTAAAATGCTCCTGGTTATTGGACAGCCATTGTGTTATACAGCAGTGGATATTTCTGCAAGCCTCTCTTGAAGCTTCTGCTTGTAAAGCTTGTAACTAAAAACATTAGATAAATCAACGGATTAATATATAAAACCTAACAATGCTTCGTCTTTTGCTCCTTACATTATATCGTCACAAGATTTAGAACCACAATCAGATTATCACTTTTGCAAAGCAACCAAACTAATTACTTGCCATTTCAACTTGTTCTGATACAAATTTTCCCAGCAGTAGCATATAAATGAACCAGGAAAAACTTGTACTGACATTTATGTCACTACATATAAAAAATAAATGATTGAACCATAGTATATGGTTTGAAACCGGGGCTAACATGTGATAGTGTATTCTGATTGTCCAAATGAGTGTGGTCCTGGTCATTATCCAAAGTGGTGATTGATGTTCTCTAAAGCTTAGCTGAAGTTGTAGAAACATCAGCCTCCACAAGCAACAACAGTCATTATCAGGACTACTCTCACCTGGACAATCAGACAACAAGATCAAATGAGATAAAGTACGTACCACTCTTTCACTCTCTCAACTTCTCTTTCCTCTTCTTCCTGATATTTTTCCAGGAAGGCTTGTAACACAGGCATGGCAAAATGAATGTATTGTGCAACCTAACACAAACAAAAGCAAGCTACAGTAGGGTACAGTCTAAGAGAACAAGAGGCACAAAACTGCTGTAACTAATCTTAGGTTTCTGTTCCAGGAAGCATCTTCTCCCCACTTTAGTACAAAGCAGATTACCATCTCCTCCCCCACCATTTTTTCATGTTTTGCTCGAGGTTCACTGTACTCATTTATACTCTTGGGAATTGATGGACTTTATGAAAAAGTTAAGCTTTTGTCTTAAAAGAGGATTGCATTTAACCAGAAAGACACCTATCTAATAAAAATTTTAATAATAGCAGTAAATTTATTACAAGAAATTGTGTAACAGCTGAAAAATAAAATTACTCAATCAGATCTGAAAGTGGAAGATTAAAATGATGTGACTAATCATACAAAAAAGATCTCTATTCTTGAAAAATTTTAAAAAGCAAATTAAAAGGAAAGAATAATTCTTTGATGAACTAACCTCATGAGATATATTATTAGTATCATCAGCCTCCATAACAAATATCTTAGCTGCCTCCTAAAAAATCACAAATTGAAGCATTAATTACTAATTGATAAAAATGTAAAGTTTCAATTCAAGATTGTTTTGATTTGTCTTCCAGGCTATACTTTACCTCACTGGGCCCCAACAAAAGGCGGCAGTATAGAGGGAATTCTTCCTTTTGAAGTTGTCTAATTGCTGTTAAAAAAAAGGATAAACCTAAATGTAAGAGGCGTGGATTTCACACCCAAATTCATCAGATTATTGTGGTGAATTATCATGTCACATGCAAAACAAATGACTGAAATCTGAGCAAGTTGAAAAATGCGGGCATCCCACAGATCTTTGTGAGACAAACTGACTTGATGAAGTAAAGAATGATACAAATAATAGAGTACTTACACCCATTGTCATATACAGCATAGAGATTAAATTTCTGAGGTGCATCAGTGATCTAATAAAGAGACAAAGGGACAAATATTTTAGATTTATAGTGAGGTGGGTGCAGCATTTGGTCATATTTTAAGGCAATGATAGACTTCCCATTGTCTGACTTCCCCAAATAAGAAATTTTTTGAAATAGCAGTGGCTCACCACAAAAGCATAACTCCTAAACAGTAGGCAAAATTTGAAAAACAAATGAAAAAGACTTCCTTCAAAATCCTTGGCTAGTGAGTGCTGTTTTACAGTGTGTTCCAAGACTTGATTGAATACTTCAAAAATCAGCAGCTTTGTTCATCAATAGTTCCTAACTACTCCAATATTTTCTTTCACCCAGAACATTTCAGATACAATTATCATTTGACTTATCATCAAAGGACTGTGGGTATATGAAGCTTCTTACTATGGTAATATCTGACAAGAGTTGTTCAAAGTTTGAAAAAAGAAAACCTGTGATACAGAATGAAGAAATCCAATTTCAACTTTTTCAGACCAAAGAGCATTTTTTTTAAGAGATATTTGATTTTTGGGATCAAGGATCAGAAAGTCAAAATGGAAGAAATCACCACTGAGAGCTAATCACACCAAAGGTTAACATGACCAGGAGAAAATGAGCAAGGAGTCCCAGGTAAAGTTTCAACCACACCCAATTTTGCATCTGATTGGCCGACAGGATAGACAGGAGTTTTCTCAACCAATCACAGAGTGCAATGAAGAAAAAGAAAAGTCATCTAAGATAACTTGTGACATCCTTCTGAAAATTGTTCCTCAATTACATCACTCAAAAAAAATTGCACGTTTATATCATAAGAATTATCAGTAAATGCTTTCAAACCTGGAATTTAGTCATCAGCATTTTAATAACTTCTCTTGTTTTGGTTCTGCTTGTCACACGCAAATTTGTTGAAGTCCCATAAGGAGGAATAAATGTTGTGTGACCTTCTGGGGACTGTTGATGACAAAAAACAACCACTGCTTAAAATTCACTCACTCAAATGTGTGTGGCTCAGCAAAATACTATTGCTGTCATTTTCATGATATAAGTTACATATCTTGTCTTCCACAGTTACATATTTGTTAATGAACAAACATTGCTATTGTAAAGAAAGATGTAATTAGCCATGTCAAGAGATTGCAAGTTCATATACTTTGAAGAAATGATTGTTTCTCTTAAGACAGCATGATCCTTTGCTGATGCACAAAACACTTTCAGAAGTTGAGTACTTTCTCTTGCCTTTGCTACAGTTCACCAACACTTTCACAGGCACTAACAGTTACAGGTCCAAGAGTATCAATTAAAACAAAACCAGTGACCTGTAAAGAATTTAGATAAAACTGAAGTTATCTTACATGGAAAGATAATGCTCTCACCTGAACTGTGAAATCAAGAATAGTTTTCTGATCTCCTGCATCTGGAATATTTTTGTTATTAATGGACCGGCGCCTGGCTAGAATCTTCTCTAAACTACTTGTCCTTGGTCTCTGTAGATATTCAGTTAAAGGCAAAATAAAAAAAAATAGTTACCTTTATAATAAATGTAAGTTCAACCTCTTGTCCAGCATAGCAGCTGGAACCTATCCCATGTAGCATGAGTGACTAGGAGTGCTGCTATCAAGGACAAATTTATATGTGGACCTAGCACTAATGCCACACCATTTTTCAATTTCTTTGAAATCAACTCTGATAAATCAGAGTGGAATTTCTCTTTATCAATCTAATACATTGTCAGGCAGACAGGCAATGAGAAATTTAATCATTATAAACTGAGGAAAGAATAGTACACCTGATGCTTGACAAGAACTCAAGCAAGAAATCTAGTCAAAAAAATAATCCGTAAAATGTTGGGAAATCATGTGATAATGCAATTAAAATAAAGATAAACTGGACTTTACAAAGCTTCCTTCTTTTTCAAGCAAACCCACTTACAATTCCATCTTTAACTCTGTTAACAGCCGATCCTCTGTAACCATTCTGTTCTTTCTGTGAGCGTCTCCTCCAATATGACAAGTTGTGACTTGCAAGTGTAACAGGCACCTTCAAACCCCAGTAAATCTTGAGAACCCCCTCGAGTATGAGTCTGCCACTGAGCTAAGTGAGAAAAGGCAAAATATGTATTAAAAAAATGACATGCACATCTGCAAGAGTCTATCACAGCTTCTGTGGCATGGTGCAACAAAAAGTATTGATTTTCAAAGTGGTTGGGATGCCAGACCAACACAGATTGTCCACCTGCACTTTGTTAGGTCCTCCTGCATTGTGCTAATACTCATTTATTTTCTTGGCTGGAGAGTAATATTGTGACATTCAAGTGTTTTGCCTGAGAACACAGTGCATTGTGATAGAATTCTTTCCTTAGTTGTGACTCAATTTTAGTAATTTAGAGATTTTTGGAAAAATTTCTATAATAATAATCAGAGAACACAATTTGTTCCTTTATAATCTTTGAGATAAAAATCACCCTTTCAGAGTTTCGTTTATTTCTATTATATTAACTCAACCCTTTCTCTCCTGAAAGCTCATTAGTAATTCTCTTTACTGTCTGCTATACAATTCTTTGGTTGATAATTAAGAGAATTTGGTATTAGATCAGCTGATAACCTTCTGGTTGATATTTTTCTTTATTCTCACCATTTGTCTGTTTGATATGGTATTGATATTGTATGGAGAAATTCTTTCTTAGTCACTTGTGCAAGTTGAAGGGTTACACAGTAAGTTCCATGACTTTATTAGTCTTGCTACAGAATGATCATTAATTTTACCTCTTTGCTTGTTAACTGTAGAGCTTTACGTGACTCAAAAAATGTATTATACTCCTTCAGCTTTGGAATAATTTCATTCCTAAAAACAAATTACATAGTAAATAAATAGAACAACAGGAAAACCCATGCAAATAGTTAAAAATGTATTATACTCCTTCAGCTTTGGAATAATTTCATTCCTAAAAACAAATTACATAGTAAATAAATAGAACAACAAGAAAACCCATGCAAAAAGTTAAAAATAATCAAAACTCTTGGCTGGACATTGTCTGAAGGACATGAAACTATAAAATCATAAATAAAAGTTATGTATACCTAATGGCATCCAATTCAGCTGGTGTAAGCTTATCATCTGCTAAATATTGATATGATTCTGTTCCTCCTCGGCCATATCCACCTGGGCCAAATAACAAACTGTAGCATGGAATATTACAATAGGGAATTCCTCTGTGCTGCAAAGGCATAAAATATCAGAATCAAATATAATATATGAAAAAGTGATGTTATCATTTGATTGTCCAAATTAAGTAAAGTTAAATTAAGTGAACAAATCTGTTGTGAAGAATAATGTTTTGGTCTCGTGATGCAGTCATTTTCAAATAGAGATGATACATCCAGTTGACCTTCTAGCTCAAAGGGGACCAGTAGTATGTAGTGAAAATGCTACAACCACTAATACTTTGAGTTACCAAACTTTTAATTAGCTTGGAAACTTGCACATGAATAACAATCAATAATCTCTTCATTAACACTCATGGAAGTCTTCGCCGATCATATCATGAAAATAAGAATTTAAATAATAATACATGAAGCTGACAGTCATATGCTTATGAAAAAAGTCCCCAAGAATTTAACCCTTTAACTCCCAGATCAAATTTGTAATTCTCCTTTCTGTCAACCATACAATTCTTGTCATGTTAGTTCAGAGAATTTAGTATTGAATCAACTAATTATCCCCAAATTGATATTTTTCTTAATTCTCATCACTTATCTGGTTGATATTGTATTAATATTGTAAGGAGAAATTCTGTCTTGGTCACTCATGGGAGTTAAAGGGTTAAGGGCTACAAATGATATGACTGTACCCAAAGATATCTAATTCCTGTCAGTAAATATTTCCAAAGTCCACTCACAATATTGGCATATACAATGTGCTGCACTTCACTTAGTAGTTAAAAATTCTTCCTCAACATGATTGATAAGAACAATTTAACTTCAACACAAATTACCTTGCTGCAGAATTATGTTTTGAGTATTCCTAGCTATGATACCTATTGATCTTGTATTTGTAATTTTAACACTTTCACAAATGATAGATACTTTTCTCATAAACTGTAAAATAAATATTCTAGTACAAAATAAACTGAGAAAAAAATGATAAAATACGACTGTCAGAGGTTAGGTAAACCATCTATTACAAAAATAATGCTGTAACTTCTATTTATAGGAAAAATACTTTAATTCGTAATATTTGAAATTAAAAATATTTTTTCTAAAGAAACCATTGAGAATTGACTGATTTAACTCTTCAAAACTGTTAGCTTTTCTCTTAAAATTCAAATCATAAACAAAATGACTTCGGACAGCAGCCAAATATAAGTACTATGAATAGACAGGTACAAGTACTATGAATAGGCAGGACTTCACATGTGTGTCGTATGAATATTTCTTTCCGCTAAATGTGAAATCATTCTGACTTTTTCTTGTCACAAATTTCCGCTAAATTTAGTTATTTTATGCCAGAAACAAAGAGTGGCCATATTCAATTTACCTATATGAGAGATCGAGTCCGAATGTTTGGATCTCTGATAACAAAGACCTCTGTCAATGGAGGTATGATGTTATATCGTGCTGTTTTAACTTGTAACATTTAACCACAACGATGATGGCATATTTATCAACAAAACCAGAAATTCACATCATAAAAGACACAGAAAAAGACAGAGAAAGGCTTATTTACCACCCAGTTTGACAACAGACGAGGAACCCTTCGTTGAATCATCAAAAATGCGTCTGCTTCCATAGTTGATCGAGAACAATGCAAGTAAAGAAACACCAACCTGCATTGCATCATTACAGGAAATGGAAAAATAGGAACTGGAATCTTGGAATGGACCAAGGAAAAAATTGTGGACTCATTTTAAGCATGATGATTACAAATTTCTTTTTTGGTAGAAGCAGAGGGGAAATGGTTGTTTCCCTGCAAAAAGGAAGCTTCTGCGAAAATTTTTCTCAAATTTGACCAACAAACATTCATTTTATAAGAAACAAACTTGACCCTTTCTTCTTGATACAAAAACATAGTATGTACATGCTGTAATTACCTAAAATATTACAGTAATAATATTTATGATTACTTGCCCAAATCAGAAAAAGGAAAAAATGTGATTGGTTAACAACATATACCCAACTATTATGTCACAGCTCTTTCATCAAATTTTTCTGGCCAAGAGAAAGCTAACATCTAGAAAAGCCTACATAGGCCACATTGCAAACAACTATCGTTAAACCAAAAATTATAACCAACATAATGACAGTGGCCATTCAAAAATGAAAGAAAATATCACAAGAAAGCAATATAGATTTCAGAAGAATACAGGTATAATGTCTCATGTACAGGAAGAAGAAAGTGTCGGGTTTAAGTTTTGTATCCGATAAGTCACAAATGGCAGATGATTATTGAGTAGACCAATCTGATCAAAATGTTCAAGCAAAGTGAAACAAAATTAAAGAGATCTCCAATAACTTTCAAATCTTGACTGAAAATAAGTTGAAACATTTAGTGAGGCCAGTTCAACTCAGACAGCAGTTTTACAACAATAGACTAGCAGATTTGTCTATAAGAAAAAGGTTAGAAAAAGCTTTTATGAAAATTATTGAAGATGGCTCGGAATTCAGTTTTGCTAAACAAAAGGCTAAAACTTGTGGGAATAACTGGCCCAATGTTTTTGAACTCTGAAATACCCTGACCAAAATTTGTTGCTTGTGAAAATCTTCAGTGTGATCTCAAAAATGATGTTGCAAAGATGAATTTACAACAAATTCACAATCATATCTTTGACATAAAATCACTAGCAACTGGCTAGAAATAGACCAGGCGGTTATTCATAGAAAGCACCCAAAGGAAAAAAATTAGCGTCTAGAACACCCACTCGAAGTAACATTACAAATATTTGACCTACAACGAGTTGCTGTGGTCAAGAATGTTTTGGCTGTTATTTACCTTCCTTAAACTAAATTAAGACCAAAAAGCTAATTTTTTTATTTGTAAAATAAACAGCTAAGCCCTGGACTTTGACAGGTTGAAATTTTATCATTGTCGGACATAAACTTCCATATGAATGTCAAAAATATTTTGAATAAAAAATAAGTTTATTTTACAAAGTTAATCGCACTAATAATTAAACAAACAGGCAAGTTGCTTATCCTTCCTTTTATCTGAGAGCTGGGTTTTATTTATCGTAATGCACTGATCTACGGCCCATCGCACCCAGTTCAAAAAAAAATAATCGCGTGATACACCTTTAACACGCACTTTAATAAACTAAGCGAACATTACTATATTAACAATATTTATAGTATTTTTCTCGTACAGAGGTTTTCAAAAAGCGTGAAAAGAACCCACCAGACAACATACTCCAGGAGCTTATACAGCCGTCATACATAAACTTCATGAAATATTATCGTGAAATTTTGCACCCGGACGCAAAGGTTTTAAACGTTGGGCTTAATATTCTTCAGAAAAATTTTCGTTCGAGTTAATGTTTATGTATTATAAGTGCATACGCGATTTAGAAAAAGTATTTCGTTTCTTGAATTTGATTACAGAATACTACAAAATATAACTCTTTTATTGCCTCTTCCACTGGAAAAAATGTATATCGACCAGAAGAACTGACAAATAATGCGTTATTTAATTGAGCAAACCACTCAGTGAAATCAAGTTAATGCAGTACTATACCTCTGAATGTTGGCCAGGGTTTAATCGTTTACTGCATTCTTCGCATCGCAAACAGCCAGGATGCCAGACTTTTCCCAGAGAGTTCCTCTGTTCCGCTGCAAAATATCACACAAATACATCACAAGGAAAAATTTTCCCAAACGAAGACCGCCGTGTCAAGGTAATTTGTCATCGGTCCCCGTTCCGGCAATCGATTCCAGGCCGATCAAAATTGATCACGCTTTCTTGCTACATCGAAAGCATTACTTTTCAAACTACGTGCGGTATTTTGTTTTCAAACTACTAAACTTACCAAAATATACCAGTTTACCGCACTTGTGACATTCAGTCATCGCGTTTTGCCGCTAGATTTGACCTCTCGAGCCTCGACATACGATTATGAATTCTTCGTACTCGCGGGCAAGGTGCAAAGCTGCGAATGACGTCACGCTAAAAATAGACCAAAATAGCTGCTCTGTCTAGGGTGGAGTGGGGATTTGACTCAGTCACTACACACAGAAGGCCAGCAGAGCACAGGTTGACAAGACTCTAAGAAACTCAAAGCCACAAATCGTTTCCTGTAACCTATTTTTGGGCGACTTGTCTAGCACATTTTTTTAATCGCGCATTTGATCATATGCACATGTAAAATGCGCGTAACAAATAATAAATATTATTACACTATTACTATTAACACAGAATTTTGATGCAGAGTCAAAGAATTTCATATAAATTTTCCGTGTCAAACTATCTAAATATAACTTTCGCTATGAGCTCTTGGTCATGTCGTAAGAATTCGTCTCCTCGAGTGTATTGTAAACAATTTTTTTCAATCTTTTCTAAATGGAAAAATCCTAGCGAGTGCGAGATAACGGTGTAAATACAACAATTTTTTTTTTATAGAAAACGAACAAAAGAAAAATAATGGGAAACAAGGAGAGGATGAGGAAAAAAGGAAAAACGAGTGGAACATCAGAAACAGAATGGTTGAGAAATTTACCAGGGTTTACATAAATGCCGAACATTTTTTGTTGCCGTAATCCTTTGCTATCAACAAAATAAACAAAACCTTTAGAAAAATCTCTTTAACCTAAAATTCTTCCCTGCATGATAATAAGCGCAGAGCGTTATGTCACCCGCGGTACGTTTCTGAAAAAACTCTGAAAAACACTGCTCTTGCTAAGTGTCTTCTTTTTCAAGGGCCGAAAGAAACCTATTCAAGATAACAGTTTGATCTCTCCCCCTCCCTAGGAAAAAAGTAGGCCCAGCCAGAAAGAGGCGGGCCAAAATGAAAGAAGAGGAGGAAGAGAAAATACAGACTTCAGAGCGAGTGGTTGGTTTTAGATTTTAATTTCTTCCAGTTTAAAACTGCACCATGCACTCTCAATCACCCTTCTTCATTCACGTCCATAGATGCAGTAAAACTTTGAGGCAGCTTAAAGATTAATGACGCTTATGACCGAAGCTTATCCTCATTGGCACGAAGCGACTCGGAACATTGGTTCCCCACCTAGAGAGGATTACAATCCATCCCAGCTTACCCCTGCCACACTCGCTGCCTTTGTTAAGATTCCATTGAGAGAGCTGTAGTATCCATTTTTATTATCCAACTGAATAGAGTACAAATATCCTGCGATATTGTACGGTTATTTGGACAGTTGGTTATTTAGTACTGTAAAAAAACCTGTATAACCAGTCTAATAAGATATTTATGCTCCCGGGTAGAGAGAGGCAGTGTGTTTATCAAGACAAAATAACGTCCCTTTTTTATTCTTGGTCTTACTCAATGACCCGGCCAGGGCTCGAGCCGGGACCTCTCAATCAGGAGTACAGCGCAGTAACAAGAAACCCAACATGTATCGCATCAGTAGTGCGTTTTATCTAGACGAAGAAGAGCCTAGACTAAACCTGATTGCGAAGGCAACCTCTATCCCAGTCTTTTGCATAAAAAAATTGTTGAGGGTTAAGAAAGAGGGGACTGAGTATTGCGGAAGATATTTTGATTGGAAAAAAGCCATGAACCTGTCTGGTTTTTTCTAATGATGTTAAACAACTAATATATTTATGACCAACACAGTACCTGTGACTTAGATCCCTTAAACAGCCCGACGTAGAATATACTTTAATAGCATGATTCATTAAGGCAATATGTTATGTTTGCCTTCTTAATGCGATATAGCATTCCTGAACTGTTTCCGATATTTGTTACTCCTTCTAATCTTCCCTATAACTTATCTGAATAGCTTAACTGAAAGTTGACTATAAAAAATGACAAAAAATTATTAAAGCTGTCGATGGAGTGCGGAGCAATTAGCAAAGTTTACAGAATCGGTTTAGCTTAAAATGGGCGCTGAAGTCAAAGTTTTAAGGCAATAATTGTGCTAGTGCTTGTTAAAGCAATATCAAAAAATATCTTAATTGGTAGTCTATTTTGAGTCAAACGTCCTTGGATAAGTGCTTTAACAAATTGTAAACCCCGAAATCTTATATTTTCAAATTTGAAAACAAGTCACAAAAAGTTAATTAGATCTAGCGCCTTTCATAAATCTATGAATGTGAACAAAGCAGAGATAGGTATGAAGATAAACTGATAAAGATTAGAATATTGGCGTTAGGCTATCCTAGCTTCACAATGTGTAATAAAGAGACCGAACCGAGAGAGAATCCTTAAAGAACGTGATGTAAGTTGTAACAATGCAATATATGATTCTATAAACATGATATTAGCGTTATTTTTTCAGTACATACCTTTAGAGTTGAAAGATTTACTTCGTCCCACTCTGGGGGACCTCGGGCTTTTCACTTGCGACACTTTCTCAGAAAGTCGATGTACTTCTCGAGCAAGACGCGGGGAGTCCCTGGGGGTAGCGGATCTCCGTTCTCCCATTAAAGGGGAATTCGGAGCACTCCGAGACTTGAAATATCTCGCTTCAGGCGGAGGAACATAATCGTTACTTTTCGGTCCAGGTTTGCCACAATGTTCGTGGTAAACAGATGGCATTTTTCTGTTGAAGAAGAGAAAATTGAAATAGCCGGCCATCTTGAAGTAACCGCATGTAAATTTAAGATAAGTTGGATTAATGGGATACCTCTCTTTTTCGGAGAAAACTTTTACTTTAGGTACTGTCAGATGAGAAGTCCTCTTCATTCTGGCTCGTGTCAAATAGCGGAATAATACAAATGTTGGGAAAATGATTAAAGGACGTGTTTCCGTAGGTATTGCGTGACAGATATTGCGTTACCTCACATTAATATTAGCGTTACCTCACATTAATATTAGCGTTAGCTGGTTATGTTACCTGCACAAAAGAGGTATTTAACACCTTTTGCCATCTACCATTGGCACCAGATATGAGGTCAAATATAGCATTTATATAGGTTGTCAGGTCAAATCTGGTTCAAATTAAAAAAATAAATTGATCGAGAAATTGTTCATCTACGCGAATTACTTTTTTTAAACGTAAAATTCGAATTTATCAGTAAGGAAAGCACAACATCTGTTGAAAAGCAACAAATCTGGCTAATCAGGATTTAAAAATTTTATGTATTGCAATCTAACCCTGGCAGGTAAGGTAAAGAGGCAGAACGAATCTTCAACTGGTAGATGATTTTCAATTTGTTGTCATGGTAACAAAGAGAAGCCTAACATTGGTTCCACTTTTATAACACGCAGTACATGATAACGGGACGTCAAAATATATTTTAATCCTTTTTCGCCACGAGAAAAATCGCCTTCAGTTCCAAATTGTTCAAAACGCTTAAACCAATGACTTGGCTCCTCAAATATTTCTTCTGTTGCACCAATGGATTTTAAAAAAATTGCTCACTTAGCATGAACAAAGCGGTCAAATCTCGAGCATAAGTGAGCGAATCAATTTTGCCGGTCGCGCGCCAAAAAACATTATTGGAAAAAATCCGACGAAATTCATAATTTTGTTACCGTTCTGTAACGAGTTGGTTCCTCTGCCTCTGATTCCCTCGTGTAAATCTTTTTATGCGGCATCGCTCAACGACGGATTCTTAACAGTGCAGTCGGTAGAGCTGAGATTTTAGACCTTACGGGAGACTCAAAATTGTGTCAGAGTCATTCTGGTGGCGTTTTTTCTTTAATTGAAGACCGAGTTTAAAACAAAGATTGCCATATTTCTTTCCGTATCTCCGTGCAATGCGTCAACGGATTTCAGTTAAACACCTGTTGTACACGCAAACGGAGATAGTCGTAACAAGTGCTCTTGTGCATTTAGAGAAAACGAAAAGGATCAATCACTAATTGTACGAAAAAATTGCTGATCATGGGAGAAGTGATATTGCTGTGAGAGTACTATATAAATTCTGGTCAGAACAAGTGAAGTTTTGTAACGAAATAATAACACCTGTTGAAATGCTTTGGTGAGGGAAACGCCCGCAAATTATTCAAATGCATCATCTACATTCGCTTGGATGTTGATGCCCATGAAATAATCCTTCTAAATGTGCGCTGTGTAATATTTTGAAGAGCCTGCTATCTTATCAGCAGATTTTCATAATGTTTGTGCAGCTCGTTTCAATACACAACCGTCCGAAAATATCATAAAAAATTGAGCGAATAATAGTTTGTGAGACGGCAACCTTTCAACGGGTTTTTTTTTTTTTTGATAACAATAACCTTCGACGCCGTCAACGTTGTTCTCAAGCTGTATCGCATGTATTTTTTCCTTGTGTATTTTTTTTTGGATGCATAAATCTATCGCGAGAAAAACTGAATTTATTTTTTATTACGCAGAACTACAACAGCTAACCAAGACCAAACCAGTTTATATTTATATAAATTCAGATGGCCATTTTCCCATTTTAAGGAGCCGACTAAAACAAAAAAAAAATTCTGAGAAACTGCCATAACTACCACATGTACAGCCTTGAAAAATGCAGTAAAAGAAAAAGCTTAAAATAAACAGAGGGCAAAAGTTTTATCCTGATTAAAAAGAAAAATATTTTTGCTCAACACTACCGCTGTTTTTTTCAGTTTCTTTCAAAAATTAGTTATTTATGGTCTTGTATGTAGGAAGCAAAATCGTCGCGATCTTCTCCCGCAGCACGTCTCTGAATTTACATATATTGGCGTTGCTGACATTAAACCCATTTTCGATCTATTCAAAGGCTTCTCTTGGAATCTAGACCAAAGATAGAAGCACTCACGGCCATATAGCCCAGAAGTATTCCTGAATTGAGATTGTTTTAAAGTCTCTCTATAAAACCGCACAAAAATACGGTTGCACTTTAATATAATATCGATAGTTTAAAATAGAAAGAAACAAGCGAATGTACAGCTTTTTCTTCGGAGTGAATTGAAACACTAGTTATGAGATTCATGTTTGTAAAGCAAGCGGAAAAAAATTAAATGTGTTGAAATATTGAAACCATGTATATTTACCCAGAGGAAGAATGAAGGAAATTCTTCAATGTTCTCAGTAGTTCGATCATCTTGAGAAGAAAGCTATACCTATAAAAATTATACAAAGCTGCGGAGATTTTCGAGGTAGGAGCTTTTATCGCTTTCACAACAGTCGCTTCTGCGGTTGAAATAAGTTTCAAATTGTCAAAAACTCGGGTTCGCGTCGTATTTTCCAAAACAGCTGTTTTCGATAATTATTGCTGACAAATGTGTTGTGTCTCGAGACTTTGGCGGGAAATTATCACCCAATCAGAGATGTGATGCTCAGTTTTTCTAAGTCTAATATCGATATTTGACATTAACTCGAATTTCCGTGAATTATTAAAAGAAAAATATGAAATGACCCTTTGAAGGGTTATCTTTCCGAAAGAAAATAAAATGTATTCATATTTTTAGCGTCTTTCCAACTCGAGTTAAAGAAAATCCGCAAGATTTTAAGGCTAAAATACAAAGCTGCAGATCAAATCACTATACATGTTATGTAAATTACACTCTGCTTTGAGGATTTTCCAATCCAAATAAATTCCAGAACGATTCGAGGCACATGAACTCGAAATACGTAAAATTAACCTGGGCGAAAGAGTTAAACAATACTACGACATTCAATATTGATTATGAAAAACTTTTTAATTTTTTTTTTGTTTTGATTTTTGTTTTATTTGATAAGGAAATGATCGAAATAAACCTGCCGGTCTCAGCGGTAAAAAAAAAATAGCATCACCATTGGAGTAGACAGTCACTGTGTTTATATTTTTCTTCGACGGGTCTACGGTTCGGTGAGTGATCTCAGTGCTATCACCCTTGCTATTAGGTATATTTGGACGCGAGCTACGGTAACTGGGTCTAATACTCGGTGTTGAGGCTTTTTAGTAAATTTCCGGGAAAAAAACGTTTCAAAAACAATTGTAGTCTGAACTTATCTTTTGAGGATGTCCTATCGCACAGTTAAGAATAACTTCCAGCACTTAAGAAAGTAAACGAGAAAGAAAGAGAAACGATTCATAATCGAAATAGTACAAGCAAATGATAAAGTTTGAATGCTGTTACGTTTTCTCTATAGTTATACCCTGTAAGTTATCATTCAATGTCAACTTCTCTGTCTCGCGTCCAAGTATGCTGAGGACGAGTATTTTTAAAAGAGCCAAAATCGTTAATTTTCAAAAACGAAGGTCTGTTATGTGTAGTGTAACGCGCTCGAAAAATTCCACAACAGCTTACTTTACAACCTAAGACCTTGCTTTGACAGGTTAACATATTTCCTTACGTATTATGTTTCTAACTAGCGCGCTTCGCGCTCTAGAGCTCCGCTATGATTAATCGAAAAAGGGCGCCGCCAAGTCACAAAGCGACGAGCGAAAGAGAAAAAAAATCATCTTGGTTTCGGTGTTCTCTCGCTCGCCATAATCTTATAAACATTTTTTTTGCGTCTGGAAGGTATAGTGGAACATTTTCGTGAGTAGATGTTAAGTTCTGAGACTAAGACAATTTTCCGGAAAAAAAAATTCTTTGAATCTCATTTTATGTTTTCGGGAAAATCTCATTATAGGAAATCCCTTGGCACTGTATCATAGAGGAAAGAATTTGCGGGTTCCGCATCATCTCAGTGGCTTAGTTGAACCCGAAACTGAAAAACGCACAGAGATCGAGGGATGACATCCGCAGATTTTTTTTTACTATCAACTGACAATTTTAAAGGTTAAGTTTCGTCCTAAATCTGTCTTTTCTGTGACACGACTCAATGTAGGAGGTGCTTATCCCCTTTTCCTAAAATCCTGACAAACATTGTCATGATAATATTAATGCGTCTCGAACAACGCATAATCTGTAATTTGAAAACAAGCCAGATTCTCTTTGTATGTCATTGTTACCAGGATGGAGTTTTCGATATAGACTTTCAGTGGCCTATTGTGGGGTAAAATTGATATCCTGGCTGCGTATCGACGATTACTGTAATGTTTGCTGTCTATTTTATCTCTATCTTTTTGGATTCAGCAGCCATATCTTCACGAAATTTTTGAAAGGAATCTTGGAATAGCTATCGAGCTGTAGATTTTCCTCTCAGTCGAAAATCAACAAGTGTTTTTTTTATTTTCGGGTTAATTCGCCACTGTTGTGACGGAAACCGAAATATTGTTTCCGATATCCTCGGACGAGTTTGACCAAAATTAATTTGTCGTCTTCGTTATTTCCCCTTTAATATTACACATAGTGCAAATTTCTGGAACAAAATTGCAAATTTTTAAAGATGTTCTTTTGGTTTTGCATCAGAACTCCGTTAATGAAAAATAAATAATAAATAAAATTATGAGAAAAAGAAAAACAGTTCCCAGGAGGCTGATAAATAATTTATTCACCAATTACATTTTAATTGCCTCTTCGTTCACAACTTCGACGTTGTTATGACTGCTAATTATACATAAAATGAGAAATAATTTACCAAAATAGCAAGAACACTTTTGTAAAAGTTACGTCACGTTTTAGAACGCTATTTAGTCCTTTAGAATTTATTATTAAACACAGCGATACTGCTGGTCTACTTGAGAGCACAAAAGATGATGGTTTTAAGAAATTTCTCGCAAGCTGTGAAGGAATATGATAGAAACACCGCCTGGCGGTTGGTAAATCTATTAAATCTCTGAATGACCCATACTTACGCTTTAACTAAATACTTGAGCAGTTTAAATACGTTGACGAGCTCCTTATGGTTAAAGCTAAAAAATTCAAGTTCAAAACGAAATCGAAAACCAGCACGAATTGCTGAACCTGTTCGAAAACATTGTGAAATGATTACAGTGTAAGCCATGATTCACAAACAGAATTTCAATACTTTGTGAAAATCATAGCACAGATGTAACATTATGTACTGTCCCCGGAAGCCGAAACTCGGAGTGAAAATTCACACTGACTCATACTAGTCGAGTGATTGGCGATACGATAAGCATGCCGGATAAATCAGGTTTCTTGACTCGGTGCTGAAGGCTGTGATCAACCAAAAACAATGAGACTTCTAATTCGCATGTTAACGTACCTTTACACGTCGTTTGGCCAAGCTAGTTGCCTTCAATATATTTCTGTCAATAACGTCTGTATGAAAGCGGCACAAGTTGTTCGTTTCAATTTACCACCACTCTGGGTCACTGTCTAGAACATGTTGTTATGCAAACAAATTTCACAAGTCGTTCCGAATTGTCTTGCCGCTTTCGTTCACGGTTGAGAGACTACCAGCAGTAACACGTAAGTTCAGCGCGAATCATGGTATCACTCGAACCACCACAATTATTCTTTCCCGGAGGTCAATTTGTTGCAATAACCGGGGTACAATATTGTGAAAATAGCAATCGGCGGAAATGATTGAAGTTCCCACTGGATAAACATCATTCCTTTTATGGGGTGTCACCGACAGTTCTTGATGACGACATCATCATCTTTGGATTGTTGAAGTTCCTTTTTGGTGCAATGTCACGATTTGTCCGTGGTGTAAAATTTAACACTGTATTTCTCAAATTTCCATAGTTCGTCCATCATCTTCAATCTGGGTCTGTCTTATCCATCTGTAGCCATCCCCGTTCAATTTTTAGCTTATGCATGCCTTGAGAGTTTGTCTACCTTTGCATACTGAGTTGAAAACGTTAATTGAGCACCGTGAAGAGTTAAAATGCTGAAGTTTCGAGAATTAGCCTTACGTCGGAGTGATTGGAGGAATTGTGGGTTGTGTGGGGGTTTTATTTACTGTTTTATCAGTTACACTCTATGATCAGTATACATATTCTCCATACGGTTTTACCTGCATTTCCTATTGTGCTGAAAAGGAGAATTTGTTCAACAATGAAGAGTTTCTTTAGTTGGCGGTCATTCCTTTTACCCTCGTGATAGTCACTCTCATGAGGTAAATGGGTTGTAGGTTTCTTCTCAGGGGAGACAGATAAAAGAGATGAGAACAGGGAAGAGAGCAGTAGCGTCAGACATACCTGCGCATCGTATTAGGCTTAGATTTTTTGGGGGTAATTTAGTGTTATCAACTGAGCTGAAAACGTAAATTGGCCACCGTAAAGAGTTTAAAGGCTGAAGTTTCGAGCGTTAGCCCTACGTCAACGATAGGCTTTGGTGGGAATTAAAATTCAAACAAATAAAAAAAACAAATAAAAGTAAACAGAGGAACGATAACACCAAGATCCATTGTATAGCCATAGGTAAAAGGAAATTGTAAACCTCATACTTTCGTATTCTGTGCAATAGACAGTGGGAAAAGAACAAAAACTGTAAAAAACGAGCATAGCAATCGCAGTCCCCGACACGAAACTACTTTTTAAGACAAAAGCCATGTGCTACCGAGCTACCGTGACTTAGTCAATATCAGTTCGTTTATTCGGCCGCTAGTCGGCCCTAACAACTTGGACAGACAGAGGCTTAATTAATCCGGAGTAAAGGGTGAGTCGTTAAGTTTTTGGTGCGCGACATATAATACGAGGGCTTTTGGGGGGGTTAAAAGGACTTTAATAACTTCACTGGGTGGGACGAAACTTTGCGAGGTGGAAATTTTAAAAGGTACTTTTTGGGTGTTCGTAATTTGCAGAATATGTATTCCCACTTGATTGCTTTTCTCTTTGAAAAGCAGATTCCTGTTTGTTCTCCTTTTCTGGCTCGCGACTCAAGTGGACAGACAGCTTTGTTAAGAGGACATTAATCACATAATTTTAGATGATCATTTCACAGTCAGTGACTCTCCTTATACACAAAGACTATTATTTAATGCTGTTGGACCCCCTGAGTGACATCGACACTCCTGGTCGCCTTCCTGTCTAGACAGATATTTTGATAAAAATACCTGAACAAACCGATTTATGTCTGTGCCAAATTAAAATCGAGGTGTGGCCAAACACATCAATTATCGACTAATTAATATTTCAGCGTCTGACATTATGACAAAAATCTTAGAGGAATCAATCATGTATTTACTGGCTCAAATTTTGCCACTTTTCCGCAACCTCGTTCTCATGGCCTTTTCCCTTACTTCCCCCAGGTAAGGGAA